ACAACAACAATAACCATTGTAACCACAAACATGATTATATTTTATTATTATAGTATAGATTTGAAAGCAAAAAAAGAATTAAATATAAGAAAAAAAAATATTATTATGTATTCTATATCATTATGTCTATTTATGGTCGATTAAAGTGATCTAGGAAAAGATAATATTGACTGCGGGTGCAAAAAAAAAAATTGACCCTAACAGGACTTGAACCTGTAACCTTCGGATTTTTTCAAACCGAGAATTCCAGTTATTGGAATCCGATGCTCTGCCAATTGAGCCATAGAGTCGACTTGTTGTGAGTTCCTGCATAATGGGGTTAACAGATTTAGTTTTCTTATGGCATTAAAACAGAATAATTTATATTACTATCTTATAATAGATGATATTGATACTAGATTATATTTTGGTTGGATATAAATTTAAGTAAGCCTTACAGAGAGTGGTAATTGATATCTTTTAATGATGTTTTTCTTGATCTTATTTTTGAAAAATTTTGGTTTAAAATCGGGAAGAAATTATTAAATTCATAAGATTATTTCATAAAATTGTATACTTTAAATTTATTCCTTATTATCAATATTGTTTATTATAGAATCAAATCAGGTAATTCGATTCTTTTTTAACAACTTACTGTAGTGTATCATGCCAGTTAATTATAGATCTAATTGTTAATTGGTCTTGACTTGACTACGAGGGAGATAATTTCATGTAGGGTCCTGTGGCTTTTAGTTGTCACGCAGCTGGGTTTGTTTGTTACCAACGTGCAGTAGTTCAATAGATTGCAATTGCAATAAATGTAATACTTGTGCTTCCTTCATTAGTTATATATTCATCCTTTTGGTGTTATGTGTTATATTGATAGAATCTTCTCTTTCTCTGTATGTGACTACACTGCTTATAGCAGTAAAGTATGAGTTTTGTTCACTTTCTTTATTCTCTTATTTCAGCCTATAGAAGTAAATAGAAAACTATAAAATTTATCTTTCACTTCCATTAAATATTGCGTAGCAACCGTGAAACTGACGGAATGTTGTACTGAAATTCCTGTTTCATTTGTGAGTTATTGTTATTTAGTTTGTACTGCATTGATAGTATATCTGTGACAATCACGTGATGTATGGAGACTTTGTCGGTGTCGTGCTGATGGGTATTAGGAGTCATTTGGTACTTCCTTAGACCCATGTACGACAGTATTAATTCATGCATAATGCATTCTTTAAACATAGGTCATAGAAGTCAATTTGTAGTTTCTGCATTTCAACTACTTTCTTTTAATTTCTCAAATCTAATGGCTAAGATCTTACTCAGCTCCATTAACAGAGTAAAGTCAAGAATAGTAAGAGGCGGTATATACATATATATATAAATAAATTCGTTTTTAAGATACATAATAAATACAAAAAATAATCATACAAATAAAAGTTAAAAAGTTATAAACAACAAAAAAAAAAGAAGGTGAAGAAAACTGAATATTAAATAATAATTAATAATATATATATAAACAGAGATCAAAGAAGGAAAGACATAAATCAAAAAGAAAAGAAAAAAAAAATTCATTAAATTTCGTGCTTAACAAGGGGTACCGACAGTGACGATGGTGTAGATACAACAATTGCATTTGGAACTGGGGGACTTGATGATTTTTGATTGAATTTAATTGGAGACCCTTCGTTTAATTTCAATTGTTGAAAATGTAATTCGTCTAAATCTGAACCAATATCACTTTCCATATCTGAATCAAATGGAAGTGAACCAGTGACATTATGTTGGTAACCAGATACTAAATCATCATTATTAGGACCTGAACTTATAGAATGATGTCTTGGTGGTGGAACATGAGGAAAAGCATCTTTCGTTAAATGAGCTTCTTCGCCTAATGGTGATGTACTGGTTGACGTAACATCACTTTCTGTAGGAGCAAAATTTGCGGTGTTTGTGGAAATATGTGTAGGCATGGCAGATTTGGTGGTTGGACTGGTTGCTTCGGGTGATAATACTGTTGCTTCGTGGTTTGGTAATAATTTGTAAGCATATTGGATTAAAAATTCAACCACTGATTGTGATAAGGCGTATTCTATAGGATCCAAATCATGACTTGGGTGAGACAAGATTGAAGGTTGGAATATAGCTGCAAGATTTCTTGAACTCATCAAGTTTTCTTTCGAATGATTTTGAACCATGGCAAGTAAATCTAAAATATAAAACAACAACTGTTTGGAAGCTACAGGTAATGCATTAACCAACAGCTTGTATTCATCAATAGCAGAATGTATTTCATTGGTGAGCTTTTTATAATTTTTTGATTTCTTTTTATTTCTAATATTGATTTCTTCCTCACTCAATTGTACTTGAGGAGTTTGGGAAAAAATATTGGAAGATCCTTCAGAATTTTTACGAGGAGCATTGTCACCATTTAGTCTTCCCACGTTTGCTTCAGTTAATAATTGTGAGGAATCTAACAAATCTGATGTGGAGTTGTTGGCATTATTATTGGTGCCATTTTGGGGGAGGGATGGTCGGCTAATACTACTATTGCTGGTGGCAATAGCAGCATCTTTTGATGGTAAGGATTTGGCTGGATTTTCAGCCTTATACTTCATATAACTGATAATTCTATTCCTACTTCTTAAAGGCTCACGGAATAATTCATACATATCTAGTGGAATTAATGGTTCTGGTAAAGCATTTAAATATCTTCTCAATACAGATGCTGCATCGTGGACAGTAAATCCGTCCCAATTCAATTTTTTACCATAATTTGGAGGAGTATTAAATATAACTTGTAATTCCTTGATTCTTTTTGATGATCCTCCTACTCTAAAGATTCCTTCTACTGTTAAGCCATTCTTTTTCAAATAAACCCCACATTTTGCCACAACTATAGGAATTTGACCATAATTTAAGCCATCGCCTTGTTCTGTTGCTAGAATTGATATTTTAGCTGATGCTTCATTCAAGGCTTGTTGTAAAGGTACTCCGAAATATTTAGAATTTTCATCAAGCAAAGAATTGCTTTGTAAAAATGAATCTCGATGTTGACGAACACTATTTGTCTCTGATTGATTAAGGGAATTTGATCTTACTCGACTGACATTATTGGCCGATCGAGATCTTGGATTTAATAAAGGACGAAGGAAATCAGAACCGGGAGTTGGGGACGTGCTTAAATAGTTGGTTATACTAGAAGGTTGTATGTTGTGATGATGTGAATTAGAATGTGGCGGAGGAGACAGGGGATGGTTATTGAATAATGAGGATGTTGAGCCTTGTGGTGGTAATGGGATATTTTGAGGCTGTGATGCACCATTTCCACTTCCACTACCACTTCCACTGCCGCTGCCATTAAAATTTGGATTAAAGATCATGCTTTTTGTAGGTGATTTGCCCAAAGATTCATTATCACTAATTTCATTGACAGATTCACTGGATAAAAAGTGACTCTTTTTTAAACTCTTTGCCCAACCAAATATGGAACTTCTGTTATTTGGTGAAGATGAATGACTCATGTATTGATTTGATCTGGATTAAAATAAATAAACTCAACTTAACTTAAGAACTGTAGTGAAAAAGTTTAGGTTTGTATATATATGTGTGTGTGTGGTTGTGGTTGTGGGTGAAAGGGTTTAAGTTTGGGAGTTGGATCTTTGATCGATGATCTGATTTATCTCGTTAGATTAAGATTAACAAAGTAAATAAAAAAAAAGAAAGCAATAAATCAAACGAAGGTAATAATTTGAACTAAAAACAGTGTAATATACTGATGTAGTAGTAGTGGTAATAGTAGTAGATTTCCTTCTGATGAAAGATGAAAGATGAAAAATGAAAAAAATGAAAAAAATTAGATGGCAAGATTTAATTGAAACTGAAAAAGAAAGTTGTGTGTTTGTTGTAGAAAAAAAAAAAAAAAAATTCAAATTATGGGGAGGCAGTGTTTATAATAAATTATAGTGTGTGTGTGTGTGTGAACAATTTTTACTCTCTTTCTTTCTTTCTTGACTGTTGTGTTGTTTCTTACTTTTTCTTTTTCTTTTTCTTCTTAATTAAAATTTAAAGAGTGACCCCAAAAATAAAATTACTTGTGTGTACTGTAAGTGTGTAAGTGTGTAAGTGTGATGTAAGAATACAATAAAGTGAATTAAGGGAGATAAACTCGTATGGTTTTATTGGCTGGTTGTTTGTCTGTTAGATTAATTGAAGAAAAGGTAAAAAAAAAGAATTCAGTTGCTAAATCTTTAAAAAATAAAAAGTAAGAGAATGTCAACTGTATATATGTGTGTCTCTCTCTCTCTCTCTTTAAATATAAATATTTATTAACAACCAAAAATCAAAGACGATCGAATTTTTTTTTTTTTTAGTTGTTGTTGTTGTTTTTGTACAACTAAGTGGGGTCGTGTACACGGGGATAGTTCTTTTTTTTTTATTTTATTTTTTGCTGTGCGTGTAAGTAAGCACAAAAAATTATAATACAGTGATGCCCTTTTGTTTCCAACCAAAAAAAAAAAAAAAAGATCATTGGTGTATGTGTAAGTATAAGTGTGTGGCTGTATAAGTTTGGTTAATGTATATCCCTCCATTTTAATAATATTAATCATAATCAATTGTTTGTCCCCTGGTATATCAATAGTCAATTGGATTACAAACAAACAAACAAACAAACAAACAAACAAACAAACAAACCAAAAAAAAAAGAAGTGCAAAAAAAAAAAAAAAAGAGGGTACTTTATTGTTCAACTACACATTCTAGATCGCAAGTAAAATAAAATCAACAATCTATCAATCAATTCTAGACCATTTATTTTATATATCTTGTATTTAGGTCCTTAATTATGGGGATGCATTTGATTAATCTAATTTTTACTAAATGAACAATACAAATTTAACTTAGTGTCTCTCTCCTATTTTTTTTTTCTATTATTTTGTTACTGACACGTTAAACAAGAGGCAAAAATAAAAAATAACTTACAAAAACAAGACATATCTTCTATTATGTAATTGTTCTCTATTAATGAAGCAATAAATGAAATCAACAAATAGAGGGGGGAGGAAGGAAGAAATATGTAATATAAGAGCAAGACCTGAATGTTGGTAAATTTTAGACTACCGCCTTGTGTTTAGTCTCTACCTTCTCCCCCCCCCCCTTGGCTAGTATTGTAAACGAAGAGTATGATGGTTGAGATTTACCTTTACTACATGTCAATTTAACTCAAATTGGTTAGTTGGGATTTACTTTTTCTTTTTCATGTAATTCAGTACAATGTTCATTTCTCTTTGTTCTTCTTATTCTTGTTCTCTTTAATTGGTGTGGTTTGAAGAATTCATTTAGTCAACATTGCATAATGCGTATCTCGTTCGTTCTGTGTGTGTGATCAAATGTGTGCATGAATGCGTGTGCGTGTGAGTGTGATAAAAATAACTATCACTGTTAAAAATAGCTGTGTCCCATAGAAATAAATCATCAAGGGGAAAAGCTAGCAAGAATGAAATATGTTTTACTTGACAACTTGTTCTTAATTGTCTTGGTGATGAAACGGTATTTGATTTATGTTTGATTTTGTTACATGATTCATTTATCAAATCAACTTTATTCATATTAAAGTGATAGATATTTGAACCAAATATAAAATAGAAAAGTCAAAAAAATCCAACTACTTGGGATTATAAGGACAAATTTTTTAGAAACAAAAATAGAAGATGGACGCGTTGTCGTGTTCTTGGCCATATGTACACGTCTGTCTTTTAAATATACAAAATCTATTATTAGTATACAATATTTTTTTTTTTGGCCATTGAACTTCTTGACATTGATGTCTTTATTACACATGACAGTTAATAAATTTTTCTTCTCTTGCTTTTTATTCAAGTCGTAAGTAAATAAATAAAAACAAAGGAGAAATGATTTCATTTGCTATTGACGATGTCTATTTAATTAATGACAATTAACAACAACAGTGAAATCTTTTCTATTGCTAAAAAAAAAACGGGGAATGTAAATCTATCATTCTTTGTTTTTCCCACTTTCTTTCTCTGTCTTCCTTCACTGTTAATGATCATCCCATCTGTTTAAAATTTAACTAATCGAGTAACTTCATTTTCATTTGCTTTGTTTTCTTTGTTTCATTCTTCGAAGCCAAAAAAAAAAGAAGGCGTTCCGGTAAATAGTATTCACTTACATGCAATATAGATGAAATTTCATTACATTAGTCTCTACAGTACATCAACGAAGTATAAGATTAAGTAAAAGAAAACCACGTCATACTGTCTATAAATAACAAATTACAATGTAATAAATAAAAACGTACCTGACTCAACAATTATTTTGCCACCAAGTCGTACAATTGATTCCCACTTCTACGATAACATAAATGATATTCTCTTGTTATTCATTGCTGCATTTTATTTATCTGTTTATTTCTTTTTATTTTTATTTTTTTTTTCATTAGACAAAAGTACACGCCCATGTTCAAAGAATTTGAGCAATAGAACAAAGTCAGCGAGAAAAGTCAAAATTGACATCAACACATACAATTGGGAAAGAGACCATACGGTACAAAATGTATAAAGCTAATCAACAAAGAAAGGTATTAGTATGCAGAAGTATTCAAACGCCTTTTCTTCTTCTTTTTGGGTTTCCCGCCTTTTGTATTAATTGAAGTTATTCTTATTCGCCGTGTTAGTGCAAAATTAAACAAGAAATCTTCATTGTTTCATTAACCCAAAAGGATCTGCAAACCCAAAGACAAAGACAAAAAATAATACTACACTAAATTAAAATAAATAAGAAGAAAAAATCACTATACATTTTTGTTCCAAAGTACACACACAAACTACGAGATTTCAATTGTTAATTTTTTTTTTTTTTATATTCTTCATTAAACCTTACAAAATCAAACAATATCATATTACTGGTCTCCACCCTGTAGAAACTTTACTAGTAATTCGAGTGGCTGATAAATTATTTATTTCATTTAAGTTGTTTTTAACTTTGTGATAATATCAATAACTATATCAATTAATTACCAATCTAGTTCTCATTTAATTTGTAATTTGTAATTTGTTTCATCTTCTTTTTTTTTGTTTTTGACTGGATTAGGTTAAAGATCTGTACATTCTTATATGGAACAGATTCATTTACACATCATAAATCAACTAATACTTGTAATTGAAAGTAAAATTTATTCAATACATATGTAATTTTTTTGAAAAATTTATAATTTACTTCTATTTTTTTGCAAAAAAACTTTCATAATATTTTGCTACCCTTTAGTTAAACTTACATCACTCAATACAATATATATATATATAACTAAATAAAATACATTTTTCTACGTTGACAAATAACTATTAATCATTCTATAAAAGATATAACTTATATTCCATCTATCATGATAACTATTCTTTTCAAGATTAAACATTTATGGTCGTGTTAATTTTGCAAAAAAAAAACACGAAACACGAAACACGTTGATATTACGCGAAAATTCTCGCTACCATATTTCACTATGTAATTTTATATAAGCAATCTATAAATAATTCAAAGAGTCAAATTGGTTTTCATTTTATTATTTCGATTCAGTTAATGATTAGATGTTGATGGAATATATTTTAATTGAGAATTATATTTCTTAGTCATATCAATAAATAAAACCAAAAAAAAAGTGCTTTTATTTGAGAGAAATCTCAGTACACGTAAAATGTGTATGTTGATTGTTAAAAATTCGTGTTTTGTTTCAAAACGTATTTGACACTTTCACACGACTAGGAGTTGAAGAATTTTTTTCGAACTAATTAAAACAAGCAGTCGATTTTTTTTTTTTTTTTTTTTTTTTGGTTCACGTGTACATGGAACACCAAAATTTATACAAACCATTATATCAAAATATCATGAAATTCGTAATTAGTTACTCCTAAATAAAGTTGTTTTCTTAAAAAAATATAAAATTGATGTATATGTAAAACTATCTAGAATACATAATAAAAACATCTATATGATAAACATTTTTTTTTTTATTTCAAAACAGAAAACCAATCCATAACAAGATTGAATAAATAAAAATGTACCGAAAAATAGGAAGAATAATGAAATTTAATAATAATTATTCAAATCACAATTTTTTTTTCTTTGAAATTATGAAATGAAACCGAAATAATAATGATAATAATAATAATAGTAAAAACCACAAGAAGTCAAAATAATAGTAGAAAATCAAAATCAATTTTTTTCAAAAACAATAAGAATAGTTTTCAGTATAGGATATTTAAATTACCCCAACTCTAAATGAAAAGACCAATAAACATACCGGTTGAAATAACTAATGCAAATGCACTAGCGCCAATTGATGATGCAGCGTTAGCAATAGCAGTAGCAGTAGCAGTAGCAGTAGCACCAGCTGTACCTGAATCTTGACCAGCTGCAACAGTACCCGAATGTGTAGAAATAGTAATCAAAGTTGATGCAGAAACTTGTTCACCAGAGCCAGAACCAGAACCAGAACCAGAACCAGAAGTAGAACCAGAGCCAGAACCAGAGTTAGAACCAGAGCCAGAAGTAGAACCAGAGCCAGAGTTGGAACCAGAACCAGATTGTTCACCAGAGCCAGATTGTTCACCAGAACCAGAGTTGGAACCAGAACCAGATTGTTCACCAGAGCCAGAGTTGGAACCAGAGCCAGAAGTAGAGCCAGAGCCAGAAGTAGAACCAGAACCTGGAGCAGCAGTTTCTTGGGATGGTGAACCACCGTGTCCAACAGTCAATGTAGTGTGTTCAATGACAGTCTCAACTCTATCACCAGCCTTGGATGCTTCTGAGACAGCAGATTTGGCATAATCAACAGCACGCGATGATTCTTGTGCATGTGCAGCACTCAATTGGACAGAAGCAGCAGACGATTGAACTTCGACCAAAGAAGTTTGTTTGGCAATGCATGATTCTTGAACTTCAATCAATGAAGTAAGAGTAACATAAGCAACAGACTCAACGGATTTGATGGAACTCAATTCACTTTCACAGCTGGCAACAATGTCGGTCTTGTGGGCAGATTCAGCACTGGACTTGACAGATTCAAGAGAGCTCTTGGCCGATTCACAGGAGTAGATGGTGGTGACAACCTTGTCTTGCTCCTTCGAGGCAGAGCTTTGTTCGGACTTGGCACTGGATTGCTCGTCACAAGCAGAGGATTGTTTAGCAGAAGCAGACGTTTGTTCACAGTATTCAGTAACATGGGAAGTGATGATAACAGTTTCAGTAGTCACGTGACCCTCATCATCAGTACAAGTTTCGGTAACTGTAAGAGTGCCTGGTAAGTCACTTGGTTTAGCAGTAGTCGTAGTAGTGGCGGTATTAGTGGCAGTGTCACTCTTGGTTGTAGAATCAGTCTTGGTGTTAGTACAGACTCCAGACTCACAATGAGAACCCTCACCTTCGCCACCAGTAGCAGTAGTGGATTCGGATTCAACAAGTGTAGATTCACCAGAAGTATTTTCGACATCTGACGCAGTAGTGGATTCAGATTCAGTAGCAGCTGAAGATTCAGTAACAGCAGAAGATTCAGCAGCAGAGGATTCAGCAGCAGAAGATTCAGCAGCAGAGGATTCGGCGGCAGAGGATTCAACACCAGAGGATTCAGCAGCACTGGATTCAGCAGCACTGGATTCAGCAGCAGAGGATTCAGCAGCACTGGATTCAGCAGCACTGGATTCAGCAGGAGTGGATTCAACACCAGAGGATTCAGCGACAGAGGATTCAGCGACAGAGGATTCAGAGACAGAGGATTCAGCGACAGAGGATTCAACACCAGAGGATTCTGCTGGAGTGGATTCAGCAGGAGTGGATTCAGCAGCAGAGGATTCTGCTGGAGTGGATTCAGCAGGAGTGGATTCAGCAGCAGAGGATTCTGCTGGAGTGGATTCAGCGGCAGAACTGGATGCTACCTCATCAACAGGAATACCAGCAGAAAGATCAACATCAGTTTCAGTACCATCCGTGTCGATAATAGAATCAATAAAATCGTCGACGTCATCTCTCTTTCTGGTTGAACCTTCTTGCAAGTGGACTTGGAACAATTTGGTGTGCAACTCGAACAAGACTCTAGCAGGAATGCTAACTATTCTTCCAGCACTACGGATATCATTGGTGTATTGATTACCACTTACACGTGCATAGTAGTATTGGATATTGTAATCTTGGGATGAGACAAAGTTGAAGAATGTTTCTAAGTAATCTGGGATTTCAAAGTCACAGACACCAGTGGCATAATCAACCACGGAGATTTGTTCACCATTCAAGAAACAGGCCACCTCGGATGGGGTTTCAGAAGTAACTTCATCTGATGTGACGGAAGGTTCATCACTGGTTGCATCAACAGTGGATGATACATCACTAGTAGCACTTTCTTCAGGAGCAGATGTCACTTCAGTACCGGATGATTCTTCAGTAGGAGTAGATTCAGCAGGAGTAGATTCAGCAGGAGTAGATTCAGCAGGAGTAGATTCAGCAGGAGTAGATTCAGCAGGAGTAGATTCAGCAGGAGTAGACTCAGCTGGGGTTGATTCACCAGGGGTGGATTCAACTGGGGTTGATTCAATTGGGGTGGATTGAACTGGAGTAGATTCAACTGGAGTAGATTCAGCAGGAGTAGATTCAGCAGGAGTAGATTCAGCAGGAGTAGATTCAGCAGGAGTAGATTCACCAGGGGTAGATTCAGCAGGAGTAGATTCTGCTGGGGTTGATTCAGCAGAAGAGGATTCTGCTGGAGTGGATTCAACTGGAGTAGATTCAGCAGGAGTAGATTCAGCAGGAGTAGATTCAGCAGGAGTAGACTCAGCAGGAGTAGAATCAGCTGGGGTCGATTCAGCAGAAGAAGATTCAACTGGAGAGGATTCAACTGGAGTAGATTCAGCTGGGGTGGATTCAGCAGAAGAGGATTCAACTGGAGAGGATTCAACTGGAGTAGACTCAGCAGAAGAGGATTCAACTGGAGAGGATTCAACTGGAGTAGATTCAGCAGAAGAAGATTCAACTGGAGTAGATTCAACTGGGGTGGATTCTGCTGGAGTGGATTCTGCTGGGGTTGATTCAGCAGAAGAGGATTCTGCTGGAGTGGATTGAACTGGAGTAGATTCAGCAGGAGTAGACTCAGCTGGAGAGGATTCAACTGGAGAGGATTGAACTGGAGTAGATTCAACTGGAGTAGATTCAGCAGGAGTAGATTCAGCAGGAGTAGATTCAGCAGGAGTAGATTCAGCAGGAGTAGATTCAGCAGGAGTAGATTCAGCAGGAGTAGACTCAGCTGGAGAGGATTCAACTGGAGAGGATTGAACTGGAGTAGATTCAACTGGAGTAGATTCAGCAGGAGTAGATTCAGCAGGAGTAGATTCAACTGGAGTAGATTCAACTGGAGTAGATTCAGCAGAAGAAGATTCAACTGGAGTAGATTCAACTGGGGTGGATTCAACTGGAGAGGATTCAACTGGAGAGGATTCAACTGGAGAGGATTCAACTGGAGAGGATTCAACTGGAGTAGATTCAGCAGAAGAGGATTCAACTGGAGTAGATTCAACTGGGGTGGATTCTGCTGGGGTTGATTCAACTGGAGAGGATTCAACTGGAGAGGATTCAACTGGAGTAGATTCAGCAGAAGAGGATTCAACTGGAGTAGATTCAACTGGGGTGGATTCTGCTGGAGTGGATTCAACTGGAGTAGACTCAGCAGAAGAGGATTCAACTGGAGTTGATTCAGCAGGGGTTGATTCAGCTGGGGAGGATTCAGCAGCAGAAGAGGATTCAGGAATTGGCGAACTACTAGAAGATGGTTCCTCAACAGGAACTGCACCAATGACAACGTCAACCTGAGTACCTTCTTCATCACCAAGAGAATTGAGGAAATCATCAACTTCGTCTCTCTTTCTTGCTGGTGCCTTTTGTAAGTGGACTTGGAACAATGGTGTGGTCTCGTCAACCAAATATCTTGCAGGAATACTGATAGTTCTACCGGCATTACGAATGTCATTAGTGTATCTTTCGTCTGCAGCTGTTACATAATAGTATTGGACGTTGTAATCGTTTGATGCAACGAAACTAAAGAATGTTTTTAAATCTGTTGGAAGCTCAAAATCACAAGTACCTGTTTCAAATTCCACCTTGGCAACTTCTTCACCGTTAAGCAAACATGCCACCATTGATGGTTCAGGAGATGGAACTGCAGTTTCTTCAGCAGCAGTAGATGATTCAGCAGTACTAGTTTCTTGAGCAGTACTGGTTTCTTCAGGCTGTCCAGCACTGGATACAGCAGAGTCCTCAGCAGCAGTAGATGATTCAGCAGTACTAGTTTCTTGAGCAGTACTGGTTTCTTCAGGTTGTCCAGCACTAGATACAGCAGAGTCCTCAGCAGCAGTAGATGATTCAGCAGTACTAGTTTCTTGAGCAGTACTGGTTTCTTCAGGTTGTCCAGCACTAGATACAGCAGAGTCCTCAGCAGCAGTAGATGATTCAACTGCAGAACTAGTTTCTTCAGCAGCACCAGATGATTGAGCAGCAGTAGATGTTTCTTCATCAGCACTACTTGATGATTGAACAGCAGAAGATTCTTGAGCAGCAGAAGATTCTTGAGCAGCAGAAGATTCTTGAACAACAGTAGAGGTTTCTTCATCAGCACTAGATGGTTGAGCAGCAGCAGAAGATTGAGCAGCAGAACTGGTTTCTTCAACAGCAGAACTAGTTTCTTCAATAGCAGAACTAGTTTGCTCAGCAGCAGAGGTTTCTTCAACAGCAGGACTAGATTCTTCAGCAACAGTAGATGTTTCTTCAACAACAGTAGATGTTTCTTCAACAACAGCAGAGGTTTCTTCAATAGCAGAACTAGATTCTTCAGCAGTACTGGTCTCTTCAGGTTGTGCAGCAGCACTGGTTTCTTCAGGTTGTTCAGAGGACGAGTGTTGTGGCTCTTGAGCAGAGGTCTCTTCCACAGCGGAAGTCTCTTCTTGCGGAGAAGAGGTTTCGTCGGTTGGTTCAGCAGCAGCGGCTTCGTTCAACCTGGTAGTGACACTGGCTGGGGGCATCCAGTAAGGCTCCCATACACCGGCAGAGGAGCAGATGGAGTAGGCCAAGCTGGTGGCGACAACGACGTTGTTGCCGCGACAGTTGTCGGCAATACAGTTTCCGATCGCGCCTGCGAACGTCGGCATGATACACAAACAACCGGTGTCCCAGTATGGGCAGGGGGTGCTTCCTGTTGATTCTCTCAAGCAATCCTTTGCACAATCAGGAACCAAGGCATAGATACGGTCGGCGAATCCATTTATGGATGCAGTTTTCGGAACTGACGGGTATTGGGTATAAGCGTCTGCCTCATCACGTTTGATGGGTTGGGTAATTAATTGTGCACTCGTGAGTGCCAAAACGGTAAAAATTGAAGCTAAATTGACCATTTCGCGTTTTGTTGATCTTGCTTCTCTCGGTGGTCGTGTACGCAACAGAAAAAATAAAAAGTGAAAAGCGAGTGAGTAGTGAGTGAGTAGTGAGTGAGCAGCGAGTGAGAAGTGCGGGTGGTAGCGACAAGGAAAAAAACAAGACTCAGCAGTAGCTTGGATGTGTTGTGTAAGTGAGTTGTTTCTGGCAAATGCAGTAGGATGGGGGAAAACGTCCTGGTATATATATACACAGATGTTCATCTGCAGCCGAACATGGACAACGGACAATGGACAATGGACAATGGACAATGGACAACGGAGAATGGGAAAATAGGAGAGTAGCCATTTTAGACGTCTAGCCTAAGACGCATGGTTAGTTCTGGGAGAGTGGCAAGTGCGTGGCTCCCGATATATTTCCACCGCCAGAATAATACCCCATTCCAACGAATCATAGCTTCCCACCCGTCACCGACAGTGTGCCACAAAATTAACTGGACCACGAAATTTTCCCACCGATTGAACTAATTACTAGCAATATAGCAATGAATTTCAATATCTATTAGATCTCATGCAACTCACAATTAGTCGCGAAATTGGTGCATATATTGCAACTGCTTTTAGTCTGGTTCATTGGGTCGTCTTGGCAAGAAAATACCTGGTGCGAGCAGCAATGGCGAGTTTTGTGGAACTCCCCACCCGTTAATTCAACCAATCATTGTCTGGACTCTGAGAAGGCTCGAAGGGAGGGAACGGCCTTCATTGTCAAGAAGATAAAATTGTGGTAGCTAAACAGAGCGGTAAGTCCTTAATCCCAGTTTTAGTAAATATTGCTCTATTTCATTTCATTTCATTTCATTTCATTAAATATTAGTGCCATCTTGTGAAATCCAAAGCCTATATTCTGGAAGGTTTTCTCAGCCATTTTACAACACTCATTTACCCTGAGTTCAATCCTTTGTGCAATTTATTTTGTGTGTGTGTGTGTGTGTGTGTGGAGAAGAGGAGGTAAATATCTAAACAGCCAATAAAAATGACAATTGGTTTCGTCAAAGATGGAAACCTTCACTATTTGAAATATTCTAAGCATAAAAATTTTTCTTATTCAATACATTCAAGTGTGTTAGAAAGCGACTTCAAGTGCAGAGTGTTTTGCATACTGTTGAATCTTCATTGTTTTCTGTTTTCTGTTTTCTGTTTTCTGTTTTCTGCTTTCTGCTTTCTGCTTTCTGTTTCTTTGTTCTTGTTTTTTTTTTTTAGTCTAGTTATTCGTTGTCCGATACTTTTTAGTTCTACATCCTGTACAGTAGATATCGGATTCCCCCGTCAATACTTCGCAGAGGCAGACAAACCATTTGCGGAAATGGAGACGGAAATCACTCGTTTTTGCTCATAAAAAAACCATAATACACTTAGATTTTGAAGAGATATATATTGCCAGTGGCTTAAAGTTTAAATGGAAGATCAATATTCTGGAACCAAACATTAGTATCTCAGGACTGGCGCTTGTTGATCCCTTTGCAACCCAGGGGCTCAAGTGCACAGGGCTAATTATGTCCGAGTTCTACTTTTACATTTCCACAGATGATATTAAAATATAAATCAAGTTATTCTAAACGGATTCCACGGAAAATCTACTTGGAATTCAAGTTGGGATATTATACTACAAGTAGGCGCATACAAAGTGCATACACCTAGATTTGACAAAGCAAAGAGCACATCCTGATTTTTTGATTTGCTTCATGCCAAAAACCCATACTTGATACAATTACATTTACCAAATGGAACCTCAAAAACAACTCAGCTGTTCAATGTACTCATAACATCCACCACATTTAATATGCTTAAGAGCTGTTGGTTATTGACCTCTAATTGAAGGAAAAGGTACTTTAGACAGCCAGATTCCTGCATAGAAATAATATCACTGCTCATTTCTTTTTTTAACTATTTCAATTTTTTTTTTCTTTATTTAGACAGAGATGAGATAAATAATCACTTTTTTTTAATACAATCTTTATCAAAATTAGTATATTAAAACACACTTCATAAAAGCATCCCATTCAATACCAATCATAATGGCCGGAAGAAACGCTATCAATAAACCAAAGATCAAGATGCACGCACATAGTCATGCCAAATCATTAGGAAGAAAAAGAGCAGCCCGTAGAACAACAGCTACAAGATCCTCCACATCCAGATACGCATCAAAAGGAACCACTGCTCCAAGACCAACTGATTCTAAAGCAGTTGCTTTATATACCGGTGATATCCCAGCACCAGCTTCAACTATGACAACCACAACATTATCCAATAAGAGAGCCAAGAAGATTGCTAGAAATCAGAAATACATGGCTGCTAACAAGGCTGCTACTAAAACTAATACAGAATCCATGGATGTCGACGAGATCTTGACTGAAGAACAGAAACAAACCAAGTTAGATCAAGTGAAAAAGGCTTTGTGGAGTGTAATAGAAAATCATTCCAAGTCTGGATTTTCCGTAGTAGCTGATTCAGAAGGAACCACCTTAGGTATACAGTCATTCTAAAAACACTATCAATATACTTTGAATATTGGTATTATTATACGTTATAATTTGTAATCTATTTATCTTCGTTTTGTCATCTAAGAGGATCTAATTTTGATTGCATCATCAACAGTTTTCTTTAAAAGTTGAACAACTGGTTTTGGATCTTCTGGCTTGAACACAGAAGTACCAGCAACAATAACATTGGCACCAGCATCCGCAGCAGGTTGAATTGTGTCTTTACCTAATCCACCATCAACTTGAACGTCTAAATGTGGATATTTTTCTCTCAATTTTTCAACCTTTGGCATCATATCAGGCATAAATTTTTGACCACCAAAACCTGGCTCAACAGTCATAACCAAGACCATATCCAAATCGTCAACATATGGATAAACTTCTTCAACAGGAGTTCTTGGTTTGATAGCCATGGCAGCTTTTAACCCATGCTCCTTAATCTTTTTTATAACTCTAGCAGGGTCTTTGGTCGCTTCAAAATGAAAAGTATAGGAATCACCACCAGCCTTTGCAATCTCTTCAATCCATTCATCTGGTTCAGAAACCATCATATGACAATCAAAAACAATTGGCTTTTCACCTTCACGAGGGAATTGCTTTCTTAAACTTTCAATAATTGGAGGACCTAAGGAAATGTTTGGCACAAAATGACCATCCATGACGTCTAAGTGTAACCATTCAACATCACCAGTATCAACAACTTTCTTACAATTACAACCTAAGTTGGCAAAATCAGCAGCTAAAATAGAAGGAGCAATAATTGGTTTAACCATTGTATCAATTCAGAACGTGGTATTTTAAAATTAAGAATCAACAAAATAGAAAGAAAAAAAAAGTGAGAGCAAGAGTAGATTAAAGTTGGAGGAGGTCGTTTTCTTTATTTTTTTTTTTTTTTTTTTTTTTTTTCATCAATTCATTACTTTCCCATTACTAAGATTACACTGATACACAACAAATTGAAAATTGTGTTCATATCCATGAAGCAGACACCGATGTTTTTATGTTGTTCTACCTTTAAAAGATTATCTACTTCTCTAAATACAGGCGAGTAATCTATTTATACTTGTCATGAATCAATCTCGTGCTGAAAATCCCTATGACCCCCTACTATGATTTAGTTCCGTTCGCCAGACAAATCTCTGAATCAGATCGTTTGTGCCGACGCTGGCCAAAAAGAAAAAGAAAAAAAAAAACACCACCAAAAGAAAAAAATAGCAATAGGATAACTAACAGCACCTTATACATCATAATCATTTTGTTGTAACACCAATGTCAGATACTCCAACTACTACCAATTCAACTGAGGGGGCATCCTATTCCGAACAAATCTTAGAATCAGCAAGAAGAAACAACACGGAATTATTGCTAACTATAAAAGTTGAGTTGAACAATGATCCTATCAAGTTATCGGAACTAATCAACTCGACTAGAGAGGTAATCACCAATAACACACCATTGCACATAGCATGTCAACTTGGAAATTGGGAGTTCATAGATATTGTGTTAGATATAGAAGGTGTTGAAATCGACCCTCAAAATAGAGAAGAGGAAACTCCATTACATTTGGCAGTCAAATACACAAACAACGGAGAACCAGAACATGGCTATTTCATCATTGACAATTTATTGGATGCAGGGTCCGATCCACGAATTAAGGATAAATTCAATCTCAAACCAAAAGATTATGTGGATAAAGATCATCAAAAATTACTCGAGTTGTTGGAAAGTGCAGAATATGCTATTTCCATGGAACCTACTGAGGCGGAGCAATTGGCCGAATTTGAAAATCAAGGTGCCGGTGAAGAAGACGAAGGTTCGGCATCAGAATCAGATTAGGTGTATATTAAATCTCTGTATGTATAGACTCTATAGTTGGAAATCATCATCACTAGTACATATCCAATCTCGTAGTTTCGTACGTCCAACTTTTTTCAATTCTTGGCGTTCCTTATTTGACTGTTTGAAGGTCAAATAATCATGAAAATCAACGCTTTTTATTCTCAAGAGTCTTTTCATCATACTTTGATTGCTTATGACACTTTCACCACCAGCTTTTGGAGGGTTATTTTTCACAAATGAACCGTTCTTAACCCCATTATTTAATACCTGCGTAAACTTTGTTGGAACAATATACAACAATGACAATGGTGACGCAACTTTGTCATCACTTTTCTCGAAATGATACTCATTATAATCATACGTTAATAGTTTAACATGGTGTACATTGGGTAAATCAAATCTTGTTTTAAAACATCGTTCAAAATCTTCATCAGCAATATTCTTTGTCACAATGTAATCAAGGTAGATAGGATCATTAAATATGCTTGATGTGATCGTGCTACAAATACCAGTCAATTGCTTTAGGCATAATTTATCTGAACATGATTTGGATAAGCTAAGAAGACTGTCTGATCTTCCTGGTTTGGTTCTAACTACCCCAAGCTCACCAAAGTTATTCCGTCCTCTATTTAGTTTTTGCCTTTTTCTAGGTATCCATGGCTCATTATCGTCTTTTGATGACGCTATATGATTCATTGACGCATCACCACAAGGAGGTTCACTAATAAAGAGGGCAAGTTTGATGTTGTTTTGAAGTTTATAGACATCGCCAGTTGTATCCACCAAAGGACAATCCTTTTCAAGAAGATAGAAATTGAACAATCGAATGGATAATATTTCCGCATGCATATCGTGTACCATCATCCCATTGGAATATGATCTAAATTTATCGGGCAACGTTTTAACTCCTGTGGTTATCGTGATGGGTTTGATTTCCGAATCATCTAGAATAGCAACAACACTTGCTAACACTGTCCATTCTTGTGCACCATTAGACCGTGTTACTGGCTTTCCTGACTTGATATTCAATTCATTGAACGTATCAATTACCTTCTTGGCAATTCTATTTCCCAAACCATCGACATTATTCATTGGTTGTATTCAGTAGTAATGAAAAAAGAATCACGAAAAAAAAAAAAAATAAAAAAATTCCGAAGACATTGTGTGTATTGAAAGTTTCCGACTATTTCTAGTTTTTCTCTTTTGCTCTCTCACCTCTCTAACAGCTGCCTACTTTCTATTTTTTCTAACCAATCCACCAATTACACCAATACCAATAGCAACTATACCTGTTACTACCCCAAGCCCGATCAATCCTTCGGTGGTTATTTTGTCCTCAATGCTTTCCAATAATGCTTTGGCTTGCAGGTTTTCTGGTTCAATTTTCAATAATGCTTCAACATATCTCTTTGCATTTGTATAATCACCAATTTTGAATGAGCCTAAACTAAGATAATATAATACTTCTCTTCTCATACCAGGTTCACTCTTGTATAATTCAGAGAGAATTTGAACACCATATTCTTGTTGCTTGTGACTTCCAGACTTAATCAAACCCCAAGCGTAGTTGAATCTCGTTTGTGGGGTTGGATTAGGCTCTTCTGACTGAAGTTGATCTTTCAAAATCCGAAGCTGTTCTTGTGAAAGTGGTTGCTTTAACTCTTCTAATGCTGGATATACTGTTTTGTTAAACATTTTAGTGGTGCTCTAGTGGCAAATATTGTTATCAAACTGAAAGAAGAAAACACCGGGAAAAAAAAAGTGAGAGCAAAACAAAACAATACATTACAATCAACCGAGATCACAGTGGTTTCTCGTCACTTATTCTTTTTTTTTTTTCTTTTGTCTTTCTACTTGTGGTTGCTAAAGTGCGTGGAAGGGAAATAGTATAAGGCTTGAAGTACTTATTCTATAAGAAACTACGTACAATGTTACGCAGAGAATCTCTCTTCAGCTCCAGCCCAGTTAATAACATTCCAGATAGCTTTAAAATAGTCAAGTTTAACGTTTTGATACTGCAAGTAGTAAGCATGTTCCCAAGCATCAATGGCAATTAAAGGAACCAAATACGGAGCTGTAACAGTGTCCTGATTTGCAGTGGTGATGACATCCAATTGTCCTCCATTTTCATTGTTCTTGACAATAAATGCCCAACCAGAACCTTGAATACCAGCTAACTTGGTGTTAGTAACGTCAATAAGATTTTGTACCGAACCATATTGTTTGATGATTTGTTTACCCAAAGGAGAGTTTGAATCTGGTTGCTTACCACCGCCGCTGTTCACTGGAGCCAAACTTTTCCAAAACAAAGTGTGATTGGTATGACCACCACCATGAAACTTTATGTTCTGCTGAATAGCAACAACTGCTTTGACATCATTTTTGGACTCAGCAATAGCCAATGCATCAATCGCAGCATTGTACCCGTTAACGTAAGCCACATGATGCTATTCAAAATGTTAGTTGGAGTGATCATAAAAACCATTATTGTTTGTAAAATATGTACGTACCTTTTTAATGTGCAAGTCGTTAATTTCTCTAGAAATATAAGGCTCTAAAGCTTCAACCAGCCAATCAATTTTGGGTAAAGTAATCTTTTCTCTTGGAGACATAGTGCTGTTGTTGGTGTAATTGATCAATTGTTAGGAAGAATATAAGTTTAAAAGTGTATAAAAAGGACAATAAAAAAAGGGAAAAAAATATCAATAAAAAATCAAGGGGTGGATTATGTGTATTTATACTGCAATATGTGGAGTAAATTCTTTTTTATATAAAATAACTCAGAAGAGTTATTCATCCTCGTTTACAGTTTATTATGTAATACACTTCAATACTGATTGTATTGTGTAGTTCCAGAAGTGGATTATCATCCTCTCTCCATAGTGAATGCTTACTAATTACTTAAGAGATTAGTGACTATGGACTATATTACAATCAACTTGGTTGAGCAAATATTTCAACCTTGATGGTTACCTAGTTGAGAATAAAGGAAATTGCTCACTCGTCGTTGACATTTTTTTTTTTTTTTTTTGCAGCCTTATCACACCTTCGATGCCACATTTAACTTACATCCACAGTGTGAAATTATGGCATCAATGCCATTTACAAAACATGTATGTAATCATAAAACGTCGCTTCTCTTTCTCGGAGTATATATACATTACTATTTACGAATTGTATGATTCATTATAGAAATAAATATTAGGGGCACCTTTAACCCAGGTGTATTTTTGAGTCTCGCATTCAACTTCCTTACCAAATTCACCAAGACCACAACTCATAACCGCAAGTGTATTATATGATTTTTGTTCTGGGAAATGCATACTTGCAATATGCGAATCAAGGATATTTTTCACATTCATTTTTTCTGAATAAGCAAACTTGATTGATGAGTTGGCAATAGATGAAGTGCCAATTGAATCTGAATCACTATACACGGAAACAATCTCTGAAGTTTTCTTGCATTTGGATTCAACTAATTGGGACTTGATGTCGTCCAACTCAACGTCGCCATTTTTCACAAACACTTGAAGATCAAGTTTACCAGAATTGATATAAGGCATCAATTTCTTGATTATAAAATCATACCACAAGACATCAGATGATTGTTTTACTGACCAATAAATTTTCAAATATGGATGAGCTGGTCTTCCCAAATAATCTTTCAATACTTCTTTTCTTTCAATATTTTGTAACAAATCCAAACACAATGGCAAAATAAACGAGGCACCGCAATCATGTGCAAAAAATGCGACTGAGTCAAAAGTAATCAATGGTTGGAATTTACCCAGAGATGGACCACGGAAACCGGCTTTTAATTTGACAATATTAGGATCAGATGGTCTCTTATGTTCTGGCAATTCTTCATCAATCCCGTTTTCAAGTTGTTCGTCTCTGATCAGCTTGATTTTTTCATATAATTTCTTAGTGAACCCATTTCTCTTTTTGATAATCAAGGTTATTTTCCTACTATCTGGTAAACTAGCAATAGCAAATGGATGATATTGGAAGAAATCGATTTTCTTGACATTCAAATAAACATGCAGTCCACCAAGCCAAGTTCCATACTTGAATAAAAACAAACGATACCATGGGTTTGGGTTGGTCTTGGTTGCCTTGACGGGGATAGTTGCTCTGATGGTGTCTTCATCTAGGATTTCAAATTCGGAGAATCCTTTAGTTGGGGAAGTTTTCGAGTGCAAGATACCATAGATTCTTCCCAATACTTTATCTACAACAAGTAAATGGATACCAACAATGATCATGGCTTTAGATTTATCGTTGTGGAGAAATGCCATTAATAACATGATAAATGAATGTACACGATGGTGGACCAGGAACAAATCAAAAGCGTATTTACGGATGATGGAGATATTGGCAAATGTTAAAAATACAAAACAAGCGTATCCGATAATACCATAGACATACTTTGGATACTTTGGAATGATGTCGTAACTTGGACGGGCCCAGTAGTAGGCAACAATAGCAACATGTGCAGTGATCAACAGAAACATTAAAGTGGCAAGCCAATTGTGGAAGTACACTGCTCTTTCGTATGTCAAACCTGTAAGGGCAGTGATGAAGTCACCTTTGGTGGCAGCTAAAAACATGGCAGGCATTTGACCCAAACCAATTCTTGCACAACGTTTACCAATGATGAACATTCTAGGTTTGTAGTCGAGGTCTTCTGTTTCGATGTAGCATAATTTACCATTAAGTAGTATGAAGCAAATGGATAATGCTAACAAACTAGGTTTGAAGTAGAAGACTTTCTTGCCTACACGTATTGAGACAGTTGAATTGAGTGTGCCCCAGGCATCAGTAAATTTAAAATATGGTTTGAAGCGGTTGGTTTTGACATATCTATTACTTCTGAAGAATCTTGGTAACCAGTAGAAAACAAACCCATTAGCCACAAATATAAGTAAACTGAACACACATGCTATCCATTGGTACTTTTTATTTCTTTCCAGTTCTAGGAATCTCTGTTCTGCTATGTCTAGAGCCATGATATTAGTTTTAGCCAATCAAGATGATTCAAAAAATAATCAGTGATCCTAATATGAAAGAAGAATATAGTAAAAAAAGAAAACGGGGAGGAAATCCCCTACGAGATATATATATAGAGGTATTCTATAATGCCCAGAATATCATTCATTCTAGTTTGCATCATTACCAAGAATCCAATTATAGCTACAGCCTTGTTTCTTTTTTTTTTTCTCTCTCTCTCTTCATTGTGCTTTGTAATGCCCTTTATGTGGTAAGTCTGAACTCGATATGTGATCGGTGTGCCCGTAAACAATACAAACATTCTATTCTGTATATTTACATTATCACCCGCGACTCAAATTACTGCCAATCATTTGCACAAATTAGTTTAGTTGACAGCCTGGTACGCATATCGAAATAAAAATCCTTACTGATATAAGAATGGACTGTTTTTTCCTTAAAATCTATTGCTAAAGAAAATTGTAGGCACATCTCGTTGACGAATTTCACAGCTTAACGGTCGTTCCTCCGATATCACCGGCAAGCACTACCAAGAAAATTATAATTTAGTACGAGAGAGTGTGCAGTACAAAACAAACATTCGACGCACACTATTGAAATTTACACAAGGCTAGTTGGGATTTTTTTCTTGGAAGCAGAGAAAGAGTGGATAAGCTTGTATTGTCAACGTAGTAACAGAGTAGTCGTGTTATTTTTGCCATTTTTGATTTTATCAGATCAATCAGTGGCTGATTATAGGAGACTTAAACAGACACTTGTACCAACAGTGCAAACATTTTTCAAGATAATATTTTAATTTTATTGTCAAGAGATGACCATAGCCAAGTACTAGTTAGTAGACAAGAATAAGATAGAGCATATACGTGGAAGTGGTTGCCTATTAGAACTGAATTAGCAATACGGACTTACCGCCTTAAGTTTGTGATTCTCATCTCTAAATAATTGAATGAAAAAAAATTCTTGACCATTATTCCAATTGTGGGCTACCTATGATTGGCTACATCTTTCTTGTATTTGATTGCGAGGAAAATAAAAAAAAAAATGAAAATAGGAAACAGGAAAACGGAAAAAGGAAGCAGAAATAGGAAAAAGGAAAAAAAGACGACCATTTTTGCGTATTTACTTTAAATTCAAAGAATAATTGAATCTGTTAATGGAATCACACAAAATTTTTTTTGGGCCCCTGGGATTGTAAGAAGTGAGCTATAGAACATGACACGATTGACAGAACAAACTAAAGAGATCATTGTGATCCTAAGGGCTTGTTGAATGACGTAAATTTGTGGTTGAATCTGGAGTCTCCGTACACCGTGAGTTTAAAATTGTAGTTATCTATTCCATCTGCTCTAGTGATACTTTGTCTCCGCATTCTGCACCGTCTGCAATTTTATTGGTACACCAGTAGCAACTCTCATTTCAAGAGCAAGACAGATAGCGACCGCGGCCTAGCCACCACTGATTGCTTGGCCGGCCAACACTAACCCCTTTGAATACACCCCTGGGCTAGTATTTCCAATTCCTCTTAGCTAGGGTGATTCAAGTGCTGATTTATTAGGTCCAGGGCTCAAACCCTCTATTGTGGTGGTTGGCCGAGACTAGGTAGCAGGCGAGGACCGATAAATTTCTCTACTGGCAAATATCAGAAGACGAACAAATGTTCTACAACGCACAAATCCCCTAAATATCACTCAGAACGGTAAGGTTCTATTCCCAATGCGGTTGTTCTTGCAGGGTTAATTTTAAATTAAACTTGGATGATTAATGTGCTGAAATGGGGTGCCATTGTTCTGAGAGTCAATTTAGTCAAAGTTATGTTTGTATTTGGTGACTTTTGTGGCACACTGTCGGTGACGGGTGGGAAGCTATGATTCGTTGGAATGGGGTATTATTCTGGCGGTGGAAATATATCGGGAGCCACGCACTTGCCATTCTCCCAGAACTAACCATGCGTCTTAGGCTAGACGTCTAAAATGGCTACTCTCCTATTTTCCCATTCTCCGTTGTCTGTTGTCCGTTGTCCATTGTCCATTGTCCGTTGTCCATGTTCGGCTGCAGATGAACATCTGTGTATATATATACCAGGACGTTTTCCCCCATCCTACTGCATTTGCCAGAAACAACTCACTTACACAACACATCCAAGCTACTGCTGAGTCTTGTTTTTTTCCTTGTCGCTACCACCCGCACTTCTCACTCGCTGCTCACTCACTACTCACTCACTACTCACTCACTACTCACTCGCTTTTCACTTTTTATTTTTTCTGTTGCGTACACGACCACCGAGAGAAGCAAGATCAACAAAACGCGAAATGGTCAATTTAGCTTCAATTTTTACCGTTTTGGCACTCACGAGTGCACAATTAATTACCCAACCCATCAAACGTGATGAGGCAGACGCTTATACCCAATACCCGTCAGTTCCGAAAACTGCATCCATAAATGGATTCGCCGACCGTATCTATGCCTTGGTTCCTGATTGTGCAAAGGATTGCTTGAGAGAATCAACAGGAAGCACCCCCTGCCCATACTGGGACACCGGTTGTTTGTGTATCATGCCGACGTTCGCAGGCGCGATCGGAAACTGTATTGCCGACAACTGTCGCGGCAACAACGTCGTTGTCGCCACCAGCTTGGCCTACTCCATCTGCTCCTCTGCCGGTGTATGGGAGCCTTACTGGATGCCCCCAGCCAGTGTCACTACCAGGTTGAACGAAGCCGCTGCTGCTGAACCAACCGACGAAACCTCTTCTCCGCAAGAAGAGACTTCCGCTGTGGAAGAGACCTCTGCTCAAGAGCCACAACACTCGTCCTCTGAACAACCTGAAGAAACCAGTGCTGCTGCACAACCTGAAGAGACCAGTACTGCTGAAGAATCTAGTTCTGCTATTGAAGAAACCTCTGCTGTTGTTGAAGAAACATCTACTGTTGTTGAAGAAACATCTACTGTTGCTGAAGAATCTAGTCCTGCTGTTGAAGAAACCTCTGCTGCTGAGCAAACTAGTTCTGCTATTGAAGAAACTAGTTCTGCTGTTGAAGAAACCAGTTCTGCTGCTCAATCTTCTGCTGCTGCTCAACCATCTAGTGCTGATGAAGAAACCTCTACTGCTGCTCAAGAATCTTCTGCTGTTCAATCATCAAGTAGTGCTGATGAAGAAACATCTACTGCTGCTGAAGAAACATCTACTGCTGCTCAATCATCTGGTGCTGCTGAAGAAACTAGTTCTGCAGTTGAATCATCTACTGCTGCTGAGGACTCTGCTGTATCTAGTGCTGGACAACCTGAAAATACATCTACTGCTGCTGAAGAATCATCTTCTGCTCAAGATGAAACATCAAGTAGTGCTGCTCAAGATGAAACATCAAGTAGTGCTGCTCAAGATGAAACATCAAGTAGTGCTGCTGAAGAAGAAACATCAAGTAGTGCTGTTGAAGAATCATCTAGTAATCTTGAACCGTCATCTGCTGAAGAATCTAGTTCTGCTGCTGACTCTAGTGTTGCTCATGAATCTAGCGCTATCTTAGAATCTAGTGCTGAAGAATCCACTACTGCTCCTGATGAATCCACTGCTGCCCCGGAATCATCTGCAGATGCTACTTCCTCCGCTTCGGAATTCAGTACCACTGAAGAATCTTCTGCTGATGAAACTTCTACTGCTGCTGAATCTATTTCAACTGTACCAACTTCAAGTGTTGAAGACAATGATGAATCCACCTCATTTTCTTCAGAAATTCCATCGGCCACCCCATCTTTAGTTACTTGTTACATTAATGCTGTTGCTGTTGATGAAGTTGATCTTGAAACTGGTGTCTGTGATTTCGAAATTCCAAATGAATTGGAAACTTTCTTCAACTTTGCCTCCGTCAATGATTATGACATCCAATATTACTACGCTCGTGTCAGTGGTAACCAATACACTAATGATATCCGTTCTGCTGGAAGAGTTGTTAGTATCCCAGCTAGAGTTTTATACAACTTGTTCACTCAACTACATCAAGTTCATTTAACGAACACTGGTACACAAGAACAACGTAGGAAGAGAGACGAAGTTGATGATTTTATTGACTCCATTTCTGAAACTGATGGTACCCCACTTGATGTTTATCTTTCTGTTGGTACACCATATCTTCCAGATACTTCTAGTAGTGCTGAATCCGAATATCCATCAACTCAAGAATCTTCAACTGAACCAGAGTCCACTGCAGTGCCAGAATCTTCTGTTGAAGAGGAATCCACCACCGAACCAGAATCAAGTAGTGAACCAGAATCCACTACCGAACCAGAATCAATAACTGAAGAAGAATCAACAACTGAAGAAGAATCTAAGTCAACAGGAGAAACTGAATCAAGTGACTTACCAGGCACTCTTACAGTTACCGAAACTTGTACTGATGATGAAGGTCACGTGACTACTGAAACTGTTATCATCACTTCTCATGTTACTGAATACTGTGAACAAACGTCTGCTTCTGCTAAACAATCCTCTGCTTGTGACGAGCAATCCAGTGCCAAGTCCGAACAAAGCTCTGCCTCGAAGGAGCAAGACAAGGTTGTCACCACCATCTACTCCTGTGAATCGGCCAAGAGCTCTCTTGAATCTGTCAAGTCCAGTGCTGAATCTGCCCACAAGACCGACATTGTTGCCAGCTGTGAAAGTGAATTGAGTTCCATCAAATCCGTTGAGTCTGTTGCTTATGTTACTCTTACTTCATTGATTGAAGTTCAAGAATCATGCATTGCCAAACAAACTTCTTTGGTCGAAGTTCAATCGTCTGCTGCTTCTGTCCAATTGAGTGCTGCACATGCACAAGAATCATCGCGTGCTGTTGATTATGCCAAATCTGCTGTCTCAGAAGCATCCAAGGCTGGTGATAGAGTTGAGACTGTCATTGAACACACTACATTGACTGTTGGACATGATACTGCTGAACAAACTACTGTTGAACAAACTACTGTTGCTGCCGGCACTCACTCTGGTGCTGAATCAGTACAAATTCAAACCAGTACTGTTGGTGAACATTCTACTACTACTTCTCCAGCTGTTGAAGTTGCCAATTCAGCTGTTTCAAGAACCACTAATGCCATTGGTTTGTTGATTTCTACTGGTATTTTAATTGGATTTTTCATTTAGAGTTAATTGATCCTGCCGTACATTTACTTGAAAAAAAAAAATCACATTCTGGAAAGTTTAAATTTTCTTATTAATATTATTATTATTATGTCTACATTTTGTATTTCTTCTCATAATATTTGGGTTATATTTTATTCTTACATTCGGTCCACCTATTAGTTTACAAAGGGGTTTATTCAATTTTCTTTTTATTTTATTATCATTCTGTATTTTAATTATTTTCGGTTTGCATATTTGTAGTTCTTTCATAATGCATATTTCATTTTAAATTTTGTTTCAATTGTAGATTGTTTTTTTATTTGACACCAATGAAGCTCAGTAAATTTTAGTGCTAATTTTGCACATAGTTTGAACAAAAATCAAATACAAAAGAAAAGAAGATTTATTACCAGCAAACTTCAACAACAAAACTTGATTGATATACTAACATGATCTAATTACCCCATAATTATAAACAACTCTAATGTTTTGAACTTGGTAGTTTAGCTAAACAACAATTACACTTTGGAAATTTTTAATTGCCAAAATAATTACCTGTAACATTACACAAAAACATAAAAAAAAAGAAATGTTACAATATCTTACGTAATGAACAATTGATGTAAAAATTAACAAGCTTTTTTTTCCCTCTCTCTTTATTGTACTTTATATATTGTACACTTTATTTTTATTTATAAAATAGGCTTTGTTAGTTAAATTTATATATTTGAACTAACAAATGAAAAGTAAAACAATTATTAAAATTATTTCCCATTTGGTTAGAATCATTAATTTCTTTTCTTCTTAATTAATTGACGTCGTTGGTTATTCTTTAATTTGACTTGCTCTTCCTTTTTATTTATTTTTTATTTAATTTCATATATATTGAACAACCACTTCTTGTTATTCTTCATTTTGTTAATCTTTGCTTCAAGTTTTTAATAACATATAGACAAATATCAAATGGGCAAACGATCGTCTTTTGTTAATAAGTTTTATTCACCATCATCAAATTCATCGGTGTCATCTTCTCCTTTCAAGAAAACTTCGACAAACCCCTATATTACCAAGTGTAGCAAACTTTTGGTTCTCCAATCAAAACATGCTCCTAATCCTCCTGCTCCACCTCCACCACCTCCTAGACCTTACTCACGGTACTCAAGATCAAGCGTATTTAGAGCACCACATCAATTATCCCCGTTAGAAACAAAAAGGTATAATAACACAAAATGTGCACTTTGTCAAGACTTGCTAACAATGACATTATCAGGTGAAGTAATAGTTCTGTTGGAATGTGGCCACATGTGTCATAAAAATTGTTTGAAATTAATGAGTTCAGATGGTCGGGACCTGATTAATTGTGGTGTATGTAACTCACATGCCTTGTATTTTGACGATGATATTGATAATAATTTTGATTTACATATTTCAAATATTCCAAATATTGGGCCAAGCTTCACAACCCCTGAACAATTATCACTGGATTACCAACCAGTAGTTAAACCTACATCAGTATCAACAAAAGCACCATTTACTCCAGTGGATCAAATCGGTGCATCATTTGTAATCAATAATCAACTAGAAACGCCACCATCGTTACACAACAACCCAACCTATGATATCTACAAACCACGTATAAATTGCATTAGTGAAACTAATGAACCAAATTTTGGTCTACTGAATGAGGTTTCATTTGTGCTTAATATTAAATCACCACAAATTTTTAATGATTCTCAAAATATTAAACTTGAAGAGCTCCAATTGAAACATCAAGTACAAGAATTTATCAAGACAACTTTTGAAATTGATAACGAAGTGGGAGAATTGATTATGTTTGATAAATTGGAAATTAGTGTTAATGGAGAAACATGGGATAGAATCACTGCATATTTATTTGAAGACTACTTGTTGTTATATAATACGGACATTTTGGTAGGAATGCTATCCATAACTTCAGATATAAGTAGCATGGATTTTATCAACTCAAAATGTCTCATACTAAACATTGCGAAGGAATCACTCCCAGAATTGCAAATTAGAAGCTCACATGAAATCATAGTAACCAAATGGGAATCATTCATATCGAAATTAATGAAAAGAGAATTAGTTCAATCAAATATTTACCAGTTCACAAACACATGCTGGATCGATTTGGTGGATTATTTTGACATCCCAGAATATTTGGTTGGTTTGAATGGACAAATAGTGAATGGAGAAAATATTCAGAATGCTTCGTTGTGCAAAATACTACCTCCACCAGAATCATTACCATTTAATTTAGTGGTGGCTATATCATTAGTGAACCAATCAAAGCTATCCAATAATGAATACAAACGAGTAATACAGAATATATTGAGGAAAATCTTGAAATCGTTACGACTGTGTGATAAACTAGGTGTAGTATTTGTTGGTGTAGATGGTTTGAGAAAACCAAGTCCAAATGGTATCTACGCTGGTTGTATTGGGCCAGAATGGTCTGGTTGGGAACAAATTATTAATGATATAATCATTGTTCCAAATTCATTTTCAAGTCATTCTCAAGAGATTAATGTTGCCATTGGCAAAGGCAACGAATTATATCCATTTGTGCCAACTACTGAAAAATCAATCAACAAGTTTCTAATATTAAGTTCCAATTCATATTATAATAAGGTAACTGCAATTCCGTTTCACTTGTCAAGACTGATTGAAGCTTTGAGTGAAAAACTATCAATTACTATTATTAGAATAGGTGAAGATTACAACGGAATTGAACAGTTTAAAAGTATTACACAAAACTTTGATACTCCCTTATTAAGATTTGAAGATTATCACAGTTTTTCAAATTCATTGCAATATTTTATACAAGAAATGTTACAGAAAATTTGCATACCTAAGTTAACAATTACACTACAAATGAATAAAGGTGTCAAAATATCAAGTCTCGAAGGTCATCATGAAGTGTCAGAAAAACAAACACTAACACTCAATGTATTGGATATGCTACCTGAATTTGAAAGAAATATAATTTTTAAAGTGAAAGTCGAGGAAGATTTCTTTGATAACTTTGGAAATTCAAATGCACCATTAGTAGAATACACTGGCGTTTGGTTTAAAAACAATCAATTACCTAAAAAAGTAGCTCATTCTAAAATCAAGTTACTCAAAAGTAACCAACCACCATTGACGCCAATGGATATTATCGATGATGAAACCACAAACAGTTTCTCATCAAACAATGATATGATTATCGATATTCCTTTGTTGCCTCCATTATCACCATCAAGAGAGTCATCATTTGCTAAGAGACAAACAGAATTGACAATTATTGATCACTTGGAACGTGCAATAGAAACGGGACACTCAATAGAAGCACAAAGAATTATTAATGCTTGCATAACTTTAGCCTATGGTATTGTCAGGGGTTCCTTACTTACTGATTTTAGTGACGATAACAATGGTATCAATTTGACACACTCAGAAACCAGCGGATTTCATATGTTGGACTGGACCCTTGCGGCAAGAAATCAAAATAATGTCAATGACACGTACATTCTACAATTAGTCGACAGAATGAAATTAATTATCCTGAATTTTACTAACAACCATATGAGTGGGAAATCTTATTGTTTAGATATGATAAATAGTTTAAGCTAAGTATAGTTTGTGAAATTATCTGATAAGTATCGTGTAGTGAGTTGGGTGTAATTTTACAAGCCGATATTAACAAAATCCTGCATATAAACACCAATCGGGAGAGGTATGGGAAGTGTTTAAGAAAGAGAGAGAGAAAAAAAAAAAATAAAAATAAAAATAAAATGGCTGGCTGGCTGGCTGGGTAGGCTGGTTGTGGTTGTCATGGCGCAAAATCAAAAAGTAATTTCAGGTTCCTGGTTTTTAATTTTTTTTTGTTCCTTCTCTCCTTAATTAATTAATGAATTAATTACCCAAAATCAAAATGGAATGTATCTTTGCAAAATGTGGGCTTGGGACATTGGGAATCGGGATGAAATGATTTGCAATTTGTATATATTATAAATAATCACCCATTGGTTCCTAGATATTTTTCTCTTTTTCTTCTTAATTAATAAAAATTTGAATTTTCTTTTTTTTTTTATATTCCTTTTGAATAGGTTCATTCACAACTTTTACATAATTCAAGATAATGTCTTTACAGATAAGTCCCTTTTCCTTAGCATCTAGCGTGCTTACTTTATCTTTAGCTGGAATTGTATCAGGTGCTAATTTAGGTGGTCTTGATACCCCAGTGACAAATACCAAAAATACTGATACCTCCACCACAACAACCGAAGATAACGCTACCACAGAAACTGAGAATAATGATAATAATGGGGATAATAACTCGGACAATGCTCAAACAACAACGGTAGATACAGGGTCTGCTGTATTTATAAATACAGAAACAGGTAATACTGATACAACAACAACAACCACTCAACAAACAAGCAATAATAATCAAAAGACTACTCTGCAAAGTAGTCAACAGCAACAGCAACAACAACAAAGTCCATCGGTGGTGACAGTTACTGCTACTGCACAACAACAGAATTCCCAAAATAGTGCTCAAACAAGCACGGTAACACAATCAGCAGCACAAGCAGGGACAACTTCTCAAAGCGTTCAAGTCACTAAAGTTACAGAAACTCATATGGAAACTCAGACCACACAAATTGTTGAAACCATTCAAGGTGGTGAAACACAACAACAAGATACAACCTCGGGAGAAGGTCGTGGTGGTCAAGTCCAAACTAGAGTAAGTACTTTAACTGCAGCAGTTACTCAAACCACTTTAGTCACACAAACTTTGTTATATGTTAGTGGTACCCAAGCTGAACAAGTGACCACGGTTACTTTACAAACTGCTAGTGAAGTAGCTCCAATTTCTTCACAAGATAGTCAAAGCTCAAGTCAAGGTCTACAGACTACAACTATTTGGTGGACACCTTCTGCTTCAAGACTGGTTCAAGATGGTTCTACAGTAACTGTTAGTCAAGGTAGTTTTGCAGTTACTCCAGTTACTCAAAATGAATCAACAACAATCTGGTGGGTTCCTACAACACAGAGTGGTATGTCAACAGTAACAGTTAGTGGATATTCAAGATCCAACTCTGGCACTAGTTCAAATTCCAATAGTAATCTGAGATCAACTTCTACTTCCAGTGGATCAGATGATGGTAGGGCTACCATTACAACGACAGACTCTAGAGGATCCAGTATTGTATGGATAGCTACTACCGGATCTGAATTTTCATACCAAGACCCATCTGCTTCAGACGTGTCTGATTCGTCATCTGCTTCAACTACAGGAACCTCTGGTGGTTCTAGATCAAGAGGATCGAATTTCCCCGATAGAGATCTTACTTGGAAGAAGACATTATTGATTAGTGGTATTCTTAGTGTGAGTTTGTTTTTAAATATCTTATAAGTTTAATAATATAGAAATAGAGAAATATCTTACTGTCTCCTCTAATCTGTTAGTATCAGCACTTGTCATTTGTAAAGAATGCTTCGTTCCCTGATTGAAAAAAAAAAGTTATTTGTAGCACCGTGCGCGAAACCAAAAGCGGAAAAAAAAAGTGTAAAGTGGGAAAAATTTTCATTTCTCTAATAATGAACCTATAGAAATATATTTAAAGGAACAATTACTCATAGCTCAAAAGGGATTTCTACCTACACCAACAGCCAGTACACTCACTTAAGTCATGATTGAAAATGGGCTGTATACACCTTCAAATGGTACTACAGGGAGGAAAATCCCTACTCCAACTGATAATGATAATGATATGGATATAGATATAGATAGTAACACACAATTACCACCACGATCATCAGAAGATACATTACTGGAAATATCTAAATTAATTATTGATTCGCCAAGGATAAAATTATTAGATTCTATTTCATGTACACATAATCCCTTGTATGAAAACATTATTACCAACTATATTGAAAATAATATCAATTTTCGTAAGAATCCAAGATTATCCAATCCAACCATGCGAAATCATTTAATTGAATTAATTAGAAACGTATTTGGTAGATCATCAATTTTATTTGCCATTGATGTTGAAGCATGGGAATTTAGTACTGAAACGGTTACAGAAATCGGTATTGCCATTTATGATCCTCGAGAACAACAAGTTTCTTTAGTTCCATCAACTATTCATATACATATTAGAATCAAAGAAAATTTAAATAAAACAAATGGGAGATATGTTCCTAACCATGCGATGAATTTTAATGGTAATATAACTTATATTATGTCTCAAACAGAAGCTGTTTATTTTACACAAAGTTTGGTTAATTATTATTTTAGTCAGATACAACAGACTGGATATTCATGTTATTTAGTAGGTCATGATGTGAAAGGTGATGTGAAATGGATGAATTCTTTGGGAGTTAATTTTCCAACGGGTTATCAAACTATTGATACTAATCATTTATGTAGGATTTCTCATGGAAGAGCAAATATTAGTTTGAAAAAAGCACTTGAAGCAGTTGATATCCCATATGCTTATTTACATAATGCTGGTAATGATGCTTATTATACACTTTTGTTAGCTATGAAATTATGTGATCCACAATCTAGAGTAAGGTATGGATTAGATATATTTGTTCCTGACGAGAACCAACAAATGCAAGATTCATTGACACCGGAAGAAAAGAAAGCAAGAAAAGAAGAGAAAAAGGCACGAAAGGAAGCAAATCGAAAGGCAAGATTAGACGCTCGTTCAAGAGGTGAAGAATATATACCTCCTTCTAGACAAAAGCAAGAACAAGATAAGACAAACTCACCTAAAAAGAAGAGAAAGAAATTACCCAGAGGTGTTACATGTGAAGCAATTGAATTGAATAGTGCATTAGAAGCCACATCGGTTATATTTAGATGATACTACTATCTTGATCCATTATTAATCGTTCAAATTTTGTTGCCATGTTTTGTAATTTCAACAACAATCCAGCAGCCAAACCCTTTAATTTTTCATCTATTAATTGATCCCATGATATTGATACCCAATTGCGAATAAAGATGAGTTCATCATTATAATTCTCAATCAAAAATTCACTGTCAGATATTTCAAAAACCAATAAAAGACCAGAAATTATACTTTCAACAATGGGTACTTGTTCCAACGATATTTTCCTTATAATTGAACAATTCAAAACAATAATTTCTTTAATCATATCATCAAGTTGCGTTGATGAAGGATAGGCACAGTAAAGCAACAAGTTCAATGTTTTCAAATAATGGGCAATAAACACCGGTGAATAATGGCCAATATCAATAGTTCCTGCTTCATACCAGACATTAAGCAATGGAAAGAAGAAATTCCTACCAATGATTTTATAGAAATCTTTAATAATTGGTGTACCTTCTTGTGATTTTGTTGGTTTCTTGAGTTTTGCAGAGATTCTCACTAATTTACCGGCACCCAAGATCTCATCTTGTGCTGCACTAGATGCTTCTTGCATTAATTCATTTTGTAAATTATTCAGCAAATAATCAATATATTTGTCTCCACCTTCTAACAGAAGATATTTCTTGTGTAAGTTTTCCGGCAACATTTTTGTTGCAAATTGAGTAGTCTTGAAAGATTTTGAAATGGCATCATCTTTGAAACCACGTAATTCTCTTGCTGCTAATGTTGATGCAGATAGTATCATGATTCTCTGTTGTAAAGAATAGTCACCCGTTAGTAACAATTTAAACATAAAGAAGGTGATGCTAGGAGTAGTAGCAACCACAGCTACTATATTTGCAAGTTTCAATTCCGGTAAATCTTTATCATCAAAATAGTTATCCAAAGCAATTAGCTGGGTTAAAAGATCCTCCAGATAGAATTCAACCTCTGTGCCATTTTTGGCCTTTTGACGAAGTAATGTTGGACCTTCAAGTAATGCTTTTCTTCTCATTTCATAAGCGTTGCTCTTGCTTGTATCAACAGTGAGATATTCTAACAAATCCTTCACATAAATAGGATCAGGGATGTCTGCTTTAGGAGGAAGTGTATCGTCATCAGATTCATCATCAGAATCGGCCTCAACTGGTGAAGCATCTTGTTGAGTAAATGTAGGTGGGGTTTCTTGTTTCTGCGGAGCTTCTAATATCTTCCATGACTCACCTTCTGTTAGACGAGTTAGGGGAAATGGTTCTTGAATTAAAGAAGAATATGCATCAACTTCAGTAGACAATTTGAAAATTTTCTCTTCACCGTTTAATTCACAAATATAGTCAGCTAAAACAACACCTAATGCCTTTACATTATTTGAAAAAGACAGTAGTCTATTACTTATAGCATCTAAGAAAACTTTATTCTTGGGAAGTCCTTTAGTAAAATCCGAACCCCTTCTACGTGATAGAAGTTGCATAATCATAAATGTTCTTGATTCTTGAATAGAAATTGGTTCGTTTTTTATGTATGTTTGTTCTGACCATTTAGTAAGAAGTTTCAAAGTCATAGTGTCTAGTTTTGAGCTAGGATAGTTGAATAGTAATGCAGCAACAAGCAGTACCGATGATTTATTTGAGCTTTGGACGACAAATTCCAATGTAAACTCATCAATTTGATCAAATGTAAACAACAATAAATTATACATCCCCATTACATTAGATTCATTGACTATATGGACAAGAAAATCAGTGAAGAACTTCTTAGTGAATTCCCTCTTTTGGAAACTCTTCATTGCTTGAAAACTGGTTGTAAAATAATTCCAATATTCTTTCTGGAAGAAAATTTGACACACTTGGTTGAAAGAACCACTTCCGAATTTAAATACTGAATTTAGAAAGAGTTCTATATTGGAAATCTGGGTGTCTGATTCATACAAGATTATTAATGATTTGGTCAAATAATCAATATAACTCTCAGAAGATTTGAAAATCTCATTAGTAATGTCAGCATTGGTAATAAGAATAGCCTCATTGACAATTGATAACACTTTTCCTTTAAAAATAATCTTATCAATTTCTTTTAGTTCAAAAGGTTTAGCACGTGTAACCAATTTGAGAATTAAATCTTTAGTCTGAAATACGTCTTGTAAAAATCCAAGAAACCGTTTCAATAATTCCAATTTATCGTTTATTTTCCCAATAGTTGATATTCTATTCAACAAGTTCCCAATCCCAATTAATGAATGAAATGTCTCTAGTAAAAGATTCTTGGATTTCTTGGGGAGTGAAGTATAGATCTGTGGAATGGTGAAATCAAGTAACGCAATGATATACGGAAATGATGGTGTATGTAAATTACGTAATAATATATCCTCCACAATTTCCAAAGAAGGCTGATTCTTCAATTGTTCAATATCACCATTCATTATCAAGGATTTGTAGTTGACGGAAAAAGAATCGGAAACAACCCAGGGTAACCCATTTTAAATAAAAGAAAAAAAAATAAGACAAATACGAGAAGCGATGAAAAGAAAAATTCTTCAACTGGAAATTACTCCCCATGGCACCAATCTACCCTTTTTCCCATACTCAATGTTAAGAACAGTTCAAGGTATCATGGGTCGAAAAACTAACTATGGTATGGCTCCTAAGGGATTTACAACCCAACAAAGATTTACTCTGAATAAAGTGGTGTATAAGAAACCATACAATAAAGGGAAGAATCATCAATCATATCCACGTTATACTCCAAAGAAAATCACAAACGTATCGGAGTTCCCACTATATGAACCAAAAGTACAAGAACCAGTTTCTGAAAGTTTACAACTATTAAAAGATCATATTTCTCAAGGGAAACCTCTTAGTATTCAAGACTATTTCCAAAGCACACATTTTGCATTTGCTGAAGAGAAGCAAGAATCATCGTTGAGGTTCTTGAAAAATAATATCGAATTGATAAATTCAGGTAGACCTTTGATTGCCATGGATTGTGAAGCATATGAAAGAGAACATCTGTCAGTTACTGAGATTGGGATTGCCGTCATGGAAAATAACGGAGAACGAATTCCAGATATCAAAACATACCATGTTGTTGTTCTGGAACATATTGATAAAAGAAATTCGAGATATGTACCCGATAAAAAGGACAATTTCATGGGAGGAACATCATTGGTGATGACTAAACAGAAATCAAGAGAATTTTTACAAGGAATATTGGAGAAATATATTGAAGGAAAAGATGGGATATTGATTTGTCACCAAGTATCATCGGAGTTGAAATATTTCCGAAGTATCGGACTAACTCATCGTCAAGATATCAAAACTCTTGATACTATGAGTCTACAACAAATCAGTAGATTAGGTGGTAATTCCTTATGGGCAACATTAAGATTGCTTGGTATTCCATATGCCCATTTGCATAATGCTGGTAATGATGCTTATTTTACCTTATTAGCTGCATTGGCATTGTGTGATCCCGTGACCAGGATCAAGAAGAACTTGGATATTTATAGTGAATCACAATACAAGGGTAAGAAAGGATCACATAAAGATGAAGCAGAATATGTTGTTGTTGAAGATGTCCAGCTGTTGATGAAAAGTTTATAGACAATGATACTTAGGAATAGACAACCATGAATTTTTTTTGTGGAATCGTAATGTTTTGCAATTTGCTGTATGTGGTTCAATTGAATTGAACTGCCATTGCGTCAATGTTTGTATCACTTGCTTGTTTGGGTTCCATTTTTTCGTTGTTGTTCGTTTGCTTTGTTTTGTTTATCTTTTGCGGCGACGCTAATAAAAAACAAGGAAAAATTGATCAACCATCACTTGTGATGTAATTTTTGTTGTTCTCTCTCTTTTTCTTTTTTATTAATTTATTCTGTTTTCATTAAAAGCAACTACAACTTCGTCTTTTCTTTTTATCATAGGTTTTCTGATAATATCTCATAACGTAGCCTCTTCTAATATTCATTTCGGGACATTTTCTTTACGTTTTCATAGAGACTAATCACTGGATATCTATTCTAACTTTCAGTTTGCTACAACCATGTCACAAGAGGACGACGAAACAACTTCATTGATATCAAGACGCCCATCCCATTCATTTTTGGATACCCCGATCGGGTCATTCAAGGGACCAAACTCATTACATAATTTTGCCAACTCATTCACAAGAGCTCAATCTTTTGCTGCCAATAAGATCGACAATTCTATCAATAAGAAAAGATCTTTTTTCATTTCTCCTTCATATACCGGAGATCAACGTCATAATGGAGGAGTAATTGAAGATGATGAACCAGACCAAAATTTTGATCCAGATTTAATGGTCCCGTCATACCGAGGTGAGAGATTAAGTACTGTCATGCATGATATTCAAAATAAAAATCAATTATTTATGAGTGGGGGAAATAATTTAGATCTGACGATGCATCCAAATAATGACGTATTCTACCACGATGATGTGGTTAATGCATTGAATGAATCAAGATCAAGACAAAACTCAGCATTTGGATCAAGCTCACAATTTAAACATAGATTATACGCGGCTCCTTCATTTTCTAGTTTCAGATCATCCATTTCTGCAGCTACAACACCTTCTATATTCCAAGTGAGAAAAGTAGAAGATGAAGATGGGAACGTGGTGACTGTTTTGGCAGGTCAATCAACAGCACCACAAACTATTTTCAATTCTGTCAATGTGTTAATCGGTGTCGGATTGTTGGCATTACCCGTGGGTATAATGAAGGCAGGTTGGGTGTATGGTATCCCAATTTTACTTATTTGTGGTTTAACTACATATTGGACCGCAACGTTGTTATCGAAATCCATGGATACTGATGAAACTATTATGACTTATGCTGATTTGGGTTACGTCTCATATGGTCCAGTAGCAAAAGCTATTATTTGCTTACTTTTCACGGTTGATTTATTAGGTGCCGGGGTGGCATTGGTGGTTTTATTCAGTGATTCATTATATGCATTGTTGGGAGATGAAGAAGTTTGGACCAGTACAAGGTTTAAGATTTTAAGTTTCTTTGTTTTAACTCCGTTTACGTTTATGCCCTTACCTGTATTGTCTATTTTCTCATTGTTAGGGATCCTTTCGACCATTTCAATTACCATTTTGGTTATGGTATGTGGGTTCCTTAAACCAAATGCTCCTGGATCTTTATTAGATGTCATGCCTACTAATTTATACCCTAAATCCTTTATTGACCTTTTGTTAGCTATTGGTATTTTGATGGCACCATTTGGAGGACATGCCATTTTCCCAAATTTGAAAACTGATATGAGACATCCATATAAATTCACCAAGACCCTTGGTACTACATATGCAATCACTTTAATTACTGACACATCGATGGGTGTTTTAGGGTTTTTAATGTTTGGCCAGAAATGCAGCAATGAAATTACCGATACTTTATTAAAAACCTCAGGATATCCACTCTGGTGTTATCCATTAATTAGTGGGTTGATTTGTATGATCCCATTAGCTAAAACCCCATTGAATGCTAAACCAATTATCTCAACTTTGGATGTTTTATTTGGTGTTTCAACCATCAGTGCTAGCAAATTCAGAGAAACTATCAATACCCTTGGTAGATTGATTATCAGAATAGGAGTCAATGCTGTTTTTGTCATTTTGGCTATTTTATTCCCTGAGTTTGACAAAATCATTGGTATGCTTGGTGCTTCTATCTGTTTTATCATTTGTATTATTTTACCATGTTTGTTTTACATTAAATTATGTGGATCCAAAATTCGTGGTTTTGAGAAATTCACAGTAATTTTTGCAATCATTGTTTCTATCATATTAGCAGTTCTGGCCACCTGGGCTGTTATATTTGATTAATAATAATAATAATAATAATATTCATTATAATCATTTACACTATTGTTATTGCCGTCGGTTTATCGCAGCCACTTGCCTAATTGGGAAACCCGGTATGATAGAATGGGGAAAATTTTAGATGAACTAATTTTAATATGATAAGGCAGAAGAAAAAAAAATTCACGCTACTATTTGCGTTATGAAAATTGTCATTTTAGACACGACCATATAATTAGACCAATGATATATGTATTATATATAATACTTCAAATATGGACCTAAATCCTGTTTTCTTTATATATTTTCTTTGTTTTATACTTCTTTTTGCATTTTATAAATATTTGAACATTAATATAGACTTTCCACTAGAGCAACATAATGTATATTCCTAAGAAGTATTTAGATGAAGATTGGGAACAAGTTGAATACTTGATCAAGAATTATCCACTAGCTACACTTGTCACCACTGATAAGGATGGAACAATAATTGCTAATCATATACCATTTTTTCTTAATGAAGATAAAGAAACTGGTAAGAAATATTTAATTGCCCATATATCTAAAACCAATCATCAAATACCTACATTAATTGATTCAAATAATGTATTAGTTATATTTCAATCAGTTGATTCATATATTACTCCAAATCATTATCCAGGTAAACAACAAACTCATAAATTTGTACCAACTTGGGATTTTGCTTCAGTTCATATAAATGGGAAATCTAAAATTATTGATGATTTTGAATTTGTTCGAAATCAATTAAATAAATTAACTAATCAACAAGAAGATGGGAAAATTGATTCTTGGAAAGTATCTGATGCTCCTGAAGGATATTTGAAAATTATGCAAAAGGCAATTACTGGTTTACAAATTGAAATTTTATCTACCCAATGTAAATATAAATTTGAACAAGGTATGAAAGATCAAGAAATTAAAGGTGTTATTAAAGGTTTAAAAGATGAAGGTAAAACTGAAATTGCTACTCTTGTAGAACAAACAAATATTAGAAAACAAAACTCAATTGCTTAATATGTTGGTTAAATAAATGGATACTTTGCAGTAGATATATATATATATATATATATATTTGATGATAAACTAATAGTACAGTTCTTTTTTTCTTTTATTTGATAGAAATATCAATTGTTCCATTTTCATTCATGAATTGATTAATAAGGATTAAATCTGGCACCACCTCTTCCGCCTCTGAAACCACCTCTTCCTCCTCTACCACCTCTACCGCCTCTACCACCTCTGAAGCCACCTCTTCCACCTCTACCACCTCTGAAACCACCTCTACCCCTCACATTAATACCAGGAATATTTGTTCTTTTAGCCAGAACTTTTAATTGACGTTCTCTAAATGTAGATCCATCTAAAGTATCAACAGCTTTTTGAACTGATTCAGCATCAACAAATTCTAAATATGCAAATCCTTTAGCTTGTCCAGTAATTTTATCAGTCATTATCGTTACTCTACTAACTACACCAGCACTTGAAAAATGTTGTTGTAATTCAATTGGAAGAGTACCATAATCAACATTACCAATATATATAGATCTTGAATCAGAATCTCTTTTTTGTTCATCTGTAAGAAAACTAACCCCATTATTAGTTGATTCAGCTTGTAATTGTTCTCTTAATTTAGCTGCTTCTTGTTCAACTTGTTCCATTTTATTGGAATAATCTTGTCCATCATCATTATTATTAGTGGTGGTTGGATCAATTTGTATTTGATCAGGAATTTGTTGTTGGTTTTCAATAGGCACTTGATCTGACATGATGAATTAATGTATCGTTATATGAATGTATTTGAGTAATCTATAAAGTTCGACAATAATATCTGAAGAATGGACTCTATGTTGACAATTTCACTGTTTGCTTTCTGTAATTTGTCTTCTCTGCTTTTTTTTTTTTTTTTCGTCTTCTTCATTTTCTTCTTTCTCTGTGCAAATGAATAATTTTTTTTTGTCTGTCTGTTTTATCCAAGAGTGTTACACAAAGAACCAGACAGTATTTGATTTACAACAAAGTCTACGATTGATTCAAGATCATGTATGATAAACAAGTATATATTTGCTTCTAATAAATCAAACAAGATGCAATGTGGAATAAATTAGCTTGCTATTACTCTCTTTTTCCCTAATAGCCTGGGATATTTCTTTCTCGATTTAAAGTACTTCTAATATTTCCAATATCTCGAGGTAATGTAGTACTACCATTGGTTCCATTGATACTATTTGTTGTGGAGCCATAATCTGGTTTTCTAATTTTCTTCTTTCTTTTCATGTGACTTGGTAAAAGTGCATCTGTTTCGGTTCTCAAGACATCAACATCCGTCTCATATCCTCTATCATACGGAATAAATTCGTCTTCGTCCGTCAATACACTCATAAATCCAGAATCTGCTCGAGGAGATTCCATATCATCTTTATCGGATGATTTCTCCCTTTTCCCAAGACAAAATACCAACCCAACCATTATACCACCAAAAAGCATCAATCCTAATATGACACCAGCACCAACACTTACCCATCCCAAATGAACATGCAAAAAGTTATCACCCCGTTTAGGTTCATTAAACCATTCAAGATTTAATGGTTTTTGGAGTAAGAAAACACATGATAAACTATCTGTGTTGTTGTCCCCAGTGTATAGTTTAGTACAACCATGATTTAATAAAACAACTTCATGATCTTTGCTATACGACTCTGTGGAGGTACCATTCAACTTATGAAGTTGCAACATAACTTTGTTCGTATTTGGTTTATGTTTGCATACAAGACCACCTTCTGAAAAGTTTGTTCTAATCACCGAATTATTATATCCAGTGTCATCAATACAATTCAAAAGCTTGTGAACTTCTTCATTTGGAATTAAATGTAAATCAACAAATTTGAGGATATCCTTAAAGGAGGTAGTGATGTTAAAATCTTTCAATGATTCAGCAGTAGGAATCAACAACGAATATGGTTTCTTACCCACGATAGATTTGTGGATATTTGGATACATCTTTATAATATCCCACATAAAATGATCGGGGAAATTGGAATCAAATGTTGTTCTAATCAACTCTTCAATTGGAATTTCAAACGAATCAGGGAAAAGTACCTCATTGATGACATGTATAACACCTTGCAGGAATAGCAAATCAGAATTCAATTCGACATCAAGTGCTGTATTATTGTAGTACAACGAGTTTGGAGTTTCTAGAACTGACGATTTTTCCAACAACACAGAATCGCCATTTAAACTAGACAACTTTGTGCTTGAGTTAAAATCAGAATACACCAATCCTTCAAGAAACAATCCTTTCATTACCGATTGGTGAATTTTAGGATTATTCTTCAAGTAGTTTTGTACTAATCCCAAATTGGTCCACAAATTCTTAAATTTAGTAGTTCCACAAGGCAAGAAAATGGTGTATCCTTTGTTGTTGTCATCCAATGAGTACAAATCAAACGCGTTGATATATTCCAATGTTTTCAAACAACTTGTTCTATCAATTTCAATACTTTCCAAATGTCTGTACACTGCACCACTGGATATCAAATCTCCTAATGAATGTTTGAGATTGGTTGGTGGTAATATCTCACCATTAGCAATGAATATAGAAGTATCATTAGCTATCTTTAGATGATTTAATATACGAACATCATCATTGACAGTAACTGTTTTCGTTCCATGTGATGCAGATAATTTCAATTTGTAACATCCTCCTATTCTTTTATGAGAACACAATTTTGTATCAAGCAATATGTGGACATCATCTTGTAAGTCAAAAGAGGAATTAACAAATTGATATAACAAGTTTTGTCTGGAACTAAACGATTTGATCGATGGTTCACTGATATAAACATCCACATCTGTTATTTCATTATCATCGTCATCATCATCCTCTGCGTCATCTCTATCTTCAAGATTCAAAAACACTGTCTGTTGAGCAGTTGATCCATCAATCAAATAATCAAGTGAACGGAAGTAAAGTTCCTCAACAAAATTAGAATAATGTAACGCATACAACGCCTTTCGGGGAATCATTTCAACCACAGGGATGGATAACTTTTCAAAAAACAGAATATTTGCATCAAAAATATGAATGGCACCATTTGAGAAAACGTGTGTACTGTTTGAAGTCACACCGTCAACTGTAAGATGATGTTTCTGCAATTCAAACTTGTGGGAGATACCATATTTTGATTTTCTAGATTCACCAGTACCATTTTTTCCAACCACTAGATCGGAAAACATGAGATTTGTCAACAAGTTGTATATATCATGTCTGACTTCATCAATTGAATCGGTGGTAGATGAATATGTATCTAGTTCATCATTCGCCAAGTAATAATTCAACTGTAACTCCGACAAAGATTGTTTCACAAGTTCATTGCTGGGTATCAATATTGTCTGAGTGCCATTAAGAAATTCCTCACATGATTTTGGGAGTATTCTTGGGAGATCTTTCTTTGGTTTCTTTTTCTTTTTCTTTTTGTTGCTCTTACTCTTTTCTGATACCATTTCTTCATCCACAAAGAGCAATTGAAACATTTTGGTGAATAATGATATTTCCAGATTGGTGCTATTCATTAGTTCTTGACACATTGTTGGTTTAATAGGTAATAAATGATCAATTCCTTGTATGTAAGAATATTGATGTTTTGCAGAAATATCTTCATCAACAATACTGGCAACTTCATCAATTACGTATTCCAAACTTTCCAAGTCAGGACGTACACGGATCAGGTAATATGTTGATTTGTCAACTTTATATAATGTATCAAATACCCTTTCATCTTTGTCTAAATTTCCAACTAGTAGTTTTTGATTAACGACATATCTTTTCAATGCGTTATTTTCCCAATCTATACCTGTTGTGCCAACAAATGCCAGATTTATTGGTGCCAATAAAGTTACATTCTCTAATTCATTCAAAAGGGGAACCATACCCTGTCGTTGCAAAACACGCAAGAAATATGAGAATTCTGGTTCGCTAGACAACACATCGATAATAGTTGACGGCGTGGGTATCGGTTCTAAAGATACAGTGGATGTTGTTGTAGTTGATGTAGATGTAGATGTAGATGTAGATGAGGATGAGGATGTTGTTACTGAGGTTGTTACTGAGGTTGTTGTTGTTGTTGCTGAAGATGTTGTTACTGAGGTGGTTGTTAAAGACGTTGCTGTTGCTGTTGGTGTGGGTGTGGGTGTGGATGTGGATGTAGTGGTTAAAGTGGAAGAAGATGACAGTGTCACTTCCTCACCTGATACCAATACAGATGAATATATTATCAACACCCATAGTATAAAGATCATTCTTGATGTTTGTACTGGTTGCTAATAATTGTGTAATCAGTGTTGTCTGAACGACAATCAAAATCAAATACAAAAAAAAAAAATTATATAGTGGATAATAGCTATCAGCTTGTGTTAGCCTAGTGTGTAGTATTCTCAATACATAATAATAGTACCCGCGAGACACACGAGACATAGTACTGTAAAAGGGACGGAGGAAATTATTATCCAGGGACACGCCTCGCCTCCATTGCCGTGTATTAATTGGTTGGTAATCGCACACGCCCTCACGTAATGGAATAATTTTTTTTTTTTCTTTTTTTCTTGGTATTTGTTTATCCGTTAACGCTGTGATAACAAGGAATCGAAAACAACATCACTAAACATGTCATCATCGCTGGGTCTTGAAAGGATACCTAGTACCCAAGAGGAACGATTACAACGAAGAAGAACCATCGAAAGTGAACTAAGTATCGCTGAAGAAGAATCACTTTCCAGTGCTTTACCTGAGGGATTTAAATATGAAAATGAAAATGAGAAACCTCCTAAATCTAAATATGTCATTTTTGTGAAAACTCAAAAATACTATCCTGTGATACTCAATATAGTACATGGATCAATATGGGGAGTCTTGGTTAGAAAAGGGTTAATGGCATTGACATCTTATAAAGGTTCTTTTCTATCTGGTGTAATTTGGGCCAATTTTACTGCTTGTATTGTAATGGGCTTAGCCATTGACGGTGAGAATCTTTGGCTAAAATTACTTGAAGAAGATGAATATTCAGCAAAGGGGGCAATACCAGTATATACTGGTTTAACTACTGGATTTTGTGGGACAGTTTCATCATTTTCTTCAGTTATGTTGGAAGCATTTAATAAAGCTGCCGATACTGAAATCGGTGTTTACTATCAATATCCAAATGGAGCTTATGGTATAATGGAATTTCTTGCCGTTGTATTGGCACAATTTGGAATGTCTGTTATTGGATTTCATATTGGGAAACATATACTGGAAATGATGGATAAACATTTACCACAACTTGACAAGAAAACTTACAAAATGTTAGAATATTTGTCAATGGCTACTGGAATTGCATTGGTTATTATTACATGTGTTTTGTTAGGAGTCAAGCCTCATGGTGCTTGGAGAAGTTGGACATTTTCCATGTTGTTTGCTCCACCAGGTGCTATTTTAAGATACTATTTGTCAAAGTATTTAAACTCCAAAGTGGCTAATTTCCCCATGGGTACTTTTGCCGCTAATATCCTTGGTAGTTTATTATTAGCAGTATTTAACTTGCTCGGAAGAGGAAAACTACCAGGTAATAATAGAAGAATAGTAAATCATGTCATGGGATGCCATGTATTGAATGGATTAGATGATGGTTTTTGTGGAGCATTGACTACTGTTAGTACCTTTGTTGCTGAATTGTTTGCCTTGCGTACATGGTTTAGTTATAGATATGGTATTTCTTCAATAATGGTTGGATTTGCCATGTTTATCTTGATTCTCGGTTCATATAATTGGACAGTAGGCTTAACTGATCCGTACTGCAGTTGAGCACAATAATTTCAATGAGCATATTTTATATTCTGTAATAATAATCATAATAATACTACTACTAATAATAATAATAATATACAGTATATTAATAGATGATAGATGATTAGCCAGATATCCGAAACACTGGTAGTATTGTTCCGTAGATCTAATGTGTGCGATTGCTTGAAAACCGTTGATTGAAAATTTTGTGTAAAATGAGCAAATTATCATCAACCCAAATAGTAATTAGAATACACCAAGTAAATTTGCTCAGATTACTAATAACCTATTAAATACACTCTTATTGATAATGTCCATCAAACCGTATCTCATTCTCTCCTAAGCCAATAAATAATATCCAATTCTTATTATTCTTCTGTCTCAGTATATTTTTTTTTTAAGCGAAGAATTTTTCATTGGTTTGTATTATATAAAAAGGAGACTACAATCCCTGAATATCTCCTCCCAATTGAAAATTCTCATATTCCATTAGATTAAGACAACCCATCAGATAGAAATGTTTTCCAAAAGAAGTGTAACTTATAACGGATTAGATTGTTTGGCAGACATGTCAGATCCAAGATATAAAGAGTACAAAATGCAACTGCAAGCAGAAATCAGTTGGATGAGTCAAACCAAATATGCCAAATATACTGTTTATTTTGGTGTTTCAACTATATTTCTTGCAACCATTAAACATCTTTACTATAGATATAGAGATTTAAGATATAAATCTAAACAATCTTCAAATACTGGAACTTCTTTAATCGATGTGTTTACTTCATATTGCCGTTATTTTGGTTACAAACAAGTACCTGAATGGTTGGTATTCTTTTCTGTTCCAAATTCAATTAGTTCTGCCCTGTATATGTTTTTATCGTCACTTTATTTATTCTGTTATTGTTTAGTTCCTCATTTTTGGTATAGAGGCTGTGCTGGATTTGGATCTCCTCCATTAGGTGTAAGAGCAGGGTTAATGGCTACTGCATTGACGCCTTTCATTTATGTCTTGGCTGGTAAATCAAATGCTATTACATTGTTAACAGGAATAAGTTATGAAAAATTAAATACTTTCCATCAATATGTTGGTGTTGCTGCTTTTGTATTGGGTATTATTCATACTATTCCATTTGTTCATCAATCATTAGCTGAAGGTGGAGCAAATCGTCTTCATCAAAGGTTTTCTAATGAATTTTCATACTATAGTGGTATTCCACCATTGATTCTTTTGGGTTTGTTGTGCATTTTATCAAAAGCATGTATCAGAAAATATGTTTATGAATTATTTTTACATGCTCATTGGATGATGGGTATTGCTTATTTTGGTACATTGATATGGCATATTGATTCTTTGTTAAATGCAGATGATTATATGTGGGGTGCTTTAGCATTTTGGGCAGCACAAATATTATATAGAATTTTGTTAAAAACCGCATTTAAACCAAGTTCAATGTTTTTAAGATCACGTGAAGCAAGTTTGGAGAAAATTGGTGATGGTGTTTATCAAGTAATTGTTGCAAATACTAAAGGTATTTCATGGTCACCAGGTCAGCATTGTTTTCTTAGATTTGTTGGTGTTAGAATCCTTGATAGTCATCCGTTTTCTATTGCTTCCATGAAGGAAAATCCCAGTGGTATGAAATTTATCATTAGAGCTCAAAATGGGTTGACTAAATCACTTTATAAAGAATTGGATAAACAAATAATAACAAATAAAAAGGTATATATTGATGGTCCATATGGTGGTACTTTTAGAAATCCAAAGGCATTTGAAAAAGTTGTATTGGTAGCATCGGGTACTGGTGTCACTGCTACATTACCATTTTTAACATATTTAACCTCCGGTGAAGCTAACACCATAGTGAAGAAGGTATCATTTGTTTGGATTGTTAGAAAATTGCAAGATATAAATTGGATTAGATCTGAGTTGTTGGAATGTCAGAAGTTAGCTGGGAATAAAGTAGATATTCAAATTCATGTTGTTGAAGATGGTAATCCTGTTACTGAAACCAAAGTAGATTTGGAGAAAGAAATCTCAAGTGAATCGAGTCATGATTCATATGATGAATTTTCTGTTAATTTTGGAAAACCATCAGTATCTGCTATATTAAAATCGATGATTGGTGGATTTTCTAATAGAAACATGATTGTTTGTTCAGGTAGTGATTCAATGAAACGAGAAGTCAGTCAAACTGTTTCTGAACTCCAAGCTTTAGTATTCAACAATGATAGATATACTTCCAACGTTGAGGAAATTTACTTACATACTGAAAGTTTTTCCTGGTAAATAGGAGAAGTATAAAAAAGTAATACACAAAATTATTATTGTTCAATTTAGTAAATGATCTGTAATACAATCAATGAACGGAATATCCATTGTGGAAAAACTTGTTGAACAGGGGAGTGGAATAAAGATTGAAGTACGAACTATCCTATAGTGGGGTTCTTTTTTTTTTGGGGAACAATAACATTGAAAATTTCTCCTTAATTGGGGGATGTTAACAGTTTGACTCTCTCCTATTATCATAAATGAATGGAGGTATAAATGCACAAAATAAATTACCTCAATACGGGAAAATTATGGCTCGTAGATAGGTGGCGCTTTGTGGTGGAAAAACTTAGACTCCTCATCATTCTTGTCTGGGTTGAAATAATATTTAGTTACCGACGAATTGTATTTCACCGTAAAACAAATTGTATTGGGAGATAGCAACCTATCGATGATTCATTGATTGTTTAATTTACTAACTACGGTTGTTGAGTTGTTCTGTTTTGACTAAACGAGTCATTCGATTTTCCTGTTGAAATCGCCAATAATTTTTAATCAAAGTGGAGAATCCTTTGTACTACCAATGCAAGCCATAAAATAAGAAAAATTTTTCCTTTTTGGTTGAATGTGCAATATGTTGCCATGAAATTATGTACATACTCCACTTTTTGCTAATATGTATTACGTTGTGATTGAATAACAATACGGATTAAATATTCTTGAGTTTACCCGATATTGCATGTCATATATACATACACAAACTTATTCCTTTCATTGTCAATTTTTTAGTATTAATTAGATATTCCCCGCAAGTAGTTTTTCCTGACACACACACATACACACACTTGGAGGAACTATTTAAAGAATTTTTTTGTGTTTTGTCAACAAGGAAGAACTACGATTATTGTTGGTAGACTTTATACTTTGTATTTCCAGTTAGACATTACTAAACAATACCACGGCAATTTGAGATTATTCCTTGGAAGTCATTTAATACCTCACACACTTCGGTATATAGGAGGAGTGACGATTACATTCTGATGCACTAAATTCCAGACATGACTAATTTCAGAGTCAACTAATTAGTCTATATTATTATGTAGTGCATGGTTATATGTAAGAGCTAATCCACCGTGTCACTTCCATACACAGATAGGATTTCTTTCATCCTATTGGTTGGAAAAAAAAGACCAAGCAAGGATTAATCTTTTGTGGTTTGACAATAGTACTTTCTTGACCCCACAAATTTAGTATGCAACGCGCTAATTGTAAATTAATCCAGCCTTGCCACGCAAGGGCAGAAGATGAAATCCTTTGGTTTGCTATTCTCATATCATGCAAATAACAACATGATTCCGAAAATAAAGTTGTAAACATTGATTTCAAATTTAGAAGGAATTACATCTATCTGTTTGTATGACCAATACAGATGGTTCTTTTTTTGATAGTACAATATATAACTTTTATGAGACGCTACATGTAATTTCATCACTGAATAGTTGGTTAGTTGTTTCGTTTCAATTTTCACACAAGGCGGAAAAACAATTGTTCCAGATTCCGTGGATTTTGTGTCATTAATTTTGAATTTTCGGAACAAAACAAAACAACACATAAAAATTGATATTGAACACACGAAATCCAGTTTGTTTAATAGCTTATTGTTGTTATCCTTACATTGTTTTTGAAGTTGCGGAGTAATAATTTATGCGATTTCTGATTTCTAGTTTGTGATTAATATTTTAAGGTGATGAGATCATAATATTAATAATATGTGTGATTGGAGACTTACTATCATGAGATTAGAAAATTAAATGAGATTTCACATGAACTCACATGACTGACCTCTAATGAATCTTCGCAATGTTTTATAGAATAATAATATGATAGTTGGGTGGTCATTTAATGATTCCAATAATAATCTACAGAGCAACAACTGGAGGACGATTTGGGATAAATTGGAAACAGCCGTCTCTGCGTATGAGCCAAGAAAAAACTCCAGACTTTTGTGTAACAAATTATGTGAAGGTTCAATTTTTAGTTTTCCTGTTAATTTCCTGCATAACTCGAATACGTTTGCAGTCGAGAGAATTTTTCTTTTTCTTGTAAAATAACTTGTCTGGAGTTTTACTTCTAATATACCTCGATTCTATTAGTGTGGGGAGGAGGAGAGGAGTTACAGGATAGAGTAACTTACTCATAAACAAATCTGTTCATTTTACCAAAAATCTATAAATTCAGCTACATCTTCCCTCAATTTTCATTCTTCTTTTTTTACATCTATTATTAAAAAAACATCACTTCACTACAACTACAACTACTACGTTCATTCACATCATTAACAATCAATAATGGGTTTACAAGATAGTGAATTGTTAAAGAAATACATCAACTTTGATGAAAAGAGAGCTGGGTCTTCCAGCAGAGCCATCATGTATGGTTTATTGGCTACCTTTGGTGGGTTCTTATTTGGTTACGACACAGGTACTATTTCTGGTGTTATGGCTATGGACTATGTCAAGAGTCATTTCCCTAATAACAAAACGAATTTCACTTCTGGTGAAAGTTCCTTGATTGTTTCTATTTTATCTGTTGGTACATTCTGTGGTGCTTTAGGTGCTCCATTGTTTTCTGATAGAATTGGACGTCGTTGGACTATAATTTTATCTACTTTGATTGTTTTTAATTTGGGTGTTATTTTACAAACTGCTGCTAGTGAAAAGAAGTTATTGATTGCTGGTAGAGCTATTGCTGGGTTAGGTGTTGGTTTAATCAGTTCTGTTGTTCCTATTTTCATCTCTGAAACTGCACCAAGGTGGATTAGAGGTTCCATTGTTAGTACATATCAATTCATGATTACTATTGGTCTTTTAGTTGCTGCTTGTGCTAATAAGGGTACTTCTACTAGAGATGACTCTGGTTCTTATAGAATCCCAATTGGTATTCAATTGGCTTGGGGTTTATTACTTGGTATTGGATTTTTCTTTGCTCCTGATACTCCACGTTTCTGGATTTCCGTTTCCAAAGAAGAAAAGGCTAAGGAATCTTTGTCAAGATTAAGACAATTACCTGTTGATCATCCTGACTTGATTGATGAATACGAAGAAATTAGGGCTAACTTTGAGTATGAAAGTCAATTTGGTAATGCCTCATGGTTACAGGTATTCAAGAATGTCAATAGACAACCAAGAAGATTGTTTACTGGTTGTGCTCTTCAAGCTCTTCAACAACTTACCGGTATTAATTTTATCTTCTATTTCGGTACTCAATTCTTCACCAGTTCCGGTATTGAAGATCCATTCCTTATTCAACTTGCCACCAACATTGTTAATGTTGGTCTGACAATTCCAGGTATTATTTTAGTTGAAACTTGGGGTAGACGTAGCTTAATGTTGTTTGGTAGTTCAGTTATGGCAGTTTCCCAATTAATTGTTGCTATTGTTGGTGTTGCTCAACCTCATGCTAAAGCCGCAAATCAAACTTTAGTTGCATTCAGTTGTATTTTCATTGCTGGTTTTGCTTGTTCTTGGGGTCCATTGGCATGGGCTATTTGTAGTGAAAACTTTTCTTTGAATGTCAGACAAAAGAGTATTTCCATTACTACTGCATTTAATTGGCTTTTCAACTTTGCTATTGCTTATGCTACTCCATATTTGGTTGATCCAGGTAAGGGTAATGCTAATTTAGGTAGTAAAGTTTTCTTCATCTGGGGTGGATGTAATGTTATTGGTGGTCTTTTCGTTTACTTTATGATCTTCGAAGCTAAAGGTTTGAGTTTGGAACAAGTTGATGAAATGTATATGAAGGTCAAACATGCCTGGCAATCTAAAAATTTTGTTCCTTCTGTTCATGCTTTCAGAGACGAAACTACTGGTGTTCATCGTATTTCTTCTGAAATGAAAGATAATGTTGTTCATGTTGAAGAAGATTCTGTTTGATGTGGATGTTGATATGTATCCGCACAATTCAATTCTTGTTTTTTTTGTATATTTTTGTACTTGTTTTAAATCATTAGTAATGTTATATACGATTATTCTGTATTATCCATATTGATATTGGTTGCAAGATCACGTGGTGGCAGTGTTAAGATTGCAACATGCCCCCAGGTTGTTCCATGAATAATAAGGGATGAATGATCAACTATGAGACGGACTTACGCACCACGGATTTGGACCCATGTACACGACATCCGCACACGGGTTAGAAGATGTTCTCGATGTTTTTTTTTTTTTAAGAATCCCACGAAATCCTGCGGTCTAAGTTTGCGTCATCAATTACACAACTTATTCAATTAGAGTTCATTAGTGATCATTTTATCTATTGAGAGTATTGCAAGATTTATTAATTTTATATTCCTTCCTTCCGGTTCTTTAGTCAATACTTTTGTAACCGACAACAGTAATACTAACAACTAACGCAAGAAACATGTCAACAAGTCAACCAGAGATTCAAGACTACCAAAGTCCAAGTAACACAGGTGGGTTTTTGGATTATATATTCAACAGTACTAATGCAGTAACAGGGTCAATAAAATCCCATCATGTAATTATATTTTTCCTTTTAATTATCTGTCTATTGTTGTTCCATTTCCGTCATAAGATAATTGCACGAATTGAAAGATATAGAACAGAACGTAGATTCAATGGAGGATTTTATACAAATTTGGAATCATTTCAAGATGATATAGCCAATGGATTAACAAGTAACAATTTCGATTTAGAAGCTAATAATTTATCTACAGGTGATAGCAGATCAGGATTATCTATTGATGCTAAATTAGAAATTAAAAAAATTATGGAACAAAAAGGTATTGGATTTGATCAAGCACGTTTGGAATATACTAGAAAACAATTAAATCAAAACAATATAGACGACCAAGGTGTTCCAAAAGATCCTAAACTTGTTACATTTTAATCAACTAATTAAAATTCTTTATGTAAGGTTCAACATTTATAGGTGCTGTTTTATAGTAGAATGTATCAGATTTGAAAACAAGAACCAGGATCGTCGGGTTTTAGATTTTTATTTATTGTAGATCATTCTGAATTTTATTCACAATTGAACTTTTCTTTTGATTGGGTACCTGATTCACATTTTCCAATTGGGGGAATTTTTCAAGGATATCAACAAAAAAATACAGATTGAAGATTATACATTTTACGAGAGTTTTGAATAAGAGTCTTTGGGCGTAGGCAATGGACAGAGGACCCTTGGTGTTATTCATCAAAGGCGTCAGATGAGAATCGTAAAGACAACGATGTCTGGTTGTTTATATCCTCAAACATCGTCTAACTTGCATCTTCAAAGGTGATTCAAAAACTATTGTGAATAGTAGTTGATTAACTCCATGGGTAATGGATCTAGATTGTGTCACGTGCATGATTTTTTATTTTTTTTTTTTTTTTTGCAATTTGAGTTTTGCTAGATTTGCGCGTTTGTGTAACAATGGCCAATTCTCGTCGTCGTCGTCAAAGGAAATCAAAAAAAGAAAAATTCGTTTTTGTGGTTTTGTTTACAATTGAACTTTTCATGGGAATTTAATTACAATCTTTCAACCAACCATCTTTCAACCAACCAACCAACTATCGCTCGTCGTTAAGAGATTCAGCGTTTGTTTGAGATTTCGTGCGTTTTAACAATCCAAGAGAACAAGGGTGCTTAAGAACATTCCTTTGCATTTAATCAACTAGCCCCGACTTTGTTTCATAAATTTTGTGTTAATCCGATCAAGTTTAATAAAGGAAACAAACAAACCAAAAAAAAAATATTCATTCCTGATTTATAAAACATCAAAAAAATTTCCCAGCAGTCTAGATTTGTTTCACATCTGTCACTTTCACTTATTCTGAAAATACTTCCCAACCTAACTCAACCCAACACAACACAACCCAAACTTGTCACTCTTTCTCTTTTTCTTTATGACGTTACTACAATAGTTTGACATTCACCATGGCTACTACCAGAAATCACAACAATAGTAATAAACACAGAGAGAAACTGAAAAGAGATGAGGTTATTATCAACCCACTTCATTCTGTATTTGACAATACTGAAAGTATAACTACCAAAGAAACATCATTAGATGAATGGAAATCAATATTCCCTCAAGCTGCCATATTTACAGAATATGATGATATACTATTTGAACAAATCATAACCATGGTTTATCGAAATTTGAAAACCGATAAAATATCAGTTAAGTCAATAACTAAATATGGGATATCAACATATGATAATATGAGATTAAATCATAGTTCAAGATTTTGGCCAGCTTGTGAGAATTTATTATTAAAATATCAAAAATCAAATGTTAGAAGATCACTTGCAATTTCAAATTTGAAAAACTCAAATAAATTATTAAACCATTCAGGTGAACTAGCGAATGACAAACGTCTTCCCAATTGGGATGAAACAGATGCTGGAAATTTGGCTAATAATATGAAATTAATGCAAGGAAAATTACCTGAAGATATTGGGATGACTTTATTGCAATTGGGTATTTTACAACAACATCATTTAAATTCTTATGGGATGGATGTAATTTATGATAATACTTCAATAACTACAAATAAAGAAACCATTGAAGATAACAATAGATTGGTTTACCTATTAGGTGAGCAATTAGATCATTTGTTTGATCCATTATTGGAGTATTCTCCCGAACAAATGTCATTTGTCTATGTTCCACCACAAGACGTCAGTGATGAACTTCCTAAAATCTCAGAAACTAAGTTGATGCATTCTATAATTGATGAATTGGTTTCTGTACAAACAAGCTTCACAAATAAATTAGTCGAATTGTTACAAAATTTCATTATCCCACTACGTGCAAGTGTATTAAGTTCAAAAGAATCATCAAGTGGAATAACTAAAATAAATCAGATTTTCCCACCAACAATAGATGAAATAACAAGAATAAATCGAATATTAAATGATGCTTTATCTAAAGCAAAATCAATTAATTACATTGAAGTTTTGAAAGCAGTGGGAAATATTCTACCTTATTTTTATAAACCATTTGTTCGTCATGAAGCAAATCTTAAAGATTTTTATCTGAGATTATACAAATTTGCAAATAATAACAAAAAGAATATTTTTGAAAATTCAAATATTAATATAAAAGGTTATACAATTAGAGAAATTGATGGAATAATAACAGGTTCATTAATGGAATTACCAAGATTAAAGTTAATTCTAAAACGATTATATGAAACTATTGATTCTGAAGAATTAAAAGCACAAAATTTTGAATACATCAATAGTCATAGTGATAAAGTGAAAATGTATTATGATTCTGCAATTCAAGTAATTGATGCATTTGGTGGTCTGGATGAAGAAACAGAAGAACAATCGACTAATGATCATGAAGAATTAAAACAAAGAATATTTACTCCTACTGGTAAAATCCTTACTGAATTAGCAACTAATTGGCCTGCAGAATTACAATATGGATGGTTATCAAGAAAAGTTGTCGGGATATACGAATTAGGTAATATCAAATCTGATTCTCCTCATTCATCTGATATTTTGATTATATTTTCTGATCATTTATTATTCTTGACAATCGTTGATAATCAGAACTATTTAGAAGAAGAACATTCTGATGGGGTTATTAAAAAGATTTCCGTCAGTGATGCATTGATGCATTCTTTGGTTAATGAAAAGCCGTTACCTCATTTGGATAGTTTCCCTGCTATGGAAGTAACTGCTTGGTGTAATATCGAAGATGTTTTAGCTAGTGGGTACTATGCCTTTGATGATGCAGGTGATGAGAAGTGTGAATATATCAGATTTTTGAATACAACTTTAACTGGATTTAAATCATTGATTTGCAAGAAACATTTTACAAGAAATTACAAACTTGAACATTGTGATTCATCGACTATTATTGATTTAATTCATAAAGCTAAATTATTACACAAGAGTTCACCATTTCATTTATTTAAATCAAGTAAGAAGAAGCTAAACGTTTATTATACTGCTCATGATAGATCAGTATATGAAAATGAAATCTCCCAATCACCATTTGCTTTGTTTTTAAACATGAAAATCGATGTTCCTGAATACTTCAAAATGAATCCAAATTTACAATTATTATTACAAGCTTCATTTATAGATGATAAAAAGATTCAAATTACAGGATATGAACGATCATCCAAAAGACAAGTTAATGAATTCATCACCGAAGGTCAATTCCAAGATTTTTTACAACTGAAAGTAATTGATTCATTTTACAGTATGTTTAGAACTTACAACAATGTCACCAAGAATTTGATAAAATCCAATGCAAGTGATTTAGAATATATTGCTAATAGATGTACCGATAAGGAGGACAAAAAGTTATCTGAGCAAGTGAAATATCTTCCTGGTCAAATGCACCAACCAGTATCATCACAGCAACGTCAAAAGCCTCACCACAAATCAAAATCATCTGAACCGATCATGATTCCTGAAAGCTGTATGGACAGAGTTGAAGTACCTGCAAGATATGAATCGGAAGCCGATGACTCACAAATGAAAAAGAGGAAATCTATATGTGATATATTCAAAAAGAAACAAGAACATGAACCATTGGTTATTTCTCATCCAATTCCTGTGCAAAAATCTGATGCACCATCAATTAAAAGCAATGTTAGTCAAACTTTTATTCCAAGAGGTACTAAAAATGAATATATCAATACACTCAGACCAATTCCTACATTGCATCAAATTGCAGAACAACCAAATAATCATAGATTAATCACACCTGAATCAGTTTTTCATCATCAACAATTGATGGAATCACCAGATGAAAAGGGTACTACTGATACATCAACTCCTTCTATAGATGTTCTGCCAGATTTCAAATTCCCATCATCCTCTCAAGCACTTAAAGATCCAATACTGTTACAACAAGTTGAATATCCACCGGTTGTAAAAAAAGAAACGATATCTACATCAATAAAACTGGCTAATCCGAAAACCATTAAAAGAATTTCTACTGTTGATAGTAATAGACTTCATCTCAAAAGAAAATCAGGAAATTTCAAAACAGAATGTTACAAATCATTACCAATTGGAATTGTTGATAGCCCGGCAACTGGTGAGATGTCTTCACCTAATTGGGAAGCAATCAGTGTTAGTAGAAATAGTTCCATCACAACATACAGTAGAAATAGTTCCATTAGATTGGGTAATGAAATTGGAAGTAGACAAGAAGGATCAAATTTAAGAAATTATGTTTTAACAAATGAAAGAAATGGTCCTTTTACTAATGAAAATGAAGAAATTGCAACTCGTGTAACTAATATTGGTTCATTACGTCATCCACCTGCTCAATATCAAAGACAATCAATAAGAAAATATCAAACTAGTACTACACCACAAAGAGGTCATTCTATTGGTTCCAAAACTTTATCATCTACATTTTCAGTTAAACGTACATCAACTGGAGTTACAACACCAAGATCACAGATATCACCATATTTTGGCGATAAATTTTTCACCACTAATGCAACTGCAGCAGTATTTACAGCACCTCCAAGAAAACCAAAACTAGTTGAAATTTCAAGAGAAGATTCTGTTCAATCTTTAACACCTTCAGAAATAGCTAATGAATTGGCACAATTTATTGATACTGAATTTGGTGTAACAAAAAATGATGAACCTATTTCTCGATATCATAATTCCAATTTGAGTGCTATCACATTGACAAGTTCAAGTGATGATGAAATAATTGTTCTTGGTGGTGGTGATGATGATGATGATGATACTGATGAAGAGGAGAACGAGGAAGATGAACAATTCTATTCACCTAATGAAGAACCTAATCTTAATAGAAATACAAGTCAATCAGAATCAAGTGAAGCTACTGTTACATCAAATAGATTTATCATTTCAAGTGATTGTTCAAGACAATCTATGATTTGTATTAAAGATGAATCAATTGCTGAATTATCAACATATTTTGAAAAATCCATAAATATATAGAAATCCAAAATCAAAACATTTATAGTAGATGTTTATTCTTATTAATGCACACATGAAATTCATTTATTTTTTTTTTTTAATTATTATTAATATTAATATTATAATGTTGGCTATATGTCATATTAAGCAGAAGATTCTTTCAAGATTCTAGCAACAGCTTCGGCAACAGCATCACCAACTTCAGTAGTGGTACTAGTACCTCTTAAATCAGCAGTTCTAATACCTTTATCTAAAACTTCTTGAACAGCTTTTTCTAAAGCTTCAGCTTCTTTAACACAATCTAAACTCAATCTCAACATACTAGCAGCAGATAAAATAGTAGCGATTGGATTAACTTTATTCTTAGGTAAATCAGGAGCAGAACCATGACAAGGTTCATAAAGACCGAAAGCGGTATTTGTATCAGGTAAAGAAGCTAAAGAAGCAGAAGGTAATAAACCTAAAGAACCAGGAATAACTGAAGCTTCATCAGAAATAATATCACCAAACATATTTGAAGTAATAATAATACCATTTAATTTAGTTGGATTTTGAATTAAAATCATTGCTGCTGAATCAATCAATTGATGTTGAACTTTTAAAGTTGGAAATTCTTCACTAATAACTTTATCAACTGTTCTTCTCCATAATCTTGAAGAAGCTAAAACATTAGCTTTATCCAATGACCAAATAGGTAATGGAGGATTATGTTGTAATGCCATAAATGCAGCCATACGAGTAATTCTAGTAACTTCATCAACAGTATATTTTTCAGTATCCCAAGCAGTTTTACCATCTTTACTTTCTTCTTGTTCTTCTCTTTCACCAAAATAAATACCACCAACTAATTCACGAACAATAATTAAATTAGTACCTTTAACAACTTCAGAACTTAATGGAGATAATTCAAGTAATGAATCACTTGCAAAATTACAAGGTCTAATATTAGCATAAAGATTCAATTCTTTACGAATTTTTAATAATCCTTGTTCTGGTCTAACTGATCCAGTACCCCATTTTGGTCCACCAACTGCACCTAATAAAACAGCATCTGATGATTTAGCACATTCTAATGCTTCATCAGGAAGTGGAACTCCAGTGGCATCAATTGCTGCACCACCAATTAAATGATTTTTAAATTCAAATTGAATTTTTTGATATGGTGTATTGGATTCAATTGCTTTTAATGATTTAATGGCTTCGGCTACAATTTCAGTACCAACATGATCACCTGGTAAAACAGTAATTGTTTTAGTTTTAACGGACATTGTATAGATTTGTTTAATATTATTAGTTGTGGAGAAAATAGTAAATAAAAATAAAAAAAAAGAAAATAAACCCCTAAAGTGAAAAATTTGAAAAAGATTTCCGGGAGGTTTTATACACGACAGAGTTTTTTCTTGTTCTTCATGGGTGAGTCTCCTGTTATGCCGTGGTAACTCGCCGGTTCCGGAGAGAGAAAAACAGAACTTCCTGACTCACAGGGAACGAAATTATTGCAAAAAAAAAAAAAAAAAAAAACGAAAGTCATACAACAAACACGAAAACGATTCATTAATAATTCTATACACAGATAAATAAGCTGAAAAAGAAATAAGAACGCTAGTCAGAAAATAGTGAAAAGCTTATCTCTTCAACATGAGTTGATCAATGACCACTCCATTCAATTGAGTCCAAATCAATACCTTCTTGGACCATTTCCCATAATGGAGACATCTTTCTCAAGAAATCAACTCTTTCATTAATAGCTTGAATAACATAATCAACTTCAGCTTCAGTGGTGAATCTACCAATACCAAATCTAATACTAGAATGAGCAAGAGCATCGTCAGCACCTAAAGCATGTAAAACATAAGATGGTTCCAAAGAAGCAGAAGTACAAGCAGAACCAGAACTCAAAGCAATATCTTTCAAAGCCATCAATAAAGACTCACCTTCAATATAAGCGAATGAAACGTTAACACAACCTGGGTATTGAGATTTAGGATCCATACAACCGTTGAATTGTGTAGATGGAATTGACAATAACCCTTCTTTCAATTTGTTAGATAATTTAGTGATATGAGCTTTATCATAACTAGATTCTTCCTTCATTAATCTGGCAGCTTCACCAAAACCTGCAACTAATGGAGGAGCTAAAGTACCAGAACGTAAACCTCTTTCTTGACCACCACCAGTAATGATTGGGTCCAATCTGACTCTTGGTCTTCTTCTAACATAACAAGCACCAATACCTTTTGGACCATAAATCTTATGGGATGAAATAGACAACAAATCAATATTCATCTCATTGACATCAATTGGGATTTTACCATAAGCTTGTGCGGCATCAGTGTGGAAGAAAACTTTATTCTCACGACAAATTTGACCAATTTCTTTCAATGGTTGGATAACACCGATTTCATTGTTGACAGCCATAACAGAGACAAGAATGGTGTCTTTTCTAATGGCTTTTCTTAAATCGTCCAAATTAATCAAACCTTCAGAATTAACTGGCAAATAGGTAACATCAAATCCTTCATCTTGCATGTGTCTAGCACTATCCAAAACACACTTGTGTTCAGTTTGAGTAGTGATGATATGTTTTTTGGTTTTCTTATAGAAACGAGGCACACCTTTAATAGCCATATTATTAGTTTCAGTAGCACCACTAGTGAAAATAATTTCTTTAGGATCGGCATTTATCACTTCGGCAATATAAGCTCTAGCCTTTTCAACTTCTTTATCAGTTTCCCAACCATAGGCATGAGTAGAAGAATGTGGGTTACCATATAATCCAGTGTAGAATTCCAACATTTTGTCTAAAACTCTTGGATCAACAGGAGTAGTTGCTTGAACATCCAAATAAATTGGACGGGTACCAAACAATGATGCATCACGACTAGCTGATTTCAAAGAAATAGCAGAACCTTCTGGCGGTTGGACCGAGTTGGTTGTAGATTGTGGAGTCTCAGTATCAGTGGAAACATGTAATTCTCCAGTTGTGGCATTGGTGGTTTTGTTTGGGGTAACTTTTGAAGCGTTTGATGATGATGATGGGGTAGCTGTTGAACTTGTTGCCAAGAATCTTGCGTAATTGGAGGAGACCAAATTACGGTTGATTATAACTTTGTTGAACCTACTGCTGGTTGATTTAAGGATAGATTTATACATGATTAAGAATAGGTATTAATCGAAAAATCAAGATAAATTTATCTGAACCTGAACTGGAGTAAATGAAAAAAAAATGAGATAATTAATAATTCCAAATCGTTGCCTCGCAGTTCTTTTTTTTCTTTCTTTCTCTGTCTTTGTTCTTTGGCACTCACACGCCCGTTGATGTTTTTTTCTTCTCTCTCTCACTTTCCCTTGCATTGTTCCTTCTTTTTATTTGTTTTGAGAATGACTCGGAAATCGGATTTAATCATCCAAACAACGGGAACGAATCCCCGATATTTTTGCTCTTGATCTATTATTTCTCTATATACACTAAAGGTATCATCCCTACAGACAATAAACGCCACAGTTTACCTAATTCAACTTGTCTTGGGGACTTTTTATCTTCATTAATTCCGTGTGAACTAATTCATAACATCCCAAAAAGATAGCACCACCACAACTAATCCAACAAGTTCTTGGTACAATACCATTAAACAATACTTTTGCACCTTCTTCATGAATCATATGTTTAACTAATTTGGCCACGCTTATTCTATCTTTATGTAACATAATTCTAGTTTTAATAACATCTAAAGGTGTAGTCATGGCAGCTGCTACCCCTCCGGCAATCATCCCACATGAAGCACCTTTAAATCCATCAGGAATAAAATTTAATCCTTTATTTTGTTGCCATTGAACTTTTAACCATTCATATAATGGGAATTGAATTATAGTAAATGGAATTTCTCTCATAATTGTGGTATTCCAACCACGATACAATCCACGGATTATTCCTTCATTCAGATTATTTTTAATAATATGAATAAAATTACTCCATGATGTATTGTTACCTAAATGTGAAGCTTGTGTACGTTGTTTAATAACTTCAGCTGGTACTCTTACAAAACAAGCAGCAATTTCCCCCATTGATGCAGATATCATGTGTCTTATACCAGGTGAATTTACAAATGGTTCTAAATCTTTTTTAAGTGTATCATAAGTGACAAAAAATAATGATGCCAGAGGTGCTGATGCAACAACACATGATCCTAATCCACGATATATACCTTTATATCCTCCATTGGCAAAAAAACCACCTTTCGCTTGTAATCTGGTTTTAATGGTATCAATTGGAAAAAATGCAAGATCAGTAGCAATACCTGCACATGCACCACTCTAGAAGATAGAAATGTTAGTTATTGGCTTTTATATCGACTATAATAAGGGATAGAATACATACAACTAAAGATATAAGGAATGTAGAATCAGACATTGTCGTTAGTTGTTGTTGCAAGAATAGTAAAGTTCCTCGTTTCTCGACAGATTGAAAAATTTTCGAGTAGTGAACTCATGATTCCGCGCCCGGGATATTACAAACATCTTCGCACAACGACTCATAATCATTCCCTCAATCTATTCCTATACCACTATACAACTGGACTCATCTAGGACAGACAATAAACTTGTCTTTACCGATTTTCTTTTTCTTTCCATATTTCAAAATCACAGAATCGACTTTCTTCCCCAGTGGAACAAATTTCAGAATAAATGGAATAAACTCATCATAATTCCATTTCTTATCCAATTCAAATAATTCTTTAAATCTTTGAGCTAAATTCTCTGATAATGAATTTGGATCTATATACAAGATTTTATTTTCCATTGGTGAACAATAATGACCTTGAAGTTGAACTATATCCAATGGTGGATTATAAAATGAAGGAAGGCTTGTTTTCCAATTCAATAAGAATTCATTCTGAGAAATAAGTCGATTGTTAGTTTTGGAAAGTTCATGTATCCCAAACCATTTAGTGATTTTACCATCATTTAATACCCATTGATTACTGTTATTACTAGTGGTTGATGCAAATCTATGGATAATCGAAGTCAACATGGAAGTGTTGTAATTGTTGTTTACAACTGATGCTATTTCATCAATAGTGAAACTACCATCTTTACCTAAACTCATCAATTTAGTAATAACTAAGAATAATAAATCTGTAATAACATTCACGGACATGACATATGCAAATCCATCAATTTCACAACCCCCTGATTCACACCAATTTTTAAAAAATTCTTTATGAGAACAGAGTGAATCATTTTCCAATTCTGTTAATCGAATATTATGACTTGAATGTGGAGATATTGTTCTACCATCATATATTGGAATGTTTGAGGTATCAATTATACCTTCCATCGGACTTAATTCATATTCATAAGTTGATTTCAGAAATCCAACTAATCTGTCATTTTGATCTTTATTCATTACCAACACTGTATTTGAATGGTTCATTTGTCTTAGTTTGAATGTTTGAGAATCAGTACATAATACTAATGAATTTATATCTGATTTAATAAGTAAATCTGAAGGTTGATCATCTTGAGATAACTTTTCAAGAATTGCTGGAGGTAGTTGAAGTAGTTTATATGTATACTTTGGATCAGTTTCAAGTTGCTGATATACCGAATATTCTGACATGGTTGATGTTGCAATGAGTATTGACAAACGTAATACGCGTTCGTAGAATTTTTTTTTTTTTATTTTTTTTTTTTTTTTATTTATTTATTTTTCATTTTTGGGGGGCTTAGAGTTTTGGGTACGGCACGATTTGATTTTATTTACACGAATTTGTCGATACACTATATAGATCTACACTTTTTGCATAAACTCTATCTTCGTTATTCTAAACTGGTATTATAATATAAAGTCAATGATCAAAAAAAAATGAATACTATTTAATGTACAAAAGGTTATGTAGATCCTATTATTTATCAGACCTAGAAATTAGAACCTTGGTTAATGTTTCTGTCTCTAACACCCAATTCACCGTTGAAAAATTCATCACTACCCAATTTTTCATTCTTTCTCCAGAAGGTCCAACCTCCCTCATAGTCACGATTGTTTCTTCTTTTCAAATAGAATAATACTGAGATTAAACCAATCAAGATGGAACCACCAACACCGACAACAACACCAACAACGATCTTATTAGTATTGGATAAACCACCACCAGAATCGTTGCTGTTGGTAGTATTATTGGTTGAAGCAGTTGGCAGAGAAGATATGATGGAAGTTCTAGTCACAATAACAGTACTACCGTTATCGACTGAACTGAATGTAGTGACTTCTTTAGATGCAGATGAAGATTCTGATGTTGATGTGACAGTGCTAGTGTCTTGTGAACTTGATGATGAGCTTGATGAAGATGAACTTGATGATGAGCCTGTTTCTGAAGGTTCTGTGGATGATGACGTGGAAGAAGTAGATGATGATTGGGTGCTTGAAGAAGTAGTAGTTTCGTCAAATGTGGATTGTTCAGTGGAAAAATCTTGAAATGTTGATTCCGTTGTGGATGAAGATGATGAAGTAGATGGATTGTTTGGTGATGATTGGAAAGCAGTATCGGTAGAAGATGTAGTTGACGATGTCGAAGTGCCAGTTGATGTAGAAGATGTTGGATTGAACTGGGTGTCTGAAGAAGTAGATGGGGTAAATGTTTCAACATTTGAGGTGGTGGTAGTAGCACCAGTTCCAGAAGTTAAATCAACACCCAATGATGTAAATGTACCAGTTTCCATCCCACTCAAAGAAGTGGAATTATCTCCATCAGCTCTTTTCCCAAGAATCAATGATGTATCGTAAACATTACTTGAATGAAGTAACGGTTGGTTGACGTTATTTAGGTGCACCACTTCCATTGTCTAATGATATACAAAGTAATAAATTAATAAATAAATAAATATGTGACAGTAATAGTAGTAGTAAATTATCTCTCTCTATATATATATAGAATATAACCAACTAGTAATTGTAATGAAATGAAATATATATATATATATATATATATAATTTAACTATCTGAAAGTAGAGAAGAAAAGGAAAAGAAAAATTGATGAATTTTTTTTTTGAAGTTGTTTATAGTTTTAGTTTTAATTGTGTGTTACTTTTCGTACTGTGCTGTGTCTACTACAGCGGCGTGTACCTGGTGTCAAAAATACAACAGCAGCGAAAAAAAAAAAAATTTTCTCTTTGGTCATTTTCTTAATACGTGGGACAAAATTATTTAACTCCATTACCAAAAAACTAAATTATTTTTAGCAGCTTGGATTATGTAATCTTTTCTTTACTTACCTACTTTACAACTACTTGTATGTACCCTAGAAGAGGAAGAAAATATTGATTATAAGTAATTATCTTATATTGACATGACCTGGTAACTTATGTATGTAATTAATTATCACTTCATGTGTGTTTTAAAAGATTACAGATCACTCGTCATCATCACCATTTCGTCTATTCTTTACTTTATTGTTGAAAATCAAAACAGACGAAAATTTTTTTCTTCCCTCATTCCATAGATTTCGGGTTAAATTCTTCTTGCCGTTCGATTTTGCCGGATAGGACTGGACTAGGCTAGACTGGGCTGTACTTGTGTAATTGGTTACTATTGTTTACAAAGGGTGCCCTATATCTTGACAAATACTTTAAATCGCTATTGGTAAATTACTTTGTATAAATTTATCCAAAGCCCTGTCTCGGCCCCCCCCCCGCCTCAATCACTTTTCCCTATCGCGATTCCTGCCCAAAGGGGGACGGAGATTGGGAAAAATCTAACGTTGAAACACGCAAGTAACAAAAAGGCAAAATAAGAAACATGGGACTTACAATTGTGAATACAAAAGAAAATTGACTTTTGATTTTGTTCATTCGGTTGTTGACTGAGTGAAGCAGTTGTCTTTTGTAGAACAAAACCCAAAAACTGAAATTAAGAATTGTCAGCAGATGTGTATGTGTCTAATAGATCTTTAATTTATTTTCCTAAATTGGTTAACTCCATGTAACATATAATAAACTATGGGTTCTTTTATTAATTACAACACTCTTGTTACTTCTTCTTCTTCTGCCGTCTCCTCCTGCTCCTCCCCCCTTTCATCAACCCCTTATTGAAAAGAAATTATAAAGATACGAAAATCTCTTGTCAGAGAAAAATAATTGCTTGTGTGTTCAAAGTACCTTTGTTTGTATGTACACGACTTGTTACACTCACACGTACAGTAGAGTCTGTGGGAAAATGTAAGTTACACATTATTTAATGTACATAGCTAACACACTAAACCGGAGTCTAGACTTTACATTTTTATGTGGAGATCATATTGGTTTACATACAGGAAAATATACATTCATTCATTCAAAATTTCTATTGGTTAGCAAAAGTGAAAAATAAAAGTCACGTGTATTGTAGCCAATCACACGAATTTTGTTATTTTTCTAATTTTTCTATTGAATCAATTAGCGGATGTAACTTGCTGGTTAGTATTATCCTTAAATGCATGTACTTACTACCAGTACATATTGCCAATTTTGGTAAGGGAGATACTTATTCAAGTAAAAAAAATGTTCTATAACCTTCTATAAGAATGACGTTTAACTCAATTAGTAATTCAAATGACCTCTGGAAAGACATTGCCAGATTTTATTACCATTTTTTTTTTTCTTCTCGAATCTTCTACTTCGTTCCGTAATATTCTGCGACCTTCGATTGCGAAAACAAAAAATATAATCCTATAACTAAACTTGCCCCCTGTTCACCATACATGACCTATTCCCGAATGGTCCATCTTTTTCCATGAACACACATGCTTTGGAATAAATTTCTATAAATATCCATTGGTTTTTCACTTTTTCATGTCTCGAATGTTTTTTCTTTTTTCTCTTTTTCATCAATACAGTCTAATCAATACTTCAATAAATAACTATCTACTACCCACTCACTTAATTAATTAATTAATAATGTTTTCTCCATTCTATTTCGATCAATATTCACAAGGTTATGATGACCAAGATGCTGGTGATGCTTTTGATTTAGGATCCCTTTTTGATTTGTTACATCAACATCAATTCTACCATAAGGAAAACACTCGTCCAAGAATTGTTAAGAAATTAGAAACTGAAGATGAATTCCAAATTCAAATTTTCAAACCATATGGTAATTTCCAAAATTACGAAGTTAGTGTTATTAAATCAACTCCTCCAATTGTTAATGTTGTAATTACTTCAGTTCAAGATAATTTCCAAACTAGTATTCCATTCAATGTTAATTATATTGATATTCAGAATATCAATTGGCAATGGTACAAAGCTGAAAATATCTTGGTTTTAAATATCCCAAAAAGAATTCATTTTGTTCATCTGAATGTTCAAGATATTCTTAATTGTTTATTAGGTTGTCATGACGAAGAAGGTGAAGCTGAACTGGATGAACATCTTGATAATTCAATTGCTGATCATGAAAAATTGATTACTGATGCTACTGAAGCTTTGAAACATCCAGAACAACAACCATATTCTCAAAAACAAGTTCAACAAGATTTCCAATCAAAAGCCCGTACTACTGCTAATGCTGCAAAAGCCGCTCAAGCTGCTAAAAAAAGAGAAGAATTTATTAAAGCCAAGAAACAACTTGAAGCACAAAAGAAAGCTCAACAAGATTATGAAGATAAATTTGGTGGTTTAGCTGAAAGAGATGAAAAACTTCAAGATTCTCTTCAAGAGCATGAAGATTTGATTGCTCAAGCTGCTAATGCTTTAAAGCAAGTTACTTCTGCAAATTCTAAACAAGTTAAAAATGACTTACAATCAAAACAAGAAGCTTTAACTGCTGGTGCTCAAGCTGCTGCTGATGCAAGAAAAAAGAAGGAAGCTGATAAAGTTAAAAATGAACTTGAAGCACAAAGAAAAGCAGCTCATGAAAAAATCCTTGCTGCTCAAAAAGAATTAGAAGAAATTGCCAAAAAAGAAGCAGAAGCTACTAAATCTCATGATGTTGCTAAACAAAAGGAACTAGAACAGGAAAAGGTTAAAGTTGAAGAGGAAGAGCATGAAGCTGAGGATACCGAGAATGCTAAAAGAGAAGAATACGAGGAATTTGTCAAACAACAACAAGAATTCCTTAAACAATTTTTTGGATTTAATTTAGGTCCTGTTATTCCAAATCAAGATGGTTCAAATGCTTTTTATACTAAAGAATCAAATGGTAAATCTTCTACTAATAAACCACAAGCTAAGAAAGAAAAACCAAAAGTTGCACCAAAACCAAAACAATTTAAAACTGCTAGTGCTTCAAGTACTCCTGTTGTGAATGACAGAACTAAAATGACACATTCTCCTTCTTTGGAAGAAGTTGAGGATGAAGAATCCATTCTTTATAATAAAAAATTTGGTCATTAAATATGATCCTATAATGAATAATGTTAATAGTTTTTATTTCAATAATAAATAATAGAAAAAGATTATGAGTAAATTTTTTTTTTTCAGTAAGTTTTGCAACTAATTTCAATTGAAATCGTTGATACACTTTGTGAATCTAGGTAAAACGTGGTTAGATTCAACAGTGTGTAGAGAGTAATAACATCATTGTCCCTCCGATTACTCCGTGTTGTGACCACAGGTAACTTTATTACTTCAAATTTTATGGATAACCATTATACAATTAAGCCTCCTAAAATACCATTGGTAGCAACTCTGCGGAGTTAATAAAAACTTTAGATACCCGTTCCAAAATTGATGTTATATAGGGCTCTAAATCATACAATTAGTACCTGATGTAAGAGGTAATATCAACAATCATGATTTCACGGAAGAGACTAATCAATAGTAAAATCATGGACTAACCTCAAACGCAGGTGGTTTTGCTTAATTGTAGTTAAGTTCCATTAACATCCGTTAATCGCGTGTCATCCGACTGAACTAAAAAAAAAATAAAAAGACTCAGAAAAAGAATCAGACAAAAACAAAAAGGGATTTTTTTTTTTCCTCTTTTAAAACAGAGCAAATAGAATTTACAACACTTTTGAATAGTTTTCTTTCGTTATTCCAAACACTTATACCCATTGATTAGTATAAAAGGATGTCAGAATTAGTTAAACTCATAGTAGATCAGACTAACCCTGATAATAACATCAGAAAATCAGCTGAACTTCAATTCAATGAATCGGTTAAACAAGATCCATCCCAAGCAATGTATATTATTTTACAACTGGCAATGGATCAAACATTACCAATTGATATTCGTCAAGCATGTATTTTACATTTGAAAAGATTAGTTCCTCAATTTTGGTCTATGGGATTTGAATCATTTATTGGCCCACCAATTAATCAAGATTTAAAAGTTGAAATTAGAAGAAAATTATTAGAATTAGCTACTGGGTCAACTCAATCTAAATTAAGAGGTGGTGCTGCTTATGCAATTGTTCAAATTGCATCGGTTGATTATCCTGATGAATGGCCAGATTTAATGAATACTTTATATACTGCAACTATGCAATATCAGGATCAAACGGCATTGTTGGGTGGATTACAAGTATTGACTGATTTATTTGATGATTTGATTACAGAAGAACAATTCTGGGAAGGAGGAATTGGTAAAGAAGTTATTGAACATTTGAATGATATTTTAAGTAGAGATGGAATAAGTGCTGAAGTGAAAACTCAAGATATTAAATTATATGAAAATGTATTGGCAATTTTAAGAAGTCCAGAAGCATTTGCTACTCCTGAAAGAAAAGAATTTGTTATTGGTGAAATCACGAAAACTGTTGAAATTTTAATTCAATTATTGCATAGTAAAGAATCCAATTTGGCAGATTTGAATTTAAGAAGTTACATATACAAGATTTTGGCTTCAATAATTGGTCAATTCCATTCCAAATTGGACAGACAAATGAAAAGTAGAATTATATTGTTGGCTTTGACAGATCTTGAGTGCTTGTCACCAATATATAATGAAATTGCATTGGAGGGAGACCATGGTTTAGAACATCCAGATTTTGAAGCATTGGCCGTGTTTAATAGTCTTCTTGATGAATTGTTCCAAACTTTGACAGCTGTCCAACATGATGTTAATATTGGCCAGGGAAGATTTATTCATGATGTGATTACTTGTGCATGTATTACCAAGGAAAAGCTCGAAGAATATAGTGAAGATTTCAATGCTTTAGTAACAGATGTGACTGGTTTGAATGTTACCCCTACTGTTAGAGATTCAATTTATGATTTCATGACTGATTTGAATGAGACAGACGCCAAGAAAGTTTTTGATACCATTGTGTCTCATCTTGAAGATGGGGACTGGAGAAGACTTGAAGCTAAATTGTTCATTCTTGAAGCGTTATTTGGCAATGATGCAGAATTCGATAATCCAGGTTTATCAGTATTCACAAGACACATAACCAATCATAATTTGATGGTTACAGCTAGAGTGTTCTTGTTATTACCTAAATATTTGGAGAAATTCGAATATGAAAATTCTGCCAGGGTCTTGATGGATATATTGAAATTTGGGTTGAGAAGTAGACCTAAAATTAGGATTTCTGCACTTATTAGTTTCACTTATTTCAAGCATGCAATTGATATACTGACCCTAGATGATTCTTTCCAACCAAAGATTTTTAAACTTGCACAGTCGTTAATTGAAGATGCCGAAGAGGATTCATTGCCGGTTTTATTGGAAGTTATATTAGATGCCATTGCTATCGATGCTTCCTACGCTTCCAGCGCCTTTATCAATGAAGGTATCTCTGTTGTTGATTTAATTTTCAGAATTGCATTTAAAGACCCAGCTAACGTCCAATTGATTTCTGATTCTACTGATTGCTTAAATGCATTATTAAAGAATGTCAATATGCGTGATTACATGGTTATTTGTGAAAGATCATTACCATTTATTTTCAATATTATGGAATCATCAACTGGAGAATATTCTCCCGAATTATACCTTGCTTTGGAATTATTGAGTATTATAATTAAATTATCACCAGAAGAAGAATTACCTTCACAAATATTTGAGTATGCCTTCCCAATATTAACTAAAATCTTGATTGCTTCTTTGGATAACCAAATTTTACAAAGTGGAGGTGAAGTTTTCAATGAGTTAATTAAAAACGGTTCAAGTTTATTCCTTGCATATCATGATCCAAATACTAATGAAGCAGGTATTGATATTATGCTCAAGATTGTATCCAAATTCTTATCACCAGAATTGTCTGACAGCGCGGCCAATAGATGTGGTTCAATTGTTAGTTCATTGATTGACCAATTTCAGAATTATCTTCTGTCGGAATTCTTGACTCAAATATTAGAAGCTACTGTGAATAGATTAATCATTGCTAAAGAATCGGCCACCATTGAAAATCTAATCATGGTTTTCTGTCAATTGGTGTTGAAATCGCCAGAAGAAATGATTAACTTTTTAAATAATATGCAATTACAAGGAAAATCGGGATTAGCAGTGATACTTCCGATTTGGTTTGATAGTTATGAAGTCACGAGAGGTTATGAACAAATTAAACAGAATACTTTGGCACTTGGTAAGATTTTTTCATTAGGGGATCCAAGAGTTGAAGGTTTAGTTGTGAATGGAGATATTATTCCATATGAAGGAGATTTAATCATTACTAGATCAATGGCTAAGAGTATGCCAGATAGATATACACAAATCTCTGCTTCTTTGAAGATATTGAAATTGCTTGTTGGTGAATTACAATTCCAGTGTCAACAACCAGATGCTGAAGGGTATTTACCAGGAGAAGAACAAATTGCAGAAGGAGATGATGGCGATGATGGCTGGGAAGATATGGATGATATTGGAGTTCCAAATTATGAAAAATTAAAGAGTTATGTTGAAGATGAAAAACAAGAAACTGATGAAGGATTAAAGAATTTATTAATTCAATTTTTCAGAGAATGCACAGTTAAGAATTTAGGTAATTTTCAAACATTTTATGAACAATTAAATGATGAAGAAAAGAAAACCATTACTGAAAATTTGATCTTTTAGACAGTTTATAGAAATGACACAAAATGTTAGAATACACACACACGCACGCTTGAGCGCGACTGACAGAATAAAAAAATGTCCAAAAAATTTTTCAGACTTTTTTTTTTTTTTTTTTGAATTTAATCAGAAAGGAAATATCTCATCTCTACTTGGGTTTTATAAATCAATAAATTTTTTATGATTTTAAGAAACCTACGACGAACCATGTCTACCAATACACAATTTACCACCAAGATACTAAAAGTCAGACCAGAAAGTATAACATTTGATTCAAATGGGAATGCAACTATAACTGATGAAGAAACATTAAATAATTTACAAACAGCCGCAAAAGAATTAACCACTACAAATAATGCTATTGGATTCCCAACAGAGACAGTTTATGGACTTGCAGGATCATCATTAAAAGATGAATCAGTACGATCTATTTATCGTGCAAAGAATAGACCGGCTGATAATCCATTAATTACACATATTTCATCAATAGATCAACTTAAACGAAAATTAATCAACCAAGAAGAAATTCCATCAATATATAATAAGTTGATTGAAAAATTTTGGCCAGGTCCTTTGACTATTTTATTACCAATATCAAAAAACTGTCCAATTTCTAAATTAGTAACAGCAAATCAAGATACATTTGCTGTTAGAATGCCAAATCATCCTGTTGCAAGAGCATTAATTTCAATTAGTGATACCCCAATTGCAGCACCATCAGCAAATGCATCAACAAGACCAAGTCCAACATTAGCAGAACATGTATATAATGATTTAAATGGGAAAATTCCAATTATTCTAGATGGTGGTGCATGTGATGTGGGTGTTGAAAGTACAGTTATTGATGGATTAGTTGATCCACCAATGTTATTACGTCCTGGTGGAGTATCATTAGAAGAAATTAAAAAATATGGTGGTAAAGAATGGGAGAATGTTATTATTGCTAAAAAAACAGCAGGAAAATTGGAACCTGTGAAAACTCCAGGAATGAAATATAGACATTATTCACCAACAGCAAAAGTTATATTATTTGTTAATTGTGGAGATGGTAAAGAAGCCATATTAAACTATTTGAAACAAAATAATATTGATTGTAATAACACTAAAATTGCATTATTAAAATCATGTAATTTTGTTGATGTTGAAGGTGTTGCAATTATTAAAGAGTTGGGTAAAAATGGACATGAAATATCACATAATTTATTTAAATATCTTAGAGAAGTTGATGAAGAGGATAAAGTTGATTTAATACTTGTTGAAGGTATAGATGAGACAAATGAAGGATTAGCAGTCATGAATAGGTTAAGTAAAGCAGCCATGGAAGTTATTCATCCATAATAATACATGAATAGATTGATAGATCATAGAATTTATTAGAGGTGCGCGTAAAATTACCCAAAAAAGGTGACAACCCGATGATTAATTAAACTCTGACTACCTCTGTGTGTTGTACCCTTTATGAAAAAGAAAAACGACGCATGCGAGTGATGTCAATGGGAAACGAACAAAGTTTAATGGAGGGAGACAGCACAACTGGCTCATAATCTATGATATCACTACGTGTATGTATATATATATATACATACATATGTGTGAATGTAATTATCGATAGACCATTGGTTATAGGTGGCTGGGTTGATAAGAGAATGTTGTAAAAACAAATAAACAAAGTTGAATCTTCAAGTGGGTTGTCTGGACTGTGTACACGTAGTCTGATTATTTTCTTTTTTTTTTGGTAGTGGCGGGCGCTGTTGCTAAATTCTTTTTTTTTTTTTTTTTTTCAGTGAAAATTTCTTCTTCTTCTTCTTCTTCTTATTCAGACAGCAAAGCGAAGGGAAAAAAAAAAGAAAACACGGCAACAAAGATTTTTCTGCTTTAAGTCATTACATCAAATCATTATCCATTTTTTTTTACAACACACAACACTCCTTCAACAGACTCCCTTGTTCCACCTACAATCTGACTTGCCACAGCATAACTTATAGATTTATCGAATTTTGTTTACTTACATCATGAGTGATAACCCTTATGAACTAAAGCCTCCTCAGCTATCGACCCAACGTGCAAATAACACTCCATCAACAAAATATTGTCAACAATCAATTGAACAGACAGCGGCAGATTTCCAAACAGACATCAAAGTAGGATTGACCAACAGTCAAGACGTGTTGAATAGAAGATCTATCCATGGTGTCAATGAATTATCTAGTGATGAAGAAGAAAGTCTAGTGTGGAAGTTTATATCCTCATTTTATCAAGATCCTTTGATTTTATTATTGATTGGTTCCGCAGTGATTAGTGTTTGGATGGGTAATAAAGACGATGCCATATCCATCACTTTAGCTATAACCATTGTTGTTACTGTGGGGTTTGTTCAAGAATATAGATCGGAAAAATCTTTGGAAGCCTTAAATAAATTAGTCCCTGCTGAAGCAAAATTAACTAGAAATGGAAGTACTTCTGCAGTCTTGGCTTCTACTTTGGTTCCAGGTGATTTGGTCCATTTTTCTCAAGGGGATAGAATCCCTGCTGATGTCAGATTAACCGATGCCGTTCATTTAAGTATTGATGAAAGTAACTTGACTGGTGAAAATAGACCAGTCAACAAGAACACTGATCCGATAACTGCCGCTGACCCAGCAGTTACTGAAAGATCCAACATTGCATTTATGGGTACTTTGGTCAGAGATGGTCATGGTAGTGGTATTGTTGTTGCCACTTCTAGCCAAACTGTCTTTGGGACTGTTTTTGAAATGATGAGTGATATTGAAAAACCAAAAACTCCTTTACAACAAGCTATGGATAAATTGGGTAAAGATTTGTCAGTTTTCAGTTTTATTGTTATTGGGATCATTTGTCTTATTGGTATTTTCCAAGGTCGTTCCTGGTTGGATATGTTTCAAATTTCTGTGTCCTTGGCTGTTGCTGCTATTCCAGAAGGTTTGCCTATTATTGTTACTGTCACTTTGGCCTTGGGAGTTTTGCGTATGGCTAGACAAAAGGCTATTGTTAGAAGATTACCAAGTGTTGAAACTTTGGGTTCTGTTAATGTCATTTGTTCAGATAAAACCGGTACTTTAACTCAAAACCATATGACTGTTACCAAAATGTGGACTGCTGATTTCAAGGGAAGTTTCAACTCCCCATTTTTGGTTGTGGAAAGATTGGATGATAACACTTTACATCATCAATTGACTTCAAACATGCGTAAAGTTTTAGAATGTGCTAATATCTGTAACAATGCTAGATACTCATCAGAAAATGAAAAATATGTTGGTAACCCAAGTGATATTGCCCTTGTTGAATGTTTACCACATTTTGGTTTAGAAGATATTAGAGGTCAACGTGAAAGATTTTACGAACTTCCTTTTTCTTCTTCTCGTAAATATATGGCTGTTTCTGTTCATACTGGTGATATTGAAAAATCTGAATCTTTTGCCAAAGGTGCTACTGAAAGGATTTTGGACATTTGTGATCGTTATTATGATGAAAATGGGAACGTTAAGCCTATAACTGAAGCTGTTGCCGATTCCATTCATGAAAAGTCTCGTGCCTTGGCTAGTGATGGTTTGAGAGTATTGGGTTTTGCAAAGAACAATAAAAAATTCGATGAAAAAGTTACTACTCCAAGTAATTTTATCTTTACTGGGTTAATTGGTATGAAAGATCCTCCAAGACCAAATGTTGGCAAGTCCATTACTAGATTGATGCAAGGTGGGGTTCATGTTATTATGATTACTGGTGATTCTCCAACCACTGCAATGAATATTGCTAAACAAATTGGTATGCCTGTTGTTGGTGATCATTCTGTCATGACAGGTGATCAAATTGATTCCTTAACTGAAGATGCTCTTACTAGTGCTATTCATGATGTTTCTGTGTTTGCCAGAACCACTCCTGAACACAAGGTTACCATTGTTAAAGCGTTACAAAGAAGAGGTGATATTGTTGCCATGACTGGTGATGGTGTTAACGATGCACCAGCATTGAAATTGGCTGATATTGGTATTGCGATGGGTAAAAATGGTACTGATGTTGCCAAAGAAGCTGCTGATATGGTTTTAACTGACGATGATTTTTCTACTATTCTTAGTGCTATTGAAGAAGGTAAAGGTATTTTCAATAACATTCAAAATTTCATTACATTCCAATTGAGTACCAGTATAGCGGCCTTGACTTTGATTGCTTTATCTACATTTTTTGGATTACCAAACCCATTGAATGCTATGCAAATCTTGTGGATCAATATCTTGATGGATGGTCCACCAGCTCAATCCCTTGGTGTTGAACCAGTTGATCATGAAGTGATGAAAAAGCCACCTAGAAAGCGTAATGATGAAATTCTTACTGCACAAGTGATCAAGAGAGTATTACAATCAGCTATCATAATTATTCTTGGTACCATGTATGTATTTATTAAAGAAATGACTGATGGTAAGATTACTGCAAGAGATACCACCATGACTTTCACTTGTTTTGTGTTGTATGATATGTTCAATGCATTGGCATGTCGTCATCATTCCAGACTGATTTTTGAATTGGGTATTACTAATCAAATGTTTAATTTTGCAGTTCTTGGTTCATTAATTGGTCAATTTTGTGCTGTTTATGTACCATTTTTCCAAAGCATTTTCCAAACTGAAGCATTAAGTTTTAGTGATATTTTACATTTGGTCATATTAACCAGTTCTGTGTTTATTGTTGATGAAATTAGAAAATGGTACTTCAAGAGGAAGACTATTTATACTAATAATTATACATATGGAGTATAATAATACTAGAGATTAAGGAGTTAAAAGGAAGATATTTTTATTATTACCACTTCCAGAAGTGTGGTATGTGTGTAATAAATAAAGAAGAATAAAGAATTATACAGTTTATACAAAAGAAAAAGAACAAAAAAAAATATTATTTCAAACAAATAAAGAAATATATAAATAGACAATTTCATTATTGATAATGGATTATTCGGACCAATAGATTGGTATAGACTCATTGGTGAACAATTGATTTGTTGATGCAAACCCCCACCGGGAATAAGCTCTACATGCTCATGCGTAGTTAAACAAAATAAACCTCATGCGGCGCCGCGGTATAAAATCTATGCCATCCCTCTCCCATGAAAATCACACATATACCCGCGATGTATTTTTTTTTTTCTTTCTTTTTTTTTTTTTTTTTTTGGTTTTAATTTTTCACTTTTGATAGCTTTAAATTGACAAACAACTCTAACTGTATTTATAGAAGTATATACATATTCTACCAGTGATTCATAAACCTTAAAATATTCTCATTTGAAATATCCTTCCATATTATAGATTATACAAATCATTTCAAGTATTACCCCACACAATTAGTATCCTCCCCTTTTCTCCCTCCTTAATCATGGTGTTTAAATTCACAATAGATAATGTTCTAAATCCATATATTCCAAAGAACAACATATCAAAACTTCCTAAACCTATATCAAAATTATTAGGAGGATCAAATAAATTAGCACCAGTATCGGATTATTATATTTGGTTAGAAATTTTAATTGCTTCATTTGGAGGTGTTGGATTATTAGAAGGAATTTTTAAAAATTCCAATATTTTTACAAATTATCATCATGCACCAATTATAATTGCATCATATGGAGCAACCGCAATATTATGTTTTAATGCATCTCAAGCACCATTAGCACAACCTAGAAATATCTTAATTGGACATTTTATATCATCTTTAATTGGCATTGGGATACAAAAATTGTTTAGTTTAAGTGAAATGGGTAGAAATCATTATTGGGCAAGTGGTGCATTAAGTGTTGGAATTTCAAGTGTTGTTATGTCAATTGGAAATTGTGTACATCCACCAGCTGGTGCTTCTGCTTTATTACCTAGTATTGATGAAGAAATTAGATTAATGAGTTGGTGGTATTTACCAGTACAAATAATTTCGAGTGTTTTAATGATTGTTGTTGCTTGTATTACTGGGAATGTATTTAGAAGATATCCTGTTTATTGGTGGTCTCCTGCTGAAGTTGGACAATGGTGGACTAGAAATAATTTAGAAAAAGATCAAGAAAGTGAAATTAGTATGGAAGAAGAAGATGTTGCTACTCAATTGGGTGTACGTGAAGCTGATATTATAAGAACTCCTGGTATAAAAACAATTACTATCACTGCTACTTCAGTTATACTTCCTGATGGTTTAGAATTTGATGAAATTGATGCTGATTGGTTGGAAGGTATGCGTAGTAAATTACTGAAATTAAACAATTAGATCTTTTTATTTATATTTATATATATATATAAAGTACTATTGTTATAATTTTTTATTTTTCATTTCTTCAACGGTAACGACTCCTTTAAATTCGGGTTGTTCTAATTTATCAAACATAGTTTCAGCAACTTGTTCAGTTGAAACAATAGGTCTAACTAATTCATTTGCAAATTTATTACCAATTAAACATTCTTTTAAACCAACACCAAATCTTAACCCTCTTAATAAAACATCTCTTGTAGTTAATCCACCTTCATGAGTTTCATCATACATTATTCCAGGTCTTAAAAATAAACTTCGAAGTCCTTTTTTACAACTCAATTCAAATTCTGCTTCTCTTTTAGTTATTAGATATTCTTCAGGTACCATTGGAGGATTTTTATCAGCTGATACATAAATAAAATTCCTTGGTTCTTCTTTTTTAAATTTAATATAATTATCAGCTAAGATAACTGCAGAATCTCTTTGAATCGAATCATAAGTATTTTTAATATTTTCCTTTTGCATTGGATTTTTACCACCACTGTTTAAAATTGAATTTGATAATTGTTGAATATCACTTAAAAAATTAAAATTTGAATTCATGGTTTTTTTATAATTTGTATTTTCAAATAATATACCAATTGAATGAATTATAGTATCAAATGAATTTAATTTTTCATTATATGTTTTAGGTTCAAAAATATCTCCAAATTCCCAATTTACTTTACTTACCCAAGTTTGATGTATAACTGATTCTGGTGGTTCTCCATGACGTGAAAATGATGTAACTTCATAACCTCGACGTATACCAACTTCACATAACTTACGTCCTAAAAATCCATTCCCTCCAAATACAGCAATTGATTTAACCATGGTTATATATCTCTGTGTGTGTGTGTGTGTGTGGAGAAAATGAAATGAGGGAGTTTGATGATTTTTTGTTTGTTGGATCATTTTTTTTTTTCTTCTTCTTTCGTTTACTCCGTTCGCCATAGGCCACACAAATCACTCACTCACTCGCCCCCTCCCCACCACCAGTCCGTCGTCGTTTACTCCATTCACCACAACCAATCAACCACATTGATAGAATGAACTATTACGAATAAATGATTTTTATATATTTTTTTACTAAAACACATGAAGATTATACAAATGATAAAGTAACCACACAACTAGTAGTTCTTTAAGCTTGTTTTTTTTTGTTATATATATATATAGATGAGACAGTTATGAGTCGAAAGATGCTAATTAATTCTATTCTTGTGCTGGCTTGGTAGCATAAGAAATATGAATATCTCTACCACCATAAGTATAATTGTTCAATTGTTGAATGGCAGATTCGGCCAAATCAGCAATTTCAAATTGAACAACAGCATTACCACTTGGTCTACCATCAGCAGAATATTGAATTTCAGCTTTAGTAGTTCTACCAACAGTTTCAAATAATTCATATAAATCATCATTTTGAGTAGCAAATGGTAAATTTTCAACAAAAATAGTATCTGATTTTTCACCCATTCCTGTAACACCTTCAGTGAATTCGGAATTCTTATTAGCTGGAGCAGATGATCTACCTTCAGAAATACTACCTCCAGTAGCTGAACCTCTATAAGAATCTCTTTCATATCCAGAGGAAGAAGATGATGATCCAGTAGAACGACCTGGTCTGGTATCTAATTTTCTACCTTCAATTTCATAACCTTGGAACATTTCAACAGCTTTAGTGGCTTCTTCTTCAGTGTTGAAAACAACAGTACCAAATCCTCTTGATCTTCCGAAATTATCTAATCTAACATCAGCTCTAACAACTTCACCTGCATCTCTCATTAAATCCTTCAAAGCTTGCCAATTAATAGAAAATGGCAAATTACCAACAAAGACTTCAGTACCTGGTTTAGATGGTGGTGGAGGTGGTGCATAGTTTTCACCTCTTCTACTTCCACCATATCTGTCACTACCACCATATCTATCACCTCCACGGTATCTGTCTCTATCACCATATCTGTCACCTCCATATCTACCACCAGATGCTCTACTATCATAAGTTCTGCCTCTACCTCGTGGTGGACCATAATCGTTCTTTTTATCTGGAGGTGGGTAATCTTGTCTAACAAATATTTCTCTACCGCGATATTCATAACGATCATATTTATTAATGGCATCACGAACATCTTCTCTAGATTTGAATTCAACAGTGGCCATACCTCTTGATTCACCTCGATTGGTAACAATATCCGCTCTAACAATAGCAAAATCACGTTTGAAAATATCTTCAATATCACGAGAAGTAGCATCGAAAGGAATATTACCAATGAAAATAGAATTATCGAAATTTCTTTCAGTTTTCGAACGATATTCTGCATCATTTGCAGCACGATCATAATCTCTACCTCTATAACCACCACTACCACGGCCATAATCTCTACCGCTTCCTCCTCTGCTATCATAAGAAGATCTTGAAGAACGTGAACCATAATCTCTTCTAGAAGAATAGCTATCTCTAGAATAAGATGAATTGTCTGATCTTTCCCTAATTGGAGATCTTTCTCTTATTGGTGATCTATCTCTAGTTGATTCAACATCTCTAACTGGAGAACGAGAACGATCCTTTATTAATAAATGTTAGCAATAATTCAATGATTGAAAATAAAAAAACCAATTAAAACCAATAGTGATTTTTTTAAAAAAAGAGCGAAATAACAGTTCAGCAACAAACATATCAATAACCAGAAGGATAATTATCCTTTCCTGTTAAATAAACCAAATGTTTTTTGGGGGGAATAATACCTAGGATAAAGCATTGTTACCAAATAACCAGCTTCTTTTTGTTTCCGTTCGGAGTTTTATTAAATCTTAACCATCCAGTACCAGAAATAAAAAAATAGCCAGCTTTTTGCTTTTGTTTTGTTTTTAATGTAGGGAACAATCTTGAACCAGGGAATAAAATCACTCTACTAATGATAAATATAGATATTTTTGTTACCGGACTTGGAATTTCGTCAATAAATGGTGATAAGTTATATATATGAATAATAATAAAAAAAAAGATTAACATACTCTTGAATAATCATCAATATCCATTCCTTCCATCTTGAACCTTAACTTCTTTTTTTCTAATAATAATAATAATAATAATACAATTGAATCCAACAACAATAACAAAAACTAATATAAAAAAAAAATCAAACCAATATTAATGGGGAAATAATGAAAATGATAATAATTTTTAATCAACAATAAATCCAACCTTGACAAATATATATCGGAATGACTAATAACTTATAGAAGTCTTTCTTAATCACAACTTTGATCTTTCAATGAAAGTATATGCTGTATTCGCCCAATGACTTTTTGCTTTTCTGCCTTCAATGGGGGGTTTTCAACGAAATGCGAAAATTTTTTTGCACAGACAAAATACTATTGGGCCAATTCACACGACCTCTTATAAAATTGAAAAGAATCTATACAGATCAAACTATCAATGAAAGAACCTATTCACTTTTCAGGTATTGGCAAGACCAATCTTCTTTCCACTTCAGTTTCTTTATTGACTTCTTCTTCTCCATCGAATTTCAACCTTACATTACCATCTTTCTTATGCCCCACAACTATAGCAGGATAAAATGTAGAAGTATCAGGATATCTTGCCAATACTTTACATCCATAATTATAATTGATTAAATCAGTTCCCTTTGGTGGAATCAATAAGATTTCTTTATAAGTAGCCTTAAATACTTGACCAGGATTATTATTTTCATCAGGTTCAGGATCCTTAATTTCAAATTTTATCCCATCCCCTATAATTTTAACAACAACACATTGAATCCATTCTTCAGAATGACGATTTTTTAATTTATAAGCAACTTCCAGTCCAATAAATATTGGATCCAGTGGATTAAATTTAGATGTCCAAAATGAACGTCCAATTTTTTTAGTTTGTTTTGTTTTACTACTACCTCTTTTTTCAATTTTTTTAGTAGCTTGTGTAGTTGATTTACCTGGTTTCTTTTTAGTTTTAGATGGTGTTGTTTGATTTTGACCAAGTTGTTTTTGAGCTTGAGCTTGAGCTTGAGCTTGTGCTTGTGCTTGCTGTTGTTGTTGTTGTGCTTGTTTAAGTTTATTCTCTTTGGTTATAATTTCAATTAATTTCGTAAGATTTTCTGTAGATGTGTTGATTAACCTTTTAGCTGTACCTATATTTGATTTATGATCAATTATTTCTTCTTGAAGTTTGCTTAAATCATCTGTTGATAATTTGGATAATTCTTGTGATGAATATTTCTTGAGATCATTATAGATGTTATCAAATGTTAATGATTCATTAGAATTACATATATCTTGTAATGACGTTATAACAATATCCCAATTACCTTCTATTTCTGGTGTCATAATTAAATTGATTTATCGTTGGTTCTTCGGATGTTGATAGAGTTGATTTGTTTATCGGTTAGTGTTTATTTTTTTTCTCGGTGGTTTTATTTTTTTCAATATTTGATTCACTTTTATTATCACCACATCCATTTGATAATGTTACAGTATTGTATACACATTGCTTGTGGTATAGATATAGTATCGGCAATATGGCAACTTCAATATAATAAACAAAAGAAATCCATATATGGTTTGTCATTTGACTATGTATTGTTTTCTTTCTTGCATTTATTCCTATCAATTCTCACAATTTTTCTATATATTAATAACGATTTACAATATCTGATTAGAAATCCCATATATAACATAATTCCTGTATCATTTGTTGTTTTATTGTTTGAAATTGCTCAATGTTGCGTATTAGTATTGATATTATTACAATTACGAGTATATAATTCAACTAAAAATTCAAATCAAGGTTTTAGTCCCTTTGGATTAATCTTTTTAGGAAGTATCGGGTTTTTACTTTTATGGGTAATCAAAATGTATACATTTCAACAAGGTAAGATCATATTGTTGGATGTAATTGATATGCTATGGATGATTAGTAGAACATTATCATGTGTTAAATATTTACCTTTGATATCTATGAATTGGTTTGATGAATCTGTTGTGGGTGTCTTCCCCGATTGGTGGAAATTTCAACTTGCTACCTGTGGGTTTCAATTATTAGGCAAATTATCTAAAACTCATTCATGGTGGGAAATCCCTTTAAATTATCCAACTTGGGTAGAATTATTGGCTCACTTGGTTTCACTTGTTATTCTAATTTATCAATTGTATATTTATAAGGATAACAAACCAACGTTAAAAGAAAGATCAAAGTGATAAATAATAAATAAGTACATGAGAAGTCTATAGACAAACAAAAGAATAAATAGATAGAGAGTGGTAATATATAGTTAGAAAGTCTAGGTGAATTTTTTTATAATCTTCCTCCTAACAACTTGACAGCTAGATGAACACCATAACTTATTTTTCTATCTTCATCAAGAATATATTTAGGTTCTTGCAAGGAATGCTGTTGTTCTTGTTCTTCTTTGTTGGCTTCTAATCTTGGAGCAAAATCTTCTAAAGTCAACTCTTTAACATCTTTCATTATATGATCTATTTCTCCCTTCATTTTCTTCTTAAGTTCTTCATCTTTTGTTATAATGATAGCATTACTTTCCAAATCACAGGAATATGCACGTTTGGTATAATTAGATGATCCAACCACTGTAATACTTGGTTCATTTTCTCTTGGGCCGGTGATCCATAACCCCTTAGCATGATATGACCATCCACCAGGAGTGTTAACTACACCCTTTTGCCATTCATATACGGTAATCAATGTTGATTTTCCCAATTTCTTAACTTGTTCGATAAATTGTTTGGCAAATAAAAGATAAGCTTGTGGCAAATAGTAGGAAACACCTGGTGATTTGTAAAATGAATTGGCTTTTGGTGACGCTGTTATTATGGTGCCTTGTGATTTACCATTTAATAATCTGTGTTGATATTCTGGCAACATATTGAAATAACCTGCTGTGAACCACCATTTAACCTTTGGTGAATCACCATATGATAACACTCTTAATATAGCTGGTTTCTCAGTCAGTTGATCTTGATTTTGTGGAAATAATGGAGTAAATTGAGATACTGGGTATACCACGGTATCATATTCTGTAGAATTATCAAACTCCTCAAAAGAATTCAATTGCTGTTGTTTCAATAATGGTGTTAACAAATGTGAAGAATCACTGATAAATCTTTGTAAATTCAAATGAGGTTCACCACTTGCATTAGATGTTGGCCAAGTCATTTTAAAACCTTGTTTCAATTTGGAGGTATGAACTATTCTATAAGACAATGATGCTATAGCTTTATGAATCTTAAAATAATAATCAGTTAAAGGTTGATCTTTAAATAAATAATAACGATCTTGTCTATCAGTGAAATAATCCTCGGATAAGTTAGCTCCACTTAGTATAATTTCTTGATCAAACCCATATAATTTCATATGTTGTAAACCCCAACCTTCATTAATTCTTTTTGGTGCCAACATCTTACTGAATCCAGCCAAATGAGGAGTATGATACATGCGAATATCGATTCTTCTACCAAACTTCTGTTCTAAAGGTGCCAATAAGGAAGCACTACATAAATTTGGAGCTTCTCTTGTACCTCTAAGAGCATCAGTTAAAATATAAACTTGTAAATCATCATTCTTTTCCATAGCATCAGAAATACATTGGATCAATTCATGTTGTTTAGTCCCAATATAAAGTGTACTTAAAAAAATCCTACTTTTGGCAGTAGAAATCTTGTTTAATAAAGTCTTGTAAAATACCCTTGGTTCATTCATAACTTCTATATCCCCTTTTTTCAACAAGAATCGTGGAGCTATTGAATCCAACTGAGTGGTAAGTGAGTTAATAGGAGATGACATTGTTGTATAAGATCTATGAGATGATGATGTAGTAGATGTAGTGGTGGTAGTAGTAGTAGTAGTTAATGAAGAATGTAAGAAATGATGTAAACGGGCAAACATGAAATTACCATTAAAGGAAGAATAAGAAGAAAATAAAGTATTTTTAAAAGATCTATAATTTATCATCAACTTCATATTTTTTCCATATTTTTTTTTTTTTTTTTTTTACTTTTTCTGTTTATAATCCTCTCGAGTTTATTATTTTAATTACTAGTATTCCCTCTAATGTATGGCAATTGCGATTTGCTACGGAAAAAAAAAAATTTTCTCTCTCTCTCTCTCTCTTTCTCTCAAAGTTAACGATAGGCTGTGTGCAGGATATGCACCAATCATCAATTTCCCCGTAGCCAAATATAACATGGGGTTGTGTTAGGTTTGTGATGTAATGTATTGTAGTTGAAACTAATTACTACTTCTGGGAATTCATTTAGAAGGATAAATTTTTTTAAAGCCACAAATGGTACCTGTCTACACACACACATACACAGAGAGAGAGGGGGAAAAGAAGAATATTATGCTTCTACAAGTGTGTCATGTTACTAGTTTAATCCCCATGGATGACTATACTCACCCCTTTTTTTTTTGCTCAAGTGGGAAATCGGGATATGAAGAAGGATTGTTAAATTGGCTTAGTTTAATTAAAGATCGATTTACTCTATATATCACGGCAATTCTTCATCTTTCCATCGCCAAAATGGGCAGGACCACATAGCGAGAAAATTGTGCCCTTGCTTTGTCTTACGGCATCAGCTCCACATGTTGGCGTTTATTTTTTTTTTTTTTTGTTGAGTGTACATAAATGTTGGGAGAGGAACTATGGGATTGGTGATGATCTACTATGTGTTGAGCATTCCTTATCGTATATGTTTCATATTTTCTTACACCATTTAATATATAAATAAGAATTAGTAAGGTCGTACGAGTGTAAAGAGAAGCAAAAATCACTTGAATAAAAATTATTCCTAAATGGGAAATCTTATCGGCAAATCAATCAAAAACGGAAATAACAATTTTCTTTTGCTTTTTTTTTTGTCTTCTGATAAGAGGTCGTGCCAGTTCTAATTTTAGTGCTGTTTATACACGACCCTTTCTTTTTCATTAGTCCTCCCTCCCCATCCCCCGCCCCACTTCAGATTAGATAATCCACCAACTCTTGCTCTTTTTGTAGAATGATAACTTTATTACTCTATTGCTTTAACAACTACAAGACCCATTGATTATTTCCTTATTTTGATAATAACAACCATTGTATTACCTGGTGAATGTTTCCTATTTGGCTTTTCCTATTTATAATTACAAGACAATAGATATGGTTTCACATAAAAATGGCTTCTCCACTCTTGCCTCATTTGACTATTATTTTACCACCACCACGGTTGTTCCTTATTACTTATTGTTAACTTAATTATACAACAACAGTTTCATCCAGTTATTTAAAACATTAGACTTTTCCATCCTGTTTTATAAAAAGTATGTCTTGCTACTGATTAATATCCTACAAATATGTATAATTTATGGGTTTCAGGAAAGTTACTTGCAACCATCAAAAAAAATAAATCACGTGACTTTGTGATTTCCTAAATAGTGACTATTTACGATATATGCCCAAGAAAAAAGAGTGATGGCAAACTTATGGACTACCATAGATGGTTAGGTCTACTATACTCTATAGCCCCAACAAGAAGCGTTTGTCCACATAGAATTACATCTCGGAAAACGTGGGTATTATTCTTTGGTTAAGAGTTCTTTCTTTCCTATTCACCAGTGATAATAACACAAAAAAATCTTCTCGAGATAAATTTTTTATTTTTTTTGTTTTTTTCGTTTGTTACCAAATCATTGATCAACAGTCCCCCAGTTTATATATGATGACGATGCTGAATCTTATCATATTGAGTGAAAAGGATACATTGTTGACAGAACATTACGATATATGACAGCTCATATGACTGATTACTTTTTATTGCTAATTAATCATTTTCTTATGATAAGGGTGACATTTCAATCCCTGCATGATAACTTAAATTATTCCAAAGAAAACGTGGGAGCGAAAAAAATAATATAAGGTCAAAATTATTTACACGTGGTGTACTAGTTCATTTGGTATTTCAGAGTACAATTAATTTTATCCTTATTCAAAAATTCAATCCAAAAGATATGAAGAAAAATCACTACATTGGGAAATAACTTGGAAGACAATAAATTTCAATTCACAAGATTGATATCATTTAAATTGTGTTATATCCATCCCCCTTTGTCAAATTTATGACACTTGCTTTCTTTTTTTTTTTGTTTATACTTCCACTTTTGATTGATATTGATATATCATATAGTTGGTTATTAAATCATGTCAACTACAGGTATGACGGACCCAGAGAAAAAGGAACCAAAGATCCTGGAATCTGATACTTTTTTTGATGACGATTCTCAATTGTATCACGTGAATGATATTGCTTTACACGAGAAAATGGTTTTAATCAACAGAGCCATTGATGAAATTGGTTTTACTCCTTACCACATTAAATTATTCTTCCTTAATGGTATGGGTTATTGGACTGATACCCAGTTGACTTATTTGGAAAGTAATGTTCGTACATTTATCAACTATCAATTTGGATATACTTATCCTATTAGTAATGAAATGTTGGCCGCTGGCTTGTTAATTGGTGCTATTTTCTGGGGATTTTCAGCTGATTTGATAGGTAGAAGAGTTGCCTTCAACTTGTCTTTATTGTTGAGTTCTATTTTTACTATCTTGACTGGAGTTATGAATAATATGGCTTCATATTGTATTTTTGTGTTTTTGAGTTGTTTTGCAGCAGGTGGTAATTTGGTTCTTGACACTTGCGTTTTTCTTGAATATTTACCTCATAAAAACCAATGGTTGTTGACTTTTTTTGCATTTTTTTGGGGGATTGGTCAAATTGTCGCAGTTGCATTGGCTTATGCATTTTTACCAAACAATAGTTGTGAGTCAGCTGAGTATTGTCCTTCTCATATTAACCGTGGATGGAGATATGTATACTACACCAATGGTAGCATAGTGTTGGCCATGTCCATTTTACGGTTGACAATTATTAGGTTGAAAGAAACTCCCAAATTTTTGATATCTAATAATCGTGATGCTGAAGCTGTCCAAGTATTGCAAGAGATTGCCACCAAATACAACCGACCATGTTCATTGACATTAGAACAATTAGAAGCATGTGGAGAAATTCAAATCAATGATGATTTCAGAAAACATATTGATGTTAAAGGTACTGCTCAATTAATTTATCACCATGTGCAAATTTTATTTTCCAATAAAACAATGGCTAGATCGACTTCATTGGTATTTTTAAGTTGGCTATTATTAGGTATTTCCTATCCATTATATTCTTCATTCCTACCTGTTTATCTTGCAACTAGAGGAGCAAATATTTCTGCGCCTGATGTTAATGGTGTTTACAGAGACAATTTGATTTCCAATACTGTTTCAATTGCTGGACCGTTGATAGCCGGGGCTTTGTTGTATTTTTTTCCCATTATAGGTAGAAGAGGCGTGTTATTCATTGGAGGTGTTATGTCTATGGCATTTCTTTTCGGATATACTCAAATCAAAAGTAGAGCACAAAATGTTGCCTTGTCGTCAATTTCATTTGCGAGTATGTATATTTATTATGCAGTGTTGTATGCATATACTCCTGAAGTATTTCCATCTGCAGCACGAGCCACCGGAAATGCAATAGCTATTGCTTGTACAAGAGTTATGACTTGTATAGTTCCTGTGATTGCATATTTTTCCGATACTTCATCTTCTGTACCTATTTGGATTTGTGGAGCTTTTGTTGGAGTTCTTGGATGTATTGCCTTGTTCATGCCTTATGAACCAAGTAAGCATAGAGTTGTTTAGATTTTTGAAAGTAGTTTAAAAAAAAGAAAAATGTAATAGTTGCTTTGTGATAATTAAGGTCGGATATAAGATAGTAGTTTGAATAAAAATAGAATTCACCTATGGAATTACTACACACTTAGTTTGTGAATTTCCATGAAATTTTAGTTAGAAAAGGACTAAATTAAAGAATAAAAGAAGAAGAAGAAGGTTATTTTTATCTATTATTCTATTAGTAAGCTGTGATGTCATTTCAGTATTAGTTACTCCCTTTCAAAGTGGCCACGTTCTTCTTAGTAATAGTTTCGGAGATATACTTTCTTTAATAAGATCAATAAAATTAATAAGCAACCAAGTTGCCTGAAATTTTCAACAACCCTATTCATGAAAAAAAAAACAGTAACAAAAACATCAAGTGAAATGTAGCTGCTAATTTTTACATTTACATTTACATGATAAACCAAACTTCAAATGATAATGAATAAATAATATGATCATTTTACCTTTACCCCTCTTTTTTTATGACCTTGAACATAAAGAAAATAATCTAAATGGTCATTCATGTCTTTTCCCAATTCTCTCTCGATTGATCTAGTTATCTATCGATCTATCTATAAGTGAGTGATCAATCCAGCTTTGTTTTTGTTTTAACTTAGCATTAGATTTCGCAGCTTCAAAGAAAAAAAGAAAAAGAAAAAAAAAAGATTTTGTTCTCTCAAAATGTGAGTGAAGATGATTACGTAATACATATACTAGGCGAGATAGAGAAAATAGTTTGTTCATGTACATGAAGATAAATTGTGCATAGTTTATAATGAACTGAACTGAAATTCTGTTACAAACTAATCGAATTGAGATAAGGGTGGAAATAAAAAAGTAGTGTAGTAGTAGTAGTAGAGTAACTAAGTGTTAACTTTTTGATGAGTAATATAAAGGATAGTCATAACGGAAAAACCGTGATGATATGAAATTCTACAAAATAGCTTATATTTTATAGCCGTAGTAGTCATCAAAGTTCGAAATAAACTAACCACAATATGGTCAAGATAGAGACTGTGTGTGTGAGAGACAGAGAGAGGGATCAGACGGAGACAGAGAGTGAGGGAAGAACAGAGGGCCAAGAAATGGATGCAAATTGAACATCTTATTCGTAAAAAAAAAAGAAGTGATTGCGAGATGAATCTGGACAATGTTTGTATTGTTTTGTAGTAATGAAAGGGGGGCTTATTATTGGGTGTAAAGGGGGGGTGTGTGTGAAAGGTGGAGGAGGACCAGTTCTCGTAATAGCAATAGTTCGGAAACAAGAAGTTATTGGAGATTTAAACCCACTAGTGATCTTTTTAGTGTCCACAGTAATATCCCCCACTACAGTGGCTTTTACAATAACCACCACCAAGTTATTTATTGCTTTTTAGTATTTCTTTTATCTACAAGATAACTAATTTTATTTTTAAGAAAGATTAGGAAATTAATAAATATTATCTATGTACGAAACTCTATATTTTAATTATTTAGCTTTGAAGAATTTATTAAAGTGTACTTCTTTACCAATCTTAGTTCTTTTGATGATAGTTTGAACACCAATTGCACCAAGATTAATTGGAGTACTACCTTCTGGAATATCACCAGTAATTTTAATTTTAAAAGTTTCATCATCTCCAGAACCATCCAAATGAACAATATGAAAAGTATCGGTACCAGCGATAGTCATTTTATCTAAATTTGGATGTTCAAAAGTTTCATTAAACCCATAACCAGTATCAGCTAATGTAAGATAACCATCCGAATCAATATTGACAAATTTTGTTGGATCTTGAGTTGATGCAAGTACTGTTAATCCAGTACTTTCATCAAGAACTGGAAGAAGAAATGATTTGAAATTAAAATCTCCACAGAGATATAAGAAAGCTTTTTGAATTTCTTCATGTGGTAAACAAGCCATTTCACCATAGTATTCATCATCCAGTATAACCATAAAACCAACTGTGTCAACACCAAAAACAGTAGCAATAAATAAAAGAATAGTAGCAATAAGGAATTTCATTGTTATAGTAGATTATTAGAATTATGATAATTGATAGTTAGTGTTATTTTGAATATTATTGAATTAATGATTAATTAAATAAAAAAGAGAACAATGGAATTTAAAAAAAATGGGATTTTCTACCAGTATTTATAAACAATTGGATGCAATGAAAATGTGTTGAAAATAGGTTGTAATGTTGAGGAGGATGAAAATGGAAATACTAATCTAAAGGATATAAAGTAAAAAAAAATCACAAAAATATAATTTAGCACCCAATGTAGTTGCTGAACGAACTGAGCCTCTTAGTTAAAGTTGATAATTATATAAAAATGATAATTCAATACTGTATCATACATCTTACACCTTTGTGTGCAAAATCTTCTAGTTTTTGCTCTTACATATATATATCTTTGTGTCAACAGTGTTTTTGGGAGACATAAGAAATAAATCTTCAGAGATTGTGCTTCGGATGTAACTGTCCGTAGATCTCACAAATGAAATTCAGTAGCCAAATACAGTTGAAAGTTTCAATTTGCTTAATGACTAACACCCCCTTTCCCTTCATCCCATAATCACCACCACCACCCCCATTCTCCACCAATGAATTTCATAATTTTTAGTTGGTTTAGTCAAGTCCTCCTAGAAATGGTTTCTCACATTACTATATTTCAACAACATGAACATCCACCTGTCATGATATTATTCATGCAATTAATTGAACAACAATTTAATTAATACCTGCAAACGAATAAATTATAACCTGATCTTTCAACAATTGGACATTACATTATGGCGAGATCTTTTTCAACAACTAATCCAATGCTAATGAACAATGAACAATGAACAATGGATAGTACCAACAAAAAGTATCACTAAACTTATTTACGTGGTCTAAATTATTCATATGATAAATAAAACGCTTGGTATACAAAAAAAAAGTCGTGCATTTTGGGTAAGTAGACTAAAAATGGGCAAATTTGTGTCATCACATATATTGGTGTGTGCACTACTCTATGGGATTGATTAATATGAGAATGGTTCTCGGCCGAGGCGGAATCTAGGCCAAAAATAGAATTTAGATCTTCTTAGCCCTCCAACGGGCATATAAAAAATTTTCCGAACTAACATTTAAAGCTACAGCCTCACTTTTTGTATAAGACAGTGATCATTATCTCCGATTCATCTTCATATTTCCCCAAATTATATGTTGGAACTAAGGTACATTTCATGATGGAATTTTCATACCAAATTGGGCCCGGAAAAATATGGAATATATTTCCTCAATTGGCATTTTGAGTTTGTTTAAAGATACAAGTACCACAAATGAATTAAAATTGATGAGGTAATTAACAATTGGTGTACAATAAAAAAACGATTTAGGAACGATATTAAAACAATGAAGAGAGTGTGTGACAGGTACAGGACAATGTCAATAATCTGTTGAACAATTAAACGAGCCCCAAACAAAATTTGAGTTTATAATTATAAAATCACGCAATATCCCCCAGTGAATATCGTGGGGGATGTATAAATAATGTATTCATCACCATATTGCAAAAACAAAAACTCTAGACAAACCCAATTGACAAGTAAAAGTAAAATGGTACAAACTTGAATGTTCGTTCACGGAATTGATTTCTCTTTTGGTAGTAATTAGAATTATGGATAATTCCATCAATTTCCGATTTCTAAAATTCCGCTCAACCTAGTTTTGGTAAGAAATGAATGCATATTCGGATTAACTTGACATTCGGATATAGAAGCTGCAAATCATTAAAATGAAATTCACTTGCTTACTTGGTACATTTGTTTGATCAACTTACAAGCATTTCACATATTTGATCGATCGGGTTACAAAAATTTAAAATCCACTGTAGGACAAAACTCAATTATGTACTACGAATGACGAATTGAGCTACACACACTTCTTGATTGTAAGAGGATTATTCACATTACATCAAGATAGTTTCAAAATGACACACAAAGTTGAAATATAACTATTGTAATTAAGGCTAGTCTAAACCATATGTTCATGCTTTTGTTGCTTCTTTTTTTTTTTTGTGATGTTGGTCACAGTCAAGTGATTCATTGTTGCGTATTCAATTACAGTCTTGTGGTAAGACTCATAAAAAAGAACTAAGAGTTGACTCCAGTTTTTTTTTTTATTTTTTGATCTTATTGGTTCAATTATCTATGAACGAACCGTTTCCGTCGTTTATAAAATTTTCAAACCCGAAAAGGATATGCCCACATTCAATTCCTCCCCCGTAATATGTTTGTGGAGGTTCTCATTTTCCTACTTTTGTTTGAATTCAATGAATACATGTACTTTTTCATGTCTTGAATATGCAAATTGCTTTCAAATTTACATTTGTTGACAAGTTTGCATGAGTAATGCAACAATTGTCTGAGATTTATACCCTTTGCTTCAATTTGAATCATACGATCTATTGTCACATGTGATATTGCATAGCAAATAAAGGATAACAATAGGATACCAGTTGAAGTAATATTTCACGTGAGATCTCTCGTATTGGTGTTGTTACATAGTCAATTGTTGGAAATTAATTGTTCAAAGTGTTGAAACAGAATATAACAATACCTTTGTGTGTATTTATGAGGCGGGAGAATGGAAAGTTCAAAGAGAATTTTCAAATTTTAATGAATGTCAAATTGATAGAATTAGAAGCGACAATTCTATTGTTCTTGGTAATCACATTGATTGTTCTTCTAAATATGGATACGATATTTAATCATCTGGCTTGGCAACTAAAACAATTGAGTCAAAGATAAATCTTCAATGTATTTTTTGTTTTTTTTTTTTACCTTTTGTCTTTGGTTTTTTCTTTTTATGTTTATTTTTGTCATTTTTCGGTTTTCGTATATACCAACCAATCGTTGACAAGTTCACTTGACTTGTTGTGTAGAATGTTAGTTTTTAACTGTTTCCACTAAAGTTTACTAGTGGAGTTAGTCCATTTTTTAAAATCCTTTCAACCGGTACACTTGAATCTTAATCATGAGTCGTAAGAGAAAAATTGAATTTGTGGTTCAATTCGCAACCAAATCAAAATGAATTATTATCAACTCAGTACAAATTAATTCTTAGACTAATAACTCTGGATCATAAATTTTAATAATAGAGATCGTAGTAAATGATTCAATTGCCTTTCCTCTTATAGAGTTTCTAGTTTTTCTTTTCATTAACTAATTTTATATCATATTTATCTAATTTTGTCAAGTAATAAATTCAGATAGTTTTTTTTTGTCGAATTCAATACAAATTTTATATGAAAATGTACATACTGTATTTATTACACACCAACTATTAGACCCCTTCTTATAATCAACAATTATTGATCAATATCAATTTATATAGCACCAATCACATCAATTGAGTTCTTCATTCTTCAAATCGTAAATATGTGTCTTTTGGAACGACGCAAATTATGTAACAAAAAATAATAAAAAATACAAAAGCGCAAATTGAAAATTGCGCTCTCATACTGCATATCAAAGCCACAGTTATCAATACAAAGAAAGAAACAATTAATCCGCACGTACATATACATATATATATTACATTTATTTACAAGACAGACATTCTATTATCATATTAGGTTTTGATTATTACCATTCTTTTTAGAACAACATGATCCTTTACTTGGGGGATTTGGATTATAATTTTCTACTCCATTGATATTACCGTTATTAGTGGTAGCTAGACTATTATGTAAATTATAGTCAAAAATTTCAAAATTTCCTTGATTATTTGTAACTTGCAGTGGTTGTGGAGGAGGAATATATTGAGACATTGATGATGGATTCAGAATGTTAACTTGTGGTTGATTCACTTGGGGCATAGCCATCGGTATAGATTGCATGGTTGACATTTTTTGCTGGGAGGGTAGTTGTGGAATAGAAACTGGTGATTGAGAGGCAGGAGCTAGCAAATCAGCAAAATTAAAATCAATCGAATTTAGAAGCTTAGACTGATCTTTAAAATAATCATCTAATTTATAACCATTGATAATTCCATGAACTTCACAATTGGTACAATCACAAGAATCCGATGGACATGAACATGTATTGGGCGATCCAGGACTACTTGATTCTGATTGTTCTTGAAGTGAAGTAACTGCAGTATGAAGAATATTAGGGAATTCCCCATTATCAGTGAATGACAAAGAATTAAACACCATATTTCCCTCTTCAACTTTTGGAGGGAATGAATTGATATCATAATCCATAAACTCGACTGAAGGGTTTGATTCCGCTAGCGTGTTAGGAATAGTTCCAAGCTTGCTATTTCCATGAACGATACAACCTTCACATGAACAATCATCTCCACAACAACATGTGCCTGGAATGGAACATGAAGCAACTGGAACCACACCGTACACTTGTGCTTCATTTGTTTTTGCTTCGTTAGATTTGGGTATTTCATTAACTAATACAAATTTTTGATCTTGTTTAACTTTATTGTTCAATTTGTTTTTTATATAATTCTGAAGGATCCTTGATTTATTGACAGCACGTTTTTTATTGTTGCAACAATCACACGATTTCCCCTTTGAAATCTTAGGAGTACAACAACTAGAAGTATTTATAAAACTATCATGATTAATTATGGGTTGTTGCTGCGGCACTGGTTTTGTAGTTGTGACTTTTGAAGTTTTTGATTCATCATAAGGACCTATAATTTCACCACTTTTCAAATCCACAACTTGCTTGTTTGATGCCTTGAGAATTACAATTGGTGCTGTGGAACATTTCTTGGATTTATTATCATTGTCCAAGATCTCTTCACTGTTTGCTATTTCTTCTGCAAATACCGCCACTCTATGATTAGGATTTCCATTTGCATATTCAACAGGTCTTCCCTTTGATCGTACCTGTAGTAAAGGTCGTTGATGATGCTTACATGAGGATGAACGATGTCCTCTTACACATTCCATACACGCGTACTTGTCACCATCAATTAGAATCATTTTATTTCTTTCTTTCTTTCTTTCTTTCTTTCTTTCTTGAACTATAGAAGCGTACCCATGTGTTAAACAGTGGTTGTCTGAGAAAGGGGATAAAGGGGTGGTTGGCAGTATTACCAATAGGTTATAAGTATATTTTTTTTACCTGTCTCTTTTTTTTTTGAGTCAGGGCGCTGGTTCATACAATGAGCAAATTTTTCACTTCCAAATCAGGTGAGTTAAACCGATGACACCTGTAGATGAATTGATAGTACCAGGATCGAATCCGAACCAGATCATCCGAGATTAATTAGATAAGTGTATCTCTGTAACAGAGTTTGAAGTATCAGGATATTAGTTGCAAATTTAGCAAGGATATACATGAGATCATTTTGTACTTATTTACTGTGTCAAATCACAGAAACATATTAAAATTAGTCAATTATGTCCACTTCAACCTACTTTATCTAATAATGGAACATCTTGACAGAAGATACGACACCAGCTGGATAAACTTTGTTTTTTGTTCTTTTAACAATGTTGAATGCCAGATGGGATTCCGTTTTATCTACATAGATTGACCCTCCATCCTTTGTGTGTGGTGATATTCATTAGATCTTCAAAGCTTTCTCATCTCATTAAACATAAACAGCGAAAAAAAAAAAAATTCAAAACTTCATTCATAATAACCAAATAGACCAATTCACATACACACATTCGTTGATTAAAACAATGCCAGCCAAGTCACAACAAGATTGGGAAGTAGATTTCAATCCAGATGTTCAAGCAGATTCTCAAATTAACTACGACGATGCCATAGATTATTGGTCAAGTACCCCAGCAACTGTCAATGGGGTATTGGGTGGATATGGTGAACAAACATCTGTTCCTAAAGCTGACATTGTTGGATCTTCTACTTTTTTACGTAAATTACAAACCAGAATGACTATTCCAGAAGGTGTTCCTAAAATCACCATAGATATGGGTGCTGGTATAGGTAGAATCACTCGTGATTTATTATGGAAAATAAGTGATCGTGTTGATTTACTAGAGCCAGTTAAACCATTTGTAGCACAAATGGAAAATGAATTAGTTGGAGTTAGAAATAAAGGAAGATTAGGCCAAATTTATGATATTGGTATGCAAGATTGGATTCCAGATAAACAATATTGGTTGATCTGGTGTCAATGGTGTGTTGGACAATTACCGGATGATGTCTTGGTTGAATTTTGGAGAAGATGTGGTGAAGCTTTAATTGAAAATGGGACTTTAATAGTTAAAGAAAACATCGCCCCTGTTGAAGATATATTTGATGAAACTGATAGTTCTGTTACTCGTACTGATGCCAAATTTAGAGAATTATTTGAAAGAGCTGGTTTTAAATTGATTGCTAGTGATATTCAAAAAGGCTTACCTAAAGAATTATACCCAGTTAGAATGTATTGTTTAAAGAGGAAATAAATCAGGACATTCCAAATATACAACTAGATATCTTTTATTGTAATAACCTTGGGTTTGAATATCCGCGTGGATTATCTAATCCAATTATAATATTCAATGATGAAATTATAGACCATTTCAAATCCTGAATTGATGATTTCAAGAGATATTATTTTTGAACGGCCTCCTTCTGTTGGTGGATCTATATGACCCATGTCTTATACGATACAACTCTTCTCTTTATTGCCTTAACCTAAATTCATGAATGTAGTTATTCGCCTCCTATTTATTATGTTGGATGCAAAAATCAGTCGATTTTACGTTCAATACCAGAACAATGTGAAAAATGAAAGGGATGAAGAACAGGAGTGAAAGAGTCTACGATTGAATGGACATTCAATTATTTCATTGAAAATTTTAGTCTCATGGTTATGAATCTTTGATTATTATTATATTTTCTAGAACTGCATTTTATGTAATTGACAACGGAGAAAGAGAGGGGAGGGAGATTACCACCGATGGTTTTTCTTGATGTTCAAATGAATGGTGTCAATATTTACCAAATATAAAACCCATGAGAGAACCTCATTAGCAATTGCATACAACAAGCAAACACACACCAATTAGAATGATATAATTTCTCATTGGGTTCGTTGGCAAAGTTATTTTGTAATTGGTCGACATAGTTACATTCAGAAGTGAATGACACAAAATCGAGCACATTCTTAATTATATAAATGGGCGGCAATTATGAATTTGATCAATAATTCCATGATAATAACCCCCCCGAACCAATCATAGGAGATGACCCATCCATTTGTGTCAAGTTGATCATTGTCATCGTTGCAATGGACAGATCAGGAATAAATTATTAACTTCGTGGTTAGCACATTGATGAACTCTTTAATAACTCCTTTACCCCTTTGGCTCCATTTCTCAAAAGTGTATAAATAGCATGAGTTTCTTCTTCTCCTGTTTGGAATTAATTGTATCTAATCATCAATAAAATCCACAACAACTACTAACTATAAAAACATGAAATTCGCTTTTACCACTTTATTTTTCACTATCGGTGCTGCTTTAGCTGACACTGTTGGTTTGATGGTTACTCTGGATAACGATTTCTACGGGGAAATGGCTTGTTTTTCAAATCAAGGTGATGATAATCGTTTATATCCTTGCAATGATTTTGATTTCAGAATGTTTCTCGAACCAATTACTGATTCGGACTCGGGTTTAACTGTACTTGCTACCGTGGCTCAACCAACGAGATACGTTAATGTTGATTCCGAAGGTTTCCTTGTTTTGGATGATAAAGGTTACGGATTTAATGATACTTTTGAACGCCCAAACTTACAAAATGTTAGTATTAATGACATTGAAACCTTTTATCTCGTTCAAAATGGATCTGGTGACTCAGTTAGATATGACATAAAAGTTATGGAAGAAGCTCCAGAAGGTGGAATTCCAGTTACTTTTGGCGAAATTGGCGTTGCAACTATAATCAAGAAGAACAAATTAGGTCAAGAATTACATTTCAACAAGTTTATTAAAAGAGGTTAGTATAGGTGTGTATTCTATATTTGTTCAAAATATAAATATGGTCTATTAGAGTATATTAGTTGATTCACATTGTAAATTATCCATAGTTAGTTTCCTGAAACATTCATATTTGAAATACATGCAAACGTGCAAAAATGAGTCTCAGAAGAGTTAAGATCTGACAAGCCCAACAAAGCATGTCAAACTACTACAACTAATTTTTGGTCTTGCCATTAGTAATCTAGATTCTTAAGTTGCTACTAACTACATAATTAGTAATCCTATTTTTGTACTATATGTACCATTGAACTTGTCCGCCCCTTTATCCTTCATTTACATTGACATTCTAATGAGCTTTGCAAAGTTGTGCCAAAAAAGTTGCAGCAATTTCAATTATACCGCACGAGAATGAAATGCATCGAATCGCCTTAATTAGTTGAAGGTACCAAAAATATAAACCAACAAGAACAATTTCCACGGAAGTAACCATGAAGAAACCAGTATGCTTGTAAACCAACTGTTGTCCAAGTTGGTATAGTTGAATAAATAGGGGTAGACTCCCCCTTTTGAGTTTGACCCAAGACAAACTATAAATATGAAGGGAATAACCCTACAAACTGAAGAATCGTTGGATATTTCTAATCATTAACAATATCCTCAAATTAAAACATAACTATCCATTCCGAAATGAAATTTACTTACGCTGCTGTCTTGGCTTCTCTTGGTTCTGCTTTTGCTAAAGTCCTTTTGTTAGCCCATCTCAAGGAGTCCACCGAGTATGTTTATGTTGCTTTACCAAATGACAACAAAGATGATCGTTTATATATTTCAAATAAGTCATCCTGGGATTCCGGTTATTGTCTTGTCCCAAAATCTGATCAACAAACCAAGTTAATTACCCTTGCTTCTGACTATGATTCTGAAAAATTTGTTAATGTTGATTCTAACGGGTTCCTTGTTTTAGCTGACAAAGGTTATGCTTTTGACAGAATTGACAATGGTAATATTTTTATTAACAATGCTGACACTTTTTACCTTGTCAAGGCAGATGATAAATCTGAAAAGGACGCTTTGTACAATATCAAAGTTCTGGGTACTGTTCCAGATGGTAGTACTCCAGTCAACATTGATGTTTCCACAGTCACCTTTGCTGTTAAAAAGGATGTTGCTACCCCTACTACTATTACTACTACTTATGTGTAAATAAATAGCAAACCGACTCCTATTGTTCTTCACTTTAGTTAATTTCAACTTCACTATATGAATATACAAGTATAGCTGAATAAATTACAGGTCGTGCGCCATTCGCCAATTTTTCGCATTGTTGTTGTTCAACTTTCACCAAAATTTTTCAACAATCGCAAATCCAAAGTAAAGAGAAAAAAAAAAACATGTCAGCTCGAACTTTTCATTGCAGATTTTGTTTATTCTTCTCATTATCAACCATAACAACCGACAGGGAATACTGATAACCATGGAGGATCCTATTGATATATCCTATTATATAGGGGCAGAGGAAATAGAATCATTGAAAACACTAGATGTTCCATTTGATAACCAAGTTGTTTCTATCGATTTACAAGAAGAATTGTTAGATGACCCAAGTGATTTAATTCAATTATTAACTGATCAATCAAGTCCTAAAAAATACTGGATTATAATTGCTAGTGCATATGCTAAGATTGGAAAAGTTGAACAACTGATGAAATTTATTAAAGCAGCTCTAAATTTATCATATTTTGATAATAATGATAGAATTACTTTTGAAAGTTTTATTATTTGGCTTTATTTACAAAATGTTAGTTTGGGAATTGAAAAGGATCAAAACTTGAGTTTGGCAAGACAAGGTATTTCTAAATTAACATTCAAGATTCAAAATGATAGAGAAACAAGACCACTTAATAGTATTTCCAATTTATTATGTTCTGCAGTTCTTAATTTATATGAATCTAACAATGACCATGCTAGCGAAATTGCTGAACAAATTTTGAAAATTAACAGTAGTAATGCATTTGCATTATTAGTTAAAGCACAATCATTATTGAATAAATCAAAAAATTATGCTCATGCATTAAAATTGTTTCAACAAGTTTTAATTATGAATCCAATGATGAAACCAGATCCAAGATTAGGAATTGGTTTATGTTTTTGGTTTTTAAAAGATGAAAAGCTTGCCATTAAATCTTGGGAAAGAAGTTTAGAATTGGATCCATCGAACATAAAACTGAGAATATTTTTAAACTTGGCCAAATTTCATAACACTTTTACTACTTCTTTAAGTGATGAAGAATTTTTGGAAAATTACAAGAATTGTTTACAAGAATTAAGTAAGATACAAAAATCTAGTATTAATGATGCTACTGTATTGTTAACTTTAGCAGCCCATTATTTTGCCAGAGATGAATATGATGTTGTCTCCAAAATTATCAAGAAGATTGTCACTTCCGTTACTGGATCAGATAATATTATTAAATTCAGTATATCATCATCTATTTCCAAATATGAAGCAAGCGTTTTATCTCAATGTGCTACGTGGTTGGGAAGAATTGAATTTAGCAAAGGTGATTTCACTCAATCATCTAAGTATTTCCAAGATGCAATTAAATTAAATGACAATGATATTGTTGCCAAATTAGGATTGGGACAATCACAATACAACCGTGGATCACTTGAAGAAGCTATAATTACATTTGAAAAAATCTTGAATAGTAATGTGAATTGTCTTGAAGCAAATTATTCCTTAGGTGTATTGTATTCAAAACAAGATTCACCAAAAAAGAAAGAATTGGCCATACTGGTTTTGGAAAGATATATAAGATTATCAAATAATCGTGGTGATTCTTCTAGTAGAGAACCGGTTGCTACTAATGCTTATTTGATTCTTTCTGAATTATATGAAGACAAGGGAGATATGAATCAAGCTTTAACTTATTTGAACAAAGCTGTTGAAGCAAGAAAATATGTTGATAAGGATGTTTCCTTGGAAGTGTATAATAATATTGGTGTTTTCCAATTTATGAAGCAAAACTATACAAGTGCTAGTGAAAATTTCCAAGTTGCTGTGGATAAATTAAATGGAGCAGAATTCAAGTCACCAGATGGTGATTTGTTGATTGATTTACCTCAAGATTTGAAAACCACTTTAACATTTAATTTAGCAAGAACCAAAGAAATTACTAATCAAGATGAAGCATTAACAATTTATGAATCATTAATTCAAGAATGTCCAAATTATTTCTCTGCAAAATTAAGAATATTATTTTTAAATTGTATTACTGATAAAAAAACCAAACAAGAAATTAAAGATGAAATTGATGAACTTTTACAATTAAATGCTTCAGATTTGGAGATCAGATCATTTTATGGTTGGTTTATTAAGAATTTTGCTAAAAAAGTGCATTTATCACAAGATGCCGATACGACATTACAAAAGGAAACTTTAATGGAATATGATTCACATGATTGTTATGCCTTGATTTCGTTGGCCAATATTTATTGTATTATGGCGAGAGACACTAAAGGAAGTGAAGAGAAAAAGAGGAAATATTATCTTCGAGCCATTGAATTGTTTACTAAAGTGTTATCATTAGATCCCAAGAATGTTTATGCTGCACAAGGTCTAGCAATTGCATTTATTGAAAACAAACAAGCAAATAAAGGATTGGATATTTTAAGAAAAATCAGAGATTCATTGAATGATATATCAGTTTATTTGAACTTGGGTCATGTATTGTGTCAATTGAAAAATTTTGGTAAAGCCATTGAAAATTATGAATTAGCATTAGCCAGATATACTGATGGTAATGATACCAAGATTTTATCATTTTTGGGACGTGCATGGTATTTAAGAGGTACCTCCGAACTGAATTTACCTTATTTAAAACAAGCTTTAGAATATGCACAAAAAGCAGTTGAAGCATCTAAAGCTAGTTCCAAAGCTGCACTTTTGTATAATGTTTCATTTATACAATTCCAAATTGCTGATGCCATCACTAAACAATCAGTTAATCAAAGAGTTGTTGAAGAAATTGAAGAAGCTATTGCTGGGTTAAATGCTGGTATTGATATTTTAACTAAATTATCATCTGAAGAAGATGATCGTCATTTACCATATCCTGCCAATTATTTGAAAACAAGAGCCAGTTTAGGGTCTAGTACATTATTGGATTCATTAAATAAAGCATTAGAAGAAACTAAAGAAAGTATTGCTGAGATAGAAGATAAGATTGAAAAGGCTAAACAAATCAGACAAGCAGAAGAAGAAGCCAGATTACGAGAGGAAGAAGAAAAATTGAAGGCTATTCAAGAAAAGGAAATGGAAATGGCTAAACAGAGATTGATTTTACAAGAACAAGCACAAATTTGGGCTGAAGAAAATAGATCAAATACTGTTGTTAGTGGGGATGAAAATAATGATGAAGTTGATGAAAAGTTATTTAATGAAGAATCAGCAGCAAGAACTAAAAAGAAGAAAGGAGGAGCTAAAGGAGGCAAGAAAGGCAAGAAAAAGAAGAATATTATTGAAGATAGTGATGAAGAAGATGAAAAGAATATAACTGGTGAATCTGACAATGAAGAAGGTGAAGCCAATGGTAATGGTAAAAGAAAATCAGAAGAGCAAACCGGAGGAAGTAAAAAGAAAAAGAAGCCTCTTTCATCTGAATTTATTGTAGATAGTGAAGAAGATCTAGATGAGTTATTTGAAGGAGATGAAGAATAGAGAGCCATTGTTTAAGGAACAGTTGTATATGTTGTAAAAAAATAAAGAATGTATATTTGTTATAAAAAGAATTATCGTTTAAACCATTTTCTCATTAGTTTATTACTTTCTGAAGTCAGTTTAAATAATGCTTTTTCAAATTCATCTAAATTATAAAGAAATTCATTATTTAAAGTCTTGTTTGCATTATTACTAAAATTATAAATTTCCAAACTTCTAATTTTCAAACAATTCATAACATTTTCAATTAATTTTTCATCATTATACATATTCCCCCATTTTAAAATCATTGAATAATAAAATGGTGTTAAATTGTGTAAATCAATAGATAATGGATCAGTTTTAATAGCATTTATAACTTTATTATTTATAAATTCAGGATCTTTTAAATCAATAAAACTTTCATTGGATTCTTCATTGATAGTTAATGTAGCTAATATTTTAGCTAACCAAATTGGTAATTCAATTTTAGTATTTTCATGAATTGATTTCCCTGGATTCCCTTCAAGATAACCTAATCCAGGTACAGTGAAATTGAATTTTGTAGGGACTTTTTCTGATTCTGCTAAGATATCATCAATATCATAATAATTCGAACTCATATCGGAATTTAGATGTGTGTTGGTTTATAGGTTGGTCAATAAAGTTGATGATGATTTTATGTTTATGTCTATGTTGGATTTATTTTTTTTTCAGGTTGTGTTTAATACGCGTCGTGATTGTGCCACGTGATTCGGAGTTACAGTATAAAGCTGACTCAACTTATAGTGATGATGAATTATCATCTTGGTGTTCTGATAGTATTTCTGGTATTGTCTGCATTGATTATATACTGACATAGCGCCGTGATTTAGTCATCACCTGGTTAGCCTCTTGGTGATGCTTCATCTCGTAGTAAGAATAATGATGGAGTTGATTAATCAAGGGAGAGAAGAAAGCTAAAAAAAAAAATGTAACATCATTATCTTTCGATTGATCCTTCTAACTTTTATCTTTCAATTTAATCTTTGAAAAAGTGGTAGTTTGACTTTTGATATATAAAACTAGCCTTCTATATTCCAGTTGATTTCATAATAATACTGTTAGTAGTCATGACTTCCAATAATCAAGATATATCACCTACTGAATCAGAGAATTACCCCACGATTAATATTGATCAAACAACTGCTCCACTTGAAAGAACTACATCACCAAGAATCACTTTAACTAGACCAAGTGATGTTAATATAAATCATGATGTAGAAAATCTAGTATCACCTCATGTCATTGAAATCCAGCCACAACATGAATCAACTGAAGAAACCCCATTGTTGGCTAATGTTGATATTGATAAGAATGTACCTTCACGTGGGAAGAAATTATCAAGAATATACTCATTGATGGTTATATATAGTATGATCATCGTAATTTTTGTTTTATTGGGATGTATCATATATAATGTTGTTATTAATTTGGAATCATCGATTGATAAATCCATTCATTTAAACATCAATGAAGTATCAATGCAAGAAATAACTCCATCCGGGATAGATGTACATATTAATGGTGAAGTAGAGATAAATTATAATAAGATTGACAATAGTATTCAACGTAATATGGTTAAATTATTTACTGGTGTTTTTGGAAGTTTGGTTATAAGTAATCTACAACCAGTTGAGATATATACTAAATTTATTGATTTAAATTCACCATTTATTCATTTGGTTGATTCTTCACCACCTCCATTGGAAGTTGAAATTATCAATATGGCAAATACAACTATTGATTTTGTATCTAAATGTCAATTTGTAAGTACTGGATTTGTTGAATTTCTTAAATACTATTATCAATTGGATGATGAAATTAAATTTGAAATCAAAGGATTGAGTAAAGAAGTTGAAATACAATCATGGTTTATTAAAAAAGTTGTCACAAATGTTGAATTCCATGATTTTATAACGGTGAATAAAAATGAAATTGTTCCTGATGTGAATATAGATAAATTTGATCTTAGTTCAAATGGGGGTCAAGAAATTAACATTCAAGCTGATGCATCGATAATAACAAGGCTACTACCTTTGGGAATTAATTTACAATTCGATCCAATAAATTGGAATTTATTCTTTGAGGATTGTGATAATGGAATGATTAATGTAGGTGATTGGAAAAGTTCACCATTTGAAATTACACCCAATGAACCAATTAGTTTAACCGTGATTGGAAATATCACATCGATGCCTGATCCATTAATGGAAGATTGTGAAAATGATGGGAAGAGTCCCATTAATAGAATTCTTGAAAAGTATTTAAATGAAGAACCAATTGAATTTTATTTACAAATGAAAGAGCAAGGAAATATTCCTGATTGGATATTTAAGTTTTTGCACGATTCACCGATTAAATTAGCAATTAAATTACCAAAGATAAATCTAGGTTATATCCCATTGGATTTTACTATAAATTCTTCAGAACTTGACTTGAAAGATAACTTAACAACTACCATGAATTCTAATTTGTCAATCATTACTAAAAGATCCAACATAGATTTTGATGTAAGTCAATTTAAAATAAATTTTGAATTATTAGGAAGAAAGAAATCAACGATATTAGTTGGTAGTTCAAATAATGAATTTGTTAAATTAAACATGACTCAAAATGGATATTTAAACATTGCTGCTTTATTACCAAATATGGATCTTGCTGTACCAGATCCAGCAGAATTGGGATTTGTGATTAATCAATTGTTGAACAATTTTATAATTCAAAGTGATATGTATATGTCAGCTGATATCCGTGATACTACTGTGTCATTACCATTTTGGAAAGATCCCAAAGTGATCAAACATGTCTCAATTCCTGCTGTTCAGATATTACCACGGGTTCACTCGTTAGATTACACACAAGATTTGTTGAACAATTTAACTATTGATAACATTTTCTTGATTGAATCGAGTGATACAAATATGAGATTGTTGGTTGATTTGACATTATTAAACCCAACTAATTTCACTATTGATTTATCGGATGAGATTATATTAGGAATTTCCAAGAATAATTCCTTGATTGATTTGATAACAATAAAGAATTGTCATATACCAAGAGGAGATTTTTTCAATGTGACTCTTGAAATGAATATTCAGGCATTGAATTATTATGATCATGCAAATTTAGAATATTCTATAAGTTCATTTTTATCGGGTAAGAATTTAACTATTGATGTTGTGAATAATAGTGCATCAAGTTGGGCATTGAATGAATTAATCAAGCAAATTAATGTTAATGATTTAATTGTTTATTCACCACCTGATTTACACAAGAAATTTATAATCGACGCCACGATTTATCCTTTATCTTCTGATGTTCAAATCACAGTATTTAATCCTATTCAAAATAGTGAAATTGTTGTTGAAGTTTATACTGCTTATGCTAAAACACATGATGATGAACAAATCAATTTGGGACATTTATTACATAGAGAAAGATTAGTAATACCACCTGGATTATATAAAACACCTAGATTACCAATTAAAATTGAATCATTGGGAATGGATATATTTAAGAAATATTTTAATGGAGAATTAAATGTTGAAGTTGATGTTGTATTCAAAGTTGAAATTGATCAATTTGATGTACAATTGTTTTATAAAGGTGATATAGATACTAAAGTAGGCACACATATTATTTAGCTAGCTAGATATAAAGAGAACATACATAAACTATGTAGGTTCAAGGTAGAAATTACCATTTACCCCATTTCCATAAAGATTCGTTTGGATTAACCAATTCATTATCCAATTTACTGAAATACAACCCATTATCCAACCCTTGAGCAAGAATAACTTGTAAATACCAAAGGAATTTGTCTTTTTCAAAATTTTTAGCTAATGATTCAGCAAATTCCTTTTTTGCATCTTCAGCAGATTTTTCAGATGCAATTTTAAATTCAACATTATCATGATTTTTAGAATAAGTATCAATAACAATTTGTGGAGTTACAACATCAGAAGCAATTCTAATAGTATCTGGTAAAGAATTAGGATTTTCATTAGTTGAAATTGAAAGAACAGTATTTGCAATATCTTCCAATTTAGAAATATGAAATTTTTGATTAATATCACCAATAACATCAATTGATTTAGTTTCAACATTTAAACCAACTGCACCAACCCATTCATAAAGAAAAGCACCTGGAGTAGCAAATAATGAAGTTAAAATATCAACAACTTTAATATTTAAATCTCTAACATTTTTAGAATGTTGACCTTTAATTGATAAAAATCCTGGAGCATATTCATCAACTTTATCAGTATCAGTACCAAATTGTGAAGGAATAAATAATTTTGGTTTTAATTTAGATAATAATAATTCAATATTTTTAAAAATTTCAGGATTTGGAGAAATTAATTCAATAAAAGTATCAATATCACCTAATTTTTCAACAATTAAATCAATTGATTCTGGTTTACTAATATCAGCTATAATATATTCAATTTTATCACTTTTGGTAGTTGGTTCTTTTCTAGTAATGGCTTTAATTGGATAAGAAATCTTGTCATCAAATTTACCAGAATTGATAGCTTCAAGAACTGGAGCACCTAAGAATCCGTTTAATCCAAGAATTGCAATTGAAGTTTTAGTCATTGTGTAATAATAATTTGTTTGTAGTAGTAGTAGTAGTAGTAGTAGTAGTAGTAGTAGTAGTAGTAGTAGTAGTAGTAGAATTGATAGTTTAGAATTTGTAATATATAGGGAAATCTCAAGTCATATTTATAGACTGATTTTTTTTAGGAGTCAATTCCAGGGATCGATAATTGTGGAATTTCGATGTGACATGTATTGTTTAGTCTTTCTCATGGTGTGGCTCTATAACTATATTACATAATAATTTTTGATTTCTAATCTCGCACACATAACTTAAACTGTTGATTACAAATTTGATTATTAATCAAAATCAACTAAAAACAAAAACATCAAAAGGATAAAAAGTCAAAACACTTTTTACATTTATTCCTTGATGTGGATATAGTCTTATCCATGTATAACCTACTTTACTAGTATAAGGTGGGGTCCAACTATGGCGTTGTGAAAGTATGGGACACATTGATAACTGTGGAGTAAAAATTTAAAAGAGTTTAACACATACTTTGGTTAATTGACATCTTTCTCAGAGTTCATAACAATATCAGTTACGTTGTGCCAAGATGTAATTGAAGGATACGTGTCGGATAATTAATTGACGCTACTCCCTCTTTCCGTGGGTTAGGTTCAAGGAATCGTCGCCAAAGTTTAATTTTCCTCTCATATGTGAATTAAGGGCTGAATATTATATATAATCATGAGAATTTCTCTTTCCTTATTCCACGTGAATGTGTTGATGTTCAATATTGCGAGAAGTAAATCTTACCAAGCTGATTGTTTCTATTATTACTGCAATCCCCAATCACTTTTTCACGCTAATATATCCTTCCTGTAACCACATCTGCATCGATTATTGGATGAAAAATAAATTAATATAAGCTTATGGGAATATATTATTCATTACAGTCGAGGGTGGTGACAATTCATCACGTGAACGCTGCATAAAAGTCGTGTACATTTTGTTATTCCTGCATATCTATTTCCTAAAACGTGATTGTGTTAATGTTTGTTGATTACTTTAACTGGTAACCTGCGGCGTCATCCCCATTACCCTTTTTGGATAAGCACAGGGAAAAAAGCAAAAAAACTTCCAAAAATAAATCTCTCTCCTAAGAAAGGAGGCAGCAGAAAAAAAAAGTTACGATTCGATCGGAAGAAGAAGAAGAAGAAAAGTTGGAAGATTTTTCTCTCTCTCTCTCTCTCTCTCTCTCTCACAACTGACGAAAAATTTCAAATACACTACACTACACACACAAATTCATTTATTCATTTATTAATTCACACTTTCTTTCTCTCTTTCTTTCTTTCTTTCTTTTTGAGTTCAACTATCACAGTTCTTATAATTATTATTACTACTATCATCACCAACCACTATCGTTAATTATCATTTACTGTTTACATCATGGCTTCTTTCTTGAAAATTTCTACTTTATTGGCTATCGTTTCAACTTTACAAACTACTTTAGGTGCCACCCCACCAGCCTGTTTATTGGCTTGTGTTGCTAAAGTTGAAAAAGATTCAAAATGTTCTGGTTTAAATGACTTGAACTGTATTTGTTCTTCTGAATCTTCAGCTATTGAAAAATGTTTGAACGATATTTGTCCAAATGGTAATGCCGATGCTGCTATTGATGCATTCAAAGATTCTTGTTCTGGTTACAGTTCTGCTTCTTCTACTTCAAGTGAAGAAGAATCCTCCTCAACTGAAGAATCTTCTTCTTCTTCTTCTACTAAAGAATCATCTTCATCCGTTGAAGCTTCTTCCACTGAAGAATCCTCATCTGCCGAAGCTACTGAATCCTCCTCCACCAAGGAATCTTCTTCTACTAAAGCTTCTTCTACTGCTGCTGAATCTTCTGAAGCTGAAGAAACTTCTGAATCCAAGACTACTGAATCTAAGACCACTGAATCTAAGACTACTGAATCTGAAACTACTGAATCTGAAACTTCTGAAGCTCCAGAATCTTCATCTGTTGAACAAGAAACCTCTTCTTCTTCTACCAGTTCCCTTGAAGTCATTACTCAATCTGAAGACTCTGCCGCTAAAGTCGGCTTGGGTGCTATGATTGGTTTGATTGGTGCTGCTTTATTATAAGTCATATGATTATCATCATTATTCTTTTTAGATTCTACAATTCTAGATATATATACATTAGATATCCTTATTTTTTCCTCCGTTGATTTTTGTGAAAAGTGATTGGTTTTTTTTTATTATTAAACTTATATATTGACCTTATATAGTTTTTACATAAATTGAAAATAAATAAAAAAAAAAGTTTCAATTGTTTTTAAGCACATTGATGATCATCTTGGTTGTTTTATACGTTAGCATTCTTAATTGATACGTCATGGCTTACACTTCTTGTCAGGGTAGCTCTAATTTTGTGTGTAGAAGTGGGGTTCAATTTTTTGGTGAGACCTCTGACATTGACGTTGATTGTACTGTATGTCAAGTGGGAGCAAATTTGACAATGAAGATGTTAGACAATTTATCTATGATCATATTTTAATGGTCCACTTTGGTCCATTCATGTAAAAGGTCATCCAAGGGTTTAATAAGGAAAATCGAGTTGTAGATGAAGAATTTAAGGGTTTGACTATTCTTAGCATCATTATCATCATCATCACATTACAAGAAAAATATAAATTCAAGATAATTACGAATTAATAATTCAACCGAGTTAATTTCTTATATCATCAGGGGGAAGTAGTCAATGAAAGTTAAATCATAATCTCGGATAGATATATAAGTCCTCAAGAAGTTAACCCAAACTCCATTTGATCACGTGCAATTTGTTACCAATTATACACGACTTATCTTTTAATTGACATTAGAATTTAAATTTAAAGTTATTCCGTTGGAACAAAATAGAAGCTAAACAAATAGTGATTAACCTACTGAAATTGTCATGATTTATTGTTAATAGCAACCACAATTACACGTGCTACTTAGTGGTGTAAATGTTTCCTTTTGAAAGAAGGTGTTGGTTTTGGTTTGTAGTTGATTTTAATTATGTGAACCGGTGTGCCGGATATGGTACCGGGTCTCCGATTGAAGAAAAAAAAAAAAAAGAAAAAAAAAATTTGTGTCAATAATCAACAATGACAGCAAATGTTATTATGAAAGTGTTTAAAATCAAGATCAAGATCATGAAGAGACGAAACTCTACAAGGTAGATGAGACCAAACAAGGCTCTATCCATAATTAGAAGATCAGTATACGGTTGATTTGATATTTATATGTAGTTTATTTTTAGTGTGGGTGTTTAGATGTAGTTGTAGATAAGACTGATTATGCAAGATAAGATAAACCGTGTCAACAACAACAACAACACACGCGAGAGGAAGAAGTACCCCAGGTAACCATAACACATTAACTTACATAACTTATGTAACGACAAATGATATTAATTCCATGACACCCATGTTGACACTCGGATATCTCCATTACTACTTTGCTACTCCTCTTTTTTTTAATTATATAATAGAACTTTGCTGTGTAGCAATCATTGTATTCGTGTTTTTTGCAATTTCAAAAATTTATACGTACAAAAAAAAAATCGGAATTTCCAAAGGAATAAATTCACTTTTATAAATTTTTTAGTAAACTACAAAAACCACAATTATATAAATAGCAAACAATTATTCCCTCCAGTTTTCACCTTTATTCAACTTTGTTCACCTTTATTCAACTTTGTTCACCTTTATTCAACTATTTTGACTCACAATTAAACAAAAAATGGCACCAGTTGCAACTTATTTCACTATCAACGAATCAACCAATTCAACTACTAGTAATAGTAGTAGTACAATCCATGTTAAAGCAATGGATACTATTCATTATACTTTATATTATGGTACATTTATACATACACCTGAATTAAATGAATTGGAAATTAATTTTAATACCCTTGTTGGTGTTAATTCTGAAGGTATTATTGATTTCATTGAAAAAGAATATCATCCAAATAATCATAATAATAAATCACCAATTGAATATTTTATTGATTGTTACTATAATGATGATGACAATGATAACACACAAGGTAGACGCAGAGGTAGAGGTAGAAGAGATTATAGACATTTTGAATTTATTGATTATTCACATGATTTAGGAAAATTCTTCATACCTGGATTTATTGATACACATATTCATGCATCCCAATTTCCAAATTGTGGTATTGGATTAGGTATACCATTATTAAAATGGTTAAAAGAATATACTTTCCCATTAGAAGAAAAATTTACTAAAGAAAATATTAATTTAACCATTGATATATATTCAAAAATTATTGAAAAAACTTTAAATAATGGAACTACATGTGCTTCATATTTTACAACTATTGATTCATTTACAAGTAAAATTTTTAGTGAATTATTATTAATTAAAGGACAACGAGGATTTGTTGGGAAAGTTTGTATGGATCATAATGAACCATATCCAAATTATGAGGAATCTTTAACTGATTGTATTGAATCAATGAATGAAGTTATTAATTATATTGAAGATTTAAATCCTAAAAATGAACAATTGATAATTCCTATAATAACTCCAAGATTTGCTCCTGTTTGTTCAAGAGATTTATTAAAATATTTAGGGAATTTAAGTAAATCTAAAAAATTACCTATACAAACTCATATAAGTGAAAATAAAGATGAAATTAAATTAGTTAATGAATTATTTCCTGATTGTGATAATTATGCAACTGTTTATGATAAACATAATTTATTAAATTCAAATACTATATTGGCTCATTCAATCCATTTAAATAAAAAAGAACGTGAATTAATTAAATTTAAAAATTGTTCAATAAGTCATTGTCCAACTTCAAATACTTTTATATCAAGTGGTGAAGCTCCAATTTATAATTATTTATATCATGATAAAATTAATGTTTCTTTAGGTACTGATGTAAGTGGAGGTTTTGATTGTTCAATTTTACAAATTATAAAACATTCAATATTAGTAAGTCATCATTTATCAATGAAGAAAGATCAAGATCAAAAAATTTCAATTAAAGATGGGATTTATATGGCTACAATGGGTGGTGCTAAAGCAATTGGATTTCAAGATATTTTAGGTTCTTTTGAAATTGGTAAAAAATTTGATACTCAATTAATTGATTTAAATTTTAAAAATTCAAATGTTGATGTTTTTAATTGGCAATTACCTAATCTTGATCAAGATAATAATAATAAATATGATAAAATGAATGATTTATTAAGTAAATGGATTTTCACTGGTGATGATAGAAATTGTATTAAAGTTTGGTGTAATGGAAGATTAATTATAAATAAAGAAAAATCAAATCATCGAGATGATAGATGGATTATAAATTAATCATGATTGTATAATATTAATAATATATATAAAGTGTCTACATAAAATTTGGTGTATATATATAAATAACTGTCTTGTTATCCCTCTTAATGATTAATTGAATCAACTAATGATTTTAAAACAAATGATTCTCCTGAATGATTACTAAATGTTTCTTCATCAACTTCAATATCATCATCATCTTGTACTTGTTGATGTTCTTCATTACTATCATCTTTCATCATTATATCTTTGTTTCTATCTTGTTCTTTACTTCCTGGTGATTGTTGTTCACTACGAGGTTGCAACATTTCAGATATTGATCCATGATGTTCTTGTTCATGTTGTTGTTGTTGAGATGATGATTGTGGAGGTGGTGGAAATTGATATTTTGTTGGAATAACAAACAGTTCTTGTTGATGTTGCTGTGGTTGTGGTTGTGGTTGCCATGTTGTTCTTGAATCAGAAAATCTTCTTGGTATAAAATCCAGTTGAAATGTTAATTGACCTTGTTGACCTTGTTGTTGTTGTTGTTGTTGTTGAGGGGGGTAATTAATAGGTTGAACTTGTCCTTGTTGATATGTTGGTGGAATTTGAAAACTTAATCTTCTATCTAATCTATTAATATTATTATATTGTGAATTACTTCCTGCTGTAGGTATGGTTGTTGTTGTACTTCCTTGTTGTCCTTGTTGTTGTTGTTGAATGAATGGATTGATAAAACTACTTCCAGAAGCAGTTGTAACACCTCCACTACTTGAACCAGCACCCGTTGTTGTTGATGTAACATTATTCTGACATGATGATGACGATGTCATACCCAGCAATGGACTATTGGAATTTCTTCTTGATGAAATTTGATAAGGCAATCCAATAACAGCACACATCCAAATTCTAGTTTTATAAATTCTAAACAATTCCCTTACTAAATCTCTAAAATCAATTCTTCTTGAAGTTGAATAATAAAAAATTAATTTCTTACGATCAAATTGATATTCTGCATCAATCAACTTCATTTGTAATAAATCTTGTGTTGCTGGTGATGTTGGACCTCCCAATAATGATCCACTCGTGGCATTAGCAATTTTAGCCAAACATAATCGACATGCCTTTTCTTCATCTTGTTTCTTATTTAAAATTTGAATAATTTCATTCGGTTGAGCAAGTGCAATCACAGATTTTGGAAAATGTAAAGTTGGTGGTGCTGTAGTTGATGATGTTGATGATGATGATGATGATGTTCCACCGCCACCAGATCCACCGCTACTACCTTGACCTTGGCCCTGTTGTTGTTGCTGCTGCTGCTGCTGTTGTTGTTGTTGTTGTTCTGATAAACTTTTTACGGAAATATCATCCAATATATTATCAACATGTTCATTTAAAGCAGCTTGTTGTTCTTGAAATTGCAACAACTTCAACAATCTAGCTTCATCAATAGATATATTCATTTTAAAAACTTTCCCCAAATCTCTTCCTCTATCAGCTTCAACAATAACTAAATCTCCAACTTTTAAATTCAACAATTCTGGATTAGTGGGGTTATTGGTAGGTAAATAAAAAACATCAATTCTACCAGCTTTAAATCCAACTAAAATCAATTGATAATTACGTAATGAATTCTCAACTGGAAATTTGGGCAATTGATAAGCATCTCCTAAAAACTTTTCTTCATCAAAAAATCTTTCATTCAACAATTGTAATGTGACTTTAACTCGTTCATGAGGGTCACTTTCAAAATAATCATCAACCATTTGTAATGTACTCTTATCAGAAATTACATTTAAATTTCCAGTGGTGGTACTACCACCAGGAGTGGTAGCACTTGATGCACTTGTAATTGTAGTAGCTGGTGCTGTTGTTGAAGTTGGAGTTGGACCACCACTTGATAAAGTATCCGTAAATGAACGTCTTCTCATTAATGGATCAATAAATTGATTAGGAGATATTTCCGTTGGTGTAGTTGTGGAAAATGGTTCCTTCAATGAAATTTGTGGTACAATAGATTGTTGACTAGTAGATGGTTGTTGTTGTTGTTGAGATGGTCCTTGTAATGAAGGTGGAGGTGGAGTTGAAGAAAAACCAGGAATCAGTGATGATCTATTATGAACTATTGATGAAGTACTTATATAATTTTCTAAACTTGGTGGGAAATTAACTTGTTGTTGTTGTTGCTGTTGTTGTTGTTGACCTGTTTGCAAGTTTAATGAAGTAGACCAGATATTTGTTGATGGTTGTTGATTTGAACTTGTTGACCAAATATTAGTTGAATCAATCAGAGAATTTCTTCGATTTGATGAACCAATTGATGATGTAGGTTGATAATATGATGAATGAGTATTATATGGTACATTCCACATTGGTGTTGTCGCGGTGGCACTAGTAGTAGTTTGATTAAATGGATGAGTAGGTGAAGTACCTCCAGTAGATTGCATCAATGGTATATTCAATCCTTGTTGATAATCATAATGTTGTGAATATAGTTGACCTTGTTGTTGATGGGATGGTTGTCCTTGTTGATGATGTAAATATTGACCTGAAGAATTGAAACTACTTATTGAAGGACGATGATAATGATGATGTTGAGATAAATCTTGATTTGAAGATGTATTGCTTCTAGTTGGAGCAGCAGTGGCAGTAGCAGTTGTATTTGATCCGCCACCACTATTATTATCCTTTGTTGAATTATAATTATCAAAAGTCATCATTGTGTATAATATTTCTCGTTTTTATTTTGGACTTGCTCTTGATTAGTAAACACTGTGATCTCTCCAGCAAACTACTAAATGAATGAATAAATCGAGGAAACTTGTTGGATTTTATGGCTTTTTTTATTGAATTCAGATTTCAGATTACTAAATTAAAATCTGTGTTATGTCAAAAATATCAAGAAAAGTATTCAATTGAAAAATCTGAAAAATGCACACTTTATCTGTTTTAGAAAAGCAAGCAACTATAATAGAACAATAGGACTGAGTTATCAAACGTCTTGAGCTGAATCTAATTCCGTAAGTGTAATAATAGTAATAGTAGTAGTAGTTTTGCTCTTGGAAATTAATGGGAATCTTACTTTGATTTTATATCTATCTTCAGTTACTTTGTGTATAACCTTGTGTGGAGTTAATAAAACCTTGTTTTAAGGAAAGTATACAGGATAATACTTTCAAAATGTCCTAAAAATTATCACCAATCTTCGATACTTCTTCTAAGGAATCTTGAAGATTTATATCTCTTAAATAAAATGATGGCAAAAGAAAAGAAAAGATTATAAGATTATCGATCTTATCCAGGCCCCCACAAGATAATCAACTGATATTTCCTCTAAACGAAAACAAAACTCAAAATTTGAAAGCGTAGTTAATCTCTCTTTCCTGAACAAACAAACAGGGAATTATATATACTATCTCCGCAGTAATTCAACAGCCTGAGACTTGAACTGTACTGTATTGTGTTGTCTTCTATTGTAATAATTTATTGCAATTTCCGTCCTGGCGGATTTTGGGGCAACTAATGCTCTTCTTGCAATTCAACTTCGGGGTGACTTTATATGGTCGTGTAGATAGTCACAAATACACTCTATTGTGTTGTGTGGTGGTGTGTTTTCCTTTGTTGTTGTTTTCGTTTTTGTCCCGCACACACGCACACAAAAATGCACAATCAATCAATAGTTAGGAAGTTGTGCGTTTACCAAATTTACCAATTTGCAATTGTTCAATTTCAATCTCAATCTCAATCTCAATTCAAGGAGGTAGGTAAAGGACTCACACTGACTAGAATGAATGGATGGATTGATATTGATGATACTATGTAAATGATGATTGAATTCAATTAATATTCTCTCTGCTTCTCTCTCTAACTTCTATTATAATTATTAATTATTAATTTAATAGAAAACAGTAATAACTTAAGAAGTAAATAATTCTAATTCTTATAAAGCAATAATTATACTTCAGAAAATTGAAAAAAAAAAAAGAGACGAAAGGAAGAAGAGAAAGAAAAAGAGGGTTTATATATATAAATATATAATAATACTACGATTATTTCGAATGAATGAATTGAAACCCCCTTCCCCCTATTATAATTAATGAGTTATTCAATAATAATGTCAAGTTATGTCACAAGTATGATCATGTTAGTTTCATTTCTTCACTCATTCATTCATTCATCATCTACAACCTATAAACATGGCGGGTAGTATTCCTAATAAGAATTTATTCTTCAGAGAAAATAAAAAAAAAAATATCATGCAGATCCATGAATTATGTACGTTTAGCCACATATACATACAGACAAACACATCGTTTTATAGTAGGAAATGATGTACATGCACACCTGACTATTACTTTTTCATTCTCCAAGAAGAATAACAAGCAAGAATCCCTTGAATCGTGTGGTATACATAGTATAAGTAATTCAGCATAGTAGGTCAATTCTTGAGATTCTTTTCTTTTTTTTTTTTTTGCATTAAGTAAAAAACAAGATCATTTACAAAAAGTCAACTTTAAACAGCAATAATTTCAATTACGCCCTTGGGGGTAACAATTCAAGAATTAAACAAACAACTGATACTTATTTATCCCCTTAAACATAATAACCAAAAGTATATATAAAAAAAAAGAAAGGTTAAAAAAAAAACAAGCAATAGAGAATACGTTACCCTGATTCTTACATTAAATGACCATCGAGATTAAGATTAATAATATTCCGTGCCCCTAACGCCCCCCTCTCTTTCTTTCTTCTTCTTATATGACTTTTGTTTTGTGGAATAGCTATAATAATATCATGAAACAAGCAAAAGTCTTTATAATATTTTCCATTGGATTATGATTCTAGACTTTGGTTTTTCTTCTATGATGAGAACGGTTTAGATGTGAATAATGCATATGTATTGTAAGCCCAACCATTGTCAAGAACATACCACAAATTATTTCTATACATTAATTTGCTTGCTATTTGATATTAACTTAAAAGACTGAATGAGTGAATGAAAAAAAAAACTAGAATTGAGCAAATATGTAATGCAAATAAAGAGGGGGGCAGGGATGGGCAGAGCAAATCAGAGGATGATTAGAGGATGAAGAATCGAAAATTAAGTAATATTACATCGATTGAAAAAATTTCATCAAGAAGAAATAACAATACTCCACCACTTTAGTATTGTTTAAAAATCTCGAATAATTTTCAACTTAATAATTTAAAATAGTGGAGAATATTCATTTCTGTGTATGTGTAAAATATTGATTGTTTAATGATGAAAATTTCATTCAGAATCAAGTAATTCGCTAAAAAGAGGGGGGGAAGCAAGAGATATGGTAGAATCATTAGTGTAAATCCATTTTTTTTTACACCGGTTTCATCTTGATCTCTAAAACTGAAATTATACAAACCATACAATTGTTTTTTTAAAGAAAAAACATTTCTTTGCCTTGTTTTAGAAAAACCACTTAATTCAAACAAGCCGGGGTAAGTCAAGCAGATGTTTAACTATTCATATTATGAAATTTGTCTTCACATAAACTCTTCTCCGAAGGGAATAATAATGTGGGATGATGTAATTTTGTGTGCATTTTCTTTGTTGTTATTATTGCTGGGTTTTTATTGTATGAGAGTTGTGGGAGATTGTTCTTATTTAATAAGGTTTGCCAGCTTATGTGTAGTATTTCTCCACAGCCTGGATATTCTCTGTATTATTTCGGGATTTGTAAATTATTATTATTAAGCTTGTAACTTATATCCATCATTTATTGGCTGTTGTAGGTTTACAAGCATGTATTAAATTCAAAGTAAGATCAAGTATATAACAAAACAATCTTGATTCAGCTTTGACTTACATCTTCCTATAACAGCACATTCTCTCCTTGTTAGCAACTTTGAATAAACCCAATCCAATCATACCCCTCGTTATAAGTAAAAATTACAAAACAAAAAAAACGCCGTAAATAGGTTCAAAAACGTAGTTGGGGTAGATCCATTCCTCATCAATCAAAAAGTTATTAAATCAATTTAATAAAGTTTACATATACCGTTTATATCAAATAAGTACAACTTCTTGAACAGACTCTATTTACACACAACTAAATTTCACAACTCTCATCGTCGTTTACTTTGTCTTATTTTGGTATTATTTTCCCATAACATTGAACATACAACCAAAACAACTTTATAATATACTTTTCTTATTCTTATTGTTTTTCATCGTCAACCATCAATTAAACTTGGAATTTTAAGACAGAACCCAAAACATAATTATTCCCTTGTTGTACAAGTAAATGTTCGTAAATTACATTAATCTATTTATGTACTTTATTTTAGTTAACTAATGGGAAAGTACAAATTACCTAATTTGATAAATTACGAACATCCTACACTTATTCACTCTACACACAAAAGAAAAATCTTATTCTTGATTTGGTAACTCAGTTGCAAAATGAGCAATCCCAAAATGTTACTATAACTTTTGGATAAATATTCATATATTTATAAAAGAAAATAACAATAAGTATAACTATAATAATAATAATAATAATAATAAATCAAATAACAACATAATACAAGGTCAATGTTAATCACCCATCTGAGAATTAAATACAAAAAAAAACAAAATAACAAAAAGAAGAACAACTAAATATAAAAAAATATATAATCCAATATAGTAAAACCTTATCCCCAATTTCAATTAATTAACCTTATCAGTTTATTGATATTGTTGTTGATTAGGTATATTACTATTTGGCATATTTCCAAAATACAGATATTGATCACCATAATTACCTTGCAATGGACCACCTGGACCTCCAGGATTAGCATTACCTTGTTGATAATGTTGAGCTAATCCACCATGTTGACCAGGTATTGGTGGCATACCTCCAGCATTTTGCTGCTGTTGGGCATGTACCTGTTGTTGTTGAGCTTGTGCTTGAGCTTGTTGTTGTTGAACTTGTTGTGAATGACCAGCAGCCGCAATTGCATTTGGATTTTGTTGTTGATGTTGATTTGGTGCAGGGCTTTGATCTGGAGAATCACCTGTATTACCATCACTTTGATTTTCTTGATCATCACCTAAGCCTTCTTCTGGAGCATTTAAACAAGTTTGAATCAAATTTTTACCTTCTGATTTAGTAACTAAAGGTTGTAATTTTGGAGTAGTAAAAGTATAAACCAATCCAGTTTCAGAAACAACCAATAATAAAACTTGAGTACCAGTTAAAACAGATAATTCATAAGCTTTTTTCATAATACCTGCTTTTCTTTTCGAAAATGTAATATGACGTCTTGATTTATCTTGAATAAATTTAATTTCAATTTTTCTACGTTCTTTTTGAGTTTTACCTGATGCTCCTCCATCTTCATCGTCATCATCATCTCCTGCTCCTGTTCCACCAACATTTGGATTATTAGAAAGTTGTGAAGCTTGATCTTGGCTTTGATCAAATTCATTACCTTCTTCAGATTTCATAGTAACCATTGTTAATCTAAACAAATTGTTAGTAATCCTTGAGCTTATATATACAAACTGATTATGAATGACCATGATCAGTTTCTTTTATGAATATTCAACATACTTGTACCAAATAGATATTTCCCAGATATATATTTATAAATAAAAATTAAAACACACAGTTGAGTTATATGTTTGTTGATTGTTGTTGATTGTTGTGATTAAACTTTTAGATCTTTGTCAGTTTGTATTCACCACTCTAGCACTTGTATTACCTCTAGGTTGGATAGTTATATCAAACACTTTTTGAATTTTCTAATGAAATATAATTGAATTCCCTAATTCAGAAATAACTTGCAAAAAAAAAGAAAAACAAGACAATTGATATTCTATGTGTCTGTGTGTAAGTGAGTGAGTGAAAGAAAAAAAAAAAATGGGTGAAAGATTGGAAGAGGAAAAAAAAATGAACGCCCCTTTGATTTACTGTTTTAGGGAGGTGGGTGAGGAAGAAGAGGAGAAGAAATGCTAATTGGACAAAGGGACACGACCCTAATTTATACAACAGCAAATTACTATTGCAGAAAGGGTGTAAATAAATCACGTGAAATTATTAGTCAATACACAATGTTACACGACCCGGCCACAAAAACACGACTTTTTTTTTTAATTTATTTATTTTCTCAATTGTTAAAACTAAATTAATAGTTGCAATCCTCCCTCCCCCAACAACAACAACAACAACAACAACAACTCGTGGAGGATTACCACGTTGTTGGAGTATTAGGAGAAAGATACCATTTTGTAATAATTATAATACTGTAGAGTACTTCTATTATTATTTTTTTTTTGTTCTGCTATTTAATTGTATGTGTTCTGTTTTCGAAATAATTTCTTCCTTTTTTGTATCCGGGTATCCGGTTTCAGTTTTTTGCTTTTTTTTTATCAATGAGGAAATGTTCTGGAATCATTCCTGATTGGTTATTACAGTACAGTTCTGAATATCTAATAGGTAAACCATGGGTGAATAATTCCGGATTCAATGAACTGTAGAGAATAATTCCCCCCCCGCTCCAAGTAGGTCTTTGATTAAATAATCACGAACACCCCTTACCCCTATTTAAGGTACGTTCGGTTCGGGTTTACAAATGCTGACCGATAGGGGGAGGGTAAAATAAAAAAAAAGTTTACATTATTGAATGATTACGCATCTTTGACCACGGTTTTCCATTTTGTTTATTTGTACGCGTGACTGCCAATCAGGTGGAATACATCACGTGTGATATTACATATTTTAACATCAAACATCTACTAGATAAATACACAGTCTAAACTATATACGAATACTTTTAAATACTTTTTGTTGTTCTGCTTCTGTCTCATAAATGTAATTACCAGTAGATTTATCATATTTATTGAAATCGTCTAATCCCCAATCATCATCATATTCATTAACAACAACTGGTTTAGGTTTTGGTTTTGGTTCAGGTTTTGCCTTGGGTTTAGCTTTAGATTTTGGTTTTGGTTTTGATTTAATAGGTTCTTTCTTTATTTTATTATCTTTAGTTTTCTTTTTCGGTGATTGTGCTTGTTTTTGTTTCTTCTTAGCAGGTATGCTTAATACTTCATCATCTTCTGAAGACTCTTCAGGTACTCCTTTTGAACCATATTTAATAAATTGTTCCATATCTGGTGGATCATTTGCCAATTCATAAGCAGTATTTAATAATAAATCAATTTTTCTTTTCAGATTTGATTTTTTGAAATAATTTTGTATATCTTCTTTAGTTAATGGCTTTATATCATTAATATTTATCCAAATATATGTATCATCGCTGAAAAATCTAACAGGAACAATTTTCTTAACTGTTGTTGTGGTGGTGGTGGTGGAGGTTGTTGTTGATTTTGATGATTTTGGTTGTTTGGAAAGTATATGCGGTGGAAGTAAAGATTCTTCTAATACCATTGCTGGCCATGCTGGATATCCTTTAACTTTGGCAAGCACTATATTTGTAGGCTGATATGAAACTGGTGAGGTAGACATTATATAGTAAATATGGTTCTTGATAATCCAAAACTATCAAGATTGAAATTTTCAATTTCTTGAATTTTTTTTTCTTCTTATTTTTTTTTTTTGCATTTGTTTATTTTTCTTCGATTTTGAATTCAAATCAACTTTATAATATTACAAAACTCTATTAAAATACACACTATACACATTCATAGAGGTAAATTATCCCATATGTGTAATTGACCATCTAATGAGGTAGCAACTAATCTTTCTTTTAATTTATCATATTTGACAATATTAATTGTTTGAGATTTTGCATCTCTTGTATCATATGAAGCAATCAATGGTTTTTCGGTACTAACACCATACGGAAGTTTCCCAGTTGGTGTTACATTTAATTTGGATATTTCAATCTTACCAAAATCAGTACCATGTATAAGTTTATTACTTTCAGGAATAAAACTTGCATTATATTTCATTTTTAATCCTTCATGATCAATACTATTATCATCATCTTCAGAATCAGAATCAGTATGTTTTTTTTTATCATATCCATTCTTATATCCATTTTTCTCATTAATTATTTCTTCATCAACTTCATAATGTAGTAAAATATTCCCTGTATCTAAATTATAAATTCTTACCCCACCATTAAAATCCAGAGTTAATATAGTATCTCCGGAAAATGATTCGATCGATGTTATTGAATAATTTGAAACTCTATCATTATGCATAACCAGTTTCCTTAAATCAAGAGAAATTACTCTTCCAATATTAGTTCCAACATTAATATAATTCCCAGTAAATCCAGCACAAGTATATGAATTATCTCCCAGAAATTGAAAAATTTGAGATTTTGGTCCTGAATTATCTTTACGTATATCATATAACAGAAATGTTTGATCTTTAGACCAAACTGAAATTAATTTATCATTCATAAATTTACATCCTGTTAGATTTGAATTTCCTTCCGATGTTTTATTTTTAAATTCTGAAATTTTTTCACCCGTATTAAAATCAAGGTATGTAATTGAATCTTTTGATCCTGTTATTCCTTTAAACATAAATGTATCTAAACATGATATATTATCTTGTCCATTACCTGATTCGATATTGGCTATTAGTGGATTATCACGTTGATAAATATCATGAAGTCGTAATTCTTTCTCCCCTTTACCTAATGTAACTAAAATATCTGTATTTGGTATAAGTGATAATGTTTTGATTTCTGATTTACTATGACCTGAATTATAATTCCAATATACGTAACTATTATGTTCCGATGTCATTTTCTATCCTCAAGTTAACCTCTCCCAAGCTACAGTGATGTTTGTTTTGATTACATATATTTTTCTGTTTTTAATTTTCGATTTTAATTTTTTTTTTTTTTTTTCGCCAAAAAGATCAATCTGCATAGAGTCACGTGGGTAGAGGACATAATGTTCCACAAAGAAAAGAAATACATTGGTAAAAAGTTTCAAGAGGAAACGGTAGGTTCAACAACAATAATGTTCGTTATGGGATCTACAAGTAGAGAAACATTCAAACTCTGAAACGAGTCCGTCATCAAGTGAATCTTGGCCAGCAAGTATTGTTCAAATAGTCTGTTCACTTGTTGATAAGCGGACCCTGATATTGGTCCATCATATTATTTAAAAAAAAATAGGGGGATCAGGGGCTTTTACTTTTCTATATATTATGTAATTGCGCCCTTGAATCTAATTGACAGTATACGTTTTGCATACCCTTTAGTTTCACTGCCCATGGATAGTATGACTTCAACTGAAACGTACTGTATATAGCTGACTTTGAACATGTGGTTTATTTTTAGATCAAGCAAACGACAATCCCTCTTTCTTATTGTCAATCTTGTTATTCCAAGAAATACACATGAGGCGATATTACGTAGCTGGTGGTTCTTGACTGTAAGGAATGTAGCAACAACAAGAACAATATCAACAATATCAAGCAGAAATTTTTTTTCTTTTTCTTGCAGTAATTATTGCCTTTTGATTCTCAGGGGTAAATCTAAATAAACAAACAATAAGATTTCAACCAATATCCTTGTTTCATGCAAGAATTGTGTAATTACACGTAAAATCATTCCTAACATTCAAGATCATTCATATGGTCATGGCTAAAGAACACATGTAAGGTATATTTCATACAGATTTGATTATAAATACAGAGTAATATCCTCTTTTTATTCTAGTTTCTAAAGATGGTCTGATTCTTCAACAGCCAATTGAACAATGTTGTGGTCTTCATTATCATTAGCTTTATTGCCTTGTTTAACTCAAGCTTACATCACTAACTTTGAAGATGTTAATAAATTAACTGACTTGGATTCAACACCAAATGTTCCAGGATTGGAAAATGATATTCAAGTTAAAACTCCTCAAGATTTATTATTCTCGGGTGATTATGTTTGTGATAAATTTGCATCTTTGATTCAATCAACCAATGATACTGATGAATTTCCAGTTGATTTTAACATGTATGTTTCACAAACAACTGATGAAGGAAATAATTATACTGTTGATTTATATTTTAAAAATCCATGGCATAATACTTATAATGAATTTGCAGAATTAAATATAACTGATCCACAACTTGTCTTATCTAAATACAATCCAACATTAATTTCAAAACAAGATTTTGGTGTTGAATTTAAATTTCAATTTAGTAAAGGATTATTATGTCAATTCATGTATCAATTCACCATTGCGTATCAATTAAAACATCAAGATGATGATACTAAATCTGATAAAATTTTCTTGAGTGGTTCATGCCAAGAACACGCTAGATATTATCCTGAAGATCATGAATATTTGGTCAATAAAGGATTTAGATGTGTTGAATATAACAGTGGTTTCAAATATGATGGTGGTAAAGATTGGTGTAGTAAATTTTATCCCCAAAGTCAATGTTGTACCAGTTATTCAAGAGATGAAGTTGTTGATAGAGACACTTGTCCAACTGTTTCTAACTCCACTGATTCTGATGCTGTTGTTGAACCAATTATTATCAAAGGTTCTTCTACTATTCAAGGTGGAAATGCTGCAAGTGATGATTTGACAACTACTATTGTTTCCAAAATCACTGTTGGTACTACTACCAAGGCTGATACAACCATTCCAGTTTCTGCTCCTGTCACAACTTCAGATAGTAATGGTAAAGCTGCCGCTACCACTTCCGAATTTATTCTTGATCCAAATTTTGTCATTGATCCAAGTTTTATCATTGATCCAAGTTTTGTTCTCGACCCGGGATTTGTAGTTGACCCAAGTTTTGTCAACGATCCAAGTTTTGTTCTTGATCCTGGATTTATAGTTGATCCAAGTATTTTCGCTAATCCAAGTTTTACTGTTGATCCAGGTTTCAATGCCCCAGGTACTCCAAATACTTTGACTACCGTTACTCTTCCAAACGCACCAGTCCCAACTTCCTCAACTGGTTTGACTACCGTGACTCTTCCAAATGCACCGGTCCCAACTTCTTCAACTGGTTTGACTACTGTCACTCTCCCAAATGCACCAGTCCAAGCATCCTCAACTGGTTTAACTACCCTTATTCTTTAAAATGCTAATTAGTTTTTCTATGTGTGAGGTTAAAAGTTTATAGTTTATTTTAAATTAAAGAGAATATAATAAAATGTTTTAAGTTGTTTCGCTAAGATGATAGAATATAATTTCGTAAAAAAATATGTTGTCGTGTAAACTTGCCAAGTATCAACAAAAAGGGACCACGATTTCTATAACAATACGTGCTACCAAATAAAATAAAAAAAAAATCCAATCACCAGGTCGGAGTTGGTTTCAATAATTTCCACGGCCAATCAACTACTCTGACACAATGTGAAGTTTCACTCATGAAGTCATGCTTGTTCATACTGACGGATGGACGGACTGGTGGATTACCTTGTTCCGTCATCAAATACAACTAAAACTCCTCTTATTCACATTGTGTGACAGATGTCAACAACAGGCGAGACAGGTAATTATATTTACATAAATCTGGTTGTTTCACTTTTCTTTTTGTTGGTATTCGATTAATAGTTTCCATAAGACAATTTGCTAAAAAATTTGCGGCAATTCTGGATTAAAAAAAAAAAAAAATTTTACTGTACAAAATTTCCAACAATTCCGTAATGACACCATTAGAACAGTCACACAATTTGACAGTTAAACAAATCACATCAAGGTACAACTTATACATGTAAAGAGATGAACAGGGTGTTTTGAATGATGATGATGGTGATTAATTTATGGCTAATATTTCTACCCCACCGTCAATTAATTAATTTGGGTTATTTTTAACCTGCAGTGCCGGAAAAACCTGGGCGAAACAGGAAACAAAAAAAAAAAAAAAATTAAATGACTTCCGGGACATGAGTGAGAAATAGACAAGATGGATAATACAAGAATGTGAATAAATTGGTATCATGCAAAGGGGTGTGCATTCATACTCGTACTGTCTGATGCGGAACATTATTTCATATACATGAGTTTCATGCTTCTGTTGCATTTACATAGAATTGAAAAACAAGGAGATTACAGTAAATCTTACTGATTTTTTTTTTTTTTTCATCAGCTGATGTTTTTCTCTTTGTTAGATTAGAATTCCAGAATTGCTTACGATTGATAAACGCTGCATACAACTTTTAGGGAGGGGGAGGGGGAGGAGATGAGATTGGAGATAAAGGAGGAAGGACTCCTAATTAATTATCATAAACGATAAGTGATCTAATAAATAGTCAAAATAATGAACAACAACCTCTGTTGTTATAACTGTCCTCTTTTAGTACCCGGAAATTCTGACCGTTACTAAATCCGATACCTCCAAAAGATCTAGTTTTCTGAAACAAGGTTTGGATGGAACGGATAAATATTCTGTTAGGTGTTAAGAGCCAGAGGGCATTAAAACAAAAACGAATTTAAAACCTACATTAGTGGAACTAACTAGCTGAAAGGTCCAGGAAAAACCGGGGGCGTGTTCATGGACTCAAAAAAACTAACAAGATAGCAAAGCAAACTATGAATATCTGCATGCACCAAAATTTTGTTTTTTTTAAGAAAATTATTATTTATTGCATTTACAATCCGATGGGCAAGAGACATGAGCCTAGCATCATTAACAATCAGAAAATCATATGAGTTGATATGGTTAAGATTTGTCCTCTTTAAACCGATGACAACAAACTAATCTCTTTTTATTGTTAATAAACTAATTTATTCTCACCCCAACGATCATTCAGAAAACATTACCAGGGGGACATTGGATTTTCCAGAACAACACAAGATTGAGTTGCACAAAGAAGAAACGAAGAAAAAAATTTAAATGATGCTGGCGGTAGGTGGTACAAATAGAATCGCCCCATAGTTTCAAGGTAGAGAAGAAGGGAGGGAGGGGAGAGATAGAAAGAAGAGAACGAGATCACTAAAAACAATACGACGAGTGGAATGGAATGAGTGAACAAAAATCCAATGAAATTGAGCTGTTTGTACGATTTACAGGATTGTTTCATGAAGTGAAGCTTTATCGTGGTGTGGTGCTAGTGGTAATTAACATGTGGAGTAAAAGACTGGGGTGGATAGACTCATGAAACACAAAGCACCCGATGATTACAATAAACTCAATTCAACAAAGAAAACAAAAACAAAAAACAAAAAATCATCAAGATGGTTTTATCCAAAGCACTGGTAAATTTGGGATCAATGTTTTATTTTAGTAACAAAATAATGTAACCACACCATAAAAAGTAAGTTTCTGTCAGTTTGTAGAAAAAGGAAAAAAAAGAGATGTATAAATACAAACACGATAATTATTATACCCTAAATGGACAGTACAGTAGTAAATAGTAACCTAGTTCGTTTCTTTTTCTCTCTGTGTTTGTTTCTTTTCCAGGTTGAATGTGTTGTTCAATTGAAGGAAAATGAATGTTTTATTTGCTTTAAAGTGATATGAAGTAGAAATGTAAACGCAATAAATGACTCGTCCATGGATAATGAATTTAAATTAATTAGTTTAGTAAAAAAAAAAAAAAAAAAAAATCCATACACAAAGTGTTAAAAAAAAAGATTCCATAAATTGTTTTGTGTGTGCAACGGTACACGACCTGCTTTCCCAATTACTCCGTCTTGTCCCACTCTGTGTGTGTGTTTCCATTCTCTGCCTCTCTCTCCTGCTCTCCCCCCCTTAAGTTGATAAAATTCTGTGCTCCGAAATTAATTACCACTCCCTAATCTTGAATAATTGATACAGTAAATTCAAATTGGCAATAAATTAAAATCTTCAGAATATATAAACCCAACATAATCCTACAGTAAAAAAAAAAAACAAGATAATTTATTTACTCTTTTCTTTCTCTGTTATTTTTACAACACACAGATTTCTGTTTTTTTTTTGTTCTTTATTTTTAAAATTCAATTTGTCTTTATAATTTATTAGAATTTTAATTATTTACAACCAATTCTAATAATCTATATTTTTTTTACAACCACAATTGAATTTTCCCAACAAATCACCAATTCAATTCTTTATCAACCAACCAATATCAAGTACACCTTTTTCTTTTTGATTACATAGATTAGACTAATAAAGTAAGATAAAAGGAAAAAAAGTACCCCAAAGCTAGACAATTTATTTTTAAATAATATTATCATTCAATTCCTCCATCCCTTCTGAATTTTTATTTTTGTTTTTTCTGTTTTTAATTTATCCCCTATTTTGATAGAGTTCTTAAATTGAGTTATTAATCATGGATTATCTTACACCTTCCACTTTGCCTCAACCAAAGTTAAAGAGAACCAACACTGGTTTCACCCCAAACCAAATTATCGCTTTGGATGCTACTATCCCAGAATCTGCTAAACATATCTGGTACAAATACTCTCAATTGAAGATTTTAGATTCAAACAAGAGAAATGGCCACGGTGACGTTGATGATGAGCACAATATTAAATCCCTTGTTAAGAACCCAGCTAGATTTGAAGAAGAATTTGTCAAGCATGTTGAAACTTCCCTCGGTAGATCCATGTACAATTGTGACAATTTGGCCGCTTATCAAGCTGCTTCAAACACCATTAGAGACGCTTTGTTGATTGATTGGGCCAATACCCAACAAAGACAAACCATTCAAGATGGTAAGCGTGTCTACTATCTTTCCTTGGAATTCTTGATGGGTAGAGCTATGGACAATGCTTTGATCAACTTGAAGGCTGAAAAGAACACCCAAAAATCTTTATCTGATTTGGGTTTCAACTTGGAAGATGTCTTGGACCAAGAACCAGATGCTGCTTTAGGTAATGGTGGTTTGGGTAGATTGGCTGCTTGTTTTGTTGATTCCTTATCTTCAAAGAACTATAGTGGTTGGGGTTATGGTTTGAACTACCAATATGGTATTTTCAAACAAAAGATCATTGATGGTTACCAAATTGAAACTCCAGATTATTGGTTGAACTACTCCAATCCATGGGTCTTGGACAGAAAGGAAATTCAAATTCCAGTTGATTTCTATGGTTATGTTTATGAAGAACACGACCCAAACACTGGTAAAGTCAAGAAGAACTGGAATGGTGGTGAAAGAGTTTTGGCCGTTGCTGCTGATTTCCCAATTCCAGGTTACAACACTGAAAACACCAACAACTTGAGATTGTGGAATGCCAAACCAACCACTGAGTTTGATTTCAGTAAATTCAATGCCGGTGATTACCAACAATCTGTTGCTGCTCAACAAAGAGCCGAGTCCATCACTTCTGTCTTGTATCCAAACGATAACTTTGAAAGAGGTAAGGAATTGAGATTGAAACAACAATATTTCTGGGTTGCTGCTTCTTTACATGATATTGTTAGAAGATTCAAAAAGAACCACAAGACCAACTGGAAGAAATTCCCAGACCAAGTTGCCATCCAATTGAACGATACCCATCCAACTTTGGCTGTTGTTGAATTGCAAAGAATTCTTGTTGATTTGGAAGGTTTGGAATGGGATGAAGCCTGGAGCATTGTCACCAAGGTTTTCGCTTACACCAACCATACTGTTATGGCTGAAGCTTTAGAAAAATGGCCAGTTGATTTGGTTGGTAGATTGTTGCCAAGACACTTGGAGATTATTTACGATATCAACTACTTTTTCTTGAAGAATGTTGAAAAATTGTATCCAAACGACCGTGACTTGTTGGCCAGAGTTTCCATTATTGATGAAAATCCAAAATCTGTTAGAATGGCCTACTTGGCTATTGTTGGTTCTCACAAGGTCAATGGTGTTGCTGAATTGCATTCTGAATTGATTAAAACCACTATTTTCAGGGATTTCGTCAAAGTTTTCGGAGAAGATAAATTCACCAACGTCACCAATGGTATTACTCCAAGACGTTGGTTGAGACAAGCCAATCCAAAATTGGCTGCTTTAATTGCTGAAAAATTGGATGATCCAAACTACGATTACTTGACCAATTTGGGTAAATTGAAGAAATTGGAAGCATTTGTTGATGATCCAGAATTTTTGAAGAGATGGGATGCCATTAAATTTGACAACAAGCGTCGTTTGGCTGCTTTAGTTAAAGAAGAAACTGGTGTTGACATTGATCCAACTGTTTTGTTTGATGTCCAAGTTAAGAGAATCCATGAATATAAGAGACAACAATTGAACATTTTTGCTGTCATCTACAGATACTTGCACATTAAACAATTGTTGAAACAAGGTGTTTCTCTCGACGAAATCAAGGCCAAATATTACATTCCAAAGGCTTCTATCTTTGGTGGTAAAGCTGCTCCAGGTTACTACATGGCCAAGACTATTATCCACTTGATTAATAAAGTTGGTGATGTTGTTAACAATGATCCAGAAATTGGTAACTTGCTTAAAGTTGTTTTTATTCCAGATTACAATGTTTCCAAGGCTGAAATCATTTGTCCAGGTAGTGATTTGTCCAACCATATTTCTACTGCTGGTACCGAAGCTTCTGGTACTTCCAACATGAAATTTGCCTTGAATGGTGGTTTGATTATTGGTACTGTTGACGGTGCTAATGTTGAAATTACCAGAGAAATTGGTGAAGAAAACATTTTCTTGTTTGGTAACTTGGCTGAATCTGTTGAAGAAATCAGACACAAACATATCTACGATGGTGTCAAAGTTCCAGAACAATTGCAAGAAGTTTTCCATGCTATTGAATCTGGTATGTTTGGTTCACCAGATGAATTCAAAGCTTTGATTGAAAGTATTAGAGATCACGGAGATTACTATTTGGTTACTGATGATTTCGAGTTATTCTTGGAAGCTCACAAGAAGTTGGAAAATGTTTTCGGCCATCATGGTGGAGATGACAAAGATACTACTCATATGAACAACTGGGTTAAGAAATCTGTTTTAAGTGTTGCTAATATGGGATTCTTCTCAAGTGATAGATGTATTGATGAATATGCTGAAAACATTTGGAATGTTGAACCATCCAATGTTTAAGTAATTTGATAAAAGCCTGCATTAGTTAGTATTATAAATTGCTTCACTTTAATAATAAATATATAGTTCTTTATTAGTTTGTTTTTGTTTTACATGAGTTGTGTATGTGTTGACTCGATTAATACATATACAATTATATATATATATATTATTGTGTATAACCCTCCTGTATGATGTTGCACTTGATTTGTTGTAGTTGTTGTTTCATAAGATGTGAAACAGGCATGCGATTGTCGGCCGTAAAGAGTAAGTTTTATTCTGTAGCACTTGTGGTGGTGGTTGGTGGCGATGCTAGTACTGGCACTCCACCGTGTACCGCACCGTGTACCTCAGCACAAAAAGATAAATTCTTACTCGTGTTCCTGTTCCTCCTACGCGGGGGGATATGTGTAATTTTTTTTGCCTTTTCGTCTGTGGGAAAATACAACCCAAACAATTTCAATTACAGCGCCTCCCGATCCCTCACTCAAACACTGAGAGAAAGAAAAAAATTGAACCTGATCAACTGATTACATATTTGCATATCTTCAACTGATTACATCCTATATATATATATATATACAGATACAGATACAGATACACATTGGAGGAAGAATCTGGTGAACATTCATTTATACAGGACACATTTTTTTTAAGAAAAAGAAAGAAACAGAAGGATCGTGCAGACAGCCCGCCCTCTTTAACTCCATTCATATTTATTCATCTTATTCGATTTACTATTTATTTATTTATTTATTTACTTGATATATTTCCGGTCTTTCTGAAATTTACAACACATCATCCGTCCACACTATAATATCCACTCACTTATAGACAGCCATGTTATTATCGGTATTCATAATATTGATAAACACCTTGTTTGTCCTAGCTATCCCACCAAAAGAAGGTTCAGATAATAACCCATCAAAGAAATATCTTGTTACCGATTTGCCGGGATTATATGAAAATGTTAAACCAAAAATTTCAGTACCATTGATGTTTTCGGGACAATTGGAATTATATCCAGAGAATAACACCCATTATTTCTTTTGGAAATTTGTTGATTCTGAACTTAATCAAGATACTAGTAAAAAAACCATATTTTGGTTAAATGGAGGTCCTGGTTGTTCATCTATGGATGGGGCATTATTAGAAACTGGTCCATTTAGAATTGATGAAAATGAAAAAGTTATTTATAATAATGGATCATGGCATAAATTTGGGGATATTATTTATGTTGATCAACCAGCAGGAACTGGATTTAGTTTTACTAATGAATATATTACTGATTTAGATCAAGTTGCTTGGTATTTTTTGAAATTTATGGAAGAATATTATAAATTATTTCCAAATGAAATTAATAATGAAATATATTTTGCTGGTGAAAGTTATGCTGGTCAATATATTCCTTATATTGCTGATGCAATTTTGAAAAGAAATAAAAACTTAAAAGAAAATGATGTAAAATATGATTTGAAAGGTATATTAATTGGAAATGGATGGGTTCTGCCAAATCAACAAAGTTTATCATATTTACCATTTTTCATTAATCATGGATTGATTGATAAATCACATCCTAGATGGGGTAGTTTATTGAGTAAACATGAAAAATGTCAAAAAATTGTTAATAAAATCGATGGACATTTCGATGAAGCTGACGTTCATCCATATGAAGTTAATTCAGCTACTTGTGAAAGTATTTTAACTGATTTATTGAATTATTCACAAGATCGTGAAAGTGATTCAGATCATAGATGTATTAATATGTATGATTATACATTAAGAGATTCATATCCTTCATGTGGGATGAATTGGCCATTTGAACTTAAATATGTTGCTCCATTTTTAAGAAAAGAAGAAGTGATGCATGATTTGAATTTAGTTGATTTGAAATATTGGCGTGAATGCAGTGGTAAAGTTGGTAGAATGTTTGGTGCAAGAAATTCTTTACCTGCAGTTCATTTGTTACCTAATATTTCACAAGAAATCCCAATTATATTATTTAATGGTGCCAATGATATTATTTGTAATTCAGATGGGGTTTTATCTTATCTTGATAAATTACAATGGGGTGGTAAAGTTGGTTTTACTAATAAAGATGATCAAATTAATTGGATTTATGATAATAAAGAAGTTGGTTATATCTTAATGGAAAGAAATATTTCATTTATTAATATCTATAATTCTTCACATATGGTGCCTTATGATTTACCTGATGTTTCAAGAGCTTTAATGGATTTAGTTAGTGGGAAATATGAAGAGAAAGAAAAAGATGGCAAGAGGGAATTTATCACTTATCCATTAGGTGAAGTAAGAAATAAATTGGGTCAAGAAATCCCAGCGGATGAAAGTTCCAAACCTATTGAAGACAAACCTGATGACAAACCTATTGAAGACAAACCCGAGGAAACTAAACCAGAACAAACCAAACCAGAAGACGAAACTTCATCATCAACATCAGAAATTATCCCAACATCAGAAGCATCATTTATTCCAGAACCAGAAGAATCTACAAGTTCCAAGTTCACTAGATTGATTCAATTGGGTGTTATTTTCATTATATTCTGGGGTGTTTACATTCTTTATGTTTCCTACAGAGCCCGTCCTTCGTCTATAATTAAAAAACCAGCACGTTCAACTAATTCATCTGGTCGTAAGAAGAATGTTCAATGGGCAGATCAATTGAATAGATTCGAAGAAGATGAGAATGAACTTGGTTCACCTCCACCTCAAGGTATAATAGCAAAAACTATAAGTAAAATTACCGGTAATACAAGTAATCGTGGAAGATATGCACCAGCAGGTGATGGATCAAGAGAATTTACTGATGATATTGAATTGGGTGAAGGTATAAGTGATCCAAATGTTGATGAATTTATAATCGGTAGTGATGATGATGAAGATGACGATGAAGATGTAGAGACCCATGAAGGAAATCCTAAGAAAACTGAATCTAAAAGTTAATAGATGACTAATAGATTTGAATATATGTATAGACACCAGAGTTTGTATTTGAATGTGTGTGTGTGTTTATGATTTTGCAATCAATTTTAAATATAGTGTAATCATTAGTCGTGTATATCTCACCAAAAATTAATTCCCATCAATGAAGAGCCAAAGAAAAAAAAAAAATTCATTGAACCAAATTTTCAACAAACAAGAACTCCCCTAGTAATACTTCATATTATAATATCGAGTTTCATAGACACACATCATTATGTTTAAGTCATCGATACGTAGGCTTGCAACTGAGGCCACATCAAGTACTACTTCAAGCACAGCATTTAATATTTCTAAACCACCATCATATACTTTAGCACAATTACGTTCATTTCCATCATTAGAACCAACTAAATTTTTACCATTACCAACAACATTTTTTAATACAGAATCACCACTTCGTAGAGATATTTTATGGAGTTCAGTAGTTTATGAAGCTGATAAATCACGTATTGGATCAAATTATGTTGTTTTAAAATCTGATTCACCTTATTCAAATCGTAAATTACGTCGTCAAAAAGGTAGTGGTATGGCAAGATTGGGTGATCGTAATTCACCACATATGGATAATGAAATTAAAGCTCATGCAATTAAAGGACCACATGATTGGAGTACTGAATTACCTAAAAAAATTTATGATTTGGGATTTAAAAATGCATTTACAAATCATTATAAATTGGGGAATTTAAATATTATTGAAAATGATTTAAATTTTAAATTTAATTATGATATAATTACTCAAATGTTTATTAGTACTCATCAATTAAATGGGAAAAATTTATTATTTATTGTTGATGATGAAAGAATTAATTTAAATAATTCAATTAATGAATTTTTCACTAGCCAAAAGAAATTAAATCTGTTGAGTAAAAAAGAAAAACCTAAATATTTAAGTAAATTAAAAGGTAAAGTTATCAAAAAAGAAGATGTTGAAGTTAGAGATATCTTAAGAGCTGATAAAGTTTTCATTGAATTACCTGCTTTACAATGGTTCATTACTGAATATGGTCAGGAATAGGCTTGTGAAATGTCAAAATTATAACTCCTACCAAGATGAGTTTTTTTTATTACAAAATTAGTTATTAAAGTAAATATTTCATGTATATAGAAATAACAATAAATTATTAATGACATATTCAATAGTTTTGATAAGTAGTTATAAAAAATAATAATGATAATAAAAATAATGTGGAGATATAGATGTTTACTATATGAAATTCTGATACTATTCATCTGTTATATCACGTGCGTCTGATTAGGGCTATTAGGGCTTGTTATATACAGTCCTAAAGTGTTTTTTCCTTGACAATGTTTCTCTCTGTTACTGTGCGACTGGTCAAAGGTGCAGAAATTTTTTTTGTTTAATTTTCTGTTGTGGTGGTACCAGTTACCGCGAGAATGGTACCGTCTGGGCCCAAGCGCTAGTGCGACATCGAACTATCATCAATACGTAAATGATTTTTTGTCCTCATTCACACGCACTCAGTCTATAGTGTGAGTGAATGGAGGGATTGTCGCACTAACAAAATTTTTCAAGTTTTTTTTTTTTTCCACCAAGGTTTAACAAAAGAGAAAAAGGAAAAAAAAATTTTGTTTTAATACTTTTTTGATAGTAGTTATAAACAACAAAAGTAATCAAACATGCCATTAGTTGTCCAAGAACAAGGTTCATTCCAACACATTTTGCGGTATGTGAATCATCATTTATTGTCAATGTTTACCTCCCATGGATAGAGAAAGAATGAAAATAGTATCAAAGAAATTATCAACAAGAATCCAAGAATTGTTCAACGAGATGGAAATATTAAATTTGTTAAAAGAAGGAATAATATATGATAGAGTGGATATATGAATAATTCATCATTCATGGGAATATAACTATTATTGTTTAAGGAATTATTTTATTTTTAGTTACTAACAATATGATTTATAGTTTGTTAAATACCAACATTGATGGTAGAATCAAGATTATGTACGCCTTGACTAAAATCAGAGGTGTCGGTAGAAGATACGCCAACTTGGTTTGTAAAAAAGCTGATGTTGAATTAACCAAAAGAGCTGGTGAATTAACTCAAGAAGAATTGGAAAGAATTGTTACTATTATGCAAAACCCAACCAATTATAAAATCCCAGCTTGGTTCTTGAACAGACAAAAGGATCAAGTTGATGGTAAAGATTACCATGTTTTGGCTAACAACTTGGAATCTAAATTGAGAGATGATTTGGAAAGATTAAAGAAGATTAGATCTCACAGAGGTATTAGACACTTCTGGGGTTTGAAAGTTAGAGGTCAACATACTAAAACTACTTCTCGTGGTCGTTAAATTTAATTAAATCAAAAATTTTTTGAAAAGAATAATATCAAGTAGAAAAAGAAAGGGTTTAGTTAATTATTTTAATAAAAGAGAGAAAAAGAAAGATAAAAGGGGGGAAGTTTTTGATTTTCAAATTAAAAATTTATTCTTTTATATCAAATTCATTATTGTATATTCATGTAATTTAATTTTTTATTTGGAAATTTAATACATATAAGAACTGTTTTCATAGTAATTTTTTTTCTTTGTATTAAACCTCTGTTATATGTCACGTGAACACAACTGCAAGTTTGCACCCAAAGTATATCAAACAGAATGTTTTATGAATATATTCCAAATAATCATTGGAAGTAATTTACTACTATCGTCAAAAATTACATACCCTCTTGTGTAGGAAAAAGTTTAAAATTACACAGAGTTTATTAGTACAACATTGAAAAAAAAATATCCCTTTTGATTCTTCATCATCATCATCATCATCATTACATAATATACTCTTAATTAGGTAAAAAAAAAAGAGAGAAGAATTAAGATACACGAAGAGACGAATAATTAAAAACACATTTGGCCAAAGAAGGAATAATTTTTCTTTACATCTTATTAATGCAAGTCATATATAGTATTAAGTTTTATTACCCTTTTGTAGATATAAATTTCCATTATAACGACGCATCATCGTCTAAATTTTAATGATGTTCCTTCCACACACAGAAACACGCTGCGCGTGCTCAAGCGTGTTTTTTTTTTTTGTTGTTTTTGGGTCGTGGCAGTGTGGCGGTGTGGTACGAGTTAAATGCACAAATGGCATTAAAAGGGGGGAGGGAAGGAGGACCCAGCAAAAGGGGGTGGATGGGATGGGGGCCAATGACGAACTAAACATTGAAATAATAAACACCGTTGTTGGTCAGGGTCAAGGCAGTATAACACAGAGTAATAATAATAATAATAATATGTACACACACACAGAGAGAGATGTATTTATTCCTTTTTAGGATGAATTGATTCCATGGCGCTCTTAGTCACCTTAACATACCATTTGTTTCAATCACTATGAACCCCTGGATTTCTTCGTCAAAGGGTAAAAGTATGTGGAATTTTTGTACAAATGGTTTGTAGTCTACATGTATCAAAAGAATGTAAAAATAAATTAATGAACTCGTTAAATTATTAATAATACACAATATATATATAGTTAAAAAAAAAATGCAAACATAGTCTAATAGACAAAAACTATAATAGCTTATTTCTGAATAGGAGGTAAAGTTACATTTGTAACATCACCTAATGGCTTTCTTGATTCAGATTCCAATTTTTGTGTGATTTTACTAGGCATCAATTTGAATGTCATAGTTGAAGTATTTTCACCATTCAATGATTGTGGTTGTTTTTTATTAGTTGGAACTAAAGTACTCTTCATCATTGAGTCATCTATCGACACATTTGATTCATCATAAGCAGCTGTAGTTGTAGAAGGAATTGTAACTGGACTTGTTGTTGTTGGAACATTGTTCAATTTTGTAGATAATGGAGTAGATATGTTTTTAAATACGGGTATTGAATAAGATCTTGGTTGTGGAATTGGAGTTGGTTTAAGAGGAGTAGATGATTCCATAAAAGATAAAGATTTGTTTATAAGTGGTTTTGTTGGAGTAGAAGAAATAATTAATGGAGTAGAAAGGGTATGACTTAAAACTGGTGGTTGTTGAGGAGGTTGCATTGGCAATTGATGATGTGGATGTGGAACTTGTTGATGAACAGGAGTTGGAGGTAATACAGTGATTTCTTTTTCCAGATTCAGTTGTTTTCTAATTGATTGTCTTTTATTTTGAAACCAGATTTGAACAGCTTTTTCAGTCATGGAAACTTTAGCAGCAATTTCCAATCTTCTTGCTTTATTTGGAGTAGTACCCAATGTAAATTCTTTATTTAAAATACTCAATTCATGAGGAGAAGTTCTTCTTCTTTTGCGTCTAGCCAAAGGAGCATTATCAATTGCAGGTTCTTGCAGAGGGAAAGTAGCTGGGGAATGAGAAATAAAAGCATAAGCTTTATCTGAACCCATGGAAACCAATGAAGTTGAAGAAGATGAGTTTGATTTTGAAGCTTTGCGTAATTCTAAAATACTTGTATCAGCAATAGAATCATCATATGATCTCTTGTGACTACTTGGTTCTGAAGGAGGAGTGGAAACATAATTTGAAACAGGGTGCAATGAATCAATAGGAGGTAAAGAAGATTTGTAAGGAGTTGAACTGGACAAAGGATGATCTTTGTAATGGCTTGAATGGGCGGTTTGAATAATTGTTGATAAAGGAGGTAAAGTTGTTGTTGTTGTTTTGGTGGTGGTTGGAGTTGGTAATAAAGGAGATCTCTTAATAGGGGTATGTAAATGCATCATCATTATATAAGGATATTTCAAAATAAACAAAAAAACGAGTGTAAATTATAAAGAATGAATGAAAGTAATTGACAAATAAATAAAAAAATGGGTTTGAAAAGAAGAAACAGATGTGATAACAACAACAACAACAACAACAACAACAAAATGTTGAAAGGAATCCAGCAGTTATTTATAAGAAATATTTTCTACACGGTTTATAGTTGTTTATTGTTTTTAGGTAATAAAATCAGGAGAATAAAATTTTTTAATAAAACATCCCAATATGTAAATAATGTTAATTAAGAAGAAGAAGCAGAAGAGAAAGAAAGAATAATAAACAATGCACAAAAAGCAGGAGAGTCAAACACAAATGAGCTGTGTGTTTAAAATTGAAAGGATAATAATAATAATAATAAACCAATTAGTCAATCTAATTTACAATTTAATTTTCAATTTTCAATTTAATTTCACTTTTCAACATTTCATTTAAATGTTTTATAAATTTATGCATAAATTGCGAAAAATCCAAATTACACAAATCTTTTCATCTGATTGTTTTATTTGTTTTGATTTTTTGATTTTTGTTAAACCGCGTTGTGGATACCATTTTGCTGATTGATTGGTTCGTTGGTTGATTCGTAAGTAACAAGTGATGATTCATATATATATATATATATATATATAAAGAGACTTGTGATAATAATGCTCATAATAAATGATGTTGTTGTTTAATAAATGTTTAGAATGTGTTTCCTTCTCAATTAGGGTGAACTCCTTTTTCTAAGAAAATTTTTACAAGTTGTACACGTCTTTTTTTATGCAGGAACAATGTTTTTTGTTTATGGTGAAATGTGTTTGTGTCTATTTCTCGTGTGATTGCACAAAGACGCGCAATGATTTAATTTTTATGTTTATTATTGTTTTACAAATGATAATGAAGAACAAGAAGAAGAAGAACGTGATGAATGAATTAATGAAATTACCCAATTAGGAGATTTTTTTTTTTATTTTTATGTTCTTTGAATTATTCCTATTGATCATGAATAATAATGGTTACTTGAAAGAAGAAGAAAAGGGTAAGAGATATTCTTGGTTTAATATTGAGCAAATTTAGATTCATTCACTACACTCATATTTCCAGTGGTAACTGATCCACGTGAAAACTGACAATGAAATGAAATGAAATGAATATATGAGATTTTATGGAGATTGCATCGAGTAAACACAATCTGGTTTCCTATTTGGGAATGGTGGTTTCTTCATTAAGAATTATATATTAATAAAAATTGTATAATTGAAAATTTTTCTCTTTATTTTACCAATATGTTTCAGATACAGAATGTAAACGCAGGTAATGATTGATTTTCTCTACCCATTTGCAATATAAATAAATAAATAAATAATAATAATAAACACGGTAAATCTTCAATTATCAACAAGTTCTATTATAAAATAATCCACGATTTGAGGAGTATTCACACGTGAAACATAAACCACTCACATATACAAACCGATATTGATCGACACTATAATATTTATTTCTTTTTTTTTTGTTTTTTTTCCTCTTTCATTGATTCAATGTCATTCGTTCTGATATTTAATTGAATTATGAAACTTACAAAATTGGGAAATTTAAACTTGTACCAATACAATACAATCAAAGACACGCAGGTTACGATTGTATGTACATTTAAAAAGAATTTTAATGCAAGTTAAAAAAAAATTGTTGGACCTGACACGACAGAAACAACAACAACAACAACTACAGCTGTAATGGTGGTGGTCTTCTATTATAAGAGGATATGCATGAAATTTAACAAATTGCTTGCCTGGAAATATTTTTGGCGTTTGATTTGAAACTTTCCATTTGTTATTTATTCAGTGCAAGATTTTGTGTTTAATTGTTTACATTGTTTCTTTTGTATTCTCTGTAATTTATGAGTCTCTATAAAGACAGGAATATCACACAAGAAGAACAACAACAACAACAACTTTAATCCCTGTTGATTTTGCCTCCTTGATTCCTGTTGTGATGTAAACTCACATGGCTCTTCTTCAATATATATACTCATCAATCGTAACCATCGCATGTCTATGAATCAACCAACCATATTTCATTTGCTTAATAAGGTAAGTAGGTTGTAGAGTGTTACCAACCATGTATTATTTCAATTCCAATAGTTTGTAGTATTGTCTACTAAATAATCAAAATTTATTTACGTGTTTTATTTCTTCACACACAGATCTGCGTTTTAATGACGACAATAAACCAACAACAAACTGTACAAATTTGAAAATCATATTCTTTGAAAGTTTAGACCGTGCATTGATGAATGAAATTTCCCTTCGTCCAAAACAAACCCAAAAAAAAAATAAAACAGTAATTTGATTTGCGGGCGATGAATGTGGTCGTGCGGTAGTTCAAAACCATTCACGTGACTTAATTTTTTTCTTAAATTTGAATGGAGTATTAATGACCATACAAGGTAAACAACTACAGTTCTAGACCTCATGGAACACCGTTTTCGCTTTCAAACCTTTGAGTTAAAAGTATAACTTTGGTTAATCATTGTAACGAGGATAGCAATAGCAAATAACAAACAAAAGGAGAGACATACACTATGAAACTTCAAGTTGTGGTTATTTTTGGATTTGAGTTTTAGGAAGTTTGCTATCAAAAGGATCTAGACTGTAGAAATAATTATTATATATTAATTGAATATATACTTTATAATTTTAACGTTATTTAGACAAGTGTTGCGGGTGGTAGTGTAAGAACCACTCAGATGATCATTTTAAACTTTCATCGAGATTTATTCCAAAATTTCAGCAAAAATATTCCAACACAAACCTGATGACGATTCATAATTGAATAATTACAACAATAACTCAATTCCATTCATCGTCTATCATTAATGATCTTAACTATTTGTTTTTTTTTGAATTTTTATATGTGAAGAACTTGCGATAAACTTCATTCAAATTTGATAAACTTATAGTTTACAACAACCTGTACACCATCTCTTGAAATTATACACATTAACTGTCGATTTTTCAAGCAGTTGTCAAGCTCAAATTCACCTTAAACTTGTTTGTCATCAAATATCTCCTCTACACGACCTCCCCAGAAATCTGAGTAATTTATCCAATCAAAAAAAAAAAAAGAATCTGGTTGTAAGTTGCTGTAGAGATAATGCCAACCATTTATTATCTATTGTCTCACCTAAGTGTTGCAACCAAAATCCATTTGAATAACCACAGTTGTTACTACCAGACAATAATTAACATTCATATTATGAACCCTATTAAAAAAGTATCATCGTTTTAAGGGGACATTGTCCCTTTTTTTTTATCGAATTAGATCTACGAAACACGTGCCTGAATTCTGGTCGTGTGAGATTGGACAATAGAACAGTTAGTTTCTTTTCTTTCTAATTGTTCACTGTAAAAGAAAAAAGAAAAAAAAAAAAGAAAACCTCTTATCCAGCATTATTCAAAATTTCATCATCATCACCCACTCACTCACCACTCACCAACTACATATCACCAATTATTTTTATATTTTTTTTTACTTTCCCTGTATATCGTATACCACCGTATTATTTATATATTCATGTTATATTAATTGGATAGAAAGAAATAATAGATATGGAGGAAAAGACTAAACAGAAGCAACAAATTCCAGAACAAGGTCAAACCACCGCTTCGCATATTTCGGTATTTAGATACTTTGGTATTGCTATTCTTTCGGTATTTGCTTTATTCAACTATTTCCAATTAAATGAATTCACCATTCCATATTTAACAAATCAACAGTTAAATCAATATGTTTCCGCTCAATCAATTGATTTGAATGAAACTCAAGTTGATGATATTAAAAGATTAGGTTTAACTCCTAAAAAACCAGTTGAAGTTCATACTCATGATGGTAGAAAAATGACTATTCATGGTAGATTCTTACAAATTACTGATTTACATATCGATCATCACTATAAAGAAGGCACTGATTTTGATGAAGTTTGTCATAGTGGTAAAGGAAAATCAGGTAAATATGGTGATGCTATTTTAGGATGTGATTCACCAGTTATTTTAGTTGACGAAACTTTTAAATGGATAAAAGAAAACCTTAAAGATAAAGTTGATTTTATTGTATATACCGGAGATTCTGCAAGACATGATAATGATAGAAATTATCCTAGAACTGCAGAAAAGATTTTTGAAATGAATCAAGAAATTAGTCAAAAATTTGAATCTTTATTTGAAGGTGATGATGACAATCCAAATGATCAAAAGAGTTTAGAACAAAAATTTGTTCCAAATCCAGGTAATAATGATTTCTTTGGTAAATTAGTCGATGCCGGTAATTCAGAAAGAACCAGATTTTTATTCCTTGCTTGGAGATCTTTTATTCCTTCTGAACAAATGCATACTTATCTTCAAGGTGCTTATCATTTCCTGGAAGTTATTCCAAATCAATTAGCTGTATTGTCATTAAATTCCATGTTTTGGTTTACTTCAAATCCAATGGTGGATGATTGTGATACTAAAACTGATGCTGGTTATCTACTTTTTGAATGGTTGGGATATGTTTTGAAAGAAATGAGAGCTAGAAATATGAAAGTTTGGCTTATTGGCCATGTTCCACCTAATGAAAAGAATTATGATGTTTCATGTCTTAGAAAATACATTGTTTGGTGTCATGAATACAGAGATGTGATCATTGGTGGTCTTTATGGACACATGAATTTAGACCATTTTATTCCATATGATTCCGTTAAAGCTTATAAATCCATTAGAAAAGATTTCAAAGATCAAGTTTCCGATAACCAATTAAGAGCATTTGAAGCTGATGATGAAGACGATGTTGCTATCGAAGATTCTCAATTGTACAAAGCATTAGATGAAAAATTCAGTGATGGATTCTTCAGAGTCACTGGAGGGGTTCCAAAGAATAAAGTTGATTATATGGAAACTTTAAGAGAAAATTTGTATGCTCCACTTAAAGGTTCGAAAAAATCCGGGGAATTCTTTGAAAGATATTCCGTGTCACATGTTGGTGCTTCGGTTATACCTACTTTCAATCCAGGGTTAAGAGTTTGGGAATATAATATTACCAATTTAGAAACCGAATTAATCCAAACCAAATTTGCACCATGGAATCAATTCTTTGCTGGTGTTGAACAAATGCTTGAAATGCAAGCTAAATATGAGGATGAAAATGAAGTCGAAATCTCCAAAAAGAAAAAGAAGAAGAAGCATAAGAAAAAGAAGCAAGATCATACTTTCCCTAAACCAATGCCACTCGATAGACCATTAGGTCCAGCTTATGTCGAACAAACATATACACCAGAAAGATATGTTCAATATTTTGCTGATTTAGAACTGATCAACAAGGGTAAGAAAGATTTTCGATATGAAATTGAATACAGTACAGACGATGAATTATATGGCTTGAAAGCATTAACAGTTAAAGAATGGATTACATTTGGTAGAAAATTAGGTAAACCTATTAAAGATGCCAACGCAAAACGTAAGAAGAAAGGTAAGAAAAAACATACTAAACTAGACGCTATTTGGTTTAATTATTTAAAGAACACCTTTGTAAGTACTGATTACGAAAACAAAGGGTATGGTTAAGTAACGTATTTTGAATTAATTTGGAATTAATGTACGAATTTTGTCTATTAATCATTGAATTCGCAGCTGCAAAAATAACAGAAATATTACAAGTAGGGTTGAAACCCTAGAATTGAACTGTTTGCACGTGACGTAAAATTTACTTTTTTTCACTTTTTTTTTTTCCCTTCTCTTCACTAATACTATGGTGAGCATTGCAGCATAGTAATTTTTTTTTTCCAATCGTCTTTCCAAATTCAATATAGTTTATTTCTTCTTTTCTTCGACAAATTTATTACCATTAAATTCCTATCGTCAATAAATTAAACTACAAGTCGAAATGGGTGGTGCTAGAGAAAAGAAAGTTCAATACTTTACCAAATTAAGAGAATTATTAGAAGAATACAAATCTATCTTCGTCGTTGGTGTCGACAATGTTTCTTCCCAACAAATGCACGAAATCAGAAAAGCCTTGAGAGGTGAAGCTGTTGTCTTGATGGGTAAAAACACCATGGTCAGAAGAGCCATCAGAGGTTTCTTGTCTGAATTGCCAGAATTTGAAAAATTGTTGCCATTTGTTAAAGGTAACGTTGGTTTCATTTTCACTAACGGTGATTTGAAGACTATTAGAGACACTGTTGTTTCTAACGTTGTTGCTGCTCCAGCCAGAGCTGGTGCCATTGCTCCAAAAGATGTTTGGATTCCAGCTGGTAACACTGGTATGGAACCAGGTAAGACCTCTTTCTTCCAAGCTTTGGGTGTTCCAACCAAGATTGCCAGAGGTACCATTGAAATTGTTTCCGACGTTAAAGTTGTTGAACAAGATGCTAAAGTTGGTCCATCTGAAGCTACTTTGTTGAACATGTTGAACATTTCTCCATTCACTTATGGTATGACTGTCGTTCAAGTTTACGACAATGGTCAAGTTTTCCCATCTTCTATCTTGGATATTACTGATGATGAATTGATCAGCCACTTTGTCTCTGCTATCAACACCATTGCTTCCATCTCCTTGGCTACTGGTTACCCAACCTTGCCATCTGTTGGTCACTCCATTATCAACAACTACAAGAACGTCTTGGCTTTGTCTATTGCTACTGACTACACCTACGAAGGTTCTGAAGCTGTTAAGGACAGATTGGCTAACCCAGAAGCTTACGCCGCTGCTGCTCCAGCTGCCGGTGCTTCTGCTGGTGCTTCCGAAGAAGCTGCCGCTGAAGAAGCTGCTGCTGAAGATGAAGAATCTGAAGACGAAGATATGGGATTCGGTTTATTCGATTAAACAGGTCTTAATGTATAGTATTTAGTATATTAATTCAATAATCTTCATTTATTCGTAACGTAAAAAAAAAACGAACTAAATAAAACAGAGTCATACACTGTAGAATTTTGAATTTTTTTGCAACCCTTATATATATATTTTAATAACAACAATCTAATCATGGATTGGGAGATGACGTATGGATCTGATTTCTCCATGAGTCTGGAAGAATCTGATACTTCTGCATCATCTTATCATCCATTAGAATGTCAATTAATGATTGATTATATAAAAATTGGTGGGAATATAGAACTAGCACCTTATATAACATGGAGAGATACCTTTGAATCTTGTGAATCCATTTATAAAACATTTGGTGATATGAAGAGAATCATAGGAATCAAACCTGAATTAGAAGAAAATTTACATGCTTTTTTAAAGAATAACAGATTAACTTATATTCTTGATAAAGTTATCCTTGGAAGTTTGCAACTTTTAGAAATGACTTCTAATTTATTTGTATTTAATAAATTTCAAAACATGAGTTCATTAGTTGAATGTATTTTTGAATTTTCTCAATTATATGCTATACAGATCAATGATCATTTGATTGTTAGTTTATTAGTTGTCTTGGAAGGTTATCGACGTTTAGAAAATCGATATTTTATAAATCAAGAGCTGCAGATATTAGAAAAGAAACCTCGAGGGTTGAATAAAATCATATTGGTGATTTTATCTCATACATATCCAACATTAATATTATTCAAGTTTTTGCAACAACAATTAATCAATGAAGATTCAGATCCTCGACGGGTCTCTCAATTGCTTAAAGATTATAGTGTTTTAATGATTAATTTAAGAACTAAAGTAGAAAATGATTATGATGATGTCTCGGAACTAGATGAAATTAAATATCAAGTTGAAACCATGATTGCTTATGTTTTAAGATCTTCGTATCATAGGAATAATTGGTATATTTTTCAACAGATTCAAGCTGATTTTAACGCTATGTTTCATGCAAATGATGATTCAGGATTTACCACTCCTGCGTTTAATTCTGATTTAGATCCACAACAAGAACAAGAACAAGTTGCTCCTTGGTTACGTGATGTTTTTGTATTACCACCAGATGAATTGGTTCATGCTGAAGAGGAAGTAGAGAAACAATCTCCATCATTGGAAGATAAATTAGATACTGATCATCTTCGAGTACATCGAGTCAGTCCAATTCTCAATAAATTCAAAACTAAAATATCCAAATTGTTCATTAGACATCATAATCATCAACATGCTAAGTAAACTAAAAATAAATAATAATAATAAAAAAAAATATTGCTAATTACATTTCTGTATATCATTCTCTTTCCTCTATTTACATGATCAAAAAAATATACACGATTCGTCTCAACTTATCTTCTTCTTATTCTTTCAACAGGAACCTCTTGAGTTTCTTTAATATCCTCTATTACAGGTTTAATAATTTCTTGAGATAATTTACTTTCTTTTGGCCAAAATGAAGGTAATAAACCAGCTTTTTTAAATAACCAAGCAACTCTATCAGTTGGTTCAGCACCTTGACCTAACCAATATTTAGCTCTATGAAAATCTAAATTGATTTCTTTAACTGGTGCTGAATTATCATGACTTGGTTTTGGTAAAGGTATTGGATCATAAGTACCTATAACTTCTAATGGTAATTTTTGAGGTGCTTTTTTAGCTGGCATCACTACAATATTATAAACTGGTTGATGTCTTCTTCCAAATCTAGCTAATCTGATCTTAACAAGATTACGTTTATAAGCTGTCTTTTCAGCAAGACTCATAAATGGTGTTGTCGTCATTGGTGTATTAGTTGGTTGGTTGGTAAAGTAATTCCAATGGTTTTGATTGATTGATTGATTGATTGAATGAAAAAAAAAATCAAAGCGAAAGAAAAAAATTTCAATGTCGCTTTTTGGTTAGAAATGAAAACTTGCACGTGCACACGACTTTTCGTTGATACAGTATAAACACAAGTATTGAAACTTATTGGAACAATCATTAACGAACAATCATCTTTTATTAAACTAACTATCTAATTATTATTATACATTATTTAAAATTTCTTTCTGGCTTTAAATTTTTGTTTAGGTTTTGAAATTTTAGATTTACCCATAGTTTTACCCTTTTTCAAAACAGGAGTACTATCTTCATCATCGGACCAATCTTGATCTTCATCATTTCTTGATCTTTTAAATTTCAATTTATTCTTTTGACCTTTAACTGGAGCTTGCTTAACAGCATCCAAATAAGCATCAATACCTGATACTTTATTCGATAATGAATCTTCATCTTCTTTATCATTGAATACCAATTTACCATTCTTTGTTTTAAATTCTTCTTTCTTATTTTGAATATCACTTTTAGTTAATTTCTTTGGTTTTGAAGATGAAATATGAGCTAATGCTTGTCTATCTAATAAATTCAATGGTTCATCACCAGTATTTAAAATAAATTGATTAGATTTCTTCTTCTTTTGTCTAATTGAATCTTCATCATAAATATCAACATCTTCTTCATCAGAAATATCAGAATCATATAATGCTTCTTCATAAGCAGAAACAAATTTCTTTTCTTGATTAGTAGTAGTAGAAGTACCAACAGATGATGATTCTTGTTCTTCAGCTTCTTGTTTTCTTTTAGCTCTATTTCTTGATTTTTTAATATTGGCAATTAATTTTTTATCTTGTTCAGGTATAGAATTTTCAATTTCTTCAATACCAAATTTTCTAATTAATCTTTCTAAAATATGTTTAACTTTTGATTTAAAATGTCCCTTATGTTCATGTGACCATTTCATAAGTTTTGATAATAATTCAGATAAATTTTGTTTAACTAATTCTTCAGGTAAGGATAAAACTTCAACTTTAACAAAACCAATTGCTGATTTTGCAATTTCTCTTGAATTATGAGTTAAAAATAATTCAACAGTTGAAGAAATTTCCAATAATAATTCAGTTGATAATACATCTTTAAATTCAAAGACTAAACATGAAATAGCAGTAATTGTAGCAGAAATCATATGAGGATTTTGTGCAGCTAAACCAGCACTAACCATGGTGAAAAATTCAGTTAATGAAGCTTGTGAATCTGGTGAATTAACATCAAAGCCAGGAACTTTAGCATTAACAATAATTCCACCTTCATTCATTTTATTACCCATCTTAATTAAAATTTGATATGATAAACCTCTTGATCTTTCGTTAACATCTTTTGTAGCCATGATAATTTCTTGTAATATAGAAGGAATGAAGAATAAATCAGTAGTAGGTAATAATTCCAATACCAATAAAATAGCAGTTAATCTTGCTGATCTTGCTGAATTATGAGTTTGTTCAGTAGTATCAATCAATACTTTTTCAATTTCTCCAATAAATTTCAAAATTGATTGTTTACCAGATTCAGTTTCTGCCAATTTTGAAATGATTCTATATGCTCTTTTTTGCATCAATGGATTATTAGCTAAATTAACAGTAGTTGCAAAAATAGAAAACAATGCATTATGTGAAGATTCAGGAACATATTTAGCCATAGCAACAATTAAATCCATCATGGTAATACTAGTTTTAGGAACCTCATTCTTATTTTGCTGTTGTTGTTGGACAGGAGCAGCAGTATCATTTGCTTCTTCATCCATGGCTTGTTTTAATAATCCACAAACTTTATCAAAAGTAGAAGCTAATTCTTCTTTTGGAACAATGTTCAAATAAGTTTCAATAGTTTCTAAAACAAATCCTCTTGAATCAGCCATAGTATAAGTGAAAACATTGAATAAAACAGTTAAAATGTTTGAAGCAATTGAACCTAAATATTGAACATTCTTTTCAGCTTCAGATTTTGGAAATTCTTGTTGAATTAATAAATCATCATCTAATGCACCATCTTTATAAGCAACATTTGATTCAACTAATAATCTCCATGCATGACAAATAGGAACCCTTAATTCCACATTAGCAAACATTAAATCAGAAAGTTTAGTAGCAAAAGATTCATCAAATGATAAAGTCAAATCTTTTGGTAAATCACAAAAATGTGGTAATAAAGACCAAATTTGATCAATAATAGTTTGGAAAATTTTATTATTCATTGATTCTTTATTTGTTGATTCTTCAATTTTTTTAATGAAAAATTCGACATTTGGTAAAATGTTTGATTTATAAAATTCCAATTCAGCAAATCGAACATTATCTCTTAAAATAGGTAATAACCAAGCTCTACCTGGACCAGTACCATTACCAGTTAAATTCAAAGGTAAACTGTTTAATACAACTTCTGGACCCATTGAAGAAACACAAGCAGCAATAAGATCTTCAGCTTCTTTATTATGAGGGAAATTATCAGTTTCATCAGTTCTCCAATTACCAACAATTTGTAAAATATCAAGGAAATCTGGATTTGATCTATTTCTAAGTTTTAAAATAGTAGCAGTAGTAAATTCTAAAATTTCTTTAGTAGCATGTTGATATTTAATTGAAAATAATTCTTTTTCAATCAATTCACTTATAAATGTGATTGTTTCATCAACTAATTCATAAATTTCCCCAGTGATTCCATTTGTAGAAGATGGTTGTAATAAAAATTTATCAGGAATAGTTTGACTAACAATAGCAATTAAACATTGTGATGAAGAAGTATAAATATCTTTTGAATCAGAAGATAAAAATTGAGATACAATAGGTAATATAGTTGGAATTTTAGAAATACAAGGTTCCGGAGATAATTTTGAAAAACTTTCTAAAGATTTAGCAACAACAGCTAACCAAGAAGCAGCTAAATGAGTATCATTAATAGAAGGTTTTAAATCAAAAATAATATCTAAAACTTTTGTAAATTTTTCAATATCAATAATATCATTCATTGATTGAAATAATCCTTCAAATGCTTTAAATGCTGAAGAAACTAAAAATTGATCAGAAGTTTTTGAAATTTCCAATAAAATATCACACAATTCTTCAATTTTACCAACTGGCCATGAATTACTTGATGTAATCATAGTAATTAATTGTAAAACATGAATAATTTGTGAATTAATTTCTTTATTTTTCTTTGATGCTTTATATTCATTCAATAAAGTAGTCAATTGATTCAAAGAAGCTTCTGCAGCTAAAGGAGCAGCAACATGAGTAGGTGATGGGGAAGTAGGAGGATTTGATAAAATTTTATTAACAGCTTCTTGAGCTCTTCTTCTAACTTTAGGTCTTGGATCAAATGAAGTTTCTAACAATGCTAAAAATGCTCTTTTTGGAGTAATTTGTCCCTTTGAATTCCACGAAGAATTATCTTGAGCTAATAATAAACTTTCTAATGCACCGATAGTTGATCTCATTAATGGAGCTTCAGCATTTTCTAAAGTTAATGGTTGAGCTAATTTAACTAAAATTTGATTAAATTTTGATTTTAATAAAGGTTTTGGAGTGAAAGGGAAAATAATATCCAAGAAATAAGCAGTAGTGGTAGCCAAATTATTATCAATTATTTTATCTTCTGATATACATTGATCCAATAATGATAAAAATGATATGAAATAAGCAACTGGAGTTTTATCATTTTTTTGTTCTTCAATGTTTTCTTCAACTGCTGATAAAATGATTGCTAAATGCTTTTGATTTTCAAGTTTCGAATTAATTTGTGATCTGATTTTGGATAACTTATCTTCCATTTCAAACACATCTAAGGATAACCCTCCATCTGGATTGTTATCTGTCATGATAGAATATCTTGTTTGGTTTGGTTTTGGTTTTGGTTATAGTTGTTTCTAGTAGAAAAGAGAATCACCTAGAAATTGTGATAATTTTCTTTTTTTTTTTTTCAGGGAGATGTGCGTGAGATGAGTTTATTGATCGTGTACAAACCTATATCACGTGCGCGGACAAATACAAACGAGACTAAGCATCCAATTGTAACAGATCCAATAGATAATCTATAATTTCAATGTCTTTTTCATATTGAATCAATGCATTTTTATATAGATTAATATCATCTGAGTAGTTATCATCTTTAAACGTTGGATCAAAAGATTCGGTTTCTTGATTAATGGCATATTTTTTAGCTAGGTAGTATCTTATATCATCAACCAACTCAATAGTATCAGTATCTTGTCTTTCTTTAATTCTTTCAGCTGATTCTTTAATAAGTTTTGAAAATTTTGAACGTTCTTTTGGATTGTTGAATATTTCAGGAAGATTATATGCCATCATTTTAGTAATGTGTTGTTCTAATTTATCGCATCTTGTTTGCCATGAAGCTCGTATCAAATCATAGGCATCATAATCGGTTTTATCAAATAATGATTGGAATTCCCCAAAAGTAAATTTTTGAAATTGTGATGTTATATTAACTGCACTCATAGTCTTCAATCTCTCTAGAAACAATTCATCGGCAGCAAATAGCAACTCTATAGATAACTTTAAAGGTATATCATGAACATCATCATGATATAAATAAGATAAAACCATTTCTGCAACTTTTTGATATGATGTACTTGTAGATAGCTGAATCATTGGTAAATGATCAATATCAACTTGAGGACGATTAACAACTTCAATACCAAATTCTCTATACATTGGTAAATCCTCTTCAGCAGTAAGAAAAATTTCCGATTTAAACATGGTATCAAAATATTCAGATCTTGCAATGATGGATTTATTCACGGGATAGTAGATCACCGATTCAGTATCTAAATCAACGCATGAAAGTATGACATCAGGGATGGAATCAGATTCAAGTAATGTTTCTCTTTGAGAATCAGTTATAAATTCATGACAATCTATATCTTCAAGATCGATATCTTCCTTTAAATCCATTTCACTGGATAATTTTTCATTTAAAATATTATTAATTAAAAACGAATCCAAATCTTTTCTTGCCTTTTCAACAAACTTGAATGATAGATCATGATTTATTTTAGCCTTTTCTTTTTCATCTTTTATGCTTTGAATTTCCTCAATACCTTCAATTAAATCATAAAGTTTATACATTTGTGCTAAAGCTAACAACTGATCTTGCATGTTCAGAGAATAGTCGTTGATTACCGAATCAGTCCTAAGATAAATATAATCCACAATACGTTTAAATACCGAGGGATCAACACTCATAGGCATAGTAACAACTGTCAAGTTTCTCCAATCATTTAATAATTTCTCTTTAAAATAAGGACTTCTTGCAACTAATAAAAATCTATGAAGGTTAAAAAATTGCAAATCTTTAGGTAATCCTGGTTGTTTAAATTGAAATACAATATCATTATTCAATGAATTCAATAATGGATTTAACAAGGAAGAAATATGACCAGCAAATGGTTGACTTGCATCAATTGCTTTTGAAATATCAAAACTAACTAATAAATCTCTAATTTCATCAGTTAATGCACCATAAATACAACGAGCTCCTTGGAAAGTATCCCTATCACAAATAGCTCCTCTACTTAATAATAATTCAACAATTTTAAAATGTCCACATAATGAACTAAGAATTAAAGGGGAATAATCATATTCATCAACTTGATTTATATCAAGATTAGGTGTAGATAATAATGAATCAACTACTTCTATATCTCCAGTACGACATGCCATACATATTTCTTGAAATACTTTCGCCACTTCTGGATCTTGATCAATTGGTGACGAGGTAGGTCTCGCAGAAGATGAAGAAATTGACAATGACGAGGGCGTATCTAGATGATGACTTAGGGAAAATATCAGATCAATATCTCCGTTGGTAGTTGTCGAACTAGGGGGCATTGTGGTGGGTATTGAATAAAACTGAAAAAAAAAAATAGTTAAAAGATAATTAGAAAATTGTGAGGAATGTTTTTTGTTGAAAAATTCCAACTTGAGCCTCAGTTTCTCCGTTTGGGTTTATGTTGCTGCATTCCCTTTGATGATGATTATAATTAAACTGTGGAAACACTGAGAACCGATACCACAAGTCACAGCATCACCGAGGATAGTAATTAATAATGGTTAAAGGTAACACGCCAATCAATAACTAATTGATTGTTCTTTCTAGTTTAGATAAGAGAATTTTATACTCAAAAGATATTCGCGAATCAAATGTTTTGCTTGAAAATGTTTGCAGCCTAATTTGAAAACATATCCGTCAAATCATAGAATAAGGATTACAAACCAGACACGTAGTATTTATGATGAACATTAAGAATACTATAAATATTCGGTGGCATTTCTATCTAATTTTCCAGTGAGTTGTTCTAGACAATACAACAATCATCATCATCATCATCATCATCATCATCATCATCATCATCATCATCATCATCATCATCATGAGTCAAACTGTATTTGTTACTGGTGCTACTGGTTATCTTGCAAAACATATTATTGGATATCTTATGGAAAAAGGTTATTCCGTCGTTGGATCAGTTAGATCTAAAGAAAAGGGAGAAATTTTAAGCAAACTATTCAATACTGATAAATTCTCCTATGAAGTTGTTGAAGTTTTAGAAAAAGAACATGCGTTTGATGAAGCTTTAAAGAAACATCCCGAGGTTACTATATTTATTCATACTGCATCACCAGGAGGTAATACTAAAACTGAAGAATATGAAAAAGATATAATTATTCCAGCTATTGAAGGTACTAAATTTGCATTAAAATCAATTCAAGATACATCACCACAAATTACTAGAGTTGTATTAACTTCATCAGTTGCTGCTATGAAACCATTAATAGCAACACATGATGTAACTATTCCTTATTCTGATCAAGATTATAGTGATATTAAATTAGAACAAGCAATTAATAGTTCAAGAGCAGCATATACTGCATCAAAAGCATATTCTGAGAAAGAAGCATTTAAATTCATCGAAATTAATAAACCAAATTTTACATTATCTTCAGTTAATCCAGTATTTACTTTTGGACCAGTTGAATTTATTGAAGAAATTAGAGGATTAGATAAATTACCATCAACTGCTGAATTTGTTAATTCAGTTTTGAAATTTCCTAAACAAATGGTTAAAATCCCACCATTTCAAGGTGCTTTTATTGATGTTAGAGATGTTGCTAAAGCTCATGTAATTGCATTTGAAAAAGATGAAGCCCAAGGAAAGAGATTATTAGTAGAACAAGAAAAATTTTCATTTCAATTATTGTTAAATATAATTAGAGAGAATTTCCCTGATTTAAGAGACAATTTACCTATTGGGGAACCAGATGTTGATGTTAGCAAATGGAGTAAAGCTGATGATAGTGAAAGTAGAAGAATATTGGGTATTGAATATATTCCTTTAAAAACATCAGTTTTTGATTTAATCAATCAAGTGTTAGAATCTAAGAAATAAGAGTATTTTATATGCTGTGTATATATGTATTGAATGCATACAGATATATCACTTGGTAGTGTAGCCAACAAAAATGACCCAACTTGTTTAAACGTCGATGGTGGTGGTGGTGGTGGTGGTGCCAGCCCCCCCTTGCGGGAGCGGGGCCCAACAAATCAACAAATCAACAAAAAAATCGTTGTGTGTGTGTGTGTGTGTGTGTGTGTGTGTGCCTACACCAATAATTTTCATTTCTTAGTGGCGAAAAACCTTTCTTTCACACACGCGGAGTAGTACGACACACACAGTCAGAGAGAATTATAAATTTCTCCTCCTCTCTCCGTTTGATCCCACATTTTTCTTCTTTTTATATTTCAATCAATAACTATCCAATTAATTAACAATGGTTTCTGCTGAATTCGAAGAAAAAGTATGTTTTGGTTCTACGATCAATTGACTCATGTTGTTCCTAATTCCTAACTAACTCTTTTTGTTTGCCAGGCTTCTCAAGTTTCTAACTTAACTACTAGACCAAGTGATGATGAATTATTAAAATTATACGGTTTATATAAACAAGCCACTGTTGGTGATAACAATACTGATAAACCAGGTACTTTTGATTTCAAAGGTAAATACAAATGGCAAGCTTGGAAAGATTTAGAAGGTAAAACTCAAGAAGAAGCTGAACAAGAATACATTGCTTTTGCTACTGAATTGATTTCTAAATACAACTAAATTTATATTTAAATTTAAATAAAAAAATAAATCCTAAATATATATCTTTAAATACAAGTATATCTGTTTTTTTTTGTTTGTTTGTTCTTTTAATCAGTCTTCAATTTTAAAGATCTGATGTTTTTAAAGGAATTGATTATGATAATCAAAGGAATAATCACATATGGAGAATAGATTGCACACAAGTTTGTGACTTGACCAATCAGTAAATCATATGTCTTGTACTCTAAAATTAACCAAATCAAACATACAAAAGTAGTGAAACCAGCATTGAACCCGTAGATAATACTCCATAAATAATAACTCAAATCTAAACGATTAGATAAATATTTGTATAAGAAATAGAAAAACAAAGGTAATTGGAAAACCACTTCAAAAGTTACAAATATTTTAAACCAAGTTTGTGGGGATGACAATAATATGTCATGATTTGTGGATACATGGAAATCGACTATTTTGGAAGTGATTGCCAATTGATATTGTTGAGGAATTATACATGAAGAATCAATGAATATAGTGATTGGAATATGAATTAAATAATACCAAAATAATGACTTTTCTATTAATGGATTCATGATGTAATAGATGGTTAGAATACGAACTTTTGCGGGGGTCGAGTGGCAGAATCCAATGTCTTATCTGTAGAGCGTATTTCCTTTTGATTCGGATACTGGAAAAATGGGAAAAATAACGTGTCAAACCAACCAACAATCAACAAGGAAAGAAAGATCTTGATTGTTTGGTATATTCTATTTTCCAATGATGTATCAAATTTCCGAAATCATTTTGTCGTGTTGCGTCGTATAAAAAAAGAACAAATTTCAAATGATCGTGAGAAGACAGTGCGATGTGGAAATGTCAAATAATGGTGGAGATGAATCTTCCCCAAACAAAGTTCTTATCTTTCTCTGGTTTGTAACTCCATGATTATCCATTACACGGAAAACGAATGATTACCTTTGAACGAAATAGAATTTAAATATTTTTCTTTCCCAAGTGTCAAAAGATCACGCCAAAGTCAAATAAATAAGAGCAATGCAAAGGATCTTTGAATTAGGATCCATTTCCCGGAGATTCATGTACAAACCATTAGTTTAAATTAACCAAAACCGATTGGATAGGGAAAGTTGTCGTCGGTGGAATACTATTTGATGACCAAACTTCGTGAAACTATGAACTGTGCATGATTATTAGCTGTAGTACTCTTACTCTGTCCGGGAAGAGGGAGAGTGTCAACCAGATTTACTCAACTCTACTTATCTACAATGCATGTGTTTGATGTAAAATTAATGATAGTGGCTTTAATAAGATGATGAAAAATGGAAAAATGAGCAAATTATACCACCCCATAGGAGAACGGCATATGTTAGTCCATATTCGTTAGTTTTCCATTTGCTTCTTTTAATTGGTATTTCCAATAGAACAATAGAACAATAGTAAAGGAAATGGAATGAAATGAAACACAGAAAGTGTAAGAGAGTGAGAGAGAGTGTGTCTACTTTATAATCAGTATCGTAACCATTTAAGTGGTGGAAAAAAAAGAAAAGACCCATCAGGGATCAGACGGGGAGGGGGGAGAAGAATAATTTAGAGATGACGCAATAACCATCGTTAGTAGATATACCATATTACTCATCTTATGATTGTATATATACAACCAAAGAAGATGGTGATAGTTTAACTGTAAAAGTAATAACAGTAATAAACAAGAGCGGCAACGGCAATTGAAGTGATTCATTATAATGGAACAAAAAAAATTTTTTTCAACGGCCGAAGAGTTGAAATGGATTAGTCAAAACAACGGAGATGACACACATATCAAAGAGAGAGAGAGGATCAGAGAGAGAGAGCGGCAATGATAGATAATATCCTAATAAGCTATGTTTAGTCCGTTCGGCTATTTTAGCATTAAATTACACAGTTTAGTAAAGTACGGATGATGACAAACTAAATGTCTATCTATCCATAACCGTTTCTTTTCTCAGTTCCATTCTCATCCCCATCCCCATTCCCATTCCCGTTACAATAAAAATGAAAAGAATTTATTTCCGAATTTTACATTGCTCTTTTTATTACTAACACTAGGATACACACACACACACACATACGGATTTAACTTTTTTTTTTTTTATTATTGACTCCCGGGACACACCCTCTCTTTTTATTTCATTAGGACTCACACAAAATATAAATATAAATATAAATATACCATAACCTCTCCTCTAATTTCTGTAATTCTTTTTTTTTTTTTTTTATTTTAAATTATTTACAACTATTCAATTATTCAAATGTTAAATACAATGAGACTCAATTCCACTACTAGTAACAGCAACACTTCCCAACCATGGAAGTTGGAATACGATTCTATCTTACAACAATACTACTACATTAATCTACTTGATAATTCAATTTCATTCGATTCTCCTTGTGAAGTAATGAACCACAAGAAATCTTCTTCTACAAACAAAAAATTATTTGCATCCTTCAAGAAACAAAGAGAATATAACCAACATCACAAGAATTGTCCACTTTCACGTAGTTCAAGTAACAACACCACAACTACTGCTACCAATAGTAATAGTACTACTAAATCAAAATCAATTTATCGCCGATTAAGTGATGCTTTGTCTTTGAAATCCACAAAATCTAATGAATCTACTCCAAATAATTCTCCAAGAAATAGTATCGTTTCAAACGTCAGCAATGCATCCAGTGAATCTTCCACTACAATGGTTGATAGTACAACGTTAATGGATGTTGGTAATTTAGATGATGAATATTTATTAAACAACAACAGATTAAATAATTTTAAGAATTTCACTGGGACTTCTCAAGGTAATTTACGTTTTGGTTACATTAGTGATAATTATCATGAAGATGCTATTTCTATTTCAAGTGATGAATCTTCAGTACTAAACGATCCATTGACTAGTGATGAAGATGAAGACGAAGTTAGAGTTTTCAATCAAAATTATATCTACAACCCAAATTATGATGGCGCTTTTTTCGATTATGAAGATGATGATTGTAAAGACAATGAAATGATTGACATTGAAAAAGAAAACGAAAGAAGAGAATTAAGATTACAAATTTTAAAAGAACTATATTAAGTGTTTGGGGAGGTGCTAAAAAGTAAAAAAAAACTCAATAGCAACGTGTTTGTTTGTTTATTGACTATTTCTAACTTTAGAAGGGAGCTTAAGACATGGTGGATTATTGACAACAAAGCATTTATACAATTATATTTATTTCTGTATTTAGTTTATTTCTTACGATTTATTATGATGAATTTACGATTATTATTATTTATCACTTGTTTGTAGAAGCCAATAAAGCTTTTATCTTTATTATGGTGCTGTCGTTTACAACTAATGATAATGTAACTTTGTTGGGTAAAACTGTAATCACTGTCAATGTCTTTTGGATTATTGCTGTGAAAATGTGAAAACTGTTATTTATTGTTGGGTTTAATATGTGGCACACCATCGTACCTTATTTACTCTTCTCAATTGGCGGGGATAATTCAAAAAAAAAATACTCTTCTAAGCGTGTTTAGAAACTATGCATGAAATTTAAACATTTATTATTGGAACATAAACATAAACTTTGTCATGAGAATCTTGTCATTCCTCTTCCCCATATCAAACTAATTTGCTCCACAATCATTGCTCCTCGGATTTTAATTTTCAATCTAAATATCGGATATTAAATGTTACTATTATAACCGATAATAGTAGACACATTCAGTAGTTCATGTATAAACTATATAGAAATTATAATCTCCGGATACAGAAAGATGCCATACTACTATATCGGTTATCTTTTCTGTAATATCCAATGTTGTATTGTTAACCCTTAGATTTTTTGATAAAGTAATTTACATAAAACAATATTTTACCTTAATCAACAACCGTGACTCATACTAACATAATACAACACCGCCATAATAAAACCCTAAAAATAACAATTCAATAACATTCGTAATACAACTTAAGCATTAATAATTCGTAGCAGTAGTACTATTACTACTGCTAGTAGTATTACAAAGCCAGCATTTCTTTTTTTTTTTTTTTGTTTCTCCTTTGTTCGGTTCCGTTAGTTTTCGTAAATATTTCTCCTATGTTATCCCCGCTGATATTGCGGCATATTGACTAAAACGGTAAATTGAGATGTAGCCTCACGGTGTTCTAAATTGGGAAATACCAGAGCCACTCGATGTATCCCATTTTGGAAACATACAGATTTTATTTAGGGAAACAGCCAAATCTGCACACAGATCATATATTAGAGTGGGTATAATGATATATATATATATATATCTTGCTTATCACAACATTACACTTCAGAACTGTATCTGAGATCAAGTATTTTACTATTGAAATAGCTTAGGTAGAGTCTTGTCCATACAAAGCTACAAGTGAAAAAAAAAATCTTACAGTCAAATGTTTCACACGAAATGACAAACGACCATGAGACAGAGAAAGAGAGAAAAAAAAAAATTTACAACAGAAAAGCAAACAAAATCTTCAAGACCAACACAACCTTTAAATAACCATTACTCTATTAAAGTCACATTATTCGATCGAACAATGGCTACTTCTCAAACCACTTTTCTGGACGAAAATATAGCCAGACTTAAGAAAATGACTGACGTGGCTAAAACAAATCCACAACAATATTCTCGTACTTTAACCGATCTATTAGCCATCGTCATCACTCAACCAAATGAAGTTGAACAACATAAATGGATAGTTGGGTTCTTATATGATACTTTTATTAATAATGATAGCATTGATATTCGTGATAAAAACCAATATGCTATTGAATCATTAGATGCATTGACTGCTTTGACAAATATCCGTGATATCACTACGTTTCGTAAAGTTATCGATATTTCATGTATTGTATTTAGATTGGTATTTCAATATGTTGCTCAAAATAATAATGCTGTACAAATATGGAGTAAATTAATTGAATTGAAAAACAAATTGGTGAATAAATATGTTACTACTTTCCCATTGGATCCAAGTGATAATTTGGAATATGATCAAGTTAGAAATATCCCAACAAAATTGGAATTGTTGAAATTTCTTATGGTTGTCATTGATACAACTACAAGAACAGATGTGATTGGTGCTCCGATTCGTAACGTTTCAAATCAATTTTGTTTAAATAATGTATCTCCAAGTCATTCGGTGATTAAATATAAACAAATGGAGAATGAAGCTCAACAAATTTTCCAAGGATTGGTCTTGAAAGTATTCGACAGTGATATTATCAATCCTCCTTTAATCACAGCAACTATAAATCATTGTGTTGTTATTATGAAGAAGAAACCTCAATTGGTTAAAATGTTGTTGACTAAAATTAATAAATATGATACCATGGAAAAATTACGTTCTAATTATCAATCGGTTGAACAATTTAAATTGGCTAGAAAATATGTTGATAGAAACATTCGTATTTTCATCCAACATTGTCTTAAGCAAAAATTAGTTCCAACTGAATTCCAAAATCCTTTGAATATCCAAGCTAATGCTTTAACCGACAGGGGTGCTGATATTAGAAAAAAGAACATCTTTGCTATTGATGATCCAAGTATCAAAAAGAAGAAATTTGAAGGATTCTATTATACATCAAAACGTCTCAAGGAACCTACTTACAGTAATTTGTATACATTGAATGCCCTTGATGATCAAATCAACAAATATGATGTATCTGATATACGTCCGAATCTTTTAATTCCATTAATAACCAATGCATTACAACGTGCTTCAGTTACTAGATTATCAAAAGGTTTGGAAATTATTTCTGATCGATTCAAATATGCTATTGAAAATCCAGTACAAATAGGGACCGACGAACCAGCAGCAAAACGAAGAAAAACAGATCGACCACAGCAATCTCAATCACAATCACAATCACAATCACAACCATCACAACAGCAACGATCAAAACAGGAACCACTGATAGTGAAAACCGAACCTAGAGTTAAACAAGAGCCAAATGAAGACGATGATGATATTGATAATGAAGATGAGTTAAAATACGGTGGTGAAGTAGGTGACGACTTCTTTAATCCCGATGAAATCTTTGTATTACCTCCACCAACAGATGTTGCATTCCTGGAAAGAAAACTGAATCTTAAAGTTATCATTAATAATTTCTTATCATTAGCAAACAAGAGTATTGGAAACAAAGAAGATTTGGAAGTTCCTGAACTTAGTGCCGAAGAAAGACATAACTTGAAATTTGCTTTACCTCATATTGCCATGAAGGCTTGGAAAAAGGGAAGTTGGATATTATTATTGACAAGATTAGCTAGTAGAGGTATGAGAATAAGACACTATGATAATCCAAATGGTACCAATTCACCAGATGAAATAAACAAACAAGAAATGGCCGATATGATTAGAGAAGAAATCATGAAGTATTGTTCTGCCAGTATTCATAGCAGAATCGATATTATTATAGAATGGTTAAATGAAGAATGGTATAGTGAAAGAGTATTCCAACAAAGTGAACTTCTCAAACAAGGAAAAAACATTGACAAGGAAACTATTGTTACTCCTATTTATGATAAATGGTGTGCCAAAGTATTTGATGCTATAATTAATTATATTGAACCGCTGGGGATTAAGTTATTTATTAGATTAGTGAGTGACTTGCCTGATTTGAATGATAATGTCATTGGTAAGATTAAATCGTTATGTTTTGATCCCGTCAAATCGAATATTGGATTCATGGCATTGCAATTTTTAATTATGTACAGACCACCAGTCAAGGATAGTTGTATTAGAGTATTACGAGAATTGGCAGAAAGTGATCAAGAAGATACAAAAGCTGAAGCATCAAAGAGATTAGCCAAATTAGAAAAGAAATAGCAATGTGTATAGTTTTGATTTTTTTGACAATAAACAAATATCAGAATATTGATTATGTAATATCACGAAGTTAAGGAGTGCAAGAAAGAACAAAAAAAAAAAAAAATATGAAGACAACAACAACAACAACAACGAGAGAGAGAGAGAGAGCAAAAATTAAAAACAATTTTGACGCAAGTGATTTAACGAGGAGGGAGTATAACTTTCCTTATCGTAATTTACAAACCAGATCAATTCATCAACAGAAATGAACAGCAATATTGAAGATGATCCATGGGCAAGTGGATGGAATGATTCTTCCAACACTTCTAATGATACCACATCAACACCATTTCAATCAACGTATTTAACTTCATCACGATTATTTACATCGTCAAATCAAAACCCTGTTTCAACAACAAGTCCAATTCCACATCATCTTCATCATCAAGCACCATCAATCCAAAGTTCAATGAATAATGTTCCAAGTTCTTATGAGACTGTTTATTCCCATTTTATGAATAAGATCAATTCAATTACTGATTTTGAAATTAATATAATTGATAAACTTGTTAATATGGATTATTTAACAAATTATCAAAAACAAAAAATTCTTGATGTTATTTATGATAATAGTTTATTACCAATTACTCAATCATCTAAATTTTATCAAATTTTAGGATTACTAGCTTTAGAAATTGATGTACCAGGTACTGGAGATTTTGTAACTTTACAATTTAGATTGAATAATTTACCTGATTTACCAGAAAAATTCATTAATGAAATAACTCAAGATGTTGAAGATGATCCATTAATGGGGAATAGAAATAGAAATAAAAATGATAGTTGGGGCAAAGATAATGATGACGATGACGATGGAGGAAATATTGGTAACACCAGTCTAATTAATGATCCTTTATTAGTTGATCATTCTCATATTCAAGATGAATCAAGTCATGTTGGTGATGACTCAAATCGTGTAGAAGATCAACCAGTTGCTAGTTCAAGTGTTGACTCTGAATATATTGAAAAATACATCAATGATCTAAAGGATCAATTTAAACCATTGTTTTTAGGTGTTGATTTAATCAAGATTAAAGAAGTTCCTGAGAAAGAAGGGATTTTGTTTAAACATATTAATTACATAATCACTCATAATTTGAAAATTGGTGGTTCAAGTTCAGGAACCAAGAAAGTTATTAGAAGATATTCTGATTTTGTTTGGTTAATGGAATATTTACTTGAAAAGTATCCATTTAGAGTTATACCAGGGTTGCCACCTAAAAAATTCACTGGTATGTATTCTTTGATTATTGATTCATCAAAGAGTTTAATATTAAATACTAACGATAATTCCCACACAGTAGGAGCTTCTCCGGATTCTCAATTTTTACAAAGACGTCGTCGTGGGTTACATAGATTTTTAAATCAATTGATCAAACATCCTGTTTTAAGTGAAGAACCAATAGTACAAACCTTCTTGACTGTTCCAACAGATTTAGCTACTTGGAAAAAACAAGCTAAAATTGATTCTTCTTTAGAATTTAAAGGACAAAAAATCCAACCTAATTTCATGAATACCATTTGGCCAGTTGTGGGAGAGACTTTTTTAAAGAATTGGAAATCAGCTGAAGAGAATATTCAAAATTTGATTGATAAATGGGTCAAAATAATCATCCTTGTTGAAAGATACGAAAGAAGACAACAACAGATAAGTTTTGATAATGGGAAATTTGTGGAAATGTTGAATGGTTTCAGCAAATTGAACACAGAAATTTACCCTGATGAAAATCAAGACACTAAAGTTCAACATGATTTCAGTTTTAATTCTTCTGGTGATATTACTAGTATAAATCAAAGTTTGAATTCTATTGGAGAATTTTTCAATAAATCTTCACAGATTTTAATTGATGAAAGTTATGTAATAAATACCACCACATTGGAGAAGTTTAAAAACTACTTGGATTATTTAAATTCTTTACAAGAATTGTTTGAACGAACCAAGAAATTATCAATTAATCAAATTGATATATTAGATCAAAGAATTAAAGAACAAGAAGTCAGATTTAAAAAAATCAGTGATGAAAACCCTGATGCTAAAGGAGGTGAATTACTCAAATTGAGACAAGCTATTATTAATGATAAACAAGAAATTTTCCAACAATTAAATAAAGATTGGTTAATTAAACAAAGTTGTTTACATGAATTTATTTATTTTCAAGAAACTCAATTTTTAATAACTGAAGTTTGGATTGAATGGTGTAAAGATAGATTTAAATGTCAAGAGAAATTAACAGGATTATACGATAATTTAAATCATGAAATCATAAATGACATGCCATTAAATAGATAGATTCTATTCATGGTTTTTGTGTGTATTTAACTATTAATTCATGAGGAGACTTTATTAAATTAAAACCATCATCAAAATATTTCATATTTAAAACATTTGTAATATTCAACTCTTTCTTTGCTTCATTAAATTCATCATTCGATTGTTTTAATTTCGAAAGTATTCTACCAACTTCAATTCCCAATTCTGCACCTTTAGGAAACCCATCATCAAAGCCATCTTGTAATGAAGTTTCCTTAGCATTTGTTATCCCATCAACATAACCTTGTTTATAATGAGTTCTAATTATATCATTATTAGGAATGATCTTGTCCTCTCCATCATCATCTGATAAATAGTCATCACTTAGCGGGTTGTTCTGATTATTGGTATTAGTTTGTTGTTTATTTAATGACAGTTTACCATTCGTACACGAACAATTTCCATTACATGACATGATGAGTATGAATTTGATATGGCCGTAAATATCGTGATAGTTGATTAATCCTTTTGGAGACAATTATTAATCAGTCGATGCCAACGGAGATAATGAGTCGTGTCGCTTGGCTGGATTTTTCGGTATGGTTCAGACACGCACACACAAGTACACCCTGGTTGAAATAAAATGAAATGATAGTATTACAGGACTGTAATTGACCTATAATGGGTTATAGAATACTTGATAAAGAGATTGGATTTACTATAGAGTCTACTGAGTTTCATGGGTACAATTCAATTATTTGAACACTCAGATATGAATGTCCGTGATATTGCAAATTGACAGCACAGAAACAGCCATCCAATGAATGAACGTACAAAAGGGGTAGGCCAACTTCAAGCACGATGACTGCTAGTAGCAGTATCGTGTAAAGTATTTCTATCCATCTCGAATTGTAGTATTTTGTGTGAGAAACAATAAAATTGTACGGCTCAAAATGGTGTTTAAAATTCTACACATCATCACTTCTACAACAACAGCAGACATGTACGTCACACGGTTAATAAACTACTACAACAGTGTCTTTAGAATACTCAATTGGGACGACATTCCTTATTATTCATTCCTATCATTCTTTTATCAGTTGTACAATTATTTCTCTGGTAAATCAATTATTATAAGTCGTGCGCATGTGCTCAATTCATTCATTCATCCAGCATCCGGCCAAAAAAATTTTAAGCAAGAAGTAAAAAAAAATATCAACAACAACAATTTTCTCCTTTTAATATATTACAAAACATTGACAAGCTTCATTTACAACAAGATTTTAATTATTTATCACATTTCAAGAATAAACAACACCAGCATATCTACAGAAACTAATTGCAATTAATTAGTCACAACAACAAGCAATAAGAACTATTCTTAATTGAGTCTTATCTTTCCACTGTTTATTTTCTTTTTCTTTTTTTTTGGTTAATTATCATTATTTATAGAGTCAACTCATTTTTATCCTCAATTTTAATATCTAATATCATCCCCTTTCATTCCCAATAGTGCCGGCCATTATTTCTTTTAAAATCAATCATTTTTAATACATTAATCTTATACAATTTATTTATATTCAAAAGCAATGTCACAACAAGATATAGTAACACAAGTATCTCCACAAGATTACAACACTAGTGTTGCTACAAACCAAAATGTTAGTGATTCAGATGCGGATTATAATTCAATTATTCATTTAAATATTCGCGGGAAAGAGTTTACTATAACTAGAGATGATTTAATGAGTTTACCTGAAAGTATCTTATTATGTTTATTTCCAAATGGTGTTTTCTTGGATGTCAATGGACAAGTTATCAATAATTTAACTGAAGATGATATTGTTTATGTTAATTTTGACCCATTCACTTTTCAATACATTATAAACACTTTTTATAAAGCTCAACAGGATTTAGTCACCATGCAACAAAATAATAATCAATTGCAACCAACTTCAAGCTATGGTGGTGGTAATAACAATAGACAAGAGAATATTTTAGATACTAAACCAGCAATTATTGTATTGAGAGAAGATTTGGATTTTTATGTCATTCCACCAGCTGAAGGACTTAATGCAGAACAAACAAAACAATTGAAATTGGGAGTAAGTGCTCAATTGTTGAAGAACAAACTTATCTTTTCAGGTTTGGGATACAAATTTGAAGACGATGAAGGTGAAGGAATTCAAATACATGATAAACCTGGAGATGTCGATCAACATAGTGGGGAAGACACTGATACTGATAGCACTACCAAAAAATCTAAAGGTCTTGGGCCAGCTGAACAACATTTATTTGATATGTTGTGTTCTTCTGGATTTGAAGTTAAAGATAAATGGGGTTGTCGATCATTAGAGCCAAATAAATGTGTTATCTCATCATTGCTGTTGGTTAGATTGAAAACAAATCCACCTCCACCTCCAGAAACACCACCTGATTCCCCATCATTAGCACCAGTTGCTTCTAATGCTAGTACTAATGGGAGATCGAGATCAAGATCAAGAATTGCACAATTGGCAAGCAATGCCACACGAGCTGCGCTGAGATCGTTGAGTTCCAAGAGAAATGGTAATAAAAGTGACAATACTCAAACAAAGTTGTTGTTATTTTGGAGAAAACCAGCTAGAAAATGTTGGTGGTCTCATGGATGGGTAAATATAGAAGTTGATGCCCCAGATTTATTTGATTTGGAAACAGGAAATGGGAAGATGTCTGTTAAAGTTCATATAAGAAGAGTTTGGACTTTAGAATTGTCAGTTATTGGTGTACAATGACAGATGGAGCTAGAAGAAGAAGAAGGTATTTAGACTACCCAATTATTGAACTTGTATTATTCTATGCTAATTCCTTTTCCATTCCAGGAATCATCGGTTCTTTAATTTTTTTTTTTTACAGGTTTATATGTTCTAATATAATAGTAATTGATAATTGTAAATTCACACACGACTCAATGATACACGCTCAGCAAAATTTTTTTTTGGTGTAATATTTTTTTTTTTCCAACTTTTTTTTTTTAACCAGACGTGTTTCATTATCATTTGATCAAACTAATCAACAATGTCAATTGAATCTAGAAAGGCTAGAGATCAAGCATATGAAGAAGAAAAACTTCATCATACTCCATGGGTTGAAAAATATCGTCCTAAATCATTATCTGATATTTCATCACAAGAACATACAGTTAAAGTATTAACACAAACAATTACTTCAGGTAATTTACCACATATGTTATTTTATGGACCACCAGGTACAGGTAAAACATCAACTATATTAGCATTAGCTAAAACATTATATGGACCTAATTTATATAAATCAAGAGTATTAGAATTAAATGCATCTGATGAAAGAGGGATATCTATAGTTCGTGAAAAAATTAAAAATTTTGCCAGATTAACAATAAGTAATCCAAGTAAAGAAGATTTAGAAAAATATCCATGTCCACCTTATAAAATAATTATATTAGATGAAGCTGATTCAATGACTAATGATGCACAATCTGCATTAAGAAGAACAATGGAAACTTATGCTGGTATAACAAGATTTGTATTAATTTGTAATTATATTACAAGAATTATAGATCCTTTAACTTCACGTTGTTCAAAATTTAGATTTAAATTATTAAATAATGAAAATGCTTTATTAAGATTAAGATTTATTGCTAATGAAGAAAATTTAAGATATACTGGTGATGACGTATTAAATGAAGTTTTAAAAATAAGTGCTGGAGATTTAAGAAAAGGTATTACTTATTTACAAAGTGCTGCTAAATTAAGTTCAACTTTTGATGATAATGATGATAAAGGTATTATAACTGTTAAAACAATTAGAGAAACTGCTGGGATTTTACATGATGATGTATTAAATGAATTGATTGATATTATGAAGAGTAAAAATGTTCAAAAAATAATTCAAGCAGTTAATGAAATTGAATTAAATGGTTGGTCTGCTCAAATATTATTAGATCAATTACATGATATTTTAATCTTGGATGATAGATTGGATTCTTTAGCTAAAAATAAAATCGCTAAATTCTTCTTTGAACTGGATAGAAAATTAAATAATGGTACTGATGAACACATTCAATTGTTGAATATAATATTACAAGTTTCAAATGTATTATAAGTTTACAACAACACAAGCGGACTATTATTTATGTACTATAGTTTGTATAGAAGAAAACACATTATACACAGAACTTAAATAAAAAAAAAAGGAAATGAAGAAAAAATAGAGAAGAAGCTTTCATTAAAAGAAAGTAAGTATGGTAAAACACAATCCACATTATCGACGAGAAGCTTGTTCAGTTTGTTGTTGATTCTGAGGTTGGCCCTGTCGTTGTTGCTGTGGTGACTGTTGTTGTTGTTGTTGTTGTTGACCTTGATTATTAGCCATATGTGGAGGTAATGGCATACCCATATACTGTGGAGGAATAAATCTTGCATTTGGATTATTCATAAATTGTTGTGGCATTGGAGGAGGCATAAAATTAGAGCTACCTGGTGGTCCTGGCATATATCCCGGTGGGAACATTCCAGGTGGCGGTGGACCTCTTTGATTTGTTTGTTGCTGTTGTTGGCCCTGTTGCTGACCTTGTTGAGGTTGACCTTGACGTTGTTGTGGATTCACAGGTGGTTGTTGTCCTTGTTGTGGAGGTACAAAACCCGGTGGTGGCTGAGGGAAACCTTTACCTTGTAAATGAGGTGGTAAAGCTCCTGGTGGAGGTGGTCCTCCACGCAACCATGGTGGTATTTGATTTGGTGGAATTCCTTGTGGTGGGAATTGTGGAGGCATTTGTTGCATATGTGGAGGTGGTGGTCCTTGTTGCTGCTGTTGTCTTTGAAGTTGTTGTAATTCTTCGGGGGTGATTTTTCTACCACCTGGAGTTAATTCTTTATTAGAATTAGGTGTTGACTTCGTGGAAATAGGAGATTGTTGCTCTGATTCCTTCTTATGAAGCAAGGCCATAAAGAAATTATCATTAGATGAAGCAGCAGGTGGTCCTGCTGGAATTGAACCTTGAGAGGAGACCGAAGAACCGTGTCTTTCCAATACATGCGGAGGTTGCTGTGGATGAATCTGTGGTGGTTGTGATTGCTGATGTTGCTGAGGAGGAGTTGGAGCTTGTTGAGGTGGTTGACCACCAAAGAACTTGGAAAACCCTGGAGGTGGGCCAGATGGAGTAGATTGAGCACTAGTTTGTTGAGGGTTAACTGGATTTTCAGCTGGACTAGCTGGTGCCTTTGGTTGATGGAAAAATGATGAAAATCTTGAAGATCTATGTGGTTTATCCTCATTTGTTGGGGTTTCAACTTCTTCGTTTTCAATTGCCTTGTTGTCTTGTGGTTCATCTTGTTTCACAAATGAAAAGAAATTATCCACTTCGTTGCCAGCATTGACCGCAGCAGCATTGGTGTTGTTTCTTAATTCTAATTCTTCATCAATTGATTCACCATTCTTTTTACGTTCTTCTAATTTCATTTGATATTTCCATTTCTCAAAATCTTCAACGGTTTGACCCATATTCATACCATTATCACCACCTGTGAGACCAATATCATCCCATTCAGGTGTGTCCAATTCATTTTCTTGTTCTCCTAATAATTGTGAAATTTTATCTTTGGATAATTGATCCAATTCATGTGATTTGTTGAAACCCAAGGAATGATGGTTACGATTGCTACCTGACGAGGCACTATTTTTTCTTTCCCATGTTTCGTTATAGTTAGTTCCATTTCCTGACGAACCACCACCACCACCTCGTCTTCCTTTCTTCCTGTAAGATGAAGAAGAAGAAGATTGTACATTTTCATGCGCTGATCTATTCTTGGACAATCTCCAAAATGATTTTTCAGGCAATTCATGGTTCAAATCAACAGCTTCAACCTCAGTACGTAAACTTAATAGATACCCAATAGAGTATATATTTTCCCTTCCTTGTTTTATCAATGGTATGGAATTTATAAATTGTTCATCACTAATCTCAGATTCTTCCTCAATTGCTTCTTCAGATTTACTATCTCTTATAAAGTCAGGTGTCGACTCTCTTGCTGCATGTGCAATTGCCGAATCTAATAGTTTTGACAAAGCATTGCTTGGATCTAAACTGTGAATTGAGGATGTTCTTGTTGTTGTGGGTTGGGAATTGGATGATGATTGATTGTTTATTGGTGTGGTGGAATCCTTGTCTGAAATCGTCACTATTGATGGATCCACTAATAATGGATTCGAATTTGAAGCAGACATTGTATCTATATGATAAGTGCTTTTAAGTTATTATTATTTTCTTTTGTTTTTATAGTTATCCAGATATTATTAATTAGCTGAGTCGGATTAAACCAGGCTTGTTAAACCAATGAAATATGAAAATCTATCAAATACTTTGTGTGGACAATATAAGAAAAAGTGTTGATTTTTTTAATCGATGTCTCAACTTTTTTTCTTCTTCTTCTTCTTCTGCTTCTTTCTTCTTGGTCTCTTTTTTGCCAACCAATTTGTATTTATTTTTTTTTCTCCGTTTCTCTCCTTCCCAAAGAGAAATTGGCTACATGCACACGACCCTGGATTGAATCAACATCAACAAATGCTTTGCACCCATTACTTTCAATACAGATTACAAATAACGATATATGCATACTCTAAATAAAACAACACTACTAATACAAATCAAATCAAATCAAATCAAATAATAATAATAAAAAATAAATAATAAAACAATTAAAAGCCATCAATATATCATGAATTATTGAGATATGGTGTGTTCAATTTCGTAATTTCACGACACATAATAAACCAATCAATCTCTCTTAAATAAATCGACCTGTCCTTAAATGAATCACTACTTAAACTCTTCCCATTCTTTAATTTTTCTTGCTCTTCCCACTTGAAGAGTTCATACATAAATCTTAAATTTGGTTGAATAATGATATTCAATCTTCGAACTCTAACATATATGTAAGCCATTGGAAGGTTAATATTTAATCTTTTCATGACTTCGGCAATGACAACTGTTGCACTTCGACTGACACCAACACGGCAATGAACTAAAATTTTTGTCTCTCCTTTCGTCTTGGTATATTCATCATTGATAAATTTTAGAATTTCTGGTAATCTTTGACTCAACTCATCGATCCCATCATCTTCTAAATTATTAACCTTCATAACAGTATCTATTGTAGTCGTACGTGGATGTGAACGTGATGGATCCTTTGGTGAAATATGATAGGTTTCAATGTTTCCATCCGATGATTCTTCCATAGTGATATCATTGTGTCTTTCAAATTTATAACCATTTAACCACGGAAGTGTTTCTCCAACGGAAATGATTTTCTTTATTCCCAATCGATTCAACAATGGCAAACACAGAGCATGTTTAAGCGACCCAAGATACAAATGTGGTAGAATCTTTGAAGGAATTGACCCTTCAACTTCTTCTACCCAGTTAGTTTGTAGGTACGGGGTATTCCCATCTCCATAATCCGAAGAAGACGTGCTGTCATCTGAAGTGACATCATCTTCATCGTCTGAATTGTGGATAAAACCCAACTTCATGCTGTTGTTTGTTTTCTTTGGACTTCCTAATAATAGTTCATTAATCTCTTGGGCAGTTAAAGTTTCCAAATTGGCCCAGTCCAACACCTGTCTTGATTTGGGACTGAATTTTCTCAACAATGGTTCCAATTTTCGTAATATGATAACATCACTGTTGAAAATATAAAATGGTCTACCATAGGTCATATGTAAGCTCAACATAGCTTCATCCAAAGAAACATCCAAAGAGTACATCAAATAACAGAATATTAACAATGACAGTTCGGTGTATCCATCAGTACAATATATTAATGTACTCAAACCGGTTATGGCATTCAGGGAAGAATACAAATAGATTAATTTGCAGGTATTGATAATCAGCTGCAAATTTTCCCCTTTACAATCACCGATACCAATCGACCCCAGAGGTGGGAATTCTAAATGGTGGAAATCATCTGAGTCATCATGTGACGAAATAGTGTACTTGAATAACAATTGTGCTAAGTCGTCCAAATCCGGGAATGTTGCTTCTCCATGACATCTAATAAATAATTTCCAAGTAGCCTTGGGTTGTGGTAATAATTCTAAAATAGGTTCTTCCTTTGAAACGACTGAATTGTGGGGATTACAATAGTTATCTTTCAAATTGCTACCATCAATATTAGCAAGTTTCTGTTCTAGAATGTTATTCAACATAATTTGATGGTCCCAGAAGTTACCCACCCAAACATTTTGAAATATTTTTGTGGCAGATGACATCCTAATGGTTTCGATCTTCTCATACAATGGCAAGTTGTAGTCATTTAAAAGATATTGGTTATTTGATTTGAAAGTCAAAGGAGTTGTGTCAATTCTAGATATGTTTGCAAATGCCTTTAATGGATTTGTCGAAATTGGTGACTCCATCACTTTATAATATTTAGATAGATCATCTTTCAAAATGAAAATACTATAAGTAGGTGGTATTTTACTCTGGCTGTCGTCACCCAATTCTTGCAATTCAAGGATTCTTTGTTGGTGTTCGTATCGTTGAGCTAACCAAATAATTCTAGCAATTGATTCCAACATGTCCGTGTTGGTACCATAGATGATAAAATCCGAGCATGTCGACAACTTGGCAACTTGAATCTGGAAATTGCGCAATGAAATACCTCTCTCAGGGTCCAAGTTCAAGAAAATTGGCAACACATTCAATTTCAAACAATCCAACACCAACAAATCAATTAAGGATTCGGAATTTTCGTCATGTCCACTCTGATCAGCAGACCATATTTTCCTAACGATATCTTTGATTTCCGACTTTGAGACATCAATTTTGGTTAGTATTTCAGGCAACTGTACTGTATTGTGTAATCCCATAGGAATAGAGCCATCAGAAACACACATTAAGAATCGGATATCCGTCGGTCTTGATAAATTATAGTCAATAAAGATCTCATTGTTCATGGGATCACTAAGATTCATGGTACCTGTCTCCCCGAGTTTTTGTTGCAACTGCTGTTGTTGATGTAAGAAAAATGACTTTTGCGCAAAATTGAATTTATGCAATCCATGCAACCAAGGGAACATTTCTTTTGTATTTGGCAAACCTGAATTGAAATACCAATCAAATATTCTATTTAAATGACTGATTGATAATGCTTTGATGGGGATGTTTCTAACGGATGGATAATTTGGAAGTTGTTTATAAAAAATTGATGAAGTGTCTAAAGGATTGATATCTATATTTAATTTAGTAGTTTTGAGACTAATGCCATCACAAACCTCACATGGATCATCTGGTTTTTCTACTTTTTGGGAATCATTGAAGCTTTTCAAGCGGGCACGGAACCTATCTCTTTCATACATTTGATCATTGGAAGATGATGAAGTTCTTTTGCAGGGACGGGAATTTTCAATTGTTGCCAAAGTTAGTGAGGGTAATGAGAGAGCACTCGGTGACACAAGTTTGCTTTCTGGCGGTGATGGAATTTCTTCTATTTGTTGGACTTCGTCTAAATTGGTATCCTCGTCTACTTGTACTGGGGTGTTTCTTCTTGGAATTGGACGATGCAATTGTGTTGATAAAGATGTGTTACTAGCCAATGTACCAAACCCCGATGAAGAAGGACCGGGTGAAGGACTATTATCTGATGTACTTGTTGGAGTTATGGAATTTGGAGACGATGCTGTCTGTATCTGAGGCATTTTAGTCGTAGTTGCCGTTGACATGGTGTTTAAGATTTTAGATGATATAGTCTAGACAAGTGATGATTTTCCCATAAAAACAGAAAAACTTGAATTGTATAAGGTATGATCTAATTGAATTTTATTGTGAATGATGCCAATGGATAAATAATGAATAATTGACTCAAATGATAAATGTGGTGGTGAAAAAGAATTGTTGAAGTCTTTCTCTATGGGGGTGTATAAGCTGAAACAAACAAACAAAATGATAATGATAATGATAATCAAGAAAAATAGCCAAAAAAAAAATTGATGTGTTGAAACAAAAAAAAAAGAGGAGGGATGATTCTTAATAATACTGTTGAATGCTATTATCTAAATTAACCTAATTATTATTGTCTAATGATCTATTTATTGTTAAAGTTTTATTAGGTAGTTAAGGGATAGGGGACAAAGGAAAAGAGGGACAGTCAAACAGAAAAAAACAAATGATATTGACAAGATATCTTTCTTCTTCTTCTTGTTCTTCTTTTTTTTTTTCTTTTGTCTTTTCTTTGAAGTTTATTATTAATATTTTTTTTGTCTCTCTCTCTCTTTTTGTTGATTGTTTGTTTTTTTCAATAATCTTTGAATTTGGACTTTTTTTTTTTCGTTCGCACACTGACTAATGCACGACACTGGAGATAATACATCAACAGCTATGCATTGATAATTGATTGATAATTGAAAGCCGCAATGGATCAATTGGCTATCAGAGAGCACCTTACAAACTACAATAGACCATCCTTAGATCGTCTCTTTTATCGTGTCTTCTTTTTATATTTGAGCCATTTAAGTGTGGATGTTGTCACGATCATTGGTCCCTTTTCTTTTTCTTTGCGCTCAAAGATCATTAATCATTAATCATTTTTTATTTTTTTGCATTCCACCCGTTGTCGTTGATAATGTATGGTAGTGTATATATGCACAAAAGCCTGTTAGATCGATCAAGCGATAAACAAAATTGATCATCGTACACGTCCTACACATCTTCCACAGTTTTTTTTTTTTTTACAAGAACCGCTGATTATCACAATTGTGTATCCCCCCCCCTTTATCAATTCTTCTGTAGATAATTTTTTTTTCAATCTCAAACTATAAAGGTTATCTACAACTCTGGTATAGTAAACTGTGCTTAAATAAGGTACACTATTTCTTATTTATTCTCATACTAATTGCACAAAAGTTTTAGGCATGATACTGCTACACCGACTAGGCGACGTGACCCAACAATTGTGCCACAGATATATGGAATTAATATAAAAAACAGTGTATGTAGGTGTATATAAAAACATAAATCATATTATGCAGTCATATTATACTCTTGTTCCATCAACCAATGATCTGATTTGGTTGGTTTTCAACCATCTTTATGTTTCGTAACAAATTTACAAAATTCATGTACAGTTGAGATCAACCTAGAGGAAAATCAGAGTTTCTCCGATGTATACTATTTGTTCATTCCATATGTCAAATGGTAATACTCATGCAGAATCACACGCCATAAAGTGAATATCTTTGTTTTTATGTCTGTTGTTCCAACCCTCAACATTTACTTCCTTATTCGATCAAAATCTCAATGAAATTTTACTTCAAAATTGAAACCATTTTCCCTTTCCGTTGATATATATATTCCGCGGTAGGTGGTTGATTTACTTATCAGAATGTTGCCGTTATTAATAATGCAACAGTAAATCTGACACGTGAGATGTTGCACATGTCTCGGAATTACCATTAATTCAACCATTTTCAATGCCAACTCAAAACAAAAAAACTGTACGTATGACAAGTCATCAAATAAAAAGATTATAGACCATACGTATCGGAATTGATCATGAATGACTCATTGGATACAAGCCATCATTGTCGTGATATACAAGAATAGTTCTACAGTTCTTATAATAGTCAAATACTGATTAGTTTGCATGAATATATATTTTCTACATTTCCGATGGTCTTTTCTCTCTCTCTCTTTAATTGGTAAATTCTAAAAATAGAGCACGTACATATTATGGTTAGGAACAATTGCATTTCCGTCATTTAAATTAAATTTTAGAACCATAAAACCGATATGCATGATACGGAGAATCATAGTACTAATGAAGTTATCATTAAAGAAAAAAAATCTATGATATCTATACTTGTTCTAGATCATAAACTATTTTTTTTTTTACATCAAAGTTGTTCTTCCACCAATTTCATTACTTGGTGTACCATCTGGCATATTACCATCACGATCATTGACAAATTGCTTATAAATTTTAGATAATTTGATTTTTTCCGAATGTGATATAGAAGGTTTTGTCTCTTTTAAGGATTGAATGAAATTATCATGGGTTATTAAAACTTTTGATTTACCCATAATATCTTGATTCTTTTTCGTGTCATTATCATTATCATTAACAAATTGTTGAATTTGATGTAATAATTGAATTCTTTCATTTGTTTTCATCTTCTTTTCCGAGTTCCCAACTTTGAAAAATTCAATACTTGTGTTTGAATTATCTGTCTCTGTAGCTTCATCTTGTTCTTTTTTAGACAACTCTTCAAGAGTAACATGAACTCCTTTAAGGAATGTATTAGAAACTAACCCTTGGATATCAGCACCACTGAAACCTTGCGATTTCTCAGCAATTTCTTCTAAATTAACATCATCTGCAAGCTCCATCTTGGTAGTTATACTTTTCAAAATATCCAATCTGTCTTCATAACTAGGCATATCGCAGATAACACTTTTATCCAATCTACCGGGTCTCAACAATGCACTATCAATTAAATCAGGTCTGGAAGTAGCAGCCAACACATAAACACCATCCAATCCTTCTGCACCATCCATTTGGGTCAACATTTGATTGACCACTCTATCAGTAACACCAGTTGAATCATGCCCTCTCTTTGGAGCAATAGAATCAAACTCATCAAAAAACAAAATACATGGTTTAGCAGCCTGTGCACGTTCAAACAATTCTCGAACACTTTGTTCACTGGCACCAATATATTTGTTTAAAATTTCTGGACCTTTGATAGAAATGAAATTTAATCCACATTGTCCGGAAATAGCACTGGCTAATAAAGTTTTACCACAACCTGGGTATCCATATAACAAAATACCGGAACGCAAACGCAATGGACAATTTGCAAAAATTGGAGCATATTTGGTTGGCCATTCTAAAGTTTCCAATAAAACATTTTTTGCTTCTTTTAATCCACCAATATCGGTCCAATTGATAGAAGACTTTTGAAGTTTGACACCACGTAAATTAGAAGGTGTGTATCCAGCTAATGCTTTTTCTATATGTTCAGTTCTAACAGTATTCTCTTCACTGTCACTAAATAAAACTTCATGGTAGATTCTGTCACTAAGAATCTTCAAATCGTTTGGTAAATAACCTTCTGTTTCACTGACTAAATCCATCAAATCAACTTTGATTTTAAGTTCCAATTTCTTGGTCAAATATTGATCCAATATATCAAAACGCAATGCTTTATCTGGGGCATTTAAATGAACAAAATTTTCAAGTAAATGGGATCCTAACAATAATTTGTTGATACTTTCTTTAGATGTGGATGACAACAAAATTGATAAATTTGAATTGGTTTGATTATGTACTTTAGCAAGACTAGAAATAAAAAATTCCGTAACTTGGTTTGATTTAGTAGCATCCATATTTTCCATTTCAATATTCATGATTTTATCAATGTTATCCAAGATTAACAAACTTGGTTTATTCCAAGCACATTGTTGAATATATTTGAACAAATGGTTTTTCGACAAGTTTTGAAAGTTTTCATTCATAATTGATTCACAGGAAATATACCTTGTGTAAAATCCGTGCTCTGAATTGAGCTTTTGAGCAAGTAGTTTCAAAAGCAATGTCTTACCACTACCTGAATTACCATGAATCAAAGTACCGGTATTTTCTGAAGTTGTAAAAGAATCAACAATATCGTCAACAGTTTCGTCTAGTCCAATAGCTTCAAGATCATTGTCATCATTTGGTGGCTGTTCGATGAATGATTGTGTTCTTAACAATTCATCCCCAAGTTCCAACTTTATCGGTTTTTTGGATTCTAAACTATATGGTTTGATCCATGCGTTGGAATCATCGTTTTTCCTGAATTTCAACAACCCACCATATGGGAGGATGTTCGGTATAACTGGAATTTTAATAAAATTGGTGATTGGCATACTGGCAATATCGGGGTAGAATTTTTCAGTCAACTGTTGTAATACCTTGTTGTCTTTTTTATTTATAGTAACTTCCTTTTTCTTTGTGTGGATGATATACGGATGAACGGTGAATGTGGTTGGTCTTTTAGGTAAATTTCTAATGGCTGGCTTCAAACTAATTATGTTTCCAATTTGATTTTCAATATTTAATGCCACTGATAAATCTCTTGAAAGTCCAATATTTTCTGATAATCCATTCTTGTAGTCCACGACTCTGGCAACGATTCTTTTATTCTCCTTCAAGTCCTTGTTCTCGTCATCAACAGTCTTGGACGGTTTATCATTTGGACCAGGTATAACGGAAACCGCAACATAATCACCAAACTTATTTGTCAATTCATTCAAATCCATGTAAACTGTGTATCCTTTGTCACTTTTGATATCGTATAATCCATGAGGTAAACTGATTCCTCTTTTTAAAATCAGAGGCAACTCCGAATAATCTTCACCAGAAGGAGATCTTTTGGTGCTTTTTGAACTACTAACACTTTTAGTAGTAGCAGTTTCATCTTCCTTCTTTCTAACCTTAGGAGCAATGGCTATTTCACAATATGGAGAAATTTTTGCATATTGTACTCCTTCTTTACCCAAATCAGTTACTAATAATTTGGCATACGTTGAAGAGTTAGGATAAACCACCAATACCTGATTTAATGCAACACATCTTGTTTGACTCAATAATTTATCTTCAATTAATTGTGCATGTAATTCCACCAATTCCCAATCAGAACTAGTCAATGGTTCTAAATTGATATTTGTACTTTCATAGTTGCCCAATTTTAAATTGATTACAATCTTGGTGTTTTCTGATAATTTTAATGATTGTGCAAATATAGGATCTATCTCTAATGATGTTATTGATCCCGATGATGACATTCCTGACCAACCAGCATATGTTTTAGTTTTGGACTTACTATCAGTGACAATCTCCACAATTACATCTTGAACTTTGATATTAGCCGTGAATAATAAATTAGTTAAATGGGAAGGTAAATTAACAAGATTTGATTTTAAAGTCTTGTATGTGATTGTAGCTTTATGATTATCCATGTTGTAGTTGATTATTAGTGATGAAAGTGAAAAGAAGAATCCTCCAGAATGATTCGTTCAAATAGGCGTGTAATTTTTTTTTGTTTGTTCGTTGGTGAAATAAAATGAGTGGGGAAAAAATTACCTAAAACAATTTTGCATGCGAATTTTTATTTTTCACTCCGAGGATAAAACTAAGTTAATAGAGGGTTCTCCAGAGAAAGCTTACCCAAGATGGATTGAATTTATAGGTTGCAGGATTATACATGTAACATATAGTTAATTTTGAGTAAGTTATCATTCTATCTACCATAGAGTTTGTTTTGCAGACGGGGTTGATGACATTGTCAAAAAACACGTGACATCAGCACCTCGGAAGTTGCAGATCACGAGACTGTACCCTCGGAAATAATCAGCCACTTCGGAAAAACTTTTTTTTTTTCATTTTTCTTTATTAATTCAGTTGTGTGCCCTCAATCGTTATCAACATCTATTGGAACTAACCTAAGAATAAGCGATATATGTATTTACTAGCCACTTTTTTTTTTCGCTAATACTAGTCTTGTATGTACTTCGTACAGGGTATTCTATTGTATAATCACCAGATTGTTTAACCAAAGGGTTCTGAAGTCCAGAACTACTCCGGTTTTACGAGAGTAAATGAAGACCTACCCGCCTGAATAAACTTATCTTTGATATTTCTGCTGACGATATTCTTAATAATCAAACTTTGTAATAAATTATTAAAAATTTTTAGAACCGTGTTGTGCCTCCCCCAAAATGCAAACTAGTTTCTTGTGTGTTGATGATAAAATTAAAGGTGAAGATGATCCCTGCGTCATACCCGCTAAAAAAAGTTTATACCAGATAGGAAATGGCTGTGATACTCGGAAGGAAAAAAAAAAAAAGAAATAATTAGCTATTCGGAACGAAGATTTTAAGTCATATAATCATTAACTGTGTATTAGTAATAAAATGTAAGACAAAATCACGGGCCGTTAATTCGGTTAGTAAAATATAAAAAGCAAACAAAGAAAAGACAGACCAAAAAGAATTAAAAAGAGGCGTGGCATATTTGTGACTAAACTTAAAAAAGAAACCTATGAATACACGAAGTTAGGAAAGTCAAGTGCTAGGTGAGACATGAGCCGATTACTCATCTTACTAGTTCATAATTACTCAATGATTATTAAGTTTGAAGAAAGTTCCAATATGTGACAGAATATATATATCCGAGATTAGTTTTGTTGCATGCATGGTCAGGACAAAAGTACATAACCTATGCTTCTTTCACGTTTCTGTTTTTCGATCTACAAATATTGAAGAACACTTAAAACGATTTGCACCTATTCAAAGGTTGGGAATTCACCGTTAACATAATAATAATAAAAAAGAAACAATGGAGAACTTTATCAAAAAGTGAAACCAAAAACTTTAAATAAAAAATCTGGAACATCAAACCAACCGTTAATGCAATAGAACAAAACCCCAGAATATACTAGAATCTTGGGCCAAACCTACAATTTTAATGTGGAGTTAGATAGGAACTTGATTTAAAATGAGGAGAATGATGATATTCTAGTAGTTTTCCCTCCAATATTCATTGTCTGCTTGGCAAGTAATAATTATCACCCAATGATAAGAATCGGCGTTTAACACCTTGCGACGTTTATGAGTGTTTTTTTTTTTCGCCGATAGTACATATTTTTTGGGGGCAAAACAGACAGCATGTACTGTTAAATGGCTTGAATGAGCATCGGTATGTATTGTGAGTAAATAGGAGTTGTAAAAAGAATCGTGGTCAATGGAAATGCAAGTCAAGTATTAGCGAGGAAATACCGAAAAATATTTACCACTCAATATTTGGAGGAAAGATGAGAAGGAGGAGAAAATCATTTTTTTTTTTGCAATTGATAAGTCGTTTTTGCCACTTTAATTAGTGCTGCAAGTGATTGAAAGAATTCACATGCATGGAAATTAATATCCACGTCTAGAATAAAGTCTGATAAAGGCGTGTTTGTATATCGTCTCATGTGTTTTCGATTATCAGAGATAATTTGATGGTTTGGAGAATGCTAATATTTGCCAACTCTCGTTATTTATTTTGTTAGCTGACTCAATGTAAGCGCGGTGCATTCTTTCACCACAAGAGAAGAAAACCAACCCAGGACACTTGATATTGGGGGGGGGAGGAGAAAGGAAGAAGACCCAGAACAAATAGAAATCGTCTACGTTTCTTTAAGTATTTACCGATAAAAGAAATATGTTGCAAGTGGTAATTCCCACAACAGCATACGTTTATCTCTAGCAACTACAGGCTATTTTCACCCTTTTTCCGATGATATAGTATCACAGGTTATTGAAAAGAATTTCTTTGACATTTCGAAGGCAACCCTAATCTTAATTGCATCTGTGTCATAAGCAACATGAACAAGATTGTTACACTATAATGATAACTAGTATTTTTTTTTTTCGTCGTAGAATCAAGTGTCTCGGAAATACCAAAAATAAGCAAAACTGATAATGCGCAAAAGAGAAGTCAGCAGCGGAAAATAGATTGATAAGTGAAAATAAAGAATCAAATGATGCTACAATTACATCACTTGACCAGTGATTGTTTGAGAGTGAACCCTGATGGGAAGAGATGGGACAATAAGGGCTAATTAACCAATTGTGAAATTAAGGTTTTGTTAATAATTTAGGTGATCGAAAGCAGAATAATAATAATCCTATAAATAAAAGTAATTCACCTTAAATGTGGGTATGGTCGTGGTTTTAACACAGGTTGCAGATGATTTTGAGTTTTTCCTTTCTTTTTTGGTTTTTCCTGAAAGTATGTGATCTCTTTCCTTCGCTCGCTTCACGCTTACACAGAGAGAAAGCAAAGATAAATAGCAAACCAGACTTTATTCACACCAAAAAAAAAAAAAAAAAATTAAAACATCACCGATTTTAGAGTAGAAATAGATCATTCCCAAGGTATAGTGCCTTGTAACTTGCATTATCCAAGTAGATCTTATTTTTTTCTTTTATTGGTTTTTCCTTTCTTTTTTTATTATTATTATTATATTCCTGGTTTTCTATTTTTGCATTTATAATCAATGTTGCAGAGTATTTATCATTTTTTACTAATTCCACTTTTGCAATTAAGTATAAATATATACACAATTCCCCCATTTTATCGTGTTTATTTTTCTTGAAAATTCTAATTCATCAATAAGCCAATCTTACTCCTGGTCATTGTTATCATCGTCACCATCATGACTCAAGACATTCCTATTGCTGACAAAGAATTCATTGCTAACAAGATGAAGGAATTTGATAAACGATTCAAGAACCTATATTTAGAATCAAAAAAGTTGGAATTGATCAATTTGTTGTTAAGAATACAATTAGATAGATTGGTAACACATAGAAGACAACAGCAACAACCACAAAGACCTGGTAACATATTATCCAAGTATAAGCAAATCCAAAACTTCCATCATAATGCAAAGCTATTTGTCCGTTTGGAAAAATTAGGCAATAAAAAACTACAGAGTCTAACACGAGGTTTGCAACAATATAACAGAGAAGTTAAAGAGTTCTATGAAACTCATAATATCCAAACGTGATGTTCACTTGAGAATATTGTCTTTTGCAAAACTATGATTCACCATATCATTACCATTTCGTTTAAATTATTCCAAAAAATTTATGGTTAGGAACTACTGTACCCAGTTATTCTTCGTATGATATTCATTTTTGTTTTAAAGTTCCAATATATAGGTTATCCACAAAAACAATAAACTAAAAAAAAGGAATAAATATATTTATATTTATATATATGTCAATTGTTTTATTAAACATTATCTATTTACATGACTTTTGAGAAACTTCTTTAATCCCTATTATTAAACTCTTGAAATTTCTTTAAATCCTCATCTTCACCTTTCTTCTGTAATTCATTCCATTTCTTTCTATTTTTTTCTTCTCTTTCCATCTTTGCCTTTTCAACCATATGGAAACTTCTTCTTCTTAATGATCGACATTGTTCCCATCCAATAATATTCCCCAAAAAGAATCCCCCAACGGACCAATGTAAACTTTTCCTAATATTCTTATGAATTAAAAACGTGACAACACCCAAAACACCCATGGCTTGAAACCCTGTAATCATGGCTTCTCTAAAACATGGCATTTGAATAAATCTTTCGACTGTAAAATCACTTAGTTTAATCTGTTTGGCTGCATCCATTAAAGTGGCTTCTCTTTCTCTTGGTGGTTGCTGTGACTGTTGTTGCTGTTGAATTGGTTCCAGATCTTCGAACTTTGGAGGCAAATCTTCAAGAAACTGTTGTGTTTTAGGTTCCTCTTTTAGTTCACTAACTGTAGACAATTTAGATGGTGGAGAACTTCCTCCACTTCCGAACCAACCCATGTTGTAGTAAATTTGATATCAATAATGGGTTGTATTTGAGGTCGCTGATATTCCTACAAGAGAAGAAGAAAAAAATCTCAAGAAAATTCAAAAAATAAAAAAAAAAAATCATGCAAAAATTGGTCGTGCATATTGGTGAATAATCGTGGAACCCCTATATTAATAGATTATGATAATGATTAAAAAGAGTCCCAGAGTGCGATATTCCTTAATTTGATATATAGTAGGCATATTTGAGAATTTGGTAGTAACATCACCAGTTGTCAAAAAAAAAAAAAAAAGATATCAAGTGGATATTGTCTGATATTTGCAATCATATTGAGTATTCCAAAAACGGTAATTCCGCAATACCAAATGTGCAGCACATTAGTACCGGAAAAACTAAAAAACAACAAAAGGCGCTATATCATACATTATAAGAACTCTAGAATCGAACATGCACTATAAGAAATCTTCTTGTCATTGATGCAGAAATTGCCAACAGGAATCAAAATGTACTATTATAAATCCGATAGTACACGTTTTGGAGGAGACAAAATGGGAACGTACGAGACGGATAGGGAGCTTCTTTCGGAAATGCATAAATCGCTACAAGTTCAAACAATAGATCCAGAGTTATCAATTCTGGAATGTAATATGAATACTACTTTGATAGGTGCAGTTCATCCACATCAAAACCTAGATGAACTTTCTAGAATATTTCATCGCCACTAGTCGTAAAATATCAATGAACGATCAAGAAATAGGTAATAATTAGCGAGCTTTAAAGATGTGAGATCTTGCGAACAAAAATAAATTAAGGTTTTTTTTTGGATTATACACAATACAGGTTACTTGAAATACCGAAGATTATCCTATATTGAGGTTATTATTACCGATATTTCGAAAATCCTGCAAATTATCATAGCGATTAATACTGCAATCATAAAATACACAAAGAAATTTCTGTATAACCATTCTTGCGTTGCATATGTTAACTGAAATTCCAAAATCCGCGATATGGTCGTGCTCGCATCAAATATGCTCTGAAACCATAACTCCTCTAACTTCTTCGAATTATACTCATGGACCTTTATTAAAAATTCATACTCTTTCTTGCCATGACAACCATTTCAAAGGGAGCCATGGATTTTCTTGCTTCTCCGGTATATCGATCTGTGTCGTCAAAAATAAAGTATTCATCACGTGCATCTTCCAAAGTAGATGTCATAAATTCTTGTGGATCTTCAATCATATGCGGTTGTGAATCAATAGTTTGGATTTTCTTCGATAATGTCAAGTATACCGATGAGCTGGCGGTGTAGTAATATGTATCCTGGAAACCATTAGATGGAAGCTGTTCTACTGGTGCTGGAGGGGGAGTTCTCTTGAACACAGAAAATCTTGGGTCGGTACATATAAGCTTCCCTTTAAATCTATCAAGGAATGATTTCAGTGGTTTCTTTGCCTCCAGTGGTGGGGGTGGAGGTGATTGTGGTAAGAAAACAGATATGTGTTTATCATTAATTGAATTCATTGTGGTGTTGTGTAAGAAGACTACTGAATGATTATCATTTTGCAACAAAATCACACCCAAAAAAGAAAAAAAAAAATGACTATATTCTTTGTTATACTACACAAATATTCTATTCAAATAAATAAACTTTACCACTGGCACTACCACCAACTGCCCAATTTTGAGTTGGATGCAAAGTAGATACAGCAGGAACAGCACCAACACTTTCATTCAAATGGGCAATGATATTACCTTCCTGATCAAAAATATCCAACCCTCGGTTCATATTAGCAATAATAAATTTCTGGAATCCATCAGCAGGATTACTCTGCCAGGAAGATTTCAAAATACTAACCCAACGTCCTGTTTGACAATTGTGTCTGATTTTTTTAATCGGTGTCAAATTGTTTGGCAATTCAGGTGGTTCAACTTTCATCACATTCGGTTGTTGATTGAGATCAAATAAAGCTATATTATCATCATACCCATTACAGACAATACGATTTTCCGAATTCCAACTTGCACACGAAATACTCAATCTTGAACTGTAGCTTCCGTATAATTCAGGAGATTTTTGTTCTTCGTATTCAGAATAAACAGATGAACCAACTTTACGTAAATCCCATATTCGAAGACTTCTATCTAATGACGATGTCGCTATTTGATGGGTATTATTTGGATTGACTGCAAATCCACCGATTTTCTTATCATGAAGACGTAAATAGTCACGATTTCCTGACCTTGTTCTGGTCCTTTCTCTTGGATCTTGTTGACAGAATTCTCCAGATAAAGTAGTCATATATAGAATTTTATCAACTTGTTCAAAGTGACTTACCCCCAAGACAGAACCATCATCAGGATCACTCAAAAAAAGAACTTCAGTAGAGACTTGTTTCGTCAAATCTAAGGACCTAATTGACCCATCATATGAGCTCGAGAAAAGCTTTTCAGGAGAAAACGTTGGAAAGACAAGTCGGGAAATATTCTTACCATGCGGACGCAACATCGTTATCAGAGGAGCATCGTCATATGATTTGCCATCTACCAACCAAAGACCAACATTTCCCTCTGTATCCCCGGCAGTAACAATTCTGTCCTCTTTTGCCGGATGGAACGCAATTGAAGTTATACGTTTTTCTGCAATTTTAATATCCAAAGGATCAAATCTTTCATATATGTTCAATTTATCAAATTCTTTACGTTGTTTCTCCAAGGTTGTATTCTCACCAGATGACTTTTCCCTAATAAGATCATAAAAATCACCTGCAGAAAATTTATCACCTAAGGATTTCATGAGATCTAAAACTCTGTTATCCTCTTCAGAATTCTCTTCATGTCCTGAGCCAGGTATCAATTCCAGAATTTTAAAATCACCAATTAATCTTTTTCTACGTGCTTCTTGTTCCTTCTTACGAATTTCTTCTTCCTCTTTTCTCTGTTTTTCAAATTCATCGGGATTTTCTAAAGCAAATTTTATTCCTGCAAGACGACGGGATCTTCTAGTAGGTTCAACAGGTTCTTTCTTTATCTTTGTAGGACCAGAAGTTGATTTTTGTTTCTTGGATTTTGCACTGGCATCAATTTCATTTTTAAGGGAATCTAATTGAAGATTCTGTAACAACTCTTTGTTTCTTCGGATATTTTCTAATCTCTTCTTTTCTAATTCAGAAAGTCCCATATTGTCGATGATGTGGGTTGATTAGTGGAGATTTTGTTAAATAATGTGAAAAATTTTCCTTTTTATTTTATCCACAATCGCGTGAAACTGTTTTACTGACGCGCACGCGCCGTGTTTCTTACAATTGCCAATGATATGCATCATTAACTTTCAACAGTCTATTTATTCTTCCTCTATATATATATATATATATATATATATATACAAATCATACCCTTACCTCACGTAACACATCTCCACACAAATACAAGCTACCACACATCACAATAGACTTTCCTTTGTGATTATCTTCCAAATATTTAAATACGTCCTTGATGTATGCACTATCATTTACCTTCTCTACTTTACAATATTTTTCAGCTACATCTGCTAACTTATCAATTGATTCACAATTGATCCAAGGCATGTTCTCTGGTTGCGTGAACAAAGTTGGAATTACAGTATCGTTTTCTCTCAAAATATGCTTGAATAAACCATCAACTTGTTTACCTCTAGTCATTCCAATGACAAATACTACCGGTTCATTATTGTAAGTCTCACGTAAGTATTTACCTAATTCAATAGCAGCACCCTCGTTGTGAGCGCCATCAATTAGTATATTGCCCAATTTGGCATGTTTTATGATTTGCAATCTTCCAGGCCAGTATGTTTTTGAGATTCCTTCTTGGATTACATTGTCATTTATCTTGTATGGTAAACATTTGAGAATAGCTAATGCCAATGACAAATTACTTGCTTGGTAAGTACCTTTTAATGGACTGAACTCTATAAATGAGGTAGATTGCGGTACCAAAGTTAAAGGACACTGCACCTCATTTGAAACATCCTTCATCACTTGTAATACAGAATCATCATTTGACCCGTCAACAAAACATGGAACATTCAATTTCATAATTCCAGCTTTTTGTTCTGCTATAGCCTTGATTCCTTTACCTAGCAAAGTCTCATGATCAACTCCTATTTTCGTAATCCCGGTGACAACTACCCCACCAGATCTATTATCATTGCATGGTTCTAACACATTAGTAGCATCCAATTTCCCGCCTACTCCAACTTCAATCAATCCAATTTGTATTTTTTCAACGTCAAAAATTTTGAATGCTGTAGCAGTTAATATTTCAAATTCTGTACATTGTAGACCCAATTGTTTATCAATTGTAATTACTTGGTTATTGATCTCATCAAATTTTTGTTTCGGATATGTTTGATTATTTATACTAATACAGTCATGATAGTTTATGATATGTGGTGAAGTGAATTTCCCATTCCGAATATTTGCTTGAGTTAGGATGGAAGACAAGTAGGCTAATGTAGATCCCTTGCCATTGGTCCCAGCTATATGAACTGATTTAAATGCATTTTGTGGATTATTTAAATGGGCGAGAAGTTTGGTGATTCTTGCCAAACCTAAATCTATTGGCATGATAGGTGATAGTCGATGATCAAGGAATAACAGTGGAGAATAATGCTGTGTATAAAGTTTTTATACAGCATGCTCACAAGATGGAAAAGAAGAAGAAGAAAAAAAAAAAAAATCACTGATTATTAGACACATGCTTTTCTTTGTCTCAGCAATAACAACAACAACACTTATTTTCATATCATGTCAACATTGGAGGACGAAAAAGCAGAAAACTTTATTCAAGAACGATTAGATTCATTATATGAAATAGATTGTAAAGTAGTATCATTACTAGACCAATTTTCAACTATTTTCCAGTCTTTCTACACCAAGGATAAAGAACAGTTTTCAGAACAAACAACAACAATTTATTCAACATTAAGTAAAGTAGCTATTGATTTGAGAAAAGAGATCAAGATAATGGATGATAATATTGGTGTTCATGATAAGAACGATGACGGAGTGATGATTTTACCTATAACAAATGTTGATCAAAAGAATACAAAATTAGGTCGCAAGAGATTGAACCTCGAAGTCGAGGAATTGAAAAAACTAATAACAGAGGACCAACTGAGTGAAAGCCAAGAGGATATAGATATGAAAGAATAAACAAAAGCTATACAATTTCTTCTAGATACCCTTGTTGAATCAACCTTTCAACATCCGACTTTCTCACGAAGAACTGTGAGTCCTTTATTAAATTAAATGAACCATATTCAGTAGTTACCTCTCCGCCATCTTTCAAGACTCTAACATCGATGAAAATATTAGTCGGTGGGTTCAAATCTCCACTTAAATCAATGTCTTCAAAATCAGATTTGAAATTCATAATGAGATCCTGGTACTGTTTGAAAAAATCCTGTTCAAAATGGTTCAAATTATTCAAATCCAACGATGTAGTGAACCCAGTTAAATTCTTTGTTATTGGATTGACATTTGATTCTAATGAAGTCGACGTAGGTGTTCCTTCAATGGGGTCAATATTCAACCATGCAAACTCTGAGATTTTATCAGCCCTCAACTTTTCATAAGCCAACAAGCATCGCTTATTTCTTCTCATAGACAAATGGGTAACAAACAATTGACATTGATTAATTTTTGAATGTTTTTCATTGATCTGTTCTATCTCTTGAGATAATTCTTGTGCTTGGTTGGCCGTAGTTTCCTTTCTTTTAGCCAACACGGTATCTAACCCAGTTATTTCGTTCTTCTCATTAGTATAATCTTTAGAATTTCGTGGATCTCTTTCTTTTTTCTCAATTTCTTTCAATTTTTTATCTAAATCAACCCTTTGTTTGTTTATATCTTGTAGCTTCTCAAGGGAATCATTATACTGTTCTGTTAATGTATCTAGATGATTTGTGATTTCATCATGAACTTCAGTTAAGTAGTCGGCATCTTTGTTTAAATCGTTTGTTTCTTTGACTATATCTCTAATTAGTTCAGATTGATAAATTGGGATACTGGACAAATTTGATGACCTTTTGGCATCTAATATTAGCTTATTAGCTATGTCTCCATACATCGTTGATTGTGAATAAACAAAGACGCGTATTAGAATACTGGCTGAAGAAATTTAGTTAAAGTGGAAACGAGAAAAGAAAAAAAAAAAAAAAAAAGAAAAAATAATTTCCAAAAAAATTTGTAATCACATGACACGTAACACATGATTCATACGCACATGCTACGAATTTATATTTTTTGTTGTTCCAAAACATACATACTGCAACATGATGTAATGTGACTTTTTTTTTGTCACATGAACCAGCAATCAGTTGCAAAGTAGACAGTTAGGGTCCTAGAAAATACAGTTACACATTCGACAATGGGAGCGAACTATTCTCAACCAATCTTTCATGTGGGACAGTTACAAACGATAGCATATTGATGAATACACATGTGGGTGCCACCTCTTCTATACTAGTAAAACAATTTCCCAGAATCGATTAATTACTATCAATGAGATCAAATAATTATTATTTTTGCAATTTTAATTATCTTATCAGATTGTTCAGAAATCCTATTTTTTTGTTGGGAGCTATTGTTCTTCTTTTTTTTTACTCTAATGGGCAACTCAGATGCATATATCAAACGTACCAAATTCCACATAAATAAGGGGAAGCCCAAGCCTGAATATTGATATATCTTCAATGATTTTGTGTCGTTACAGGTTGTGATCTTATGTATATCACGTGAACTTACTGAGTAGTTGTCATGATTAATTGCTAAAGCTAGCCGTGCTCGCCGTTTAGGAGAATCAACTTTCCTTGTTTTTTTTTTTTTTTTTCTTCTTATTCTTATTATTAGGCTGTGTCGTGTGTGTCGCCTGAACTTTCTGTCGTGTTCACATTCAAACGAGAACTACAACAACAGAAGAAGGAAAAACAAAAAAAAATATTCCACCAGGATTTAAATTTCAATTCTTTTTTTTTTCCTACCAACAAGAGAACAATTGTGGTTGTCAAGATTTGTAATTTGGTTGATAAGTCATTTAATATTTATCATACCAGACTACCACTTTATGCATACACACACATATATATATCATTATTATTGATTCCAGATATCAGAAGTATTAATTGCATTTGAACCAGCTTTTTATAAAACTACCATTTGCATTTACAAGAATATCAACTTTGTTTCACCTACCCTCCCCCATCCCATTTTTTCCAACAGTTCACAACTAAGCACGAATGAGTACAACCTCGATTAAAGATCAATTTCGGGATACTACTCCTCTTATAAAAACACCCTCGAATGACGAATTTGCTTCGGCATATTGCTTTGTTTCTCACGATAAGTTCACGGTAGTTCCCATTACTGCAAGTTCAATTGAGGATTCTGAAGACACCTTGACAAGCAACAATGGATATTTCCATGAAATCGTTAAAGATCATGCTGATTTCACACCTGACAAGTTGTATTTGAAAAATAAGAACTTGCTTTACAGCCTCAACAACCCGAGTATATCCGACGTGGAAGGTGAGAACAGTGTACCGTCTTCAAATAACAAAGATTCTCCATCTCCTTCTTCATCACCCCCTTCTTCAAGTAACTCATTGATGAATGACGAACAGAAGGACGGTATTGTTTCTCCTCCATCCATATTCTTACCTAAATTGGTTATTAATTTAGAAGACAATATGAAGAATGACTTTAAGGACGTAAAGGAGTTGTTGTTGAGGATTTTCCCAGAATGGACCGATGTCAACAAGATCACTACAAAGCAATTAACCGGTGGTATTACCAATATGTTGTTGTCTTGTAAATATGCCGACTCAGAACCAGTATTGATCCGAGTTTACGGCCATGGTACAAATTTAATCATTGATAGACATAGGGAGTTTATTTCCCATTTAATTTTAAATTCAATCAACTTGGCTCCCAAGGTCTATGCAAGATTTAAGAATGGTATGATTTATGGGTTCTTAGATGGCAGATCCTTACAGCCGGAGGAATTGAGCAACGAAGCGTTATATCCCTTGATTGCACAACAATTGGGTAATTTACATAATAAAGTTGACTATACATTGATTGAACAAGGAATTGAAAAGCTCAGAACCTTGAAGTTGGGAATGAGAAGAAGAAGATCCTCCAGTAGCAGTCTATCATTTAAAAAGAAACCAAATAACAAGAAAAAGTTCATATCTAATATCTGGGAATTGTTAGATGATTGGATTAACATTGTTCCTGTGAATGAAGACTTGATTTCATCTTTCCAACAAAATTTGCCAAACGAAACAGTTACCGAAGATAACTTGAAGGATATAATAAAGAAAGAATTTTCATGGTTAACAAAGACCTTAACAACTAGCTCAAATTCTCCAACAGTCTCTTCCCATTGTGACTTATTATCTGGTAATATCATTATCCCAACTGACGTCGAGTTTGAAAAAATAAATGTTTTACCAACCATTGCCAGCAATCCAATCAAATTCATAGACTACGAATATATGTTGCCAGCCCCTAGGGCATTTGATATTGCCAATCATTTGGCTGAATGGCAAGGGTTTAATTGTGATAGATCTGCAATTCCGGTTCCATCGTATTCGAATAAGACTTTAGTTACTTGGTGTAAAGGTTACTTGAATAATTTTGATGCTTCAAAAGAGGAAGTGGAGAGTTTGATTGATGAAATCAAAACTTATTATGGTTTGCCTGGGTTCTACTGGGGTATTTGGGCAATGATTCAGAGTGAAATATCAAGTATTGATTTTAACTACCTGAATTATGGTAAATTGAGATTAGAGGAATATTGGAATTGGAAAGAAAACTTCCTTGCCAAACATTAATCAACGTCTTTTTTTTTTCTTTTATATTTTGAATGTACGTGTATTATCTAATTGATAAATGATAACTTTTCTATTATCTTCGTAAATCAACAATTGTAGTATGCTGAGTTCTGGATGATACTAAAATACACCATTTATGACCCTTGTTGTATTCCTTAATCAACGTATTTTGAATATTGATTGCAAAACTTTTGGGGAAGTTATTTGTTGTGAATACAACTTTTCTGATCCATTCGTCTTGTTGATGAATAGAAGTTATGCTGATCATATCTAAAATTTCATCTCTTGCATCAATAACAATCACTGGCCCCAAACTTAGTTCTTTAATGGCTGATTGACCACAGAGCTTGGCATCATTTTCCAGTTCCCATTTATCCCGCTTGTTCTTTCTTCCTCTTGGTGCATCATTGTTAACAACGATAATCTTTTGGTCGATATCAACGGTACTGACAGGACCAGATAATTCGGTTTGCTCTGAATTGTTTGTAGTATTCCCATTTATATTATTTGCAGCTGATGATGGAACTGGGTTAGCTTCATCTTGATCATCTTCCTGCTCAGATTCTCCTAGTTCACCAACTAAATATGTCACCAACTCATCAAACTCAAGATCAATTTCTTTACCATTGATGATATTCTTTGCCTTCAAAGGTTTAAATATTGATCCCGATTTTCTAACTTTTCTACCACCGACATTACTTGGTAATTGACGAATTATAACCACCCATGTAGCCCCATCAGTAGTAGCATTATGATATATCTCGTCCTGTGATTTACTTCCCAAATTGATATCAGCGCTAATGTTTCTGTTCCATAAACTTGCCAATAACGAGTATCCACATTGGCTCAAAAATTGTTGTTGAGTTGACCCAATAACAACTTTACATCTGCTGCCTTTCCATTTACTCAAATCGATTTTAGACTTTCTCGATATCAAATTCTTCATCAAAAGGAACAACAAACTAGTGGTCAATGTGAATCCCACACCATGTGGTGTTTTCACATTTGTGCTAACATTTGCTAATGATCCAATTAATGAATCAAACCTACCACCGGTGACTAACCTCGTATACCTCTTTGATTTATCGGATTTAAATACAGCCAGGAACATAATACCTTTGGTGTAGTATTTAGAATTATAATTACTCAATGGATTAAAGACAACTGGAACGTAGATATTCATTTGTTTCAAAATCTTGTAAACTTCGATTAAATACGTATAAGCTCGTTCAATTTTGATCAATTGCGGGGAATCTACCATTAATTTGGTCAACTTTTGTCTTGATTTTTCGATTTCACAAGTAATATTGAAATTATCCACAAGATCTTTGGTTACTGTGTGGGGAACTTGGAAGTCTTCACGCAAGTATCTCTTAATTTCATCAGCAGTTTTGTCAATACCCAATTGTGATAACACTCCAAAAATATCGACTTTTCTCTTTTCATCAAGACCTACATTCTCAAATGCAAATGTAGTAACCGCATCTAGAATGTCATAATGGTTTATAACAATGATTGCATTCTTGAAACATGGAAACAGATTGACAATATCATCCACAATTTTCAAACATTCCGCATCGTGAGTAAATAAGGAGGATTTATTTGTATCGGAATTACCCACAATATCAAAATGAACAGCACTATAACGATCTGGCATTCCGACACCTCTGGCATTTGGTCGATAAACAAACTCATGGCGGTAAATCTTTGGTATTGCCGACATATCTGTCTTGCTCAAGAATCTTGCTGTAGGTAAAGTCAAATCATATGGCAAAGTTAGGACAGAACCACTTTTGTCAAGAATTTCGTATACTTGTTCACGAGCTTGGAAGGGAACTTTGGGTAATAGCAAATTAGTATTCAAATTCTCTACAGCACCGTGAGTTGCGAAAATCTTGTAGATTTCATTCATAATTTTGTCAAATAGTAAATAATCATTTGAACTAACCAACCCACTATGTTTGTCATTATCAAACATCAAATCCTTGGCCAACAGGTACGGTTGATTAAATAAAGTTTCTCTAACTTGCTGCTGCCATGGTGATGCGGGATCAGCAAGTGACTTCAATGCTTCCTGAATAACCTGGTCTTGGTGCTCAACTGGTAACCATCCACTTGACAATAAATCTTTAGCTGACATCCTATTTTGTGGGTTATGATCCAACAATGATCTGATAATCTTCTTTTCTGTTTTGTATTTGCTAACCACAAAGTTAGTTGGAAATTCAACAGTCTTCAACCGCAAGTCATTTAATATCTTGGCTCTTTCCATACCAGTACTCAATGGATAACACATTTCAAAGAAAATAATACCTAAGGAATACATATCCACCTTCTCATCGTAATTACCAGTCGCAACTTCGTTAGCAGTGTAAAATAACGTACCCACAATGGTAGATAAATCACCATTGTTGTTCTTTGCAGCATTGGTCGATACCTGGTTATTTGTCAGCACAATCGATGAAAACTGGCTGTTCTTAGCCAACCCAAAATCCCCCACTTTTACGTTATTGGACCTATCAATAAAAATATTCATTGGTTTTAAGTCACGATGAATGAAACCTTCGCTGTGGATATAGGACACAGCTTCAAGCAATTGACGGAATAATCTCCAGTACTCATCAGGATTTCCCGGGAGACCCTGTTCAATCAAATTTAAAAGGGTGTTATTCTCGCAGAATTCCATCTGAATGTATAATATCGATTTCAGGGCAACCTTGATGATTGGCCGTCTAGAAACTTCATGAGATGATATTTCTTCAGATGTTTCATCATTGTCACCGTCATCTGTAGATCTGGCAAACACAAATGGGTCATCATCATCTTCATCATCGTCACATGAACTCTCGTCATCAAATTGTATTTGTGGATCAAACGAAGTTGATATATAGTCTACCTGGAATGAATTATCATAACTGGGTAAAACCGATGAAGATCTACCTATTTGATTGGAAAATGACTCGTCGTCGTCGTCATCATCATCGTCATCGTCATCGTCATCATCAGTTTCACTTTCTTCACTATCTATAGCAGAGGTACTATTAGATGCATTAATTCCGTCTTCGATTTCTTCGACCCAGGTACCATAGTATCGAACAATATACTGATGGTTTAATCTAGCAAGAGATAATACTTCACTCAACAAAGAGTCCAACTTGTCGGCACGATGCTTGATTTTCTTGATTGCATAAAACGTCCCTTCCATTCTATTTCTTGCCTTAACAACTTCTCCAAATCCACCACGACCTAATTTACCAACCTCTTCAAAATCTCTCGCATATCTCCCCATATTTCTTTGACTACCTGAAGGCATAACCATTGCTGAGCTTTCACCAAAATATGGATGTTGAGTATTTTGATTAGAAAGTCTGCGTCGAGAAATATTCTGAGGAATATTCAATCGATGATTTGTCAGTTTAGGAGGAACAGCCCCCTTCTCATCAATTTGAACATGTTTTTCAGGAGCTGTGTCAGCATTCTTCATTAGTCTTGACAAATTGGTTTCAGATTGTAGTTTGGAAATTATTGGACCATCTCTCAAAAATTTGACTGCATTCAATTCCATTGGTGAGAGTCTTTTGGAGAGCTTCACTTGCAACATCTTACTCAACACATCATACACCAATGACGCATACTCTTCAGCACCAACAAAATCATCAACAGAAAAGTTATTAATAAAATCTGCTGGTGTCTTGTACGTGGTATTCAAGATATCAAATCCCAACATAACTCGTAAAAATAACACACCCAAATCCCAAATATCTGACTTATGATGATATCCCGACGTCTTCAATTCCGGAGGCATCCATGCTTCTGGGTTCATTCTGGGTGAAGAAATAGCATTGGTATCATTATTTGGATGAGATGCCAACATGTCGAGTATTCTATACCCATACGATGGGTGGCACAATTTCAACACCTTTTTGGCACTTATCGTTACAGAATCTTCCCCTGCAAAAAAACTACTGACGCTGTTTAGATGGTCATTTATCGAATTCTGGTAATACAATTGATCAACCTCCTGAAATATGACTATAGTTAAAGGACATATGAGTTTGTGAATAAAACCAGCATTATGAAAGTATTCAATTGCAGGCAATAATTGAATCAACCATGTTCTAGCTAATGCCCAGTTGATAAACTCGGCTGTGGGGAGAATGTCATATAATGTTTCACTCACCGGAGAGAATTCTGTTAGCAATCTGATTCTCCAACTGTTTGTTGTATTGTCTGATTTTTTATCTATTTGGAATCCAACCAATTTGAGAATATTCCCATGTTTGATATTCATCACCAATTGTAATTCCGATTCCAAATCTTGAATCTCTCGTTTACCATTTTCAGTTTGCCAGTATGTGTTTGTCAAGTCTATTACTGTGAGCAAGTATGATAAATCTGTTCCTTGTTTATCGATTTTTCGTTGAATGTCTGGTGCTATGTATGGCTTCACAAGGTATTGAGTGCCAATTGAGCTGAATATACCTTTCTGGTTATACTTTATGAACCCCAGAACGGCTCGGAATTTAAATTTCTTTCTTGTATTAGGAATGGTGTCCTCCATGGAGTTTTCAAATATGAAAAATTGATCAATGTCATGTGGTAGAAATGAATCTTCCGCCTCAGAATCATCGTAATCTTCTACTTCATCAAACTCACCTTTGATTCGTTGGATTTGCTCATTTAACTCTTTATTTTGCTTTCGTTTGGCCAATTCTTCTTCTCGACGTTGTTTCTCTTCCTTCTCTTCCAATGCTTTTCGTTCGTTCTTCAACCTCAATTCTCTTTCTTCTTCTAATGATAAGACCTTTTCAGTGGTTGACTGGATCTCATCTAATAAAAATATCAACTCACTGATGATTGTAAATGAAACTTCTTCCTCAGGGTACTCTTTGATCAAATCTTTACATTTTTTATCCAATTTGGCTATGTTTGCTTTTAGTAAATTTTTTGCGTTCAAAAGTTTGACTTTAGGTGGAGACAATGGATATGTTGGTGTGAATTCTATATCTAAAGTAATTGAAACTGTGGGTCTATCAGGGTTGCTTGTAGAAGATAAGAATACTTGAAAATGAGGGCTGGGTTTCTTGTTCCACACTAATCCTTTCGGAGTGACGTCTTTGAAAATATCACCATAAATTGATGATATACTACTAATTTCATCCTGTTGTCTATGTTCCAAATCCAGACTAATCGATGTTTCTGGCATTTGTTTTCTTGGTAACTGTTGGCTGAGATCTAACTTTGAAAAAAAAAAAAGGAGGAGAGTTGTATAAGTAACGCAAGAATGATCTGTTTAAAATCCAACCGTCGTTCTGCTCTTTTCTTTTCCGTTCTGATTGATGAGGATGTCACGACGTTGACGATGACCGGGATATGTTTTTGCGGCGAACGGAAATTTGCACGAGACAGGACAAACGGTGCGGGAGGCAGGCAGGGAGGAAGGGAAAAAATAAAAATCTACCACCATCGTCAAGACCAAACAAAAAAAAAAAAAAACGCGACTTCAGTAATTCCTCTTGTTTGTTCATGTGATGGATTTCTGTTCATACTGCCACAGAGAGAAATAGCTACATTTGTCATGCCGTTGGTTGATCATATCGAACCAGGTCCAGATACCATCAGAGTTCTACTAGCAACAGACAATCATGTTGGTGTTTATGAAAACGATCCAATTCGTGGAGATGACGCGTGGAAAACTTTTGAAGAAATAACCCAACTTGCCAAACAACAAGACGTGGATATGATAATTCATGGGGGTGATTTATTCCATATAAATAAACCATCTAAGAAATCAATGTATCATGTTATAAAATCATTACGTTCAAATTGTATGGGAGATAGACCTTGTGAGTTGGAACTATTAAGCGATCCATCTTATTTGGCCAATGGTGTGGAAGAGATCAACTATGAGGACCCTAATTTAAACATTTCTGTTCCCGTTTTTGCAATTAGTGGTAATCATGACGATGCTACTGGAGAGGAGTTTATTCTGGCCATTGATTTATTAGCAGTCACTGGGTTGATTAATCATTTTGGTAAAGTTCGTGACAATGATGAGATTACTGTTTCGCCTGTGTTACTACAAAAGGGGACAACCAAATTATCCTTATACGGGATGTCAAGTATCAGAGATGAAAGATTGCATAGGTTATTTAGAGATGGGTCAGTCAAATTTCAACGTCCTTCATTACAAACCAACGATTGGTTCAATTTTTTGGCATTTCATCAAAACAGAACAGAGCATAGTTATATTTCCACCATTCCGGAGAACTTTTTGCCTAATTTCATAGACTTTATTTTATGGGGTCATGAACATGAATGTATACCACACCCACAACATAATGCAGAAACTAAATTTGATGTTCTACAGGGAGGTTCATCTGTGGCGACTCAATTAACTGAAGGAGAAAGTGCACCCAAGCACGTATACGTAATGAATATCAAAGGGAAAAACTATTCCATTGAGGCTATAGAATTAAAAACAGTTCGTCCATTTGTCATAAAAGATATTGAGTTGCTGAAGACAGATCTCATTCCTGGTGCTGCATCACGAAGCGATGTCATTGCGTATTTGACTGAAGAAGCCGAGAAGGCGATTGAAGAAGCTAATAGGGTATTTAAAGAAAAGAATGGACATTTGTTTACTGGAGAATCTGAACTGAAGCTCCCATTGCCATTAGTTAGACTACGCGTGGAGTATAGTGGGGGATTTGAAATTGAGAATGTGACAAGATTTTCCAATAGGTTTGTCGGTAAAGTAGCCAATGTCAATGATGTGGTTCAGTTTTATAAGAGAAAAGTACCGCCACGTCAGAAGACTAGCTTAACAAAGAAAACAAAATTTGATGCGGATTTGCTTGAGGAGAAGTTGAGCGAACGTAAGGCGAACGATTTGAAATTGAAAGATATCGTTAGTGACATGTTGAAACAAACCCAATTGACATTGGTACCAGAAGACGGGATCAATGAAGCTGTACAGAAAACCATTGACAATGAAGATAAGAATGCGTTAAGTCAATTTGTCACTAGAGAGATAAAAAGAGAAACTAAGGCATTGTTGAGTATTGATATTGATGAGAGTGAATTCCATGGTAGTGGTGAGAAGCACGCAAAGTCTTCGTTCAAACAATTCTTGCTGCAAATCAAAGAGTTAAGTAATCCAATTGACTTAGACTCGATTAACAGAGACTTGGAAAGTGAACCTTCAAAGCCAAAATCCAAAAATACAAGAAAGAAACCAGCGTCAAAAAGTAAAGAGATGATACTAAGTTCAGATGATTCGGACATTGAAATGTTTGTTACAGAAGATACTCGCCGTGGTAAGAGTAGCCGAAAAGCCAAGTCTTCTAAACCAAGTTATGCTGAAGACGATATCCAAATACTAAGTGACGAAGATGAATATGTACCGCCAAAGAAATCGACCGGGCGACGTCGTAGATAAATAATTGTGTATTTTTGTTTTTCTTCTTTCAATTATACAGTAGTAGATTGTTGAATCAATTCGTCAATGTTAAAGTTTTCATCACCTTCGTTGAACTCTTTTAACAACTTTGTCTTTTCTGGGTATTTCCCACTATAGAATCGTTGCAAATTAACCACTAATAAATGAGCTTCATCCATGGTGATACCGCTTTCTTTATCCACATATCCATTCATCAATACAAGATCCTTATCTTCAGCCAATTCCAAATGGAAGGTCAATGTGGTATGTGGCGAAGCATACTCGCCGTGCAATTTGTACTCAGCCAATGTGGTAAACATACAGTTTATTGTTTCGGCTCCAACAAACTGCCATTGGACATATTGCAATTCATAGCCGTCTTGCAGTGGTTTTGGAACCGGTAAAATAAATTGCTGGTATTTGAATGCATTGACGTACAATTCTGCAAATTGCAAATGGGATAAAACAGCATGTAATGCACGATCATTACTGGCAAATCTAGCATTCCAGATTTTAATTATATCATCACGAGGTAATTCTCTAGTCTTTCCAACATTAACGAAATCGTCTAAAGTCTTGTATGGTAATTTTGGAGTATCTGGATCGATCTTACCACGAACTTTAATGGTGCCATCTTTCTTCTTTTCTTCTTCTTGTTTCTTCAACAACTCTTGTAATTCCTCGGTTGGATCAACACCGCCAAGCTGAGTTCTGACTCTTTCGATTTCATCTTGGAATCTCTGTTTCAATTCTTCAACAGGGATACCCAACTCTTTGGCTTTCTGTTGTAATTTCAGGGAGTATTTCTCAAAAACCTCATTTCCAGCCAATTTCTCCATTCCTTGGGCAACATTGGAATCACCAAGGTTCACTTTAACATCTTGGATCTTATCACTAAACTTATCCTTCAAACCTTGTAAATTATCAACATTTTCTTGTTTTTCCTTTTTCTCTAATGGTTTTTCATATTCTTTGAAGATTTTCTCAGAGGGGTCCAGCTTAGAGGAATTGAGTCTAATGGATTGGATCTGTCTAGATACCCTGATTAAAGGACTAGTACGTCTTAACACTACCCTTGATAACATTGCTGTTGCTTAGTAGATGAATCAAATTAGAGATTTTAGTATATTTTTTTTTTTTTCAGATTATGTTTGAAGTTTATTTTTCTCTTCTCATTGGCTTTGATGCGATCTGAAGCTTGAGAAAGAGAGAGAGAGAGAGAGAATCTTGGAACCAAATAGAATAAATTTTTGCAATCAATTGATTGCTATTCAGGGGGGTACACTCCCTATGGAACATCTTAGAAGTTTATATTTACAAAGATTTTTTATTTCTATTTTTTACTATCATCAGGTTTTGGGAGATCTAATTTTTGTTCAGAAGGAGCGTCGTCTTTCATTTCTTGCAATTTACTCTTCAAGTCTTCTGGAAGATCATTGAACTCAACAACGTTGGGATTAGTTTCAATTGATTCACCTTTTGAATTCAAGTATTGTTGTAAGTCAAACTTCTTGTTGTATTCCATGAACCCTAAATTATCAGCAATCAAATGTCTTGATTTACAAGATGGACATTGAACAACGACAGTTCCATGATCGTATGATTGTTTGGATATATTATGACTGGATCTATTGTTACAGATATTACAAGTAAACTGTAATAACAACTCACCCTCTAGTTTGTTTGGCAAAGTGGCACTGCTTTGAAATCTTCTAAAAGTTGTAACATTATTGGCTGGAAAGTTGAAATGACGAGGCAAAACTGACACAGTGGCAGCTTTTACAAATAATCTTGAAGTTAACCCGGTCTTTATTAACTTTGTATGACGGATAGCTCTGGAAATCATGTTGGTGGGAAATCAGGTAGATGTGGAGATGATGAGAAAAGAAGTGTAGAATAATTCGTAGAATTTTTTTTTCTTTTTTTTAAAGTTCTTCCCGCGTTAAACCATTCATCACAAATTTTCACCAACCATCGAGATACTATCATTTGGTAATATCACCTTCATGACATGACGAGCAGTCACATACCTTCGTCTGTACGGAAATTGCTCCAAATATATAAGTCATTATCATATCAGCTCAATAATCTTTACCCCCATGATGTCAGTGCATATTTATCTTCCACAAGTGATCTACAAGTAATCAACAACCAATGGCAGTTACTACGAAACAATAGGATCAAAGGAGAAAAACTTTCATCGGTTCTGGACCTTGATTCCCATATGTTTATGAACCCTATACAATTTGGTCCATACGAATTGAAGAAAACTTCACAGCTATTTGACACAAGCAAAAAACCATTAAGAAAATCATTGATCCCAAATACAAATAACTCTAGTGTGAATAATGGGAAATATGTCTCAAATGTGGAAAACGCTATTAGATCATACTACTCACCATATGGTAGTCTTCCAAAAACTAAAAAGTTGCAGGATGCATTTAAGTTTTATGCTACGCAGTTTGATAGTAATATCCCAATAACACTACTATTCAAATCAACCGCTGATTTGTTTTCCACCTTCCCAATGAGTCATTATGATGCATCATACGTAGAATTCAAAGCAGCGGTGGATGATATCAATGCAAACCATGGAACTGGGTATCGTTTCTCGAGAATCCAAAATATAGATTTGTTTAATTTGGCATTAAGGTACAATAGTTTCATGAACACTACTGTGAAAGATGATACTAATATTCCGTGGGAGAAAGTAAATCAGGTACAAGATTCCTTGGTTGATATGGTGAGACATACCCAAAAAGTTGACATCATTCAGACTTCTACAGGTAATCCTACAGCATCAAATGATTTGTATTTACGTGAATATCTTTCAGAAGACATTGACACAAAATTCATTGATTCTAGAGAAATCATGGACTTCTGTGAACAGATGCCTTATACTATACGGATGACCAACTATTATATGATGAATATATTGGATTTATTTGAAGACAAGCACAGTTTGTTTGTACGATTGTTGGAATCAACAGACATGCAGATCATAGGAGCACGATTATGGTTGAAGAATGGTCAACTTAATGAAATTATAAATGAGATTATAGAAACTAGAAATGATGGATCAAAAACAAGTTACGAAGATTTATTGAAATTGACTCATGTTCCTGACAAGAATGATGTTTGCTTAATGATGGAATACTTGGCAACTAAAGGGTTAGTCAGTGTTAAGCAAAGTGCCGATAAAAATGCATTGTATCTTTTACCATAGGACAAATTAGCAAGAAATTCGTTTGAAATAATATTTAATGTATATAATTTTTTGAACTATTTTAACTTGTAAAGTAGTTAATTGCAGAGGAGTTTAGTATATAGTTAGTTAATCAACCTTTGACTACTATAAGAACTAGGACTAATCTTGTCCATCACAACAATGATGGCTTGAATTCTACGAGTCATTCATGAACAAATATGATACACGTGGTCTATTGTTTTGTTGTTCAATGACTTGCCGGACAAATAACTCTTTGAGTTCCAATTAAACATGTTTTGGTTAATGATAAGTCCGATTCATGTGTCAAAACTCACGTGTCAAATATTGTATTGTCATAATTACTACAGGATACGTATCTCAACGGAAGTAAAGCACGATTTCTATCTTGGATTGAAATTTCGTTCAAAATTTTAACGAATTTCAAAGTAAATGTTACTTACCGATTGAGTTTTTTTTTTTTTTTAACAATACCTACTACAACAAAGATATTCACTTTACAAGTTGCGATTCTTGTCATATACATCTACATACTAGATATATTATAAAATACACAACTGCGTAATTCATAGCATTATTTATAATATTCTGGACCTACATCCCGAATCGGCGACACATTTCAAAACGCGACACTGATCAACAAATACGAGTAAATATCATTGGTTCTTCTTGACCTTCCTCTACAGTCACTTCAATGAAAAGACAGAATTCAACACGTAAACATGTATTAACCCTAATCTAAAAAACAAAAAAAAAACACAATACAAAAAGAACTAAACTTAAGCAGATGGAGTCATAACTTGCCAGACTCTGATAACATTATCAGTGTAACCAGCAAACAAGTTTTGACCATCAGCAGACCAAGCCAAGGAGATAGCTTCTGGGTCTTTAGCGTTAGCACCAATAGCAAATTCTGGTTTCAATTCATCCAACAAGGATCTTTCTTGCAATTTGAAGATCTTGATACCAGAGGTGGTAGCAGCAGCCAACCAGTATCTGTTTGGAGAGAAAGCCAAAGCGTGAACTTCGGATTTAGCATCCAAGGTGTACAAAGTCTTGTTTGAGTTCAAGTCCCACAAGATGATAACACCATCTTTACCAGCAGAGGCACACAAAGAACCATCTGGAGACAAAGTGATACATGAAATGTAACCGGTGTGACCAATGAAATCAGCGTTGACGGAGTAGTCAGTCAAATCCCAGGACTAAAAATTAAGTTAGTAAAATAATTCTAAAGAGAATATACAAATTCTTCTCCAACTTGGTTTGATATCAGAGATCTTGGTGATAAATGATATGTCTCATTCGAAAGCTGGCAAGCCATCGTCTGAAGTAGCAAATATAAGTTGTTCATCACATAAGACCAAGATAGACGAAGAATCGTTAATAAGTAATAATAGTAAATAAAGAAACATACCTTGACAGTTTTGTCCCAAGAAGCGGAAATGACAGTGGAGGATTGGTCAGATGGGGAGATTCTGACAGCAGAAACCCAATCGTTGTGACCGTTCAAAGTAGCCATACATTCACCAATGGTGTTCCAGACTTTAACGGTCTTGTCTCTGGAAGCAGAAACAATTTGTCTCAAGTTCTTGGCAATGGAGACACTCATGACATCACCTTTGTGACCAACAAATCTTTGGGTGGTTTCACCAGTTTCCAAATCCCATAATCTCAAAGTTCTATCCCAAGAAGCAGACAAAGCGTAGGCACCATCAGCAGAGATGGTAACATCTTGAACGATGTGGGAGTGACCTTTGAAAGATTTCTTTGGAACACCGTATTGGTTGTCTTCACCACCGGTCAATTTCCATCTAATCAAAGTCTTGTCTCTAGAACCAGACAATAATAAATCTGGGTGAGCTGGAGTGGTGGCAAGGGAAGTAACCCAACCGGAGTGACCTTCTAAGGTACCTCTTAAAACTAAAACTTCTTGGTCAGCCATTGTTGATTGTAGTAGCGATAATGAAGAAAGAACAAAAAAAAATATGAAAAGTTTTCAGTATATATTTTTTCCTCTGCTTCTCCCTTTTAAAGAACTCAGATTGAGTGTGTGTGTGTGTGTGTGATGAGGTCGTGCATGTACCAATAATATCGACAAGTATGAGGTGGATTCACGGTCCTCACTTTACTAGCGTTCTGAAATTTGCGCGCAGAAAAGTTAAAAACATCAACATATTTTCGACATTGTTTGTGGAAAGCTTATCTCAAACCACCGTCGCACACACATGTCTACCAAAATCACCATCATATCAGGAGGTACAGCCACCAATGAGTTAGTACCATTATTCAAGAGACTTTCACCTAACGTCTCATACATCTTACCGATTCTGGACAATGGCGGATCAACTTCGGAGATCGTGAGATTTATCGGTGGGCCGGCTATAGGAGATATACGATCAAGACTAACACGATTAATCCCTGATCATCAGGAGCCATTACGCAAATTGTTAAGCTTTAGATTATCCCGTGATCCTGTAATAGCTAAACACCAATGGAATGAGATTGTCGAAGGAACTCATCATTTATGGGCGCCAATCAATGTGTCCACTAGAGAAATCTTTCGTGCATTCTTTGTCCATCTCCATGTTGAATTGTTGAAACGATCAAAACACCAGATTTCCAATAAAAACAAGCAATTTCGTTATGAGTTGGCCAATGTGGGGAACTTATTCTTAACTGGAGCACGATTGTTTATTGGATCATTGGATAGTGCCATTGAATTGTTTTGCCGATTAACCGAGATCGATCCATCTATTGAAGTCTTGCCTTGTATAAATACAAACTTTACTTATCATATTAGTGCTATTTTAGAAAATGGATTGATCATCACGGGACAGTCACAGATTTCTCATCCTTCTGATAATGCCCATTATCCACCACCAATACTTACCACCAGACCCAGTTCCCCACAACCATCGAGTCCTGGTTCATATATTTCATCAGACGAAGACGAATCAGGTAATGTCCCACAATATACTCACCCAGAACTAAAGAAATCACAGTTACATTTCTCCAAGCTGGAAAATATTGAGCCATTGTTGTCGCCAATAAAGAGAATTTTTTACGTGTCTCCATACGGAGAAGAAATCTGTCCCACGGCTCATAGTAAAGTCACATCTACCATTGCCAACACCGACACGTTGATCTACTCCATTGGGTCCTTGATGACAAGTATTGTGCCAATTATTATTCTCAAAAATATGGGCAAAGCCATTTGTCAGAGCCGCAAGAAAGTCTTGCTTCTAAATGGTTGCCTTGATCGAGAAACGTTTGGAATGACTGCTGTGGATTTCATCAAGGTGATTGTACAGCTGGCAGAGTACAGCACAGGAGGTACTACCACTAGTGAGTGGAACAAGTACATCACACATTTAGTCTACATGAAGGATTGCAAAATCAAAGTCGATGTTCCGTTGCTTACTTCGAAAAACATTACGTGTGTAGAGGTTGACAAGTTGGACAATACTGACTACTTTGATCTTGCAGATTTAGAAAATGTATTAGCTAGAATTATTTAATCATACCAAATTTTAATCAACTCTTCACTGACCGCCGATGGAGTCAACACTCCCAAATCAGTAATCAATGCAGTAATATATTCATGTGAAGTGAAATCAACAAACCTTGTAGCCAAAAATTCGTCACCTGCGTGGTTGGACTCCTCGGCGTTGAAATCAACCGCTGGAATAGGTAGATCATTTGGTGCCAATGGGAACAATCTAACAAACTTGTGTGATTCTGTGGCAACGTAAAATGGTTTGTTGTTAACCTTGGCCAAACACCCAATTTGATAAGTACCAATATGATTTATAACACCCCCACTTTCAGCAACACCTTCAGCACCAACCAAGATCTTGTCCACTTTATGCAAGACATACCCCACTGCATTGTCAACAATCACTTCCACAGGAATATCTGCTTCTTTCAACTTCTTGGCCATGTAGTACCCATTACCAGTTGGTCTACTTTCGGTAACCAACACTTTGAATCTAATCAATTTTTCTTTCTTGGCTTTCAACAACAAACTGTAGACAACTCTGGAATAGGAATGCACTAAAATCGTATCGTCATCTTTGATAAATGGAACACCATATTCGGCCAGTTTTTCTCTAGACTCCTTGGCACGTTGGACAAACAATTCTCCATTTTCCACTAAATTCTGACTAAATGACTCCCAGTCAGAATAAACATTGGTATTTCTCAAGATAAATCTCATAAACAAATCACATCCAGCAGATAAAGAAATATTGTTCGGTATAGATGCTTTCAACAACTCAATGTTCTTCCCCACCAACAGGATCAACTCTGCTGATGTAGATGGCGATTTGATGCGCAACATGGAAACAAGTGACTCAATTGCCGCTATGGGCATGGTCATTTCCTTATCTTCTCTTAAAAACTTAAGATATGTTTCGGTGATATCAAACTCGGTCATTTGGTTGATAATAGAAAAACCCATCATGAAAAAAAAAAAGGACGAAAAATTTTTTTTTCTTTTCTCTTTTTCTCTTCAGCAATGAGTTTATTCGTAAGTGACGAACCAACCGACGAGATTGTCATCAAAAAGGAAATCATCGAAGAAGATGTTGATGAAGATGATCCTATAGTTGAATCCATTCCATTGTACATGAACGCATTACCTGAAAGAACCAAACAGTCTTTACATGTTTTACAATACCCAGGTCGTCCTAAATCACGTCCAAACACAGCTGCATGCCAAACATCGATCAAACCCAACTCGAATTATCTCCAGATTAAAATCCCTTCAGACACATCACAATTTTTTGATATTGATAAGCTCGAAGACTGGGGTGAACAGATTGCACACCAAACTGTCCTGGGGGTGTTGGACAGTACCGATGAAGTGGGAAATTATATCGCCAAGATTGACGCAGAAAACAAGCGCGTAATTTTAATCCCTATTGATAGTTCAGTCCAATTGAGATCAGATTTTAAATACATTGATGATCTAGATGCTAAAAAGAATCAACAAAGGAAACAAATGGAATCCAGTGCAGAAGCTCCTGCAAATGTGCAAATCTTACAATCGGCTGCTAAACATTCGGTAAGCTCTGGTGAGTTTCTGCACGCATTGGGTGATTCCTTAAAACTGGTGAAACGATTTGAAGAAGAGGAATGGGTGAATTTGACCTGGAAGAAAGGTGATGATGAGGCTAGTAAATCAACCAGAAAACAGCTACTCGATGGGTGCGATCATTACACATTAGAAAGCAACACTACGTATGATGAGTATATAGATCAGATTATCAATAATTGATAGTCATCGCGCAAAGAAAAAAAAAATGTATAAAAAACGAAAAATTCTTGCGGAAAATGTATTGCATCACTTTCTCTTTCTCTTCGGTACAACGATGGAAGACGACGGATTGATATTGAATTTTGCTACTGGTACTACCACCACTCCAGCAGCCAAGGTCAAGGTAAAAGGAGGAAGATGGAAAGAAAGAAGAAAACTACAACTACAAGGAAGATCCACTGGCGTTAACAGTATCCCAGTAGACGAATCGAAAAGAAAACACCCTGTTGAAGAAAAGGAAACACCAGCGAAGCGTGTGAAATTTACAGAAACCAAAGGTGAGTTTGGTGGGAAGAATGATTCATATGTGTCTTCGTTGTTTACCAACAGTGAGGTGATTACCAGTAAACCAACCACCAAGGAAGTGACATACTTGCCATCAAATGCTCCGATCAAAGATGCCACAACATTTGCAGGTTTGGGATTAAATGACAAGTTGTCGTCACATTTAACAGAACACTTGCGTTTCAAGTACCCTACCAAGATTCAACAGTTGGTTATCCCTAATTTAATTACTACCAATCAAGATTTATTTGTCAAAGCACAAACAGGGTCCGGTAAGACATTGTCGTTTGTATTACCTATGTTTCACAAACTTATGATGGAAAACAAGTACAAGATTAACAGAGAGTCAGGGTTGTTTGGTATTATTTTGACCCCAACAAGAGAATTGGCTACACAAATTTATGGTGTGTTGGAAACCTTAACACGATGCCATCATCATATTGTCCCAGGTATTGTTATTGGTGGGGAAAAGAAAAAGTCAGAAAAGGCAAGGTTAAGAAAAGGGTGTAACATATTGGTGGCCACTCCTGGTAGATTGGCTGATCATTTGGAAAATACAAAAAACCTTGATGTGAGCCAACTTAGGTGGTTGATTTTAGATGAAGGAGATAAATTGATGGAATTAGGGTTTGAAGAGACCATTAGCAAAATCACATCACAGATCGATGCCAACAGCAAGATTAACGAGACACTTGATAAGTGGCAAGGGTTACCAAATAAAAGAATCAACATGTTGTGTTCTGCGACTTTACAAAGCAATGTCAAGAAACTCGGTAGTATTGTGTTGAACAACCCAGAAATGATATCAGTGGATTCATTCAAGAATGTCCCAGGAACAATCACATTTGGTGAAACCGAAGAGTTGAGAAGTACTGCTCCTGATCAATTGGTACAGAATGTGCTTGTTGTACCTCCCAAATTAAGATTAGTCACCCTTGACGCTTTATTGGCAAAAGTATCCCTGACAACAATGGTGTTTTTTTCCTGTTCTGATTCAGTAGATTACCATTTTGACGTGTTTACCAGAAGTGAGAAAGAGTCTACTGATGATGCCAAAGGGGTGGATGCGCCATTGCTTGGACCTAATACTGTTGTTTATAAGCTCCATGGTTCCCTTCTGCAACAAGCACGTACTACTACATTGCAATCATTCATCAAGGATAACACCACCAAAACCAAGATCTTATTCTGTACTGATGTTGCTTCCCGTGGTTTGGATTTGCCAAATATTGCCAACGTTGTTGAGTTTGATCCGCCATTCACCATTGACGATCATTTACATAGAATTGGTAGAACTGCCAGATTGGGTAACCAAGGTACTGCCACATTGTTTTTGTTGCCGGGTAGTGAAGAAGGTTATGTTGATGGGAAGTTGAAAGTGGTGCATCCAAAAGAAGGAAGTTTGCGTATTCAAAACTACGAAGAAGTATTACAGCAAGGGTTTGCAGAAGGTAGTGATAAATCAAAGGACAACAAGATTGGGAAATGGGATATCCATGCCACGACCTGGCATCTTGACGTTGAAAGATGGTTATTGGAGGATCAAGCAATGTTGAGCAAAGCCATACAGGCATTCACCTCACATATCAGAGCATATGCCACACATTTATCATCTGAACGTGAGTTTTTCAATGTCAAACTTTTGCATCTTGGGCACTTGGCCAAGAGTTTCGGGTTGAGAGAAACCCCTAAAAAGTTGGGTAAATCTGTGGGTAACAATAGTAATTTCACCGAATCAAAGAGAGGCAAGAAGGAGGACCCGAAAAAGAAAATGTTACGTATGGCCAAGATGGCTGTTAAAGCTTCAAGTAGTGAATTTAATTATTAAATATAGATTGCCAAAGACCGTGGTTTTCTCCAAGTACATAACCTATAGTTTTCCTTTTGTAGTAATCACCGTCAATCTTTAAATTGTCTATAACATCGTCTAATAATATAGCTTTACCAATAGCAATACCATCACCCAACCCTGGATGTTGTACATTAACCACGTGTACATGGAAATGATAATACGATGGTTGGTAATGAATAAAAATTCTCAATTGGTCTTTTGCCAACGGATACTTTTCTGTAGTAACTTTGATTATTGTATCCTGCAATTCAGTAAGATATTCCACGTGTGATGCATCGAAATCTCTAACACTGGAAATATCCATACGGTTAACAATACAGCACAAGTACAATGTCTGCAAGTTGATACCATCCCATTTCATATCTGGTAACAATACAAACCCGTTAGGTGATTTATCGTGGTGAATAAATGTTTCACTTTCCTTGCCTTCAAATAGAATATTGTAAACCCACTTCAATCTGTCTCCTTTCATGGATTTAATATACGGGATGACATATTTCTGGTACATCTCAGGAGTTTCCCTAATGTAATGCAATTTCTGATCGTCATACTTTCTAATGTGTGTTTCTGTAGCTGGGAAAATCAAGTTTAATTTAGCACCAGGGGAATCAACCAAATCTTGGTACAAGTTGACCTTGGACCAGTAGTAAACATCGTTAGAGTTTATTAACGAGATGTCGGTGATTAATTTTTGTAATTGGACCAGATCTGTATGAAACAGGGATTTCTCAATAGTAACAATGGCATTCTGTTGATCAATCTCACCAAGAATGGAAATTGTCTTGGTTTGACTATCTGCTTTGAGTAATCTTGTAAAGGTGAATTTGTTAATAAGTTGCTCCATTGGTTGAACAAATGCAGTGAGAAAAAAATTTTTTTTTTTCTTTCTCAATCTTTATTCTATTTAACTACCTACATGAGTGGTACTACTACTTTCTGATGGATTCTCTTCTTCTTCTTCCTCTTCATCGTCATCATTCATATCGAGACATATCCAACTTGGCCACGCTAATTCTTCACGAAGGATATTTCTCAACTGTTCTACCAAGAATCTCTCAACTTTACCGACATTTCTCAATATATTACTCTCTACTTCTCCAATCTCACTTTCGATTTTGATTTTCTTGATTATATCAATTGGGTTGTTCTTTGTGTAGTACTCAATGCTTTGACTGTTGTTGAACTCAGGGATTGTTTCGTCATTGACATCGCATAAGAATGATAAAAATACTGCCTTCTTCAAGTATGCGATTGTAGCTATTGAATGGATCTCAATATCAGTGATGTGCAATTTTATTGGTAATGAAATGAAATTCGGAGACGGGTAATTCACCAACAAATTGACCAATATGTTCATATGCAAATTCCCCTTGTAGTTGAACTCAACAATCAATTGTATATCATTTTCATCGTATAACGGTTGTTTTTGCTTTATGGATACCCTTCGTGATGAAAAATAGCTTTGATTCAATAGATTAGTAGGGGTTTCCGATCCTGTTGGCCCAATATTTACACCAAATGGATGAAGAATAGACTGAAACGAATCTCTAGATCTGTTCATCGGACGTGGTGACAATGGTGTTGCATCGGGCAAAGGAGATCCAGTTCGGTTGAAATTTAATAAATGAATACCTTCAGATATGGTACTTAGTCCTGGACCATCGTCATCACTTTCATCGTCTTCATCATCATCGTCATCGTCATCGTCATCACCAGTATACTCTTCTTTAGGTTGTTCTGTTTCAGGACTATCGGTTGTATCTTCATAAAACTCGTCAAACGGGTCGCCTATATGTCGTATTGTGATTTCTGGAGGAATTTCGCCAAGTTGAAAATCGGTGACTGATAGATTAGAAATATAAGAAGGTAATGATAACTTTTTAAATTGTTCATCAAGAAAACTCTGAATTGATTCATTGATGGTGTTGTCAACTGTTAGGTTTTCCCATTTTATATCAAATGACATTGTTGTTGTCGGTATACCATGATGATGTGATTTTTTTTTTTTCGTGTAATTTTTTTTTTGTTGATGTGAGAGAACAACAACTGTTTATAGAGGTCGCGCATGGACACTACACTCAACATAGTTAACCACCACAACCACCCTAAGTCTCTTACATGGCCCTTGCTAGCAAGACTCCACATTTCGGGGAAATTATACCGACTATGACTCTTTCTTTTTTTTTTTTTTCTTTGTGCGCCTGTTTCGGCATAACGGGAGACTTACAGCACAAAACAGAAAAAAGCATACCGTTTGTGAATTGCTTTTTCTCTATACCCTTCGCAACCAATAGAGTAAAATGAAAAATTTTTCATCCCTTTAACCACTCCTTTCTTTCATTCATTCAGTTAATCATGATTGCCCCAAATTTACTTAGAATCATAGTGATTGGTGCAGGTTTAATCGGCCCTCGACATGCATCGCATGTAACTCAAAATCAACAGACAGAATTGTTTGCAATAATAGATCCCAACCCTGCAGTGGCAGAACTAGCCGAGTCGTTGAAAACTTTGTACTTTCCAAGCATACAGTCATGTATTGATCATTGTGTGTCCAACTCGATCCCGTACCCTGATGGTGCTATCGTCTGTACCCCCAACCATACCCATACCAGAATATCCATGGAACTAGCCAGTCATGGTATACACTTGTTGATTGAAAAGCCTGTATCGACTATTCCCGAAGACGCCAAAGCACTAAAGGAATATTGTCAAGAAAAGAATGTTAAAGTTTTAGTTGGACATCATAGAAGATTCAATCCGTATATCATTGGCACCAAGGAAAACTTACACAAAGTTGGTCAAATTGTTGCAATCCAGGGTAGCTGGTGCTTGCGTAAACCACAAGAATATTTTAATATGTCACCTTGGAGAAAAGATACCAAAACCGGTGGTGGTGTATTGTTGATTAATTTAATCCACGATTTGGACTTGTTACAGTATATGTTTGGTCGAATCCACAGAATCTATGCTGAACTATTACCACAGCAGAGAGGCCATTCCACCGATGAAGGTGCAGCCTTAACCATTAAATTTGATAATGGAATTACAGGTACATTTATCTGCTCCGACAACGTTGTTTCACCATTTAACTTTGAAAATGGTACTGGAGAAAATCCAACAATCCCAAAGCACAAAGAACTTGCTGGTGTGTATCGTATATTTGGATCCAATGGTACTCTTTCTGTGCCTGACATGACACTATTCCACCAAGAAGATTCGTCATGGACAAACCCAATCCATGAATCAGAGCTCAATCTCGATGCCGAAAAGTTACCATTTGATTCACAACTAGACCACTTTGTTGATTTGATTCGTGGCAATGTCGATGAGCCATTCTGTACTATTGATGATGGTATATCTGCTTTATTGTGTATTGATGCGGTTATGAAATCCATAGAAACAGGTATGCCGGTGGTTGTTCAAGATGTCAAAAAAATACATTCGTCAAAGTAGTAGGAATTAGTGTATAGATTAAAAAGTTTCGCAACAAAGATTTGTTTTTGTCCCTGTTCACACGACTTCTTTTTCATTTTTGAATTCTGCGCACCAGTAAAAATCATGGAAAAAAAAATTATTCATCTACAACATCTAGAGGTCAACAAAAATAACCCACAACCATGTCTAAATTTGTTATTCCAACAGCATTGAAAGAATTGAGATTTCACTTATCACAAACTGGAGAAGCATCAGTACCGGTCAGAAACTTTTTAACCAAAAACTACTCAGGTTTGAAATCACAACTGAGTTATAAATTGCCAATCTTGATTAGAGAAAGTTATGGAATCCCACCAACATTGACTGCCAGATTCGAAAAGGGTGAAGAAGTCAAGAGAAACTTGGAAGGTTTAGATGAAGCAGGTGTTGAAAATGCATTAAACGAATTATTGAAAAGATAAAGGGGTATAAAGGCATATTAAATATATATATTTATTCACAAGAGTTTATAATTTGTATTCACCAACTTGGTAAACACCCCAGCCTAAACTATACAGGGCAGCATTGTAGAGTTCTTTGATGTTTTCATTTCCGGTGGATGCAATACCACCAGCAACAACGATTGGTAAGAAATGTTCCAAAGTAGGATGAGCTTGTCTTAATAAGGGGTTCTTGTGCATCTCATTGAAAGCGGCCAACAATTCGTTACCCTTTTTGGTTTCGACTGTTTTTGTCAAGAGTTGGTTGAATGGCTTGACATAAGGTAAACCAGCTGGGTAGCGGAAACCAAGCCCAAGATCTCTCAAATTGTGAACCGACATACCAGAACAAATTACCAAACCAGACAAGTGCTTCTGTTTAGATTCGTCCCAAATCAACTCATTCTTGAACTTACTCAAGACTTGGCCCAACTTGAAATGCTTATCAAAATCTTTATCATTTGAAGTCAATGAAACTTGAATAACAGCAGTTTCTGGCAAATCCAATCCTTTCTCTTCGGGTTGTTGTTTGGACTGAGTCGTGTAGTCACTGAAAGCCACCTTGAACGGAACCCACACACCGTGATCTATACCACGGTTGGTAATGTTCGAGTTGAATCCATTCTTTTCCAATTCTTGTTTGATCTCATTTGCAATAAACAAATTGTTCTTGGTGTGGAACTCTTCTTTGTACATGTAATCAGGAAATCCATAAAAATCGTAAATCAATGGGTTTTCGCTGGTTTTTGGATAGTTGATTTCAATCAAATTGGTACCTGAACTTTGCCAATGAGCACTGACAACGATTATGTAATCTGGTTTCCAGTTTTTCTTGATATTAGTACCGATTTTCTTAACAGTATTCCAGGCACCTTTATTACCAAAATCGTCATTTTCATACATAAAAGTGGGACCACCATGGGAAAAAAAGTATGTTGGGAACGGGTTTGGATTTTGTATGAATTTCTTGGTAACAGCACTCATAACCGCGGTGTTCTTGTTGTAGTAATAGTAGTAATATAACACAGAAAGAACTATTGGAATAATGTAAAGATTCATTTGTTGAAGAAAGAAAAACTACATCCAATAGCGACAGTTTAATCACGATTTATACTAACGATGCTGATTATTAATAGACATTAGACCATGCGCGCACCAGTTGATATTTTACTAAGATTACAAATCCGACTTGTAGACGCTACTAATTTTTTTTCTCTCTCTCTATTTAAATAGATCACTGTTTGTCCCCCCTCGGAAGTCGATTGGTATCGTAAAAAGAGAGATTAGCCAGTGATATTCTTCTGTGTTCCTTTCTATCCACAATAAGTAAAATTGCATTTTAATAGCAATGTATGTGGACAATTATACATAACCTTTGAATGTGCCGAAGCTTCCACACGTTTTCGCCATTTCATCAACAAGTTATATTTCCCGCAAGCCAACGAATTAGATGTCTGTTCACCAGGTGAAATATTAAATGTGTTGATTGTAATGTATCTGAGATGATGAGGGCATTGTACGCTATTCGGCTCCCTTAAGGGAATTTCAAGTTACTCTTTTTGTGTCATTCACATTTTTTTTTTTTTACATAATAAATATTAATAAAGAGAAAAAATCAAAACAGAGAGGAAAAAATGGCAACCTACAGTAAACAACAGCAATTCCATCTACCTTTTTTTTTTTTTTTCCTTTAATTTCTTTCATCTTTTTTTTTTTTTATTTTACAACCTACCTTTATATCATTAAATAACAGAAGATCAAACAAGTGTCAATGCCAGGTTTGTTCAATAGAAGAGTATGTTATTGCTGTTTTGAATTGTGGAATGTTTGATAGCCGTCCCACAATTTCCAGATCGTCTAAATCATTACTAACAACATATAATTAGAGACGCTCAGAGTCATATCAAGGGTTCAACAAATATGCCCATGAGATCAATGCTTATCATCATCCTACTCAACAATATGGGCTCCCGGTTAATCAACAATCGCCCCAGAGAAGCCCTTCGATGACTAGTGCGGGACAAGCGGCGGCTGCTGCTTTGAAGATGCACTCTACCCCAGTTAAACAACAACAACAGCAACAGCAACAACAACGACCTAACAGTCAAAGATATTATACAGCTAGATCAAACTCAATGACCACTGGTAGATCCAATTCATTGAGACTGTACACTTATAATCCCAAACCGTCATACAATGTGGGTAATGGTAGTGGTAGAAGCTACAGTTTGTCATCGCGACACAGCTATAATGGTCGTCCAGGGGTTACATCACCATTACAACATGAGTATATACACGAAGAGGGTGGTGATTTGGAAGAAGAAGAGGAAGTTGTTACAACCAAAACCACCAGGGTGGTTGACTCCAGTGGAAGAACCACCTCAATTACTACTAAAACAATTAGAACATTGCCAGATGGATCCAACATTATTGAAACAACCACTAAGAATATCTCCCGTCCTACTTCTAGATTGAATAGTATGTCGTCTTCTGGTAATGCTAATCGTGGTCCGGTTGCAGCAGATGTCAATTTGGGAATGATTGAGGAATTTGAAAACTTTGATTATTCCAGATCAGAACTTGATGCTGAATTAGATGGTGCTGAGAAGTTGAAATTAAACACAGGGGATTTGCTGACATCTCCAAAACAACAATTAGGAGCTGCATTCTCGCCAGCACAAAACTATGAAAGAACAACGTCATTGAATAGTGTCGGCAAGCCAAGATCTATATTGAAGAACTCTGCTGGTTCAATAAGACTGTCACATGTGGAGCCATTTGTTGCCAATGGAACCCACCATGAATCACCACCATCATCTATCAGATTCAATCCAACTGTGCAAACAAGGCAGTACAGCCCAAAGGAGTCACGGGTGAAGGTTAAGAAGGAAAAATTAACCGATGAAGAACTTTATGCTGCTGCATATAAAGCTGCCAACAAGAAAGTTTTTGGTGATGGCGCAGAAGTAGTTCAGCCCCCACCGCCAGTTGCTCAGCCATCTTCACCGGAATCAGCAAAGAAATCCAAATACAAGTTCATTCCACTTTCTCCACGAGAACCACCACAGCCAACAGTTGTATCTCCTAAAGTTGAACAGAAACCAGTTGTTGTTCCAGAAGCTCCTAGGTCTCCTAATTATATCTTGACCATGAGAGATCAACCGCAGCGTGCATCGAGCCGAAGAGAACGTTTGAAGGAAGAGAAACGGTTGGCAAAAGCTAGAGCTAAAGAAGAAGAGGAAGAGGAAAAGCGTCGATTGAAGGAAGAGGCTGAGGAGGACAAGAGAAGGGCTAAAGAGGAAGCTGAGGAAGACAAGAGAAGAGCTAAAGAGGAAGCTGATGAGGACAAGAGAAGAGCTAAAGACGAAAAGAGGAAACAAAAGGAGGATGCTAAATTGGCTAAAGAACAAGAAAAAGGAAACAAGAAACGCAAGTTTTTGGATAAGTTCATCGCTAGAAGAAGAAGTTCTGCAAGCTCACATTCTGTTATAACGGGTGAAGCACCTGTTGCAAATGGTGTCGCAGAGGCTCCTGTTGTTGCTGCTGCTACTTCTACTGCTCCTGCTACTGTTGTTGCTGCTACTGCTACTGCTACTGCTCCTGTTGCTGCTGCTGCTGCTGCTGCTACTGTTCCTACTGCTCCTGTTGCTGCTGCTACAGCTCAAGTCCCAGCTCAAGTCCCAGCTCAAGTCCCAGCTCAAGTCCCAGCTCAAGTCCCAGCTCAAGTCCCAGCTCAAGTCCCAGCAACCAATTCCAGTCTGAATTATGATGCAGTCCCAGCTGCAACTATTCCAGATACTACTACATCTATTCAAGTTGCTAATGGCAACACAGTTAAAGATGCTGTCGTTGAACCTCCACTGAAACCTGAAGTGCAACCAGAAACTATTCCTGAAACTATTCCAGAGCCAATCATTGAACCGCCAACTGGTGAAGTTGATCCAATCGTTTCTCAAGAACCAGTAGAGGAAATACCCAAACCAAACATAAATGATGGTGAACACGATCATACAGAGGGGTCAAAAACCATAATAGGTCATGGGAAATTTTATTATCCGAAGGATCCTGAAGGTGTTGTTCCTGATCATTCTAAAACACCGGTAGCTCATCAAGTTGCTAAAGAGTCCGTACAGGATACGACCGGACCCGTTGAAGCCGCTAATCAACATACAAGCAATGGCAATTCTGATACAGCTGGAATTCTGACTGATTCGCATATTTATTATTCTGCATCTGATTTGAATGTCAACAGACCAAATGGTACTAGTTCCCCTCTGGATGTGGTTAAAGTGTCCGTTCCTAAATTGCAATCAACTACTTCTTCCCAGACCAACCTTGATAGTATTGAACCAACCCATCATGTTCCAGTGCCTCATTTACAGCTGCTCGATGATAATACCGTAGATGTGGAGTTGGATAATGTGGAGGACGACGATGACGAATCTGCCGTTGCGGTTGATGTCATTGATGATTACAGGTCTACCAGTGATGAACCAATTGTTGAAGCTCCTATAGAAGCACATACAGAACCGATACGTCAGGAACTCCCACCACCAAACGTCCTGTCCACATCAGTAGGAAACACCCCACAAATCACTGCTGTTCCAGTGATGAAACCCACAGTTGATGCTCAAATTCCGGAACCCGAAGTACCTCCAGCTGAATCTACAGAACCGGTAGAAGAATTGGTTGTAGAGAAAAAGGCAAAGGAAACAAAGAGGCAACGTTTTCTTAAATTCTTTGTTTTGTAATACTATATATATTTTGTCGTAATCTAATGCATATTTGTTATTTTTGTTTTCATCAACCGTTGAAGTTTTGCTAGTATTTTGGGACAAAATTCCACCAAAAAATAATCATTATGTGCATACTACTAACATGGATAAGTTGATGATTTATTATAATTCTACAACACATATTCTACGTATATGTACCTATCATGATGACTGGTGATATACTTCATGTTGTTCATAAAATTGATCATTTCGCACGTCCTTTTGATTTTATTTTTTTTTTTTTTGGTGGTGGATTTTCAGGACCTTTTTTTCTTTAAGCAAAGAAAATTCTCAACAACTAAACAACCATCAAATCAACAAAGAACAATGATCACTCCTGATTTATTACTAGATCCTCAATTGAAGTACTGGGTATTATTACCTATCTCTGTGGCAATGGTATTAGTTGGATTGTTAAGATCCAATGCCACTTTTTTACTACAAACCCAACCCAAATTGGAGGCCTACAAGACTGTTCGTGAAGGTCAATTTCTTCATCGTGCTAGATGTTTCCGAGAAAACAATTCCGTTTTGAATGATAGTGACTTTGAAATCCGCAAGAAGTATTTTATTGATAAATTAAACTCCGATGAGTTTATTGCCAAAAAACCAGCTGCCAATGGTGCTGAAGACCCCATGGCGGCTCTCAACCCAGGATCCAATGAAGCTCTTATGCAAATGGCCAAGGGGAACTTGATGAGTTATATTCCACAAACTGTGATTATGGCATGGGTTAATTATTTCTTTGCTGGGTTTGTTGTTATGAAATTGCCATTTCCTTTAACTGATGGATTCAAGAATATGTTACAAAGTGGGGTTAACACTCCGGACTTGAATGTTAGATATGTATCGAGTATTTCATGGTATTTTGTTAATTTGTTTGGGTTGAAACCTATTTACTCTTTGTTGATGGGTTCAGATGAAGCTGCAGAGTTGATGCAACAACAAGGTCAACAACAACCACAAATGCCTAATTTGGGTGGTCCTGGTGCTCCACAAGCTGATAAGGTTTTCAAAGGAGAAGCCGAAAACATTCAAATTTTATCCCATAAGAGTGTTTTTGATGGTGTTGTCGATAGGTTCATAGAGAGATATAGTTGAGATTACGTAATATAGAACATCGCGGAAAAAGGCAGAGAAAAAAAAAAAAAAAAAAAAAAAAAGAAAAATCGGGAAACTTACAAATTGCCATCTCTTCTTTTTCTTTCCATTATTAATATCACCAACCAACAATGTCTACAACAACAAGTAATGCACCACCTACAGTTATATGTATCGGAATGGCGGGTTCTGGGAAGACCACATTTGTGCAAAGATTGAATTCACACTTGCATTCAAAGAAGACCCCGCCATATGTGATAAACTTGGATCCAGCGGTTTTGAAAGTGCCATTTGGAGCAAACATTGATATAAGAGATTCAGTCAAGTACAAGAAAGTTATGGAACAATACAATTTGGGTCCAAACGGGGCAATTGTCACATCTTTGAATTTGTTTTCCACCAAGATAGATCAGGTTATTAAATTGATTGAAAAGAAGAAGGATAGAATAAACAACGTTGTTATTGATACACCTGGTCAAATTGAATGTTTTATATGGAGTGCCAGTGGTGCTATCATTACTGAATCGTTTGCCAGTGAGTTCCCTACAGTTATTGCATATATTGTTGACACCCCAAGAAACACCAGTCCGACCACATTCATGTCCAACATGTTGTATGCTTGTTCTATATTGTACAAGACCAAGTTGCCAATGATTGTGGTATTCAACAAGACTGATGTTACCGATTGTGAATTTGCCAAGGAATGGATGACTGATTTTGAAAGTTTCCAGGCAGCTGTTAAAAAAGACCATGAGTTGAATGGGGAGCAAACCAGTGGGTATATGAGTTCTTTGATCAACTCAATGAGTTTAATGTTGGAAGAGTTTTATTCAAACTTGGATGTGGTTGGTGTTAGTAGTTATACTGGAAATGGGTTTGATGAGTTTATGGATGCCGTTGATAATAAAGTGGAGGAATATAATGAGTTTTATAAAGCCGAGAGGGAAAGAATTTTGAAGCAAAAGGAAGAAGATGAAAAGAAGAGACAAGCCAAGTCTTTGAACAAGTTGATGAAGGATATGAAAATGAGTGACAAGAAGGACTCGGAAGTGTTGTCCGATTATGAAGACGATGATGAGGAAGTAGACGACAAGTACCAAGGGGAAGTATTGAGAGATGAGGATGAAGAGCCGGAAAGAGAATACACATTTCCTGAAGATCGTCAAGGAGAGGTTACATCTTCGACCGATGCTGATTTACAAGCTCGATACCAACAGGCATTTGAGGCAACGGCAAAGCCTGCTTCCTCTAAAACTGCGGAAGACATTGCCAACTACATAAATAGAAGTCAGTAAATGTATTTAATCTATAGTCTGTATTACAAAGAAAAAAGTGTATCAATTTCGTAAGGTTTGTGAAACTCTTTTTTGAAAATCAAGTGTGGTTTATGTTTGGCTAAATGTAGGATTGTTTTCCCAAACTCAGAATTACACCATGCAAACCAAGGTCTGGTGTAGTCTTTTCCGTTTCTTGAATTGACGTTTATAGATTCGTGCATCAACCCTAGTTGGCCTGTTGTTTGCATTACCAATTCCAAACTGTTCATGATTTCCTCGTCGTCGTCGGTAGTACGGATTCTCATCAATAGCGACATTGGCCAGGCATTTTTAATACCAATGTGGGGGCCGCCGATACCTTCGAAATAGTAACCTTTCAAGTAGTATGGGTTGCCTTCTTTGGATAGGATCATCTTTCTGGTATTCTGATAAACTTCGTCGTCCACTGGCTTGTACCCCAAATCAGGAATGGACAACAATGAAGGAATGTTTGCATCATCCATGAAAGTAGCACTTCCATAACCATCGACTTCATAAGCGTATACTTTGCCGAACTCTGGGTGGTTGATAATACCGTACTTTTCAATACCAACACTTAATGTTTCAATAAAACTATCAACGGTTTCAACAATCAAACGGTCTCGTGGGATATTGTCGTTGTTGATGAAATTCTTTCTTGCTCTTTTTAATTCGGTGTACATGTGGATGTTTCCTGGGACAAAGAACTGCAATATTGTGGCATCGTCACTTGGTCTGAATGCACTTCTGATTAAACCAGTACCGTAATTCACCGGATTACCCACACCTCCCAATGGTAGAGTTTCCGATCCGATGTTTGTATTTCTCTGGAACGAGTAGTAAAACGGCAAAGCTTGTCCTGTTTCTTCATCAAATGACGGGACGCTTTCTCTGCGCAAGACGACCAATAGCTTCTCCAATGCTCTTATCCACACATTATCGATGAAACTTAAGTCACCATTTGAATTTTCAAAGTAATCGTTTGTCAAAGTTAAAAAACTGGCCAAGGAATCAATCTCGTACTTGCACTCAAAAACTTGTTTCCAATTTGGGACGGGGAACACCGAATCAAAAGCAGTATTTCCCTTTTTGACACCAGACCCAGGTGGTGGGTGGAATGCATTACAGTATGGACTATCAACAACATAATATGCTTGGGTGTTGATTGCGCCTAGAATTAAATTCTTCAATTTAGGATCGTGTTTAATCAATGGTTGGTAAACTGATAATTGTCTTGCAGCATCACGCAACCATTCAGCGTGGATATCACCGGTGACGATAAACGATTGTGGGAAAACTCTGGAGTCACCTCTAGGGGTGTTGCCCCCTCTATTCTTGTGCCATAATATAGTAGTATCCAAAGTGT